CGGCACAAGTCTAAAAGATGTTAAAAGCGAAACAGAGCTCGCTTGGTCCCGCCGAGTGGATCGTGGATGTGGAAGGATTTAGACTCCTTCTGGCTTCGCCGAGGATGGGATCTGGGTTAATATGGCCGGATAATAGTGGCGGCACAACTGGGAAGCCCTTTCTTCGTCGATCAGACGGGACTGTCAGTGGCCGGGCAACTTTGTCTGAGTGGAGGTTCCTCCGTCAAGATCGACCGTGTGTCTTGCCGTCTTGAAACTCGACACTCCCGTGAGATGCATGTTGATGTGTAGGGATGCGTGCCGGGGGTGGACGGTGGAGTGTGGACAAGGGGACCGGTGAATATAAGTGGTACGGTTATGTTTCCCGATTAAATGTCCGTCGAATAAAGACAGTGTAGGAAAATGAAAATGCGACGATGAGCACTGTCTTCAGTGCAGTGGATGTCAGTAGCATTAATCCTCGGCGGTGTTGAGCAAAACAGATTGAAGGCCTGGCTCAAAGTTGTTGATGGAATCACTTCCACAGAGTCTAGCGGACATTCTCTCGCTCAAGCCCGTGTATGACTGTATTCCGGCTTGTTTCAAGACAAAAGAGCCCCAGCCCGGAAAGGAACCCTTTTCCGTACTCCGGATGGTCATGCTCCAACTGTCCTGGTAGTTTGTTCAAAGTGCTAGTCCGGGGGCCCTCTGCCATCCAATTCATCTATTTGGAAAAAGATAGATTGGCTGGGTACTAAAGTGCTCAGTCTAGGCTACTCCCACTACTATATCTGCCAAGTGATCCAGGACTGCAAAGGTGCATGCGTACTTACATAGCTAGCTTGGAGGGGGATTCTCACTCGACGCGCATCCATAGAGCACGTTTCACGTTGATCTGCCAAGCAAAACACAGTCGGGGCACCGAATGCTTAGTAGTAGAACCGTCGTGGGATCGTCGGTTACAAGCAAACAACGGACGATCCCCGTTTGTCGCGCACCACATCTACTTCTGTATCCTCGAGTCTCCACCCGACGTGGACTACAACAGCTGATACACATGTACTCCGTACATACCTGGCTAGTGGCACTGGCTAGTGGCTACTGTAGGATGGCAATGGTCATCATGGTAAGTACTAAGTAGTAAGTATCAATTCAGTGGTGTGGTCAGTCCAGCATTCAGTACTTCTTGTCATCAAGACCTAATTTACTGGTCCGATCAGACTAGGTCGAGGCCTGTCTGTGGAAGTATGCCCTCAGACATGGCCTAGAGTAGGCTTGTGGATTTCATCATGCATGTAATCATGTAGTAGATTGTATAATGTATACTGTATAGCATCGTTTAAGCTAAACACAATTCACTGATCACCCCAATGTGACACACGGACAACGGCCCGGTTAGATCAAGGGTCATGACCCCACTGAGATGGCCAACCGTGAAACAAGCCGATTTTCTAAAAATGAAGCGCGAGTCTGCCTCGATGTCGAACCGCAGTGTAGTACAAGGGTCACCCTTGGAGGTGGTCGTGCGGCCTGTTTCACCACAATAGAGTTGTCCCGGCCGGAGACACAGATTGTGAGATTTGACAGGACGGCGGCTAAAGTTACCCTGCGACCTACACGGCTGCTGAAAAGCCACGAGATTGCTCCGATGCTGATGCACTGCTAATTTAGAAACCTGGAAGTTACAAGTTTGTTTGGTGTATTACCTGCATAGTGCACACAGCCACACACTATACGAGTACACGGCGTACACGGCGCACAATAAGAAAAAGTTACCTTTGATCTGGCCATCTAACAAGGATTGCTTCATCGCGAAAACGAGAGTATATCAGTGGGAAAAGCCACAGGGGTGACCCCAATACCCTGAAGACCCGCTAGTACCAGAGCGATGAAGTGCTGGCCTGATGCTGCAATACAAGAATGAGTAGTGAGACTGAGTCGTGACTCGTGAGTGCCAGAGTGGTGGACCAACTACCAACTACCAACTACCAACTACTCAAGGTTAGACACACACAACGTAAGCAAGCAAGCAAGCAAGGTGGAATCGCGCGAGCCAGGGTTTGTTATGAGAAGATCAGAAACATCGGATAGATCGGTCGGAGCTGGCCAGTCGCCGCGAGAATTGGGAGTTTACCCCGAGATTGATCTCCAAAGACAACAGGTGCACAGACCACCGGCTGTCGAACTATCACTCAGGGTAAAACCACTGGGAGGTCCGCATGCTGTGCAGCCAAGTAGTATGACTATGTAGTATGTGCCACTCCCGACTAACCCTAATCGATTGGCAGTACGAGTATGTATTCATGAGAACTAGCAAACGTCCAGTCAGCAGTCAACAGACATACCTGCCAGCTCATTGATCGTAAGATGCGATGGGCTGGATTGTCTTCGAATGAATGATGCTCTTGACTACCTCCAGCTGGCGGCTACTAGTCCTGTACAGTGTACTGAGTACACTGTACTGTAGTACTGAATCAATGTGTGGGCACTGGGCCGTGGCACTCGGAATCAATTTAATGAACATTTTCCAACCCTCACTAAGCAACCGATCGACCGCGCCATGTCCAATTCTGAACCGGACGGTCTCTAGGCTGACATCCTCCAAAGCGGGCGACGGATCTTGCTCGCCCATTTGCTGAGGCTGGATCCCCCGGATGTGCAACTCTCCGCTTTTTCTGGAGCATCTCCCACCGTTCAGCAGCCAGCCATGGCAGTGGCCAAACCTAAACGAGCATCTTTCCCCCGGGCCTATCTTGCCATTTCTTGTGCCAGGGAACCGGGAGCGCGTCGCCCATGACTTTGGTCGTTTCCCATCCCTCCGGAACCAATCGTGAATCTCAATGATGAATGATGCATATCTCCATCGCTGGTTCATCCCGATCATCCTCGATGGCAGGTATTTCCTGTCCCTCCCCGAGGTTCCCTTCCTCGGGGAGGAGACCCCGTTGATCAGGTGATGACATGGACGGTGGTGACGGTCATGACGCAAGATACAACCCATGCTGTGGATTGAGGATTCCAGTCCGCGTAATTCACATATGCGACGAACAAGAGAATATTCTTCTCAAAAACGGTAGCCAACGCTGCAAATGTCTGTACAAGCGTGGGGTGCACTAGGAGGCGTACACCAATTGTCCACTTGCTCAGTAGCCCAGCCTCGTGCATCCGCATCGAATCTGTAGAACCGTCGCTCCCGCGTCCTCGACTGTATGACTCTGCAGGTGATAATGACGGGCGCATTCCAGAAACCGGTCGGAGGTACTAAACTCCGAGTCATGCGGTATTGCGGTCACAACTGCCGCTGCATTTTTTAATTTGCAATGGGCCGTGTCCATGGCGAAGTTCCGTCTGGATTGACCACCAGATTATGGACAAGACATTAATCATAGTTACATGCATCCCACATAGAACACGCCATCTCTCAACTAAGACCGCCCGCATGAACCTAACCCCCAACCCCTGTTCATTCAATAATTGAAAGGCAAAGTACGATCCCGTCCTCCATCCCCGCGGTCGCAAGGATTTGCCCAGACCACCAGAGTCTTGCCCAAGGCCACACGCTTGGTGCGCCCATGCATGGACCGCGTCCTCGAGCACTCGGGAAGATTGCCAAATTCACCAGTGAGCTAGACCGGGGTAACCTGATGAATTCATCCGGGAGGAATTGCCAGAATGTGCAGATTGGATTCTAGCCAGTAGCCACAATGGCGTCTAGTACGACTGTAGAGGGTAGACCAGGTCAATAGTAGTAGGTTAGTAACTGAGTACTAGTCAGGGACACCTGTTCACTGCCAGTACTGTAGTACAGTGATACAGTCTACCGTCTACACTCTCTACACTATAACACTACCATCTGGCGCTGTGGTGCTCCTCGGACAGTATATAGATGGTGTTTCGGCTCCGATTCTCGGAGAACAAGCCCGGAATCTTTGTTCGACTGTTCATCAGCAATTGATCATCTCGAAAGGTACTTTTTCTCTCTGTCATGGTGTTCGACCTTGATTGAATCAGCCGCGCGCCCGTCTTCTCTCCCTTTCGCTTGCCTCCCTCCCCTTGTCTCCAGTCTCCAGTCTGCTAAACTCCTTTCTTTTACTAAGAACTCGCATATTGCAGCAATTCTCCGTCGCTCTTACTGCTTTCTCTATACATCGTGTCCTTCGCTCCAGCCAAGTTAGTTCACCTCTTGGCATCCGCGGACTGCTCTCCTACGGCTGCACATCATTTTGATTGCTGAGTGACAGGCCAGTCCCCCCCCAAAAGCGGGTAAGTCACCACGGCTGAGTGGAAACTCCACTTTTTTTTTTTCTCTTCCTTCATTAGGGCATCTGTACTTTTCCCTTTTTGTCTTTTCGATTCCTGGGACGTGTCCCTCTTGGGTCCCGAATTTCCCCATTTTCGGCATGTCGAGTTTCCCGTCCGCCCAAAGGGTCCCCCGGGTGCAGTCCAGAGCCTGTGTGGTACTGGGGTCGGCTGAGCGGGTTGAGCTGGTACCTCACGAGCTTCCAGCTCCGAAGCCGAAAAAGGGAAAAAAAAAACAGAGTCGCCAAAGGACCCAAAAAAAAAAAATTGCCCAAAAAGGGAAGAACCAAAAGGCAAAAAGTCACTCCACCTTCTGGACAAATGCACTGGTACCCTTGGGTCTGGTCTCCGCTTCTCCAAAGCTGTTCGCCTCAACCAGTCGTTCGCCCGGTACGGGGGCCCCATCATCCGTCTATCCTTTTCTGGCGGCGGTTGCTCTCATGTCTCAATCTGGAGGCGGCCCTCTGCAGATATAATAATACCGTCCTTTTGCCTGTCGCCCTTCCATCCACCCTTACTCTTCTTTCATCCTGGTTGCAATCCGTTATAGCTGAGCTGGACGGCCTGTGATAGTTTCGTTTTAATTCTTGTCTCCTCCCATTCCAGTGTAACTGCGTTGCACGCTTCTTTCCCATCTCGCAAGCCGAACCATCCTTTGCTGGATTCATTTCTCACCTTCTCATCCTCCTCCTCACCAGATCTAGAACTCGTCGGCGACCATAATGTCCACCGAAGTTCACAACAACGGCGCCCTCGAGAAGGACGTCGGTACTGTCCCCGCGGGTACCGCCGCTACGGATCATCACCAGGGTGCTCCTATCCATCCGCAAATGTCTGCGGAGGAGCACGAGGTCGCCCGCGCTGCTGCCCGATTCGGTTACGGACCCCTGGCCCACGTTAATGCCGAGGATGCCCGTCTGCGTCCCTTTGGCGGAGAATTCCAGCCTGGTCTGTACAAGCCCGTCGAGAACCGCAAGTTCGCCAACCCTGCTCCTCTCGGCCTGTGCGCTTTCGCGCTCACTACTTTTGTGTTGAGTGCCATCAACATGTACACTCGCGGTCTCGGCAAGCCCAACATTGTTGTCTCTCTTGCTTTCGGCTATGGTGGTCTGGTCCAGCTGCTGGCTGGCATGTGGTAAGTGGTTGCGCATCCTCGTCATTTTTCCATGACTGGCGTCATGCACATCGCATGAGGAACGCGGGTACTGATTCTCATCCGCTCATAGGGAAATGGCTGTCGGCAACACCTTTGGTGCTACTGCACTCTCCTCGTACGGTGGTTTCTGGCTCGCTTTCGCCATTGTCTTGACTCCCGGTGGGTTCGATATTGTCAATTCACTTGTGGTCAAGGACGCCGCCGGAAATGTAGACGAGTCCGCCTTCTTCGACTCCATGGGCCTCTTCTTGATGGGATGGTTCATCTTCACCACCATCTTGCTTATCTGTACCCTGCGATCCACCGTTGCCTTTTTCTTGCTGTTCTTCTTCCTGGACATGACCTTCCTGTTGCTTGGAATCTCATACCTGGTTCGCCCCGGTGGACAACAGTACGTCGCCGTTCAAAAGGCTGGCGGTTTCTTCGGGTTCCTTGCTGCCTTTGCTGCTTGGTACAACGCTCTCGCCGGTCTGGCCGATAACAGCAACAGCTTCTTCATCGTTCCTGTTGCTCACTTCCCATGGTCTCCCACCGGTCGTAGCCGCCGCTCCAAGACCCAGCGTGAACTTGCTTAAGTAACGGCCCGTTTAGTTGCAAATTGCAGCATCTTGAACCGGAGCGATGAGCGCGCTTTGTCGCGTGTAATATGATGATATACCCTTTTTCCTTGTCCCCCCCCCCCCTTTTCCCTTGTCCGTCCACGTTGCATTGTCGATGATGCCAAGGTTCAATTTGCACCTTCTCGCAAGGGTCGCCGTCCGCGTCATCGTGGAAGACACTTTGGAAGGTAGCCGCGGAAATCGATCGGAATCCGTTCCTCATTCCTCTCTCGTTTGCCTTTGCTCGGGACTTGGTGTCCCATTTGCTCACAGAGATTCGTCCCACATGCGGCGTTTGCTGAAACTGTTGTTCTTGCCATTCTGCTGTTGAGATTTCTTTCGCCTGATTTCTGCTCCAATGGAGGCCCCCGAGAAGAAAAAAGTCGACTTCTTTGGACGCTGGGTCTGGAAATGTAACCTTTTTGCCCCCCTGTCATGATCACTGTACTTCATTAATAATCCACTCATAAGACTTTACTTCTTTCCACGTGTAGTGAATGCTTTCGTAAGTCGTAGGTGATTTGAAATCCTTCATCAAGAGAGGAGCTTGCGCCAGTCAGGGGTTGCAAGCCAACGGGACCCGGGCCTGTCGGTGTACACTGGACAGTGACAAGACTTGACGCTTGAAACCCACAACAACCGGCGGTAACAAAGTCATTCAATGAGACAAGTTTAGCAAGAGCAAAGATGATGGTCTGAATCACGGATCCAGAATCAAACAGGCTTGTGAGGCCTTGTCGAGCTTGGGGCAGCTTTTGTTGTGAAAACGCGATAGTCAAGTTTGTAGAGTAGCAAGCACCCTTGCTAGGCTCACAATGTGCAATATTTGTGATGTTAGTGATAGTGCGAGTAACCAAGCATCCCGAGTTCTGAGATAGCTTGGTCGAGGCTCTGTGTTGATGGGCTCCTTGAGTTGTCAATTCAGCCCACGGTAGATGGATTGATGAGCGATTCGTGAGATCAGGTGATGCAATCGATGGCCGGAGAAGACTAAGGTCTCATCGTGATGTTATGAGCTGGAAAGACGTTGTATTTTCCAATCCCAGGGAAACAAAATGGCCTGCGTTTCCATCTCAGTCTCTGGGAGATTGGTTTTTTTCCCCCACGCCTGTCATATGTGTCATGCGTCGCATGTTGTACAGTGTCTTGTTGAAATCGAGCCACTGGTGTTCGAACCATTCTGTCAGAGAATGGGATATGAAATCGGAGAAAAAGTCTCGAGATCTAGAAGATCACGAAGAAAATACTGGAGGTAGACTTGCAATATCATTTCAGGGGGGGGCTACAGAAGTATTTAGTAGTAGTCCGAGATCTTTTCAATGATATGGCTCTCGAACCCCGAACGATCACCGAGATCCACCCGGGCCAAACTCGGCTTTCAGTCGGCCTCTCTGCTCAGCGGAGCTGAGATACCTATTGTTTCGGTGACCTTGATTCAATCGCATAGGCTTACTGCAAGAGCTAGTGGTGCAGGTGTATCTTGTTGGTCAATTTGAGAGATAGTACACTTGGAATGCGAATAATTCCGTTCAAGGCTTTCTCATCCCGCCAAGGGGAAAGACTTGATCGATCAACTTTTACGAGCGACCGAGCCGAATGATCAAGGAGGCGAGACTCAGAATTGCAGGGTTTCTTTCATAATGCGATGAGATTGAGGACTGACCTGAGTTGACAGGTCATACGTGTTGCTGTCATTATTGATCAAAGGACGAGTTCGCGGGTTTCAGATAACATGGGGTACGTGGACGACTTTGCATCAGATTGAGCATGTCAAGTGAGAACCAATCTCGTAAGCCCGGGACCACGGGCTTAAAGGCAAGTCGAGGATCATTCCTCACTACATGTATGAATTGTTGATGACGCTTGAGCCTATGAATAAGTCCTTCGTCTCGCGATTTTCAAAATTTCAAGCGGCGTCTTGGAAGCCGTGTCCCATCAGGTCTGTTTAGAGATGGCCTGTAAGCTAATAAGTAGCGTTCGGACCTCTTGTCAAAGATAGACTACTGCATCAAGATCAGAACATAGAAAGCCCACATAACTCTGGATTACTTTCTGTACGTATCACAACGGGTATTGCGAAGCAGTTGATGCAGCATCATTCTGCCATCCTGCCAGTAGACAGGCAATAAGTAAAATATCATTCAGCATACCCCTGACTGATAGGCTCTCCTTCTTAGCCGAGAGGAGCCAAAAAAAAAAAAAAAAAAAAAAAGACGGCAAACATATGTAATGATGTCATATGCAAAAGACAAACGGCTTGATTAAAACATATGATGATAATCTTCCCCGGGGTTGCTTAAACATTAGATGGAGTCACATACGGTGTGTCCAGTGTCAACTTGTACATTCCACGCTCAACAAAGGTACTAGTGGCACTCTCAACGTGATGAAAGATTCCCGCGCGTGACATTCATCGTCTGCCCATTTGTAGCTTCAAGCCCAACGATCATGTCATATCAAAGTAGACAAAGTTTCCACCTCCGCTCCGCACATCCTTGGTCTCGATCTTGAATTCTTCCTCGTCTCTATCTGCTCCTTTTTCCAGGTCTGTGATGTGTACTTCGCTGATCACGACCTAATTTCTCCCGCTCAATTCTTCGCTCGCGCACACAGGCCGCAGTCTCTATGTTGCTGATAGTGTGCGAGATTGGCTGGTATTGAGACAAGTCCTCTGGCTCACTTTTTGCGCCTTGTTTTTTGTGAATCCTTGAACCGGTCACGAAGAGCTTGAAAATAGCCGAGAAGACACGCACTTGATATCGCAGATGGATCTGCGTGGGTTACAACTCTGCATAAGTTATAGCAATGAATGACTCGGGATCTGGGTCGATTCGATATCTTCGTCACTCAGGACACATCGTTTCACACTGCCTGGATTTATATCTCCTCTCTTTACCAACAGAGAAGACTGATCGAAAGGGACATATCTCGATGAGCTTGCCACTAGCCTTGAATTTCTCAGCGCCCCTGAAACGGCCTTGCATAGGGGGCACTTTAGGTAGTAGTTGTTGACGTGGAGAATCCTCCCCGACCTGGCTGCTGGTGGAAGCTTACTGGCAGCGTCCATGAGTCTGACTCTGATCTAACTTCGTCATCACCATAGCTGCAAGGTACAATGCCCGCTTGCTAGCTTCATCTGAACAGCGTATTTCCAAGATCTGGTTCGACCTCGTTCAATTCATCTATTCGTGTGAAACAGGTCTTGACGGATTTCTCTGATCGGGACGAAAAGAGCAGCGTAAACTTGCACCTTTTTTGATAACACTCGCGTGATTACGGAAAGAAAATTGGCATCTGTAAGTCAGGGTGGCTTGCATCTGCAAGTAGAGTTGGTTCTGCTTCATACAAATCGGACAATGTCCGGCGGGCCTTGCCATAATAGAAAAGTCCATTCATTTGAAGAATTGCGGGATTTCATGGACTCGAGCGAGGCTCTTGTATGTGTGATGTTCAGTTCTCAGCTTGAAAGACTCCACTTTGCAATGACTGACAAGGGTGGAACTGCAGACTGGCAGGACGACTTTTCAATTTGAATAAATTGGGATAATTTTCTGCGCCTATACTGTGCATGTAGAATCATGGTTTAACAAATCTCATCGACTGGACCTCCACGCACAATTTCCACCGAGCTGATACGGATGATCACTTTCCAATCAATCAGCCTATTTGAACAATATAGAGAGGTTATCGCCCAGGGCAGGTTGTAGTAGAGATATGGCTACACGTGTGAGAAACAAAGCAACTCTCCAATACAAGTATAATGCCTGGGCAGACTGCCTTGGCCGCCTACGACCAATTCTCTACTGCCAACCTTGAAGTCTCCCGTAGTAATGTTATCTTGTGGAGATTACTTTCAGAGATTGCCTATGGGGATATGATATACGTGGGTAGCCTACTCGATAGAAAATGAGACAATGACCCATCCCATTTCATATCCGAATCCTTGCCACACGGGCTCGGGATCGTTCCTCACCAAGACTCATTTGCTAATCTCCAACGTGGAACCTATTTGCTCGGATAGTATGATCTGTGCTAAGTGTGACGACTCTGTGCAATTCATCATAGCACAGTCTTATTTATCAGGTTCAAATACACACGAGAAAGTTTGTAGGCTTCGTATGGTGGCTCGCTAAGCTTGGCGCACTCATGAGTGCAGTAAGTACTGTCTACGTATGGACTGGCCTGTGAGTAAAGGCAATTCAACGCCATCGGTCTTTATTCAAATGTCCTAGCATGATTCGAAAAGGACCAATCTACAAGAAATCAACGATTTCACAGCATGGCATTCTGGGCTACTTCCGCATTTAAGTCTGCGTGAGAATTGAAGACCGGGTGGCCCAATTGTTTACCCACTACCCGGTAGTATGGACATTGGACAGGCACTATTGTTCACTGCTATTTTCTTCATCATTGATGAGTGGCAAAGCCTGTCAATCTAGGCCCTTCAGCGGACCTTTAGAGGACCGATCAACAGGGGAATTATGATGAGACACCATCCAGGTAACGACGGTTCATATTTGACTATTTCCCCGGCGGCAACAACCGAATCTATCCCGATGCCGTGGCTAAATTGGCTGAATCCTGCATATACTCTGGGCTTGAATCATTAGCATGCTTCATGACTCGGAGACTTGTGTAGGCAGAACAGCAGCGAAGAGACTTGAAGCGCGGCCATTCAAGAAGCCTCAGCAAGCTTGTGTCCATCCACTTGATGGAGTTGCAATTCAAGGAGCGACCCACTCCATACGGACTGAATCGATATCGGTCACTGCCCGTTGGTATGTTTGAGTGGCAATGAGGCATGGCTTGGTCTTGAAATGGCCGAGGGTTCTCATCCTTTGTTACCCCAGATTCATTTTAACTTCTTCAGGTTCTGCATTACCGGTCGGGGGATTTTCTTGTTTGAGTCAGTGCCGTTGGGCGAAGTGGATCTTTGTTTGACGCCAGCGTCTCAAGTGGTGTCAGGCTCCGTCACCACGAGGGATCTCCCCTGGCTGGATCATTTCGGGACATTGGGTGTCTCGTATCCTGCCAAATGATGTTAGAACATGATTCACCTTGAGGGCCAGGGTACCGACTCTCGAGTGACGTCCGGGTAAATTGCCATCACAGAAGAAGAAAGGGACAAAGGGTCTCTTTCACGCAAATTGATCGACGGACCTAGATTTCAAAGATCTGCAGATCTTGCGACTATAAAGTCTCCAGAGATCGGTCCCTCTACACTTGCTTTTTTTTTCTCCATCAACAAAGCATTCTTTTCTTCTCTCTCTGTCTCTCTCTGTCTCTCTCTCTCTCTCTCTCTCTCTCTCGCAAATTGACTGTGTCAAGAACATTCTTTTCTCTTAATTCTTCATCATGGTTTCTTTCACCAAACTTTTCGTCGCTGCCGCCGTCGCCGTGGGTGCCTGGTCTGCTCCCACCGAGCTGGTTGAGCGCCAGACCATCACCAACAGCCAGGTTGGCACCAACAACGGCTTCTACTACTCGTTCTGGACCAACGGCGGTGGTCAGGTTTCCTACACCAACGGTGCTGCTGGTCAGTACAGCGTCAACTGGAACAACGCCGGTGATTTCACCTGCGGTAAGGGTTGGGCCAAGGGTGCTGCTCGGTAAGTAAAATGCTTCCTTGTCGAAGATTGGTGGAATCAGATATCTCTTCGGGACCATGAAACACTAACATCTCTCTTTCTCTAGTAACATCAAGTACACCGCCAACTTCAAGCCCTCCGGTAATGCTTACCTGGGTGTCTACGGTTGGACCAAGGGTCCCCTGATCGAGTACTACATCCTCGAGAACTATGGTTCCTACAACCCCGGCTCCGGCATGGAGCACAAGGGCACCGTCTACAGCGACGGCTCCAACTACGACATCTACCAGCACACCCAGTACAACCAGCCCTCCATCTCCGGTACCCAGACCTTCAACCAGTACTGGTCCATCCGTCAGAACAAGCGCTCCAGCGGTACCGTCACCACCGGCAACCACTTCAACGCCTGGGCCCAGCACGGCATGCAGCTCGGCCAGCACGACTACCAGATCCTGCTCACCGAGGGCTACCAGAGCAGCGGTTCCTCCTCCGTGACCGTCTCCGCTTAAATGGGATTGATCGCGTAGCGGAGATTTGGAGGGGGGCTGGCTGTTTCGACGTGTCGAGCAGATATACAAAGTCAAGATCAAGATCCCTGTTCCTTCCTTTTCTCTAGTCTAGTCTAGTTCCGCAGGCTCGGAGAATGACACATGCCGCTACTCTTTTTTTTGTATATATATATATATATATACATGTGTACCAGAATATCTCGTCTCATCTTCAATAGATGAGGACACAAGTGTATATTGTTCATATTCGGTAGATGGAGCTGCAAACACATTTACATGGGACATGGCATCCATTCGTTGTGAATGATTCACAGCGTCACCGTACCAAAAGATATCCACAGATTGGTACGCTGTCTAACTCCTATCTTACCTGAACCCCGACCTAGACCTTGACAACCCCGTGATGAATGAGACTCTCTGCCGAGGCAACGACCGCGTCGGCATTCGAGCGAGGATTCCACCCCAGGGACGTTTTGGCCTTCTCAATTGATCCGGGGCGAGCCTCGTCCAGATACGGAATGACGAGGGCAATCCCCGAATCAAAGAAGCCAAGGGACCGCAAGACAAAGTTGGGGATCGTCCTCGTGGGCACTTTCCGCCCCTGAGGCCCCATTCTCTCACGAAGCGTCAACGCAATATCCCGAATGGACATGGCAGGCGGCGCCATACACAGGAATCGCTCCCCCTTGGCGTTGGGGTGCGTCATTGCCAGCAGATGCAGATCGGCCACATCACGAACATCCACCACGCCAAATTCAATATTGGGACATCCTGGGATCGCACCGCTCAAGAGACGGCTCACCACCTGGATCGAAGTGGATATCTCGGTCCCCAGAATGGGACCCATGACACTGACGGGATTCACGACCGACAGTTCCAGATTGCCACCTTCCTGATCGATAAAGTCCCAGGCCGCCCGTTCGGCAATCGTCTTGCTCTTCTCGTAGGCTCCGACCCCAGGCCCGCTCAGGTCGGTCCAATCTTCCTCGGTGAAGGGCTTGGAAGGATCTCGGCCTCGATGGCCCTGGCCGATGGCGGCAAACGAAGAAGTGACCACGACGCGTTTCACGCTAGCGTCTCTGGCTGCCCGAAGCACGCGCAGAGTGCCGTCGCGGGCGGGAACAATCAGGTCGTTTTCATGCTTGGGTGCCTCGGCCGGGAAGGGAGACGCAACGTGAAGGACATACGTACATCCCTCCACGGCTTCCTTCCAGCCCTCGTCCTGAAGCAGATCAGCTTCTTTGAAGACCACCGTCTCGGGGTTGAGTGCGCCCGCGGATCGGAGTCCTTGCAGGACGGTCTCGGTCCGTTTCAGCGACCGCACGGTGGTCCTGACTTGGTAGCCTGCCTGCAAGCATTGGATGATACACCACATGGCAATGAAGCCGGATCCTCCTGTGATCAGGACGGTCTCGTTCTTTTCCGCCATGGCGAATTCACAAAATGACAATCGGGAAGCAAAAGGCCTCGATAGCTTCGAACGCTGCCCTCAAAAGAAAGAGATTGCGGGGATCTCTCTCGACGTGATCAAGCAGCCGTCGCGGAGAGAAGGACCTTAGCTCGAGGGTTGATGAAATTCTGGTGATAATGCTGGATTGATGCCAAGAAGAGTACCGTCTGTGTTGTCTCCGACGTACTGGCGTCTTTGTCTACAGGGTAAAGTCAGACTCCCGGCTGGAAAAAAACAGCCCCCATGCGTCTTCTTAAAGCTCCATTAAGCATCATCCCGTTTTAAGTTAGAGGGGGGGCAAAGTCAAGGCCCTATCGGTCCAGGCTAGTAGGCTAGTGATGGGCGGAACCTGAGGAGATCTTATCCGACGACCATTTCGCTGGCTTGAAACAATTCAACTCATTCCACCTGAGCTCGCATTCAATAATTTTCAGAAGGATTGCCACGGCCAAGGTCAGTCTACTCAGTATGAAACCCTTCGCGACTGTTGCATGTCAGATCATCGACATTGAAGGCAGAACACTCGAGATGACGCATCAAGCATCCGAGCGGCGAGGACCGTGAAAGAGTGACAGAGTGATATGCTGAGACTTGCATGTTCCCATGTTTGACGAGAGTGTCGATATTGGAGCACTCCGTGCCGATACCATATACGATACATTGGCGATTATCCCGCAGTGCCGCACACGTGGTGTAGTGAGGTGTACTGCATGAAGCGGGGGGGGGGAGTCGGCTCCTGAGCGTGGGACCTTTGCGAGCCACCTTCTATTCACACGCACCTCTGCCTCGACGGCCGAGGCGTCGATCGAATGTTGGTGCGCGTGCAGACGTTGACCAAGTTACTCACCTTCAAACACTCGCGCGAAGGGTTTCCCCTATTCGATTGCCAGGTGTTGAGCTTTGAGTCTAGCATAAGTCATACCTACCGGGTTTACTACTCCTTTTACCGTGGGTGTAGTTTATCCAGGATTAGGCCATATGGATATCTCCAGGTACTGTCGCAGTGTAGTCACTAGTCAGACTGTGGATACAGCAGATATAAAGCGCTCGGGGGCATTTGGCAAAAGTCACACAGTCAAAACCTGAACTAATCTGATCTAGACCAGCCTCCAAGTTGGCCTGGAATTCATGTCCTCGCAGCTTCATATCCACACGGTGAGCTCTACGAATGGACCAATTCATGGGTCACCGCTCTTCTGTTCGTGGACACGTCGAAAGGTTCTTGGGTTTGTAATCCCAGGATGCATGCGGGTGCCGGGTAGGCTGTTTCTCCTCCATCACCTCACCGACGAAGGCCGGCAACTGTCGTAGCTCAGTCAGTGGCTAGATATTCGACTTTCCTTGCGAGAAGATCGGTCGCTTTCAGATTCCGTTCCCATGCTCTCACAGGATCTGGGAAATTGGTATACGCTGGTCATTATGCTGCACAGACACGAAGTTACTACACACTTGTACAGTCTACGGACTTCTGCTCATTGCTCAGTATGTACATACATCACCTCAACAGCTTACCAGTGACCACTCCCCGACACCGGTCGGCTTTCGATAAACTTTTGCGCCGGAGCGCCAAATCTCAACGGTCGCCAACGGGCGGCATCGAATTGCGAGCTAGAATTCCATGTTGAGGAGAGAACTGTGTCCCCGCATCGACTTCTAGTGACAAACCAGTGGTCCATTCGTCGTCAACCTTGGAAGGTGCTGCATTTGTCCAGCTAGTAGGTAGTAGGTACATAGTAGCGAGTCTAGCGACACTAGCGAGGACTGGCAATTTGCCAGACAGGAAGGAGGTCCAGTCTGACTTTTCACTCTCTACTCTCTCCCATCTATATCTAGTACAAGCCGAGTGCAAAGCAGGACTTCGGCCCACCTAGGACAGGGCCAACTGGACGAGAGACACTTGGCACTCAGTCACAGACGGATGATGTCTCCAGATTTCATGGCCTCTTTTGCCCCAGACCCCTAACTCGCCCGTGTTGGGGCGACCCACCGAGTGGTGACGATGTGCACGTGGCAGTGGATTATGGATTGGAGTCGAGTACTCGTAAAATGGGAATTCTGCGCATGCGACTGTTAGTCAGACTGAGATTTCCACACAGCAGATGATGATATACCGAGTTACCTGGTAACCTGGTAACCTGGTAACCTACTGCAGCTGATGATCAATGCAAGATATCCGCGGTCAACAAATGTACCGTGTACATCACCGTCCGGTCATTTGGATGCTGGCCACAAAAGTCCTGCACACGTTTGATGGCCGAGCTCGGCTGTCGGCGAGTGACACGTAAGGTTTGAAGATCTTGTAGGGGGAAAAAAAGGATTTTCAAGCCCCCCCCCCTCCTTCAAAGCTACCTCTTCCCGTGAGAAGATACCGGTAGTTTGGGTCTAGAAGGTACTTGACCTAAGTTCAAGGATGCTGGATCTCCACACACCCTTCCTCATCTCGTATTAGCAGGGGAATAAAAAAAGAAAGACAGCTTCTCCTCATACCTCATCGCTTGTTTTTCCCACTCGGACCGCGTACTTCTTGAGTGACCACACCAGATCATGGTCATGGCCGTCCAACGCATAGACGTGGTTGGTATTGATCGCTCCCTTCTTCAATGGTGATCTGCAACTCGTCTGGAACGATATCTGTATCTGACAGTATACTTGTAGGATCTCAATATCCATTTAACGAGGGATATCACCGCTGCCGGGACTCGAGACTTTGACTCGTGAGTGTAATGGCGGTTGTCGCGCCTCGTTGACGACAAGGTCAAGACACTAAGCTGCGATGTCTCCCAAAGTGATACAACATCCATCGCGTCAAGGATTGCGCGAGGTCGCATTGAAAATGGGAGAAGGTAAGAGAAATTCATCTCACCAGTGTGGTCTCACCGGTTGGGGAGCTGAACGTCAGTTGGAATGTCTTCCAGGTATCAGGCCTTCAAGGAGAATGTCTACTGGTAAGCCGCCGGATCGGACCTGCGGTACGCGCTCTTCACGAAGTGGGCCGTCTTGGCTGAATCTCAATGAAGGAGTCCCTCGGACGAACAACAATTCGAAGCATTTGAACTCGGGTGCGTCCGATCTCGTCGGGCCTTGTTTAACCGGAAGGAAAATGAGAAATTAACGGAAACCGATCACTATAGCCATATGGTGTGCGTCGTACTCGACTATAACCAACCGAGCCGCTTGTTTGCAGCTCCGATCGAGAAAGACCCTCAGGTTTGGCACCCTCCGTCTCAAAGATAGGATCAGAGCCGTCCAGCTAATCAAGACCTCAAGCACATTCTCGACATTGGAACCGGGAGAGGCTGTTGGGCAATGTAATTCTTCCAACGCTCGGATCGTTGGTCGATGCTGACTTTGACAACAGAGACGTTGCAGATCAATTTCCAAATGGTAAGATACTCTGTTCATCCTATAGCTCGAATCTAGAGCGCGCGTGCAGGGGACTCTCTAAATCGCAAACGACTCGAACAGCTACAGTACGTGGTGTGGATCTCTTCCCACCCCCGATCAATTGGGTCCCTCCAAACTGTCTTTTCGAAGTCGACGACGTGCAGAAACCGTGGACGTGGAAAGAACCCTTCGACTTGATTCATATCCGCCAACTGCTGGGTTCCTTCACCCCAGATGAGTGGCGAGATCTGTACCAACAGTGCTTCGAGTCAGTCTCTGATCTTCCCTCCCGGCCCGGTTCTGTCGGACACTCGGGCTGACCACGAGGACTACCCTCGATTGAATTAGAAATCTGGTCCCTGGGGGCTGGATTGAACAGATGGAATTTGACGTCCGAGTACGCAGCGACGATGCATCTCTCCCACCAAACAGCGTGCTGGCCGGCTGGGGCGAGACCTTCATCTCCTGTGCCGCCAGAGCCGGTCGACCCCTGACGACCCAGGAGACCATGAGAGCGTCCATCGAATCAGTAGGATTTGTCGATGTGCATGAGCGCCTGTATAAAGTTCCACTGGGTCCCTGGCCAAAGGATCAGCTCCTCAAAGAAGTTGGACTCCTCAATTTGGAGCATTGGAAAGCCGGACTGGAAGGAAATGCCATGTGGCTACTGACAAAGTTTGGTGCTCCTCATCCCTGGACCAAGGATGAAGTCGAGCTGTATTTGATGGAAGCGCGCAAGGATTTGAAGAACTCCCATATTCATGGGTATGGGTATGCGTAAGTTTTCTTTTCATTCTGATTCGTTTGTCTGTGCTACTTCTCGTTTCTGAGCGGGAGGAAGCTCTTCCTCTTCCTTTCTAATGCTATGGGCTATCTGCTCTAGACGGCGTGTGTGGGCAAGAAAACCGAGAGACGATCATATGGTCCAGACGAATATCAAGCTCGAGCCGTCACCGTGAACCATCGTTTTCAAAGACACAGACGGCAGTTGGGCCAGAAAGCAGGAACAGTGCACGCCGTGGTGTCCGGTCCACCCATTGTGTCTTCCGCCCATGTTGACTGGTCATGGGGATGGATGACATCGCAGTAACTCGACCCGTGGTCAAGCCCTCGGTCGACGTGATGAGACCCATGCGTTGATAAAGCTTGTGTGCGATACGGACATTCATACCACTGATAAATGACGGTGACTAGGGGTGAGCTCGTCTTTCCGATGCCAGAAGGTATTGTCGAGTCGCCGGGACAAAGTCGTTCAGTCGGGACAAAGTCGACGCGCCAGCGTTTGCAGGTTGCGCCAACGGCTTGGATCGGCACACGTCATCCTTGAATAGTTGATATGGCCCAAGGGTTTGAACCGCAGTCACCCAGCTTGCGGAACAACGGTGCGCGCCAGCTTTTTCAGATGCCTTCAAGGAACACCGAGAGGATCAATCCTAACTCGGAACTTGGACACTGAAAACACACAGGATCTCGTGCAATCGAACGCCAGATGCTCGGCAACAAGCCATGTATCCATACGTGTGACGAAGATGACCAGGCTCGGCAGTTACCAAAAACCACGTTGAACTCCGGGTGGAGTATGCATTGGATGTGCATGGACTATGTTGATCTCCTGCATCCATCCTATGCAGCCATTGTTATACTTGAGACGCATCACATGATGGAAAATATCACCAAGTCGACTGGACTGCATCATGACCTATGATCCATGCAGTGTGCATCTTTCCAAGGGTACGGAGCAATCTCTCAGCAAGGCTCTTCGAGAGCCGTATCCATTGTTCTTTCAACCTCATGCCACACTTGTCTCAAAATGACAAGAAGTACCCGGTCCACATAGAAGAACCCAAGTAAGATCGTACGGCACTCTTGCCAAGTATGGACGTTGTACAGTTTCGCAGCTTTGGCTAGCTCTTCCACAAAGTACGCTCTCTCCTGAGGCATGACTTGACTGCTTGCTGCGCCGATAAAGAGCAGCCAGATCAATAAATCGCGACATAGTGCGAAGAGACCAGTGGGAATCGTTGCTTCTAGCGCAGCGCGCAGCGCAAGAATAGGTTTGGGCATGAGAGGTGCCAGTAGAGGATAGAAGCCCCACATGTACATGGTATGGAAGCAGAGGCAGGCGAGGCGCGTGCAGCCTTCGATGGAGTTATCTCCCTTGATTTGACCGGTGGCTGTATATCGATCGGCATGAAGGGAGTACTCAATGGAGAGTACCTCGACATTGAAGTAATTCTCTGTCTCTTCGTCGAATTCTTTGGTTGTGCCGCCACCCTTGACCCATTCGGCGTACCAGCAAAGCTCGAGGAAATGGTAAATTGTTTTGGAGAACGTCTCACTGAAGACGCCCGTGATGTTCAAGAGGGGCAGAAGTCGCGTCGCGCACTGAGCAATATCGTCATTGGGGGGGACAAGGGTCAAATTCTGTGGACGAGCGCAATGGACAAAGGGGAAGATGGGTTTCGTCATGGCCATACAGGCGACTCGAACATCCGTCCTACATAAATAAAAAAGATTTAGCGTGTGCCGGCAAAGCCTACAACAAGATACCAGTCCCATACCAATTAATCTGGAACCGAACATCAGCTGGTACTTCTGCAAAATCTTTTCGCATTCCAACCATTTGACGTAGGCCAGCCAGGTGGATTTTCAAATAATCAACATTTCCCGAGGCAATCTTTTTTTTTAAAGAAAAAAAGAAAAAAAAAAGCTTTCTGTCAGTAATCGTTGTTCTCATTTGCCTCCCATGACTTCACCCGCACAAACTTACCTCAATTGTCAACAACATGGAGACCGACGCGATCAATTCATCACTGGCACACTTGACCGGGTCTGACAAGCCTTCATTCACGAGGCGAATTGTCTCGCCCCTGTGATGAAAGGTGTCAACGACTAAGGCACTGCGCTGCTGTTCCGGATCTCGCAGGGGAAGTTCGCCTCGTTGCATAGCCGCGTTGGAAGTAGCCATGCAAATGGCAGCATGGAGGATAGACGGGTCACGCTGCAAGAGAGCGGCCCAATGAGCCTGAAGTTTGGGTTTATATCGCGTCTGTAAAGGATGCGCTTCCTGGGTGAGGTCCCACAAGACTGATATTACACGTCAGTTCAAGGATTTCCCTTCTGGGCCCAAGCGGAGAGTGTGATGCGTAACTAACAAATGTGCAAGTGCCGCATCATTCGATCGGTCAGTTGCGTGTGACCCGTATTGAATGGATCATTCGCACCGGATCCGACATAGGACCACGGTGAGTCACGTAACAAAGTTGAAGAATGTTGGATCACTTCATCGCCTTGCGTTCCCTCATCCCAGGAGACATCGGCTCCGTTCGGCAAATCTTGGTTCTCTAGCACAGTAGTGGGAGAGGGACGATGACCTTGACTTGTTGTGGTCGGACTGACACCATGTGTCACTGGTGAAGAACCGCTCACTTGAGACTCCCATTGAGTGCTGGTTGACGAACTCGAGGGCGTCAAACTCGCATTGCGACTTACGACAGCCCCATCCGAAACCGTCTCCGGAGGTTGAAAGGCCAGGTGCTTCCAGGTCTTGCCTTTGTACTTTTTGGTGCTCTCTAAGCGTTTCTTGCGGTTATGTTCTGACATCACATGCGACCGAATGCGCTTCAGTGTCTCCTCTTTCGTCCCCGTCGCAGCCGAGTCGGCATCCGTGTTGACCCAGAAGAGAGTGGCCTTGCCCACCGAGGCATTGGCTGCCTTGCGGGGCTTGCGGACTTTGGAGGGGACATTGCGCTCCACGATCGTTATATCTTCGGAGGCGGGCTGCACGGGCTGTTGCACTGTCGCAGGGGATGACGATACAGGCGCATCCGTCTGGGATACTATGAGATCCGTGGGTGGAGGATGCGCGATTGTTGAATTCGAAGCGTAGGCGCCCGTGGGCAGATTCGCATCAGCCCCAGACCAAGTCGGCGCGGGGCCTGCTTGGGACCGTGAATGCACGGGGAGCGTCTGTTCGTTCTCTCTCGAAAAGAATCTTTCGGCGGCCATGATCCGGGGGTCACTGAGCACGACCACCAAAGTCAATTTTCTTCTTTTTTTTACCCAAGTCAATGAAGCGTGCCTGGATGAGGCACAAACAACCCTTTGGTGACTCGGCGGAGCTGCCGAAGGTGACAAACGTAGCGCTTGTGGGTGGTTCGCACTTGCGCACGAGGATCTCGTGAGCAGGAGCGAATAGACTATTGTGGTAGATTGTTGGAAATGAGGGAGAAGAGTCAATCGCCCAGCACGGATTGGACAGTCTGAATCATCCGCGAGGAGAATTCTGCAGACGAGTGCGCTTAAAGATGAAGACTCGTTTTCATCTCAGCAGCCGGTCTCATCGCGGGCAGCTGGGCAAATCATGAATTTCCCACTAGAGCGACTAGTGTACAAGCCGGGGAAGTCGGAGCTGGACCGGCCTCCCAGCGAAGTGGACTTTTTTCTTTTTCTTTTCTTTTTCTTTTCTTTTCTTTTCTTTTCTTTTTGAATTCTTCTTCGATCTGTGGTTCGTCAAGGTGCGTACTATTGGTATTCGCGCCGTCGTTGCTGCTGCTGACGATGACTTGAGCCGTGAGGTGTCGATGGCCTGCCTCTTCTTTGCAGTCTCAGGGTGAAGCCCAAGGTCAGATCGCTCGGGGGGAGATGAGACAATCAAGCGGGCGGCTGACAGGTTCACGAAGACGGTTGAGAACTTGGGGGACTGGAGGCCGTACTAGTACTGTTGGTTCGGTGCCAGCCAGACTAACCCAAAGAGCCATGGATGGATCTTGGGTATCTGCATTGGTGTCAACTTGTCCAGTCTTCACCCAAGTCCTGGTCAGATGCGATCCACCTTGGGAGCCATGGGCTCAGCAGAGAGAAGCACACAAGGTTTGTCTCAAGTGGAACATGGAATCTCCCGAGAAAGTCTCTGTCTCTTTTACACCCGCTGGCTGGACCGTCTCGGAAACTCTATCGGTCGTTTAATGAGCTTGAGGAAGCGGGACTTGATGCTCAACTTGGAGCACTCTCCGAGTTGCTCGTTAAGTCACGACGGGGCTGCTCATGTGCTGTCACGAGAGGCCGAGCTTCCCTCGCGTAGGACATTTCGGAACTTGTCCATTTCTTGCTAGAGTTGCCGAGGGAGAAGATGATGATCTCTGAGCGGGCCCGAGTGATAGTCAGACTTGAAGGTACTGAGTTACTCACTACAGTAAGGGTGTAAGTTAATGTGTACATGGCTTTCTCCTTCCATAAAATCTCACGTTTGGGCACAAGTAGGGGCATGTCCACCGGAAGTTGAGAGGTGCCAGTACTGTTGTCGATGGACTAGCTAACTGACTAAGCTAGTAGCTGCACGAATGTACACACGAGTGACACGACTGTTCCTAGTAAATGCCGGTTTGGACAATTGTGTCGCACGAGGCAATTCAAATTCAGACTCGACAATTGACACATGCAGGACCCGCATGGCACTCGTTCGACAACTCGCCCCTCATCCTTTGGTGATCATCCTCCAGCGGACGAGGTTCTGGCCAAGTCAGGATCCGCTCGGAGCTTTGGAATAAGATGAATTGCGCGCCTCACGACTCAATCAGTGCCAAGTGGAAGCATAGATGGAGACGTGGAGCCTCATTTTCCCCGACGAGGCTCCACAGTGCACAGTGCACAACTGCTCAGTGCGCACTGCTCACTGCTCGTGACTCAAGAAGGACCCGTCAGACAACGGTGAAAGGGCGGAAAAGACAACGTCCGGGTACTTTGGCTTTTCCACCTCTCGGAGATGATCGAGTTCCGACCGGGATCTCGGGTCCAGAGGTTCCGGTCTCTCGTGCGGCGGAGTCTTCGAGCAAAAGCCTGGTACTGAGGGACCTTGGCCCAGGAGAGCTGTCTGCGCGCCCCGTGTTGGACATCCGACCTGTTAGGTCCAAGATAGAAAAAATATATATATAAAAAAAGGACTATGATGGTACGTACATGTAGGCAGGTGTAACTAGTGAGGGTCGACCACTTTCACATTGCCTGCACCGGGAGACAAAAACTTGATGAGCCATTGGGTACAAAGAATCGAATGTGGAAAAGCCTCATATTACTAGATGGTATTTACGGTACTCGGGGATATGTGGCCGGGGGCGCGTCAAAGAGTATCCAGGCAAGCGCAGCCAAAATCCGTGGATTGCGGGGCAATCGGCCAGCCGCGCGTGGTCAATGCAGGGCTAAACGCTCACAAACAGATAGAGGAAGGGGAGGAGATCTTTACATGGGACACGGACGGGAAGGAGATCGAGGAAAAGAGAGACCGAGCGAATGCGCGCGTGTGTCTGTGAAGGATTGCACAAGCAGAGGACGGTAATCAATGTTATCAGAAGACAAGAAGGAACGACAGTTGAGAGCGTGAAAGAGTACAATGATCACAACGCTGCTTGCCCCCTTTTTCGACTCCCTTACGCCATACCTGGGCGAGGGAAGACAGGCACCGTCTCCAACTGTTCATACCCGCCCATGGTGCCATTTGGTGCCGTATGCCACCCTTGGCCAGTCTGTTGGTTGATGAATTGACTCTGACGGAACGGATTGGTGCTGCCCGTCGGATGGGGCTGCAAGGGGGCTGCAGCTGGAGGCTGAAGACCCGCATTGGGAGCGGGAGGCGCGGTCGAATTCCGAGCAAAAGGGTTCGTGCCTGTGCGCTGGGGCTGAAGCGCCGGCGCCGTCGGTGGCATCTGAGGCGTGGGTGCGTTCTGCCCGGGAGGACCCTGGTGGCCGTTGGGCTGTGCCATAGAGAGACGTCGGGCGAAGGGATTGGTGTTCTGCCGTTGAATGGGAGCAGCAGGCTGTGCGCTAGCGGGCGCGAGATTGTTCAGCATGGACTGGCGGAAAGGATTCGTGCCAGTGTGTTGCGGTTGCAACGCCTGCGGCTGCGACCCTTGCGAACCCGGCGACATGGGTTGCATGTGCTGGGGAAATGTGGGCACCGCGTCTTGGGGAATCGGCACAAGCTGCGATTGAAACCCATAGGATTGTGGCTGCGGTGTATATCCCCCGAAACCGGCTCCAGTGGCCATCGCCTGGAGCGGCAGAGGCACACCCTGCGCCTGTCCGAATGGATTACCAGTCCCCTGCTGCGGCACGCCAGGTCCGAATGGATTTGGCTGATCGTATCCCATGGGTTGTGGTTGCTGGGTGAACCCTGTTTGTTGTTGGTAGACGGCTTGAGAAAATGGTGCCTGTTGAAACCCGCTTTGCTGATACGGCATCGCTGTCGTCTGGGCCATGGGTTGCTGATTCTGCTCAATCGAGTCAAAGAAGTCAATCAAGTCGGCGGGTGCCGTCTTCTGCGTTTCAGGTTGTGGGTTTGGGTGAGTCTTGGCCGGGAGCGACGAGTCGGCAAGAGCGGAACCACCACCTGAAGCCGTCGCATTCCCATCCTTCTTGATTCCCTTGCCTGCCAAGTACTCCCGCCTGCGAAGGTCAAAGTCCGGGTCATTCAAATCGTCCTCGAGCAGGCGCGTCAGATCGGTAGACGCATGCTTGAGCTTGGGAATCTCTAATCGGGTGGCGGACTGGAAGTGTCGGGCGACTCCCAGGAACTGAACGACTTCCTCCGTCTGCTTCGTAAATGTCTTGTAAATGGCCAGGGCCCGTTCACTATCCGGTCTGGACATTTCGAAGTAGTGTTCTGTCTCACATTTAGATCACATGAATATAATGGGGTCTCGGTACAGGTGCTCCACGTACCCAGGACATTAATCGTTCCTTCGTTCATAACAGAGTAAAGCGTCAGGAGATCAAGTGTAAGGAGACGGAATGCGGTCAGACTGATCTCGTTCTCGGGCTCGTCCGTTAACAGCTGTAGCGCCGATTAGCAACTGCGCCATAATCCAAGGCAAGCAGTAATACTGACATCGCATCGCAGCAAGGCACGTATCTGCCGCTGAACGACCTCTGTTTCTCTGAGCAGACCCTTGTCCACACTAAGTCTTTTCAGGCGCCCAGGGCCGCTTCGCACATAATCTGTTGTTGTCGTGGCGAATGCTTTGGCTCGTGCCATCAAATATTCGGCATATCGTCGGATGTTACGTCCCTGAGACTGAGCTGTTTGGAAAGTCAGCTGAATTGGTGTGAACAGGCTACCTGGTGGTATCGCGACACTGTACCTTCGGAAAAATTGCTTGGTGCAATCTTCTGCGGATTCTCGGACAGATATGCCAACGCCGCATCCTGCTGACCCTCCCGGATCATCAGATGGACAATGATCAATGCTTTGAAGACAATTGTCCATGCCGAGTCATGAAGCCTGTGTTGAAGAAAACGAAAGATCTCTGCGACGCCGGCTTCTCCGGTGTGCGTGGCAACCAGGATGGTTTCGACATATTTGGACTTAGGGGCCGCAAGCTATCGGGCGATATTCGTCATAATCAATGGAATTCTTCGGAAATATGTCAACTTGCTTTGCACGCTTGCTTACCTTGAGCTTAGTTGCCCCTTTTACGGATTTCTCAAAGCCAGTCATTGTTGTGCAGTTATCGCGATATGACCCGAACCTGTCGGGGTCAGATGGAGTTGACCGATTTCAAAGGTCGATCGGAGAGCGCCGTAGGAATGAGATGCAACGACTGAGATGCAACGACTGGCGGTTCCTTGAAGTCCACCGCGGAGATATTTGTGAGTGAGAGAGGTCCCTTGTGAAAGTTCACTCACTCATCGCGGGTGCAGATCGGATACGGAGATGTAGCTCATGCGGTTATAACGATAATTTTGTGGACGCAATTCGGCGAGTGTCGGGGGGAAAGCAGGAGGTGAAGTTGATTCCACGGCCTCAACGCAGTCCGCTCGTCTGAGGTGACGGCTTCGGGCCTAGGTATAAAGATTCGAAGGTAAGGATATAATGACTGCGGTCATCTCAAGGAGAACGTCCACTTGGCGGAGCTTTGGCGTCGGGCTCCCAATCACCCAATCGGGTATAGCGCCCCTCATCCGCACGAGGATTGGCCATCCGCTGCATAACCACGCTCGGATAAGTACTCGACTGGACTGATGTCACTGATTGTGCCAGGTCACTACATGTTCCAGTTGCATTAACCAACGGGGATCAAAGATTGCGAGTCGAATACAGCACTGTATATTACTTCAAGATTGCCCCTATACAATGATCTATCATTGATGCGTGCGCCTAATCAAGAGATATTTTCACCTATCAGGTAACATCCATAAAGGTAACATAGGATCCAAATACCTGCGAGGTGCTGCCGATTTGGTACCCGACATAAGCCCGCTCCCGACGGTTCAGGTAGAAATATATATCCACTCTCATCAGGGGCAATCATCAAACATCATTAACTACGTACCTACAGGTATTCTCGTCCATGTCATTTCACAACCGTCTCCAACCTTACAAGGCGCATAGATGTCGCTTCAAATTTCCCCACTGTGAGGGTTGGTAGCTCTAGTCTCTCAGGAACGGATCTCTGCCCGTGTAAACGTGGGTTCATATAGAATTGATGATGTCCGGTCTGGTGTGTCTGTAGTCTGTACTCTGTAGTATATACCAAGAATTCCACCTCAAAATTGCCCGAGAGCTGGATACTCAGTAAAGCTGCTCGTCTGATTAAGAAATGAATGTCCTACTTAGGTATCCCAATTGACTATGGACTTGACAGACAACACCTCAGCCCAGCGGGCGGTCGTTCAATAATCGGACTGAATGGGTGTGATTATGGTCTTCCCAATCCACTAACTGCCTACCATGGTCTAGTTGTAAAATGGATTAGAAGTATGCTCAGAGAGGAGACAGGCATAGAGACTAAGCAATGAACATAGATGCCATGCATGGGGTTCCACCGAGAGGCATGAATCTCGCCAACGGAGCTTAGCTGCAAACCACACAAGTCGAGTATTACCCCGTCCCAGCGTGGGTTGTCACATTGATGATCTGCACAAGTTCTGTCAGAATAGATGTCCGAATGTCGACTCAAGTCGCACCTTATCCATATGGGCCGGTGCTCAGCTGTTTCGGTTACCTAGTACCTAATAGCATACCTCATTTACGTACAGTGGCACTGTTCAACGGACTCGTGGAGTCGCTCGAGGTCAAGGGGTGTTTGGTCCGCGGTTTTCTTAGTATGAGTGTAATGAGAGAGATTGAGGCATCAAACTAATTGGAGGGACGAAACCTCAACCTGTTACGTAGGTCAGTGTGGATATGTTCGATGTGAGAGAGCAACAACTGTCATTCTGCGTGGCAAAGTTTAGTGATGTTCAAGTTTAAGCTCCTTTTAAGGCCTGACTGGATACTGGCCGTCTTCAATCGCGTAAAGGTGTATTTGCACCTTGGGGCCCATAACCATGATCTTCTCCCGCGCCTGGTGGTCTGCATGCCCGGCTCGAGAATTTGCTTCCTACGTTATTTGCGGAGTACAATTCCAGTCGTTTGGGAGCATGGGCTGAACACAAGATATTGGTCCATCAGTGTCATAACCTGCCATGCACTCAATTCCAATTAATATCGAGTGCAGTGCATGCTCGAGCATAATAGTCTACGAAGACATACAGGATTGAAAAACAACGGAGGCAAAGCCGGAAATAAACGTGACTTTCTTCGAATTAATAACGGCCAAATGGGGAATATGTTTTTTCAAAAGGTGTTACAGCAAAGCCCTGCCATCGAAAGACTGAGGTGCACCACTCAATGGGGTAAGCGTACGGCTTCCATGACCGGGAAATGGATGAAATATTTTTGCTTTTCGTGTGGATACACATTCTTCAGCAAGGTATCTGGGATGTGGAAACTCATAAACTATCCCGACCCTATTCAAGAAATTCCCTCTATATCCAGTTCAAACCGCTTCCTTCGCCGTTTTACCCATCCAGGGCACCCAGATCAATAGAACGCTTAGAACTTGTTGAAAGACTTGACAGCCTTGCCGGTGCGGGGCAGAACGCGGAGAACGTTGAAGCGGACCTGTAGATAACAAAAAAATTAGCTTGTTTTCAAAAATTGCAATGGACAGCTTGGTCAGGACAGCAGAGTTACTGCCGACAAGTCTGCTTGATCCAGTCTAATCAAGGTTGACTGGATAATGCGAGTGCTGGGTGAAATCCGTCTTAAAACGTACAGTCTTGGACAAGGGACGGCACTGGCCGACAGTGACCCAGTCACCCTCCTCGACACGGAAAGCGGGAGAGACGTGAGCAGCCAGGTTCTTGTGACGCTTCTCGTAACGGTTGTACTTGGGGACGTAGTGGAGGTATTCACGACGGATGACAATGGTGCGGTGCATCTTGGTGGACACAACACGGCCGGTCAGGATACGGCCACGGATGGAGACGAGACCGGTGAAGGGGCACTTCTTGTCTGTACAGAGAAGATCGTTAGCGACGGGACGGGTGGATGAAGTGGCGCAGGCCGAGAAATTTCGATGTCCATATGGGTAATCCCAGAAGGTGGAAAATCGCGAAATCGGGACGCAAGTCAATCAGCGAAACAGACGATGTTCTTTCATAACATTTTTGCGAACGATCGGTACCATTCCCATCGCATGCCGCCGAAATCTGTTGCTCCGCCGAGTGCTTGCTGCTCCCGACTTCCAACCTCCACAAGAAACCATCCACTGGATCAAAACCCTCGCAATTTGCCGATGTCTGATTGTCGCAAGTTGTGCATACCGATGTAGGTGCCCTCAATGGCGGTCTTGGGAGTACGGAAACCCAGACCAACCTCCTTGTACCAGCGGCGGGTCTGACCAGCCTTCTTAGACTTGGCCTGAGTCTTCGAGTTCTGGAAGATGTGAGGCTGCTTCTGGTAAGCGCGCTCGGACTGGACGGTCAACTCGGTCGCCATGGTTGCGGTATGTGTCGACGAGGAAGCGTTGTCGATCTGGATTGAAGGTTGGCGTGACGGATATCGGGATAGGACTTCGAGAATGAGAAAGATTCGCTAAAGGCGGCGGCGGATTCTTGTGTGTGTGAGCGCTAGTCTACTTTGGGATTAGCGCAGGTGCGGGTTAGGGCTTGCTGTTTGCCTACGGTCCCGTCCGTTGAATATCACGTGATACTTGAACGCGCCGCGGGTTTGCGGGGACGCGTAGCTATTGTGTATGCAATGCGATCGGGCTAGATTGCGCGCATCCTGGCACAGAACCTGAGTCCGCTCAGCGAGCGTAGTATGGCTCACTAATTCCCACTGAATAATTGCATTCATGTGGCAAAGATGGCCACAAGACAGGATACCGCCGCTATGAGACCACGCACGCGCCGCTCTCTTGCTCATGTTCCGCGGTCTAGAATGACGTCTAATCTGGACAAGGAAAATGCGACAAACGATATCGCGACAACATCTGAGACGACCACAAGATCTAGCGCAAAAAAAAAAAGTCTCGCAGCAAGAGTCTCGGACCAGGGGGTCTCGACGCTCTTCAACATTCTAATGGTAACCGTCGAAAGGTAAATTCCTGCCATCGTGTCTTGATGCTTGAGGTCAGTTCCGCTGACTAGTCGTCTTGCAGTCCACTGCCTCATTTCCCCTCCGGTCAATCTTGAAGCCCACCATACCTGTTTCGCCCGTGCGGAATATCCCATCTTTTGAAGAAACCCGTCGTCGGACTCCTCGGGATGCGTCAAACAATGCCACTAAAGGAGATGATAACGAGGAAGGACGAGACAACCCTCTTATCGACTTCTCGACACCAGCGCAGCCCGCAGACTCAATGCGTGAACAATTAAATACCCCCTTTGACACATTCAACGCTACATCACTCATCCGTGACGAATTGGCGGCAACAAAAGAGCGTGACGAGAAAGAGCGCCAAGAACGTGAACGCCAAACCATTCTGGAAAAGCGCGAAGCCCGACGAAAATCTATGGGTACGTGATCTGACTACATTCCGCAATTGACAGAGCCTAAACCAATTTCCTACAGCCAACCGTCGTGTGTCCTTCGCTCCTGAAGCAACTCTTCACACCTGGAATGTCGTCGAGATCCCTGAAGACGCAACTTCATCGTCGACGTCAAACTCTACTCGGCGAAATTCCACAGCCGCGAAACAAATTGATCAGACAAACTCCGCACCACAGAGCGCAGAACAAAATTCCTCCCCAGCTTATGCCGAATCAGACTTGGGGTTTTCCCCAGTGCGAGAGCAAGAGCTTCAGCAAATGAGGGACAATTCCTTGTCGAACGAGGAAGAAGACGTAGCTCCAGCTCTCTCTTCCAGCCCTTTTAGCGGAAGTTCTGCTGTGAGTGACGATGCTAGCACCCACAGCGACGTCGACGATGACGAGGACGGTGACTCTGCTGAGTCCGAAGACGGATTCGAGGCCGAAAGCACTGCCATGAGCATGGATGACATGACGGTTCGCTCTTCCGCGTCCGCGCAGTCAAATGCCTCATCGAGCTCTTCATCGAGCGCTAGACTCAACGAGGCATTGCGTCGCGCCGCTAGGGAAGCCGGGACCAAAGAAGTCGAGGAAACCGGCGAGGTTTCGATGGAAATTGTCGACCAAGAAATCACCGGCGCGTTCCAACCGTGGATTAAGAAAGGTCAGAGGCAGAGCTTTGACTGGGATGACCTGAGTGCTCGACACGATGAAGACATCCCCGACTCCAATAAGCCAGCCACTGAAATCGACACTGCGCCTTCGGATGATACGATGGACGACGACTTGAATGAGGAATTGAGTATGGACGTGACGAACGTGGTCGGTGGTATATTGGGGAGACCTTCCGCTCGCCGTCCGAGCGCTGTCAGTCGCAAGTCCTTCGGACAGGAAACAAATTACGGCGACGAGACCATGGAAATGACCACGATGGTGGGTGGCATTGCCAATGACCAGTCACACGCGCAGCAATCCTTTGTCGACGATGAGAACGAAGAGATGACAATGGAATTCACATCAGTCGTAGGCGGTGTTCTTAGCAAAGATCAATTACCTCACGCGCAAGAAACAGATTTACTACCTGACTCGAAACTCACGACGGTGGACCGCAATTCGCAGTCCGATGAGGACTCGGAAATTGAAATGGACATGACCAACGCTGTTGGAGGCATCTTGCCATCTGGATTGGAAACCCCTGACAAGGCCAAAGCAAAGAGAATCATGGAACTCGAGGCCGAGTCAGGCCAGTTGGGAAGTTCACCGTTTGAACCCAGTTCACAGCAAACTCCAGCACCGCTAGCTGCAGACTCATCTCCCGTACTGCAAGTTGCAACTATAGCTTCGGAGAGTGGCAGTCCTAGCCTTGCTAGCGTCAGAGCTCGACGTTCATCTAGGCGAAGTTCCCTAATGGGAGCATCGAAAACGCCAGAACCAAACCCCCATCAGCCGTCACAACTCGAGAGACCAGCTACGCCCCCGCAAGCACCAACCCCCCCAGCTCGGCCGACTACGCCTAGCAAAACTCCTCCATCCGCCAATATCGCATATCGAAGCGCTTCCCCTAGAAAGCTTTTCAAGCCCGAACTCAAACACTCTTTCGCTAGTAAACAATCACCGCGGCCCAGTATCTTCGAGCAAGATGTTTCTACGGGCCACTCAACACCGCGTATCGTTCTTCAACCGCGAGAGGGACGTCGGTCTTCTGGTGTTGGTATTGACAAAGAGGGTCTCGGATCACCTCGAGTCGCGGCAATTCTCGACAATCGATTATCACTAGGTGAAAACACGCCGCAATTCATTCCACAAGAACGGACTCGTACTGGTGGAGTGCGATTTGAGGATCCTCTTAAAATCCAAGAAGAGGAGGAACGTGAGCGGAGACAGGAGCAGGATGGAAATGCCCTCTTGAGAGACAACATGACCAATGACCCGACATCAAATTTGAAAGAACTTATCTCTCGAATGACTCCGAAGAAGGGCGTCAAGGTTGGCCCGCGCAAAAGTCTACATGTTGGAGCCGCTCGTGGCCTGCTAGGTAAGCGTCCGGCTGAGCTGGACTTCGACGAAGACGAGTCCGACAACTCACCTAAGCGACTACGCGGGCACTCCGTGAGTCCAGTCAAGGGCATACGACTGCCAGCTCCAAGCCACCAGGGCCCAATTGACCGGGTCGCTCAATCTCCAGTTCGAAGAGCCCGAAGCTCTTCCCCGCTCAAAGGCAGCACAACCCCGATGCACGAGCCAACTGTTGACAATGATGACGGAACGACCCCCTTGAAAAAGGGAATTGACGCTATGCATCTTGCTTCTGATCCTCCAGCGCCGGAGCAAGACCAATCAAGAGAAGATGATGATGCTGAGGATCAAGACGAGGCCGAAAACCCAGAGCCCATCCAACTCCAAGACTTCCTCAACATGACCAACATTCACTTCATGGAGCTGACAACAACCAAACGACGACACACCACCGCGCCGGGCAGTGCCTCGAAGAGGTTGAGTAGAGCTTCCTTAGAAAGTAAGGCAAAGCAAGGCACCATCACGTTTGATGATCGCGTTGCCGCTGGGTTCTGCACGGTTCCCATGCTTGAGTTATATCAACACGTGAGTCTTTTATCGATCGAAAGTATTTCCTTGGAAGAAATGTGGCTGACTTGTCTATGCATAGTCGTGTCGTGAACTGAAGTCCTATATATCAGAGGGTCGTCAAGTGATTCGATCAATCGAATCCGAGACCTTTGCCGACAACCCACCTCTCTTCCGCGAGTATATAAATGCTCCACCTGACATTCGCGTAATCATGGACAATCAGTTCCGCAATGTGAAGACGCATGCTCGTCTCTTAAGCAAAGCTACGTGGTATGAATGGCGCATGAAGCTTCTTGAAGGACTGAAGGAAGGGCTTCACCGGCATGTGAAGGACATGAAAGCAGACGACGAGCTCCTGTCCAAGCGCGAAGCACTACTCGACAGCAGCGTCCCACCATTAGTGGAAAAGCATGCATCTCTCCAGGAAGAGGCACAGAACCTGCAGCAACGGATCGAGGAAATGGAAAGCTGTGATCAGAATGAGCTCCAAGACGCACGTGAGACTCTTTCGTCCGTCGAGGAAGAAATTGCTGCGAAGAAGAAAGAACTTGAAGATCTTCAGGCTGAAGTGCAGGAAAAATCTCAGATCATTGAAGTTGGGATTGAGACCCGAAATGAGTATCTTGCGCAGATCCAAGAAGCGGAGCGTGTGAAGGAAGAGTGCCGTGGCTGGAGTGCGCGCGACATACGCGAATTGAGGGCCTCGGTGCAGAAGCTCGAACAGCAGACTGGATGGTCGATCCCACCCGCCGCGGCTTCTGCAAAGTCCTCCCCAGAGCCCCGTTTGAGTATGGTCTACCAGAGGCAATTGAACGTAACGTTCTGCCCTCGGGCATTGACCGTGACTTCGGGTGCGACGTCTCCTCTGGAGCTGAACTTTATCCCGGCCAAGACGACCTCTCCAGTTGCGACGTTGGTTCTACAGTCCTTACGGCGACACCTCGGCGCCACCGAGCTCTCCACTATCACACCCAAACAGCTTCTGAAGTTCGTATCCAGTGCCTGGGATAGGGCCGTCAGTCTCGAGCAGGAAGCTCGTATGCTTGAATTTTGCGGCCTGACTCGCCTCACATTATCCGAACCAACTGAATCTTCTCCCTTCCTACGTGCTCGCTGCACTCTTCTCGACCAAGAAGCAAAGCCCTCCGCGCCACGCCGCAAGAGTGGCGCGGGCCGGGAGGTTACTCCAAAGCGTGTCGACGTGGACTTCACTATTCGCACTCGAATCGATACTCAGACCAAAGAAACGGGCTCAATCGGAACCCTCGAACTCGATATCAATGTCGTCGCCACGAAAGTCTACGGCTTCGGCGCTGCCAATGAGTCCGGTCTGTCCGGGAAGGAGATGCAGAGCATTCTCAACAAGGGTATTTCCGGGGAAAGCGAGAAGTCCCTGGGCAATGGGATGTGGTTCAAGGCTGTGCAGAGCCTTACAGATTCCGTCTTTTAACGAAATTCTTATGATCTTGCGTTGTTGGGATTCTTGTGTTGGGTTTTTGTTCTCAGCTTTCGGCGGATTAGGATGGTTCACTGGGCAGGTGGCTTGGACTTGGAGTTTATATTGAATTTCTTCACGGGAAGGAGTATGGATCATCTGACATTTGTCAGTCTAAGCGATTTATCTCTCCAATCAATGAGCGTTGTCCGAGAATAACTTTTTTCCTCCACAATTGTCTGGGTGTTCACGTTTTCATTTATTACAGAAGTGTGAATTTGAGGACATTTGTAGATTGAAAATGCTCACGTCTTTCATTGTACCTAACAGACGATCGGGTCTTCACTTATGAAGGATACCTTGGGGATGCAGCTAGGGGGCGGGGGTATGGAAGAGGACGAACGAACCCAAACTTAGCGAGACCACAAATTCTCCTCGTAGCTACGATATTTGTACAATATGTAGAACGGATCGAGCGCATGATTCAATATGTAAAATTCCCTATTAGAGCCCTTGGTCGTGCGCAGACCTGGAAGGCATGTACACATTGTCGTAAGCCATCTGCGAATCGGGATATCCCACCGTAGGCTCCGTTGATCCAGCTACAGCCTCCCGCGGCATATCTAAAAACGATTCGGCCAAAAGAATAGGGATATCAACATGATTAGTTTGCGAAGAGGCAGCGAGACTCTCGTTGGGGAAGAGTCCCGACCAGAATTGATCGCCGAATTGCCAGTCGGCTGTAAGCGGCACTTCCCAGGATGCCGGGAAAGTGGCTGTTCCCGGTGTGCCACTATTGGAGGAGAATGGAGACTGACTGTTGTCGAATGTGGGCGAGTTGGTCGTATTGTAGGATAGAGGATCTTGTCCGATGGGCCAGACTGACTGCGTCGTGGGAGTGACCCCGTCCATTGTTGTCTCGGTGGGGATAAGTCGGGAAACATTAGCGGTGTAATCCATGGCATGCCCTGACGGTTGGTGATATTGTGTTGTAGTGATGGGGGTATGAGAGCTTAGGCTTGGGCTTAGAGGTACGACGTATCCATCGCAGTTGACTGGTGGAAGACCATCCAACGCATCTGGGATACTGAATGCCGTGGACTGAGGATACATCGGGGGAGGTGCCACTGACGCAGATGGCTTCATGGAGAGCTTGGATGCGCGCTCGACAGCAGGCGTGGATGCAGTCCCAGAGCTGGCGTGGACAGGGTTTCCTGCCGGTCGGGGACGTGACAATCGATGACGGTTCCGGCCCGTCGATGATTTCGAAGAGCTGTGGTTGTGCCTTTTCGATCCGGGGATTGCGGTTTCTTCATCATGATCTTCTGGACCTCGCCCTCGCTTCTCGTCTTTGTCAACGGCCCCTCGGGCAATACGCTCAAGGTTTGCGCTCATTCGGCTCATGAACTCAGCGTAGTGCGAGGGCCCATCGCCTGGCTGAGTTAGAGTTGCAAAAAAAGTTGCCGTCATCCTAAGAGACTGCAAATCCTCCTTTGCATTAGGACGATGGGTATCACGAATGATTGTGGAGAAAATCGTTGCCGCTGCTAAAAAGACATAGTCTAGGAAAGACCTAGAATAGAATGATCACACGTCAGCACATCCGCAGACAGACTGGCATTGACCTGCCGAAGCTTCATGAGAAGTGAGCATACCATATCCATGCCACATCTCCCCAAGACATGTTATTCACCATTTTGAGCGTGTCTCTGGCAGCACCCGCGCAAATGACCAAGGACTTGGCAGTCTGCGCCTTGTCCAAGGTCTCGATCTCGTGGAGATGTCCGCGATCAGTGATCAAGTAATTGAGGAGAATAGGAATTCGATGGGTCATTATCAAGGCGTTATAGTAGACGAAGTCGAGAGCAATGGTACCAAAAATGAGTAGAGGATTGGACTGTGATGTCGCCTGACGCGTGTCCTCGTGCGAGGGGTAATCTTTCCTCCATGCTTTGAGCTGCAGGTCAAGTTCTTTAACGGATTTGTAGATCTCAGAGGGGCATCTAAGCAGTGCCTTGGCCGAGTAGAGTTGACAGAAGATACGACTCTTGATGACCGACATCCGACACAGCTGACGGAAATAAGGGATGTCAGTCGAAGAGATTCCATTGAGATCCTCGCTGAGCTCGCTGGGTAGCGGGACGTCAAAGTCATCGGGATGCTGCGTTGGGGGATTTCCAGCCCGTAAGCAGGTACTGAGGAAAAAAGTTAATGACCTGCAACAAACTTCCAATGCTGTTCCCGGACGATTTGCTAAAAAAAAACTGGAGGGCGACTTTTGTGGCAATCGTTGTTCCGGGTCATCTGCTTACCTTTGATCAATCGTGAAGGCCACCCAGAACACTCTCCGTCTCTGTTCTCGTTCAGCGGGGCTGAGGTCAGGCCTGGCCACATCTCGGTGGATCCCCATCCTCTGGCACGATCGCATCGCCGCCGTCACGAATGGCAATACTGACTGAGGACCAGTGTCTCCTCGCAAGAAAAATGCCTACCGATGGTGTTAGTAACAGCAGCTGTGGGAAGAGAACACAGCCAAGCGTGGGCTGGAGATGGCTGGGCAGATGTTACCATGCTCAAGAGAGCCTGCACACTCAGAAGATCGGTCCGGCGCAGAGCCAGCTCTGTAAATACAGACATGGCATTTTTAAAGTAGAGGCGAGCCTTCTCTCGGTCCTTTTCGGGCTTTGCGCTTTTCGAAAATCGAAACTCGTACGCCAGGCTGACCACCATATTGATACTCGCCCAACGAGCTGCATCGTCACACGTTTGTTGCGTGTACTGCCATTCTACCATGTCCATGAACGAATTCTCATCATAGATCGGGCACAGACGGTTTCCGGTGTTGAAAAACTCCTTGATGAGAGCAAACACCTCTGATCTTGGTGGGAGTGGCTTGTAGACCTTCGAAGCGAATAGATCATGAAATACATCGGGTCGCCACTGCGTCCACGGATTGTCGTGAGTGGAATCTGTGCCGAGAACTTTGAGGAAGCTGACATCGCCAGTCCTTCGTTTGATCCATTCGATGCCACCTCGAGACAGCAGCGACAGCGAGCACGAGCGGCCTATCAAAGTCATCAATAGTGGAATCTATACAAGCCCACCACCGTGGGTGGTCGAGAACTGGTGGCCTACCAAAATATCGAGGGTCATCGCGCTCGTGAGATTTAAATATGGGCGTGACTTCAACGCCGCCGGAGGGGGAAACGATTCGGCATCCGGTGAAGACCGCAATGAGGCCGAAGAGGAATGTGATTCAGATGTTATAGACTGCGATGGCAGAAAGGTGTCGTCGCCGTCTTCTTCCTCTCCGTCTGAGAACTCCTGCCTGTCCGAAGATGAGTCGTCGTCGGAGCTAAAATCTGCGTCATGCAGGATACCGGCTGTCTTGAGCAGGGATTCAACTCGTGCTAAGCGCTCTTTTAGAGACGCGACATATTGACTTCTGTGTACATACTTTGTCAGCCTTTCAGAACTGTATCCGAAATTTCGCGATAAGCGGCCATTCCACGCCACGTGGGAGTTAAAGATGAGGCACCGACTTGCGCATGTTGAAGAGAAAGAGTGCCTTACCTGGTCGTGCTCTCGCTGTGCATCGGCGCCGCGGGAAATGCGCCGTTCATCGGCAATTGCCTTCCTGTACATTGCGGGCACAGAGAGGCACAGTGTCCAGACGAGACCGGTCTGCGATGGCAGCTGCTACAGATCTAGTCACCAAGTTAGCGATTGATCTTGGAGGGGTTCGGCTCCGTCTCAGCGACGCTGCTGGTCTGGCTCCGATTCTGCTGCTGATTCAAGATCTGGATCTGGGTCTTCAGCCCACTTTTTGACGTGGGCGGGACCCAGCGGGAGGGGAAAATTGAGAAACGATCGTCTTCGAGCGCACCACGACTCACCCTTTGGGTTTGTATGCGCCCATCGAAAGGTTCGACTTTGACCGGGTTGGCCATGGAATAGAGAAGATGGTTGTCGCTCGGCGTCATGTCATCGTGGGGGGTGATGCCCAATGTCTGTCTCATCGCGCGGTGCATGACCCCCAAGGAAAGCACCCGCAACGGATCATGCCCCGAAAGCCCTTCGACCCAGGCTCGCTGGTTTGACGGTCTTTTCAGGCCTACTTTCTGTGTTTTTCTCCGTTTGCTTGCCCCGCCCTTGGAAAATGACCTCTATTGTGTTCGTGTGAGCGAGCCGTCGTGTCGCTGATCGAAACGGTCAGACATGAGTTGAATGGACAGCCGGCTCCGGGTTGACTCGGTCGCGACGAAGCTTCAGGCACATGGAGAGAAACGCGACGTTGGTGGTGCACATTTTCGCGGAATCGAATTGAGGAATCGGGTGGCGGATCTGCTGGGATCCGTCGGGCAATCGGTCTTTCGGCACTCGATTCGCCGATAAAAAGAGAGAGAGAGAGATTCCGAGGCCAGCAGATCACGTCGTCTGGACTGCAGACGGTGAGACCACCGAGACGCCGAGATTGCAGATTGACTTGTATGTTGTATTTCAAAGGACCCTTGGAGATGGCTTCTGGTCGCGAATTGTCTGAACACAGTCTCGATTCATGCTTGGCTTACTTGCGCGGGACAAAGATTTGGTGATGTTGACTGAGAACCCCACATCCGTGAGGCTGCTACTGTGGAAATTCGAAAGAGAGTCAGTGGACTCGGTCGAGTCAATAGACTCAATACTGCTACTAACGTTACTTCGTAGTCAGTTACTTGGTAAGTCAGGACTCACTATGAACCGACGCAGTAGTACGAGACTACTAGTAAGTTAAGGTTGATGTGATGTATTGGGTTAGCTCAGCCTCCTCGTGGCGGTGGCCGTTGCAATTATGACGGAGGGCCGAGGTTCACTTTCTCAGGTATGACTCCACGGCCGGAGGTTGGCGCCCGGAGTCCTACCAGTGATCAGATGGGTATATAACTATGTCTCATTCCAGTCAGCCTGAAACGGCAAGTCTACCGTTCAATTCAACTATCGTGACCCGGTTCGACAACGGGTGGGTATAACCCACGATTCAACCCTCTTTTGCTGAACCATCTCAACGGTTGAGAGGTGCAGCCACAGGATGGTCCATACCAGCCGTGGAAGAGATCTCAATCCTCGATTGTCTGGGCGAACAGGGCGAACAGGGCGAACAGGGACCCCTTCTCTAGAACCGCGTGACAATTGGAAGCTACCATCTTTCCCCTTCGTCGCTCCTGGTTCCTGGTCATGGATCAATCATTTGCTGAGCTTGGGGGTCAAACTTTCGATGGATGCACTCGACCGCTTCCAGAGCTTGTTACCGGATGAGACGGTCAAGTTCCATCCATACTAGGATCGAGAAATAGACATGTAGGAGGTAGGTGCGCCATAGGCAGGACCACGCCCTCCCGTACCGTTGGAGTGTTTCAGTGTAGGGTCCCTGAGATACTCAATGGATCAAGACATGTGAAGACATGAAAATCATGCCATCGTCATGGATCATACAGCTAGAAGGATTCCGGAGTCTCCTCAAGGATTCGATTGAGTCTATTCCGCTTGATTATTCCTAGTCTGACTGTGGAACGATCAAAATCTCGGAATGTTGACATTTCTCCACCGAAGCGGTCAGAGATGCCCAATCTGGGCGTGTTTATGGAGTGGACCAACCACATGGCCCGATCACGACATTTCTCCATCAGATCAGATCATCCGCCGTCAAAGCCGGAGAGGCGCGTAAGCGGAGACCAAACAATCAGGTGGAGAGGTCGAGAACGAGAAAAATACTATGTTCGAGGAGGCCAATTCAGTGAGCTCACGGTCGCAATCGTGCTCATTTCCAGGTGGTGGTACACTGTGAATAGAGGGGGTTGAACTGACATAGGAATCCAGGGAAGACAAGAAGGGAATTGATCGTTCTCCATGGGGTTGTACCGAATCATCCTCATCGACGGGGCTCATAATGCGGTCCGTTATTGATGGGGGGAAAGCTCCCGAGTCCAGACGATGATGCATGTGGAATCCCCACCCGACCGCTCCATCGACCTTTGGTTCTCTTGTGAGGAGGTCGAGGCCTGGGTTACTTCTTGGATTCTCTTGTCAAGCCAGTTCGTGTCCAGCAGTGGATGACTGTATTCAGTCGCGTCGAGTGGTGAGAGTGAAGTCGATCGATATCCAGAATTGGTACCTCTTGCTATATCAGACGCGGATGATCATTCGCGCTATCCCAACTGCGTCTGCCCAGCTTTCTCTCTCTCTCTCTCTCTCTCTCTCTCTCTCTCTCCAATCCCTCCACTGCCACTACCTCCAGGCTCAAGTGTCTCCGACCTCCGCGGCAGCTTGAGTTGCCAGGTTCAACTCCACCAGTCCATCACAGACGGCCAGCCTTTTTCCCGTGCAAGGCAATCGGCTGCTCTCGCAGAAGGCCTCGCCGCAATCTCCTCGGTTACATCTCCTCTATCCTCCTCCTACTCCTCCCATCCGCGCTGCTCGTGGCTCTCGCCATTGATTTCCGACTGGTTCCAGACCAGTTATGAACTTGTGACCCGCTTCATTTCGTACACTGGAGTCTGGGCAACTACTTCCACTACTACTATAGTAGTAGTACTTTCTCCCGAACTCAGACGACTCTCACCTTCATCCTCATCCGTGCACGGGCTTAATCTGATCTGATTCCTATATCTGCAATTGGCTTTGGATTCCCACACGGCCAACGAGTCATCTCCATCGGCTGCAGCGGAGCTACTTCGAACCATTCTTTGTTGGGCTTTTCTCGAAAAGGAAAAGGGCACGTTGTCTCTTTGTGCATCCGCTAGCCACTGAATCTATACAGTATAGAGAAGGGGGTACGTGGCAAGTATATGCAACCGTGCAACTGTGGACGCGTACTGTCAATACTGTTGACGAGCCGGCTGTGAACCTGTTCGAGGCCAACCCGCGGCATCACTCACCCTCTCAACACCACCCGCAACCTAAACGACCCTAAGCTCTCATTCTCAAAATTTCATTGAGAGTGCTCAAGAGGAGCTGGTATCGATCTCCAATCTTGGTCTGCTATTCTTTCCATTTCTCCAACAGGCCAGACCAGGTATCTTCCTCAGAAAGACAATACATTCAGTGACACTTTTCTTGACTATATTGTCTTTTGTTTCCTCTGCCTCTCCGATTCGCTTCACCGTCATTCTATCCACTTGCCTCCGATCTAGGGCTGAAGTGGTGGAAGAATTCCAAGCTTGGAGAGCCTTGAGGTCTTGGACCCTCTTAAATCGCGGCTGAGCAGAATCCAAGCCCATTTTTTCATCCCAACCTTTCTGACACTCGAACCATTGGGGGCCGTTGGATGAATTGACTGTCATAGACCCTGCCGTGTCCAGCGTCTCAGCGTCCAAGGGCACCTTTGCTCTGCTATCGGACCATTTCATATACACCTTGTCTCGCTCCCTCCTTCTCACGCTCTCACACACACCTACGCATATCGTGTGCTTGGCATTAGTCCGCTCTAGGCGTCACGGCACCTGGAGGCAGAATCCAGTCGTCATTCGGCCCCGGCATCGCATCTTTAATCATTTCTTTCCAACCTTCTCCTGGGCATCAACTCCATTTAATTCCATTTTGCTCATCATCATGCCCGAAGAATTCCTATCCTTCCCTTCCGGTCCGGCTGTGGACAAGATTGAAAATTTTAATTTCCTGCTCTCGCATGCCAATTCCGCAGCCAAGGGGGCGCGGCAATATTCGTTGGATACAGACCTCGGGCTGGTCCCGTACAGCAGTCTGAATATGGAACTCGATCAAACTGAAGGCATGGGCGGCCTCTCAGTGAGCTCCTACGACAGCATCGAAGATGAACGCAATTCGCTCGACCTGCAAGCCTATCCTTATCAAGGTATGTGGCCCATTTTGTCTGTGCTTTCTGAAAAGCGCCACCTCCCCCTCTCCCGCTCTCTCTATTTTCCTCCAATTTATCTCTTCCACGCGCGTTTGTCTCCCTCGTGATTCAAGCATGTCCTTCAGAATCGTCATAAATGCAGCTGTCCTGTCTGGTTCCGCCCGCAAGAGTGAAAGAAGTGCCCATGATTGGGCCGAACTTGACGTGGGAGCATCTGTTGATCTTGGTCTGCCGTCGGCCGTCTTTTACTTGTCTGTTGATTTTGAGAGCCTCTCAAGATCATTTGACATGCGACCTGTGATGCGCCTGCGGCCCTCTCCTGCAATAAATCTGCAATAACTTCCGGTCGTGAGGGTCTGTGGATATCAGATGAGATCATCTCATTCGGTCTGGGAACACGAGCACGCCATTCCGCGCACGAATGACCACCCACGCCATCCCACTCGGATCATTGAAACGCCAGTCCTCAAGGTCGATCGCTCATGTCTCCCTCTCAGCTGCTTGCATGCAACGGATCAGTCCACCGGAGGTGTTCAACCTTCCCTGTACCCATTTCCATATCTAAGACTCTCTGGTCCCTCCATCATCCCCGGCGTCCGGCTCCTCCCCCCCTCCAACGAGCTCGATCTCCTCTTCCTCTCCCCTCTCGGGTTGTTAAGAAGCAACATGGCACTTTTCCTTCCTTCTCCTCTGGCTTCAGCGGCTAAGGGGGAAGTGCCGGGTGTTCGACTTGTTGACGAACCCGAAGCTGCTTCTGGGTCACATTCTACTTCCTCTTTCCATTCCCTTCGTCCTTTGCCCGGGGTCCCCAGATGTTGCCATTGTGGAACTCTGGAGGAGTTCGTTACCGTCGATGAGGGGAGCTTGACTCATCAGATCCTTCCACTGCCCATGCTTGCCGTTCACACCAACACCAAACGATGCCTCGCAGCTTTGATCACTTACTCCATTCTCCAGGCCCCGTTGGCGACAAGGTCATTGATTACTCAGTTCCCGATCACATCATGCCCTATCCGGCACACTCGGTCTATCCGCCCATGTCCTTTGCGCCCGGCGACTTGGGTCATGCCACGGGGGCATTGACTCCCTCCGATGTGTCTTCCTCCATCTCGCCTCCCAATGGCCAGATGGGAAACATCCAATACTCCACTTCCATTCCTGGAGATCGAATCGCGGCCGCTCTCGACCAAGAAGGTGGTGTCCGAGTGGCTGCGGAGGAAGACCGTCGACGCCGTAACACTGCCGCCTCTGCCCGCTTTCGCATGAAAAAGAAGCAACGTGAACAAGTTCTTGAACGCACAGTGCGCGAGACTACGGAGAAGAACGCGTCCCTCGAAGCTCGCGTCGCCCAACTGGAGATGGAGAATCGGTGGTTGAAGAATCTACTTACTGAGAAGCACGATATCGGCCCCTCGCGGACGCCCCCTCCCCCGTCTGCACCTGCTTCTTCGTCCAAGGATAGCAGCTCTCTCGAGTCAAAAGCGAACAGTACACGCCCGGGACAAAACCATATCCAGCCCAAGAAGAAGGGCGTGGGCACCGAGGAATAGTGCTAAGGGTTCAACGGAAAAGGACTCCGCTCCTTTGTGCGCGCGACGACCTCCTCTGGGCCCTTTGCTTATACGCGGGCTTTTCTTGTTTCTCTCTCTGCTACGTTCCGTCGAATGTGCCTTTACATACCATCCATTTTGTCGATCTATTATCTCTGTTCCTTATTTTTCTTATGCCTTGACGTGTACTGCACATCTGGCTCTTCTCTAGCGTGTTTTGGTGATTTGGCTCAGTCGTGTTTGTGCGGACCGCTCCTCGTGTCAGACTTGAGAGACGAGGCCGATATTTCACAAGCCAGCCTATTCTCTCTAGAATGGCTGAATCGGAACTTTGATCATGCACAACGTGCTGACATCACGATACGTTTCCCTTTTTTCTCCGTTGCATCCTCGATTGACCGAATCGAATCAGAATGTATCTGCGACTCCGTGTTGAGGAACTCTTTTTGATATCTCCTCCGTATATAGTCACGGGTCTCTGCAGTCATACTGTCCCGGACGACAAGATTGGACCAGCAATTGAATGTCAACACTACAGTGCACAGTTGAGGGCCCCCTGCCCTGAATCTGTTCCAGTGTTTGCTGATACTGGGCTCAGCACCTTGGAAAGGCTCTCCTATGCTCGTGGACTGAGAGGACCATTGCTCATGCCAACCAGAAATGGTGTATCTGGAAAGTACATGCGTCCATCGCATATTGCCTGGGAGAAGCTACATTGGCTGGCCGTGCTTCGGATCCAGATCATGAACAGCGCTGACAACCTCGCGACTATGTAGAGGAGACCACTTTAGGATACTTCCCCGGGCCAAGAAAAAAGGGCGGAACCATCCGCTTTCCCCATCTGAAACAATACCTGTCCAGTGTCCAGAACTCCAGAACTCCAGATACACTCGGGAGTCGGAACATCTGGACACCATGAGTCAATATCTAAGCCCGACAGTGTGACTCATGATTCACGTATCGTCGACTACCGTTGTGGGAGGCAGGCTAATATCATCCTGCCTAATTGGGACTTCGGGAGCGAGTCCCGCCTCCGGCGTGTGGGGCTGTCGCTTTCCCCCCCGCATGGCCCGCTGATTTCAGCCAGGTACACCCCGCCACACCCTGCGATCAAGAATAGTACTACGAGGTAGGTACACTAGTGGTGCGGACGGCGGAGTGATCGAGTGGCAGTGACAGTAGTAGTGAGTAATCTTCCACGTGTGACTCCATCTCTTACTAACTACTGGCTAAGGCGATCAGTGTATAAATAACTGGGCCTTGCCTCGCTCACTCTTGAGTCCTGTGTGCACTGTTCACTTAGTCACAAGATTGTCCTCTACTGAAAACATCAATCCGGTGCAACCTATTTCCAAGACATTGAATCGAACCCACACACATCGTCGAACAAAAGACCGCTTTACAATAATGGACAGCTCTCAACTCAAAGCAGATATCAAGAAGGCCTACGACGCCATCGCGCCGAAATACTTTACCTGGACCGAAAACACCCACTCGGTCCGTCTCTCCTACGTCGCCAAACTCTTGCATCACCTAGACGGCGAAGAAGGTAAAGCCACAGCCACAAGCACAAGCACAGTCACAGGCACAAGCACAGCGCCAGCACCAGCACCAGCTCCAAGCCCAGAAGCAAATTCAACACCAACCATCCAAGACCAAGTCAACGTCGGACCCGCCCCGGACACCCTCCTCCCACCCAGCCAAATCTCCCACGAACCCCCTTCCGCCTCCATCCTCGAACTCGGCTGCGGCGCCGGCATCCCCGTGACCAAACTCCTCGCCGCGCGACCCAACACCACCATCACCGCCAACGACATCTCCTCGTCCCAGATTGCCCTGGCCAAGACCCACCTTCCGTCCTCGGTGCGCCTGATCACAGGCGACATGATGGAGTTGGAACTCGAGGCCGAGAGTCTGGACGCCGTGCTGGCCATGTATTCGATTTTTCATCTCCCGCGGGATGAGCAGCGGATCATGTTGGCGCGGATTCATGGGTGGTTGAAGGCGGGACGGTGGGTGTTGATGAATTTTGCGGCGGCAGAGTTCGAGAGGGCGTCGGATGAGAAGTGGTTGGGGGCCAAGGAAGGGGTTGTGCATTGGAGTGGGTGGGGGGTGGAGGGGACGAGGAAGATGTTGGAGGAGGTTGGCTTTGAGATTTTGTTGGAGGAGGTGCGAGCCGATGAGGAGATTGAGGAGGATGGGAGTGTCAAGAAAGTGGAGTTTTATTGGGTCATGGCGAGGAAGTAAGATCGGTCGCGCGGTTCAAGTGTCCGTACCTGTTCCACCATTGGGGACTGATATGAAGAGCTGGGTCTTATTGAGCGTGGGTCTAGGTGTTGGACCATCTACGCAAGGTCTTGTTCCACCTGGGCGATAGGGATTCGCAGGCCGGTGTAGTTTGGCCAAATGAGTATAGCCTCGGGTTCCTTTACAGAGATGTGGGACGGGGAGCCTCAGCGGTCCGGATCATCAATCGCTACTTGAAGTAAAACACGGACCGGCCCGTCAAGTGTGAAGCCTCGACCGATGTGAAGCTTGTCCGTGAATCCTCATTTGCCACGAAGTTTCTATTTACTACTACGGCACAACCCGGAGTACAAGATAACCTGCTCTACAATCAGGAGTAGCCAAAATAGCACAAAAATGGTATTACATTAGGTCCAACAGAGATGGGCAAAACCAGAAGGGGTGTACGCAACAAGACCGCCAGAGTAGTGAAGCGGGCGAGTACCAGTGGATAGCCTCGAAATTAGAAGACCCACGAAAATGGGCACATGTCTTTCAACCGTCCCCTCCCGCTAGGAGGAAATATGATAATATTCCCTTTAGCAATTATTCCACACCTTCCTAAGTGTCGAGCCCAATTGCGCCTGATCCAAGAAGAAAGAAGATAACATAAGATTCACCATCGTGACGAGGGGTCGGGTCATAAAAACGGAAAGCAGGAGTGACCGGTGGACACACAACCCGACTGGCACCTTGTCCCGGTTTCCGTCCATGATTTGGGGGGTTCCCCAAGCCTGGAAGACACGGGGAACCGAGAACGAAGACATTGTCGCGCGGGAGCGTGAGGCATCGGCGAACACTTCCGCAGAGAACAGATAAACACATTTGACAAAAAGGGAAACAGCGATTAAGCGGGTCGAGGAAGGGGTTCACTGCACGTTGATTTACGCAGCAATAGGCTCCCTCTCCTCCTCGCGGCCACGCTGCTCAACGTCGACGGCGCTCTCGGGGTATTCGGCCTCGTCTTCGTAACCGGGGTGCTGATCGGCAGGCAACCAAGAGTCCCGGTCACCGGTCATGGGCTGATCCTGGCCGGAGAGGTCAACACCGTCACGGTTCTTGCTCGAGTTGGCGCGATGACGCTGAGAAAGGGTTCGCGAGCGCTGAGACATGTTGGACTTGACCACGGCCTTGGAGCTGACCCAGTTAGTCAGAGCATCCTCGCAATCTTGAATGATAGCCTTGCTGGCCTCGTAGCCGTCGTAGGCAGGACGGGTCTCGCCGGGAGTGACGGGAGCGTCGTCAATCAGATCCAGCAGGTGTTTTCCGTATCCGGCCACGATAGCGACCTTCTCGCAATGCTCACGGAGCGCGTCAAACTGGTACTGGAAGGCAGCCTTGACCTTCTCACGGGTGATGTTGGACAGTTGAGCCTCAGCGACCAGGGACTCGGCCTCGGCACGGACCAACTCCTGCTCCAGCACCACGATACGGGGAGAGTTGGGATCCTTGTACTTGAGCTTGGCAATCTCATCGGTGATCTTCTGCTTGCGGTCACGGCTGGGCTGGACCGAGGCTTCAATGTTGCGGATGCTCTTGATGGTCACGCGATATTGGTCATAGCGGTCAACAAACATGTCCTCGAGTTCACCAATCTCATAGATCAAGACACCCAACTTGTCAGTCACGTCAGAGACATCTTCGTCAGCAGCCTCACCCCAGATGGAGAGTTGTTGCTATTGAAGCGACCCGTTGGTTAGCTCATGATGACACAGGACGAGAGAGAACGGTGAGCTGGCAAATGGCAGCTGAGACTTACAGCGACCTCCATGCGCTCCCGCGCAACGAGCTCCATGCTTCGCATGACGTTCTTCTCCATCTTCACGAGCTGGGAGAGCTTGCGAGCAAGATCGGGACCGAAAGCGCCGGCGGCGTTTTTGCGGAAAGCATGGCCTGAAGTGATGTCGAGTTAGTTTTCAAGCTCTTTTGTTCACGCTTTCTGGCAAACACATAATGCTCAATCGCTCGTCTGTGAGGCGGGCTGGAAAGGTTCGGGGCCGACTGGGAATTTAACGTCCCGAGAAAGCTGGGGAACAGTCACAGTCCACCTTGCAGCTGTCTGGCGCATTGACAAACATCAAGATTGACTCACCAAAGCCACCTTTTCCGAGCCATCGGTTTGACTTGGTGGAAGACATGGGTGGGGGAGGGTTCTCGACCTGCGAGGCGGTCGGAGCGCGCGACTGGCGCATGGAATAAGTGCGGTGCATGATGCCGGTGACTGGAAGAGATGAGCAGGAAGTAGTGTGGGTGACAGCTGTCGGTCCTTAAAAATTAGATTATCTGCAACGACTCAATTTGAAAGCACGAGCAGAAACCAGGGTCACAAAATAGTCGAGACGGAAGAGCAGAGGGGCAGGAAACGAGAGAGAGGAGAGGATGGAGCAGAAGGGAAGCAAAAAGAAAGTTGAGCACCGAGAGAAAAGAGTCTGGGGCGTTCAACGCAGTAGTGACGTGAATGTGAGGGGACTCGTGATTGGGGACCTAGGAGGAAGCTTACGGGAGGTGACGGAAGAGCAATGCAACCGGCGGCCGAGAGAGATGCAGGGGAAAAGTTCAGGTCACGAGGGGTAGAGACGGTCGTGCGACAAAAGCGGTACGGCAGGATTAGGTACACAGGCGAAGCTTTCCAGGTGTAGAGAAAAGGGGGACCTGGTCGTCGAAGGAGCGAGAGTCCGAGATGTTATCTTCAGCTGCGACCTCAGGTTGATACTCTTCCGCTGGTGACGTCGTCAACTTTTTGCCGGAAGGGCACCTTACCCTTTTGGGTGGAGAACGGGGAGAACTTTGGGGGACTCTTGGGAAAGCCACAGACGACGCAGGAGGACCTCCACACCACGATTTTCTTGCAAATTTCAGCCAGAAGCCTGAGAACGACGGAGCCTGAGCGGGTGAGCTACAGAGTTTGTAGATGGGGGCGCGGTTCTCCATGCGGGTGCCAGCTCGGACACAGGCGGATGACTATTCGGGGGAGCTACGATGCTGCAAATGCTACTGGCGATTCGTCGAGACTAGCGGGGGCATGAACGACGCCTCCAGATCAGTGGTTGCGACAGAATGGACCTCCCAAAGCATAGACTGTGCGAAAAGTGGACACTGGGATCGAGCAAACAAGCTCCGTCGAGTGCGCAGGGTCGCTGGAGCCAGGAGGTTACAATTGTGGTGGCTGCCGATCCAATGGCGCAGTCGATGGGCGGGGCTCATACAGCTTCTCGTCTCCGGATCGGCTCCAAATCTGCTCCAAATCCCTGGACAGGAAAGGGTTGAAGCCGATCAGAGACTAGTGGTCGGGGCATCATCCATTGGGCACCCGCAGGGGCCTGTTCTGAAGGTCTGGCAAAAGGTCGCGGGTGGAAGCATTGCGCTAAAACGAAAAAAAAAAGTCACGATCGCCGACGTCATCGCCCTCGGGAGTGCTGATGTCATCGTGCGGCCCGAGGTCCAACCAAGACTGATGACTGCTACCTCAGTCCGGCGTTGGTCCATGACGGATCGAGGACAAGTCGGTGTCGGTACCTTATGGAGCTGCATAAGAGGTCCCTGAGCCTGTCGCTGAGAAATTCGCAGAGTGCGGCAAGGTAGAGCACTACGAGAATCGGCTAAGCGAACACCTGATCCGTGTCCCTGCGATCTCTGAAGAAACCCGTATGATTGGAACCGGTCGATCTGCTGTGGGGGACAAATCCTGAGGAATGCTGGAACTGCTAGACGGGGCATCCTCAGCGAAGGGGATGCTTATTCGGTGGGGTTCGAGCTGCAATTAATTGGAATCGCATGCTAGGATCATGCACAGACATGCACGGATGGACTAGTCTATCAAGTAGGAGGGACTAGATCGATTTTCACCGGCACTAGTTATATCAATCAGATCGCAACAATCGGAAGCAACCCCTGATGGTAAGCGTCTCGAAACCAGCGCAGCTCGTGCCAAGAAACTGTTGCAGCTTACTAGGTAGTTTCCAGTGTGGGGTATCAAACTGAAGAGGATGATGGAGGAATGAAGATTCATTGGTACATAACGTTTTGGGTATCACGGCTATGAGATAATGGCTACACGAGCTGCACAAAATCAGTCCTTTTCCACCCTAAATGTCAGGTTGAGGATGGGGCACCGCGGGTCTTGCGCTTTTTACGAGTCCCGCGAGTGGTCGCGTGACTGGTGGCAGCACGTTTACTGGAAGTAGGCTCTTGGCCCGCTTCAGCCTCTATAGCATCGCCGGCGTTGCCGGGAGATTCGATCGCAGCCGAGATGGGCTCGTCTGGAGAGCTTGCGTCGTGCCCGCGTGCTTCTTGTCGGAGCCGCCCGAAGGCCCTCTCCATCCGACTGGGCCCACCGGAACGCACGCGAGGCGCGAATGCTCCCGCGCCGAGCGATCCCTGCATAAACTGAGTGATGTTGGACTGTGTACCCTCCTGGGCGCGTCGGTTCATATCACGGATCACCGGTACCAGGACTTCGTCGGTACGCTCCTGGCTCCAGCCAATGGTAGCCATGAGGAAGTTTCGCAGACCGTTGAGATCAGGTACACCCCACTGGAAAGGGGATGGATCAGAGTCAACTTCCGGCTCCAAGTACGCGGTGTCCACCCGGGTATCTGGAAAGGTCGGCGGAAGGAAGATCTTCGAGGCTTGTTTTCGAAACTTCTTTCGAAAGGCCGCGTGGGTATCGTCTGGCTTGGAGACACCCATCTGGAGGTCAGCCCACCATTCTCGGAAGTCTGCAAGATTGGGAAATTCCGTGATGATTTCGAGCGCTTTGACGGGGCCGATTCCCGGAATACCCTCCGTGTAGTCGCTACCGAGTAGATGCGCGAAACTAATGAGCTTCTGTCGGTGAAGAGCGAATTCCTTCTCCAAATCCGATGAAAGATAGCATTCTACAAACTTGCTCTGGTTGAACATGTTCTTGTAGACTCTGGTACCGCCGAAGAGAAAAGTATCACTATCGTCAGTGACGATGCCGTCCACAAGCCCCAGAGTCACGAGTTCGGCACACTGAGCCTCCGCCTCCATGGGCGCGGTGACATATGGCAAGCCAAACAGGCGTAGCAACTGCTGACACTCATTGATCATGATTTGGGTCACCTCATCCGCATCACGTCGGTCTTTTCGTTGCTGATTACGAAGCTGTTTCAGCTCTTGCTCATAGTTGACTTGATTGAGAATCGTATCCGAATTCAAGGTCTGCGCGAAGCGCACATGTTCTTCGCCTTCAGCCGCTAATTGCCGCATGAGATCCTCATCTTCTGGGTCACTGAACTCGTTATCGTCATGATCAAAAGGCACGGCCTCTGTATCATCTAACTGGGGTGTTAAATCGGTCCCACTTGGCATATCGGCTGCAGCGAGAGCGGCTGAACTCGGCTGAGAAGGTCGTGCTGAAACGTGGATGGGGGGAGGCGAAGGAGGCACAACATCCTCAAACTCCGGCTGCGGTGACGCTTCGGCCTGAGGTGAGCCCGAGCGCACGGCATCCTTATCTTCGTCTTCTTGAAAGACCACGGTAGATTTTGCCTCAGCTTTGAGAGCCATTTGAGGAACATCGCCAACTGTATCCTTTTCGGTGACACCTGGGGATTCGGGGCTTCGTATATCCAATTTGAGCACAGATTTCTCCTGCTCCTTGATCAAGCTCGTTTCAATGTGATCGATATTCTCCAGATTGTTCGCATGGCCGTTTGCATAGCCATCTGCTTCTAAATCGATCACCTCTGTAGATCTTGGCGCCTCATCCACATCGATAACGTCCGGAGTTCTTTTTTTGGGAAAAACCACGAGATTATCGGTTTCATCTTGGTCCTTGTTCTCCTCAAAGGTCGGCTCGGCAATAAATTCATCGCTTACTTTGCTACCCGCGAACCAAGGCGGCAGCGGCTCAATCTTCTTTTTCGCTTCATCAGAGTGTTTGAGAAATCCACCAGCGTCATCGTCTAACTGGTCAGCCTTCTCGAACTTTTCTTTGACCGAGTCAAGCTTGCCCAGCGAGATTGATTCGAAAGGAAGTGGTCCTGAAAAAGGGTTCTCGACAACGGGCTTCTGCTTTTTTGTGATCTTAGTCTGCGCGACAGCAGCTGAGAAGTCCATGTCGTCTTCACTGTTATCTGAAATATAGCTCTGCGAGATGTCCGGAGCCGAAGCATGCACAGTGTCTCTATTGATCGAGAGATCCGGCATGTCATCATCTGCCTCTTTGGTTGGCTGCAACGACAGAGCAATGGCTCTCTCTAGGTCACTGTCTGAATCGCCTTCAAAAACATCAGAGTCACGCCGATTAGGCAGTGGCGCTGTATTCCGATCGTCATTCACAAAAAGTGCGTTATCATCAATGCGCCTGGGAGCGGGCAGAGGTGGAAATTGACGTGATTCAAAGAGAACTTTTTGCATATCCATGTCTTCGCGAGCGTGCTGAAGGGAGTCATCAAACACCCCCTTCTGAAGAAACGGTAGTTTAGGCAGTCGATTGATTCCCTCAATAGGAACATCTTCAAACTCGTCATCATCCGACACGTCATCTGAGTCTGATATTTGCTCTGGTTGTCCGTATTGATCCACATCGATGGGCTTGTTTTCGCGCCCGGCGTCTTTGTTGCCCACGACACCCAGAACCCACCCGCCTTCATTCTGGCTGTCTTTGACCAAAACATATTCGCGACCCCGCTCGCCAGCGATTCGTTGTCCAGATTTGTAAAATGCATCCTCGCCGTTCATTCCATTGATGTTCATGAGTCGTTGAGTCAGATCATTTCGTTCTGCAACGCGCTCGATCTGGAACCTGGAAAATGCCATGCGATCCGGAAACATAGTATCCAGTTGCTCCTTGGAATAACCCATTCGGAGACGACTCCTAAGTCGTGCTGCGTTGAGAATGTTGTATCGATCGGTTGCCGGTAGACTTAAAAAGAAGGGCCCATCAAAGTCAATTTTTGAAAAGTCGTAGAGATTGATATCTTGACCACGATGGAATTGCCGCGCATATTCTTCAAGCTCCTCCTGTGACATGATTCGAGGATCATTTGGTGCGCCCATCTCTTCGAGTGACACATCGAGGTTTGGAAGATGATATTGATCCTTTTTCTTGAATTTCCGATTTCTTTGCTTTTCCTGTTCCGTCATGAGGGCTTCATCTGCGTACACAGGGGCTTCCGGAACAAGTTCCTCCGCACCAGAGGGACGATTCCGTCGTTGACGCCGTGCTTCTGCCTCTTCCTCCGCCGTGCGTTGCATCTGGACAGCAAGCAACTTTCCCGCAGTCCTGGTTGCGTCTTCTCGACGACCTTCCCGCCTCTTCTTTCGCGCAGCAATCGTCTGTCGCTTCAAGGTCGGGGCACCGCCATCAAAGACGAATACTGGCTTGATCCCAAAATACAACAACTTGCAGATTCGTCGAAAAAATCCAACAATATGTGAGTTGCGAAGGGCGTTGCCTTCTTTATCACGAACTGCTTTCAAGAACTGATAAATCCAGATCGACGCGTCGACGGCGAGGCGCTTCTTGTTCAGCGTCTCCAATTTGATAGGCCGCGCACAAGGCTGCAGCACCGTCCAGAGACCGGTAACACCCATCTTGAGTTGGAGGGTCGACCGTCCTCAAGTGAGCGCGGACGCTCGGGATCTCTGAAAGACATGACTTGGTGGAAGAGAGCCTCATCCGTGGATGGGTAGGTACGACGGCAGGGGATTACGTCATTGTACTAGACCCGACGCGGGCGCGGCGGATGCCGCACACGGTGTCACGTGCTTGACAAGAATCTGGTAGGTGAGCACTTAAGTTTAACTAGTGAGTGCATCACTGCATTGCACTTTAGACTGAAGGTGCGGCCAATCTTTTCGACGTAACGACACATTCCACTTTCTCTCCTTCATAATTACGCAAAAGGCTTTCGAGATCCGTGGTGGCCTCATATTGAAATTGAGCTATGTACTTCTCGAAACTTTCGGCACAAGGGTTTGACTCTTCGATCGAGTGATCGACATGTAATGGATTGATTTGAGACAAACATGCCAAACAAACTGTAGGGGACCTATGGAGACCTATCACGTGACAAAGGGATGGCTGCTCAATTTTGAAGTGCGCTCCATCAAGTTGCCCGTTTTGACTCGAATTTGATAAGCACGAGGCTAGCTGTTCGAAGGAATGTTCAAAGCATGTAAAGCTGCACATAAACAAAAATTTTGAAGGTATGATGCCAATCTTTGATAATTGGGCAGGTGGTTCGGGGTTTTTGTGTGTCTCGACATGCTAAATGATAAGTAGAGCGGATTGGCAAGTTTCTCAAATCATCTGGCATGAACCGCGTACAAAGAGATGCCAGTTTCTCTTGAGGTCAGTTGTTTTTGAAGCGAAGAGACCAGATTTGTTAGTAGTAATTTTTGCCAACTCTGGTTTTGCAGCATGTGGACGCCTGTCTTCCAATCTCGGCATTGAAGATTGTATCATGTGAAGAACGCCTCTTTATTTTCCAGGGCCAAGGTCCCTTTTTCCGAGTCATTGAGGAACAAACAGGCCGTCTCACAGCGCAAGTTCAAGCGTTCAAACGCAACCACGTGCACGGTTTTGTTACCTTCCCCTCTTTGAAGGTCTCCGAGGGGTCATCTCAATGCCATTCTGTTGTGGTCTGGGGCGGAAAGTCTTTAAGAATCATCCAATTTTCTTTCAGTGCCTCTGATGGAGTCGATTTGACAGCGTCCAGCGCCGAATATCTTGCTCCAGACTGGCTGATGAGTGGATGCGCTACGTTTGAAGAGCACACCGAAACGGTCTTTCTCGTCACCGCGAACAATGCGCTCTTAAGGGCAAGCGCAGAAAGCGGTAGATTTGCACAATACAGCAAGAGAATCAGAATCGAACAGCTCACAACGAGTGTCAAATGTATCTTGTATGCTGCGGATTTGACTGCACTCTCTTCTTCTCATATCTTGATCGCCTCGGGAACTGCCTTTGGAGAGATCATCGTCTGGTCATGTTTCCTTACGGATGTTGGCCAAGACGCAGAGAAGCCTATTGCTTCGATACATCATTATTTTACAGGTCATGATGGATCCGTGTTCGGGGTTCGCCTCTTTCCAAACATCCCATCGCTGAACGCCGGCCGCTCCGGAAGGCTTCTTGCTAGCTGCAGTGACGACAGAACCATCAGAATATGGGACATTACCGAATGCGAAGCAAAATCCCCGGGTGATCCCTCGGCCTATTCCACTGACGGGTTCGAGCTGAGAAGCACCGGTTATGGAAGTGGTCTTGGCTCGGAGACGTGTGTGGCTAAAGCTTTTGGTCATGCTGCGCGGATTTGGGACGTCAATCTCTGCACATTCGACAACAAAGAGCCAACCCGCTTGAGTCTCGTCTCGAGAAGTGAGGACCGAAGCTGCATTGTGTGGGAACTCAGTTGGGACACTTCACCGTCGGGGACTGCACGATACGATCTACGCGAGATGTCTTCAGCCCAGCCTCACATTGGAAAGCATGTCTGGGGGCTCGACATCTTCGACAAGGGTGAAGACGTGACGGTCTTCACAGGTGGTGCTGACGGTGCTTTGAAAAGTTTCAAAGTCAGGAAGCACGTCTTTCGCCCCTCACAATATAACCCGCCAACTCTGAACGAGTCCCTGACTCATAAAAAGATCGCTGGCTCGGATGTACCGAGAAGCTTCGATTTCATCAGCGATAACTGCATTCTTTCTTGTTCCTTCCGAGGTGAATTGCGCCTCGGATGCGTTGGCCCGAGCGATGACCTGTCCATTGAATGGGAGACGCTCTGTGTCTTTGAGGATCTGCGGTCGTTCTCCATCATTACTGGCATACCCGACAGGGGAATCGCATTGATTGCCAGCTCGCAAGGTTTACTCCGCTTGTGTCACCACTCTTCGAGTTCTATTATAGAATTAGTGTCTTTGGGCAAGCGACCTCGCAGTCTGACACTTATTCAGGACAACGTGAATTCCCAAGAGTGCTCATTGGTCATTGATTATTATACGGGCGAGGACGCAGTTATTTTGACCATCACTCAATGGAACACTGGCCTCCCGGAAGTTACAGTGGTACCTTTCAAACTGCCGAAAGCCCCTTATATCATAACAGCAGCCTGCTTTGTGCGTGAGAACCATTACCTGCTCCTCGGTTCTGAATTGGGTGGCTTGGCAGTGTATGGAACCTTGGGATTGGGCCTGGGTTCCAGTCCTCTGGTGGACATGAGACGAGTTCATGGCCATGAAGGTACAACCTCCATACGTGAGATCACGGCAGGTAATAATGCAGAGAATTATGTCTTGACATGTGGTCGGGATGGCCAATACTGCTACCACAATTTGACAATCGATTCGAATCACCCGGAAAAAGTCTCACTGGAAACGCTTGATCAGTCCTCGAGCAGTCTCGGTCAGGATCTTTGGGGTACATATCTGGAAGACAAGAGCGGCGATCTGATGATATACGGATTCCGGTCTCAGAACTTCGTGCTGAGAAACGAGACAAGACATCAAGATGTTATCTCCATTGCTTCTGGTGGTGCTCGGAGAATCTGGTCGTTCCGAGCCGGCTCGGGAGACGAGTTGCCACTGTTCGTATGGCTTGAAAAGCCAGATCTGCAAGTTATGCGCATTGTACCGGATGCGAATCGTTCGATCCGTGCCGGGGGACATGGACGAGAGATAAGAGCCATGGACGGGATATGTAACGATGAGGAGGGGGAGGCTTATTTTGCAACTGGAGCCGAAGACACAGTTGTGCGCATTTTTGCTGCGTCAAGGCAAACAAGCGAAAGTCCTTGGGGCTCTTTCAAATGCCTGAAAGTATTGGACAAGCATCGATCCGGAATACAACAAGTGAGCTGGTCAAGGAATGGTCAGTATCTCTTCACCAGCGCTGGACTGGAAGAGTTCTTTGTGTGGAAAGTCCAAAAAGTGAGCTCTCTAGGCACGTGTGTCAAGCTGGTCTCGGAGAGTCCAAAGAGCGAGCCAGACTCCGAGCTGCGGGTTACCAGCTTTGACACTATCGAAGTCATGGAATCTAGTGGCGAAAAAGGCTTCCTTGTGTGCCTGACACTCTCCAACTCAATGATCAGGGTAATTCACGGCCTGTTTTTATATTGTTGTAGGAAACCTTTGCTAATCAGTTCTAGATCTTTCACTTCTCGCCATATGAGCAGCACCAGTTCACGCTGCTTGCTCAGGGACGCTATATGACCAATTGCCTTACCCAAACCAGACTATGGACCAGAGGATCCTCGGTCAGCCTCGTGACGGCGGCAACGGATGGCTTTTTCACTATTTGGGATTTGACAGACACGCTCGATTCGTTCTATGAGATGACTTCGTCCACGCTCAAAGCGAGACGATCCTCCAGGAGTTTCCTAAGCACGCCGAAGGAAATTGCGTGCGAGACCAGATACCAGGTGCAATCCAACAGCGTCAAGGGCATGGAGCTCGTGTCTCTTTCCGCGCAGGCTGCGGTTGTTTTGACCGCCGGTGACGACAGCTCAATCACGGTCTCGCTGCTGAGGACTCCCTCTGATGGTGACTCGGAAACGGTCGTGTCTACGCTTTCTATCCCGGATGCTCACGCGGCTTCGGCAACTGCAATTCAAGTCTTGCATTACGATGAGATTCCCTCACAGGCCACTACAGGTCTTGCGCGGGTTGTATTTGCCTCTTCTGGCAATGACCATAGGCTTAAGTTTTGGTGTCTCAAAATTGATCTCGCGAAGCACTCTACGGAGGCTCTCGCTGTTGAGTTCCTGTTAGATAGGTACAGCGCTGTAGCTGACATTGCTGCTTTGACATTCCTGCCCGGGATACTTGGCCTCGCTTCTGAGCCAGGCCATGCGGACTGTGTCATACAGGGAAATGTTGTGGTGGGCGGAGCGGGTATGGAAATGTTACGTTTCACAGGGTTTGGATCAGAAGTCGGGGCGAGTTGACATGGTCCAGATGATAGCTTCACGGGAACTTGATGCCAATATCATCAAATCTATAGCAGAATTGCCGATGCAAACAATGTTGTTTGACGGGCTTCAGTTTCCAATTTTCATCAGACGTTGAAGCCCATTGCTTGTAACCACCTGGCCTGTATCAATGAGCTTGGAGGATCCGTGCCTGGAGGGTGGAATAGGCATCCTTGAATTGTTCCTCTGATGCCCGATCCCTGAGACGTTGAGCTCAAACATCATTAGGTCTGAACGTCTGTGGATTTCTCCAGGGTTGGGGAAGCGGGGAAAGCTACGCATGGGGAAGATGCTTACGTCGATGGAGAAATTACTTCCTCCAATGATCGCTGGAAACCTGAAAAGGTCAATATGCGTGATCTGCACATTTGATGTTGACATTCGATTCAGAATGGTGTATTCTCCCTCGTGGATGAGCGGAAGAGTGGATTCTTCAGCGGCTTACCCCGCGTGCAATCGGGCAATTCGTTAAGGACCGTTCCATTTTCGGTGCTTACCTGACGCCACCTTCGGAAGTATGTTTGCGAGACGGGAGTTTTGACGGCAAGATCGAAGGATATCTTGCACTGTTGAAAGAACTATGCGTGACCTTTAGTTGAGATGATCCGTATCACGAGCATAATGAGCTGGGTTGCAAAAGAGATCATGCTACGCCGACGAAGAACCAAGGCAAGCGCGCGACATCTATGCCTCTTCGACAAAGCATCACTGAATGGTCTATACGGCGGAAAGAGACATCTTTGCCTGACTCTTCACGTTTCCACAAGCCACAATACAGGGATTCCCCGCAGTTGCTCTTTTTAGCCGGTCTACAGGGTTCATGCGATTGGCAGGGTTGCGATTGTCACCGATTGGGAAAGGACTTTCTTTTCCTCAAGTCCATGGACGCAAGCAGGCGTTGCGTTCGCTACACAGTGTCCTCGTGGTTATAAACACTCAAGGGTCAGAAGATCTCATTTTCGCAACTCATCGAGTCTTTTATGTCCGTCCACTCTCACTTCAAAAATCTGCAAATTGAAACAATGAAGCGCTCTTTACTCAGTTTCGCGATGAATTTGGCTGCAGTTGCCGCGATGCCCTCCCATCGACCGTCATCGCCCACCTATTTCTTCACTTTGTAAGTACTGCACCTTGAAGAGGCAGACTGAGAAACATGCACGAGCCATTTGCTCATTTCACGCTCACAGTGGTGATTCCTACTCCATGACAAGCTTCAATGTAAACGGAACCCAGCCGTCGCCTTCAAATCCCATGGGAAATCCTCAACTGGGTAGGCGAAGCAGATCTTACCCCCAATTTCTGGACTTTCATTGCTAAGTTTTGACAAAAGGTACTGGTGCGACTGGAGGAGGCATTAATTGGATAGGCTACCTCACAACCGTTGACAACTCCTCTCTCGTGCTCAGTTACAACCTGGCTATTGGAGGCGCAACAATCGACAATGCGATTCTCAATTCTGGGTACCCGGATATGACGGGCCAAGTGAAGACGTTTCAAGACGTCTACAGCGCAAAGCCCATGAAAGCACCGTGGAAAGCTTCAGATACCGTCTTCGGCTTCTGGATTGGGGTCAATGAGTAAGCTGCTTCTTCATCTTGTTCAAGTGACCCTGCTGAGAGAATGATAAGTGTCGGATGGGCATACCAAAGCTATGAGGCAGATGAGCTGGTACCTAAGCTCATGGCTCAGTACCGTTCCTTGATCGAGGAAGTTTATTTAGATGGTGGACGCAAGTTCCTCTTCATCAACGTTCCACCAACAGGCCGAAGTCCACTCATCCTCGACCAAGGCGAGAGTGCTTCTCAGAAGCATGCTGCGTGGACTGAGGCATACAACAGGGGACTTGAAGAGATGCGCAAGGAATTTCACACAGCGCACAAAGATGTGGGTTTCCTTTTTGTATTTTCAAGATCTCCGCGCGACATCGAACTACACTGACACAACGCAGGTGGAGTCTGTGCTGTACGATTCCTGGCGCTTCATGACCAGGATTCTCGATCATCCTCGGTGGTTTGGATTCCCCAATGCGACATGCATTGACAGTGATGGTGAGAGCTGTGTTTGGTGGAACAATTATCATCCTTCACAGAAGTATCATCGGCTGCAGGCGGCGGATATGAAGCGGACACTGCATCGTTTCGGGGCCTGGTAGACGAAGCAGAAGCAGCCTAGGGACGCAAAGCTTCACAGTCTGTATACTTTCTTTCAGACTGGTCGATTTTTTTTAAGTCTCCTCTGGGTAATGGGTTGTCTGGATGTGTCGTATTCCTCGGTTATGCGTGTCCAACCAAATATAGGGACATCAAAAACAACCGAAACCTTTGAGAAATCAATTTTGATTCGGTTGAATTTGCAAACCTGTATACCGGATTTGACAACAAAGGTCTAATTCGTTTAAATCTATGAGTGGATGATATATGATCCTCAAACTGCTCTGTGGCTTCAACATCACGGAACATTTCTGCGCATGGCGTTCTTTGCGGTGATCTCGGCACTCCCCTCTTGCATTTCTGACACTTCCTTGATATTGCCTCTTTACTTTAATGGCATTCGGTCTGAATCCAGCCTCGTCACCCAAGGTCGACCACCCATGGATGTGGGAAAGGATGCTGCGGCTTGGCGCTGGAAAGGTTCCACTCCGCAGGCTACAAGGTTCAAATGATGCGATCAAGCTCACGTGATTCGTGACGATTTCTTGTTTATCATGTGTTTGGGGACTTTGTATCTCTGAATTGATCTAGCCAAGTGCAAAGATGAAACATGACACAGGGAATTCCGAGTTTGGGTCCTCTCCCAGTACCACGCATTTATTGATCCTAGTCTCTATCCTCCCTCTCAGGATGAGGTTGCCCTTTGGCCTTTCCTGTTTCCTGTTGAGAGAGCGGACATGCCATGTGACGAGTGGAAATGAAGAGGGTCAGGGCAACTGCAACAGTGCAAAAAACATTTCAAGGTTCGGGGACGAGGCCCCACCGCTCCACAGGGGGTGGCACAGCGTGGGCAACGCTGACGGCAGAGGATGACGAAGCTTTGAAGATCAGAAACATGGAGGACAACTTACATTCAGTAGTTTGAGCGGTACAGCTGTGGTTGATAGAAATAGCTATCTTAGGTAGTCATCTATAATAGAGTGTTCCGTGTACTAGACTGTAGAGTGACTGTAGACTCCAGACTTCCCGACCTGTCGCATGACTGTGTGACGTCGCCAAGGATGGAGCAGGTCTTGCTTTTCCTGTGTTGTCGAGATGGCGCACGACTTGCACCTGTCAGCACTCAGCAGCCGTCGTGAGACGAAGCTCGTCCCGAAAATGCTGTCACTAACTAGTAACTCGTAAACTACTATCAATATGGAAAGAGAGTGGGGGGATGGAAATTCTCTTGGCGATCGGGCGGAACATGCAGCTAGCTTTGGCAAGTCGTCTGAGCAAGTCCGCAAGATGACTGATGGAGGCTATCATGCACAATAATAGTCGTACACAGTATGCCCTATGCAGAATATACTCCTACTGTGCGCTGTACTACCAACGACCCCGTGGCTGAGCGTGGCTTCCACACCGAACGTTCTCTCCTCTCTAGGCAGGCGTGTTTTCCTGCACTCTTTCCGCCGTTGGAAGGGCAACCTGCGAGCCTTGGGCAGCCATCGGCCTTTCCTGATCAGGCTTGGCGTGGATATGAATAGCATCGCGCGTGGCGTGGTTTTCCCAAATGGGTATGACGGCAGTCGCTGGCCGCAGTTCTGATTTGCCCGTCATGACAGGTACCTCCTTCCAGGTGGGGCGGCAGTTGGAGTTGACCTAAGCCCTGCGCCCCTTCCACTCCACTTCCATCTCACTCATCATGAGGTGGCTGGAGGGCTTAGACGAAGCGAGACGAAGAGGGCTGAGAGAGAGAGAGAGAGAGAGCGAGCGAGCGCAGGATGGCTGGTCGTCCCGGTGTGGATCGCAATCGTCTGGGGAGGGACGATCACAAGGGCCGGAATATGGACTGCAGCAAGAATAAAATCCATCGGACCTCCCCCCTCCCCCAACCGGTCGTTCTTTCCATCATCTGTCCATTCGTATTCTCTGGCAACCATCTCAACTGGTCTTCCAGTCGATCCTGACTACCTCAACTCTTCTTCTCCTTTCCTCGCTCGCTCACTTCCCGCTCATCTGCAACTCTCTATACCAGTCCTCGACACACAATTTCCACCATGGGTAAAGCAGGTCGGATTGCGTGTATCTTCACGCCCTTTGTTCTCACCATCGCTTCGTTGATATGCATTATCATGGTTGGCTTGGGTTGTACCAAGTCATCCTCATCCACTTTAAATGACCTCTATTTCATGCGGGTGGGTATTGTGTCTTGTTCCACGTGCATTGCATCGAGCTTAGAGAACTGATGTCCGCGATTCCAATAGATCAACCTGAAAGACATCAGCAGCCAAGGGTCGCAAACGGTAACGGAGATTGAAACTATCCTCAACGACTATGGCATCTCAGGTGTCAGCGCCTCGCAGGTCTCGGACGTCCTGGGTAAGCTTCAGGCTGACAGCTCGCTCGCCGACTTCTATCAAATCGGCCTCTGGGGCTACTGCGATGGCAAAGAAGACAGCCACAACGCTACCTCGGTGACCGAATGCTCCAAGCCCCAAAGCGAGTTCTACTTTGATCCATTCGCGGTCTGGGGTCTGAACTCGTCCACTGTGAGAAATGAGCTGCCCAGCGAATACAACAAGATCATGAATGTCTACAAGACGGTCTCCAAGTGGATGTTCATTGCATACATTGTCGCTTTCGCAGTCACCCTTGCGGAAATTGTCGTCGGCTGTTTCGCCATCTGCAGTCGCTGGGGCAGCTGTGTCACCACCCTGTTCGCTGTGCTTGCTTTCCTGTTCACCACCGCCGCCTCTGTGACCGCCACGGTGCTCTTCTCCATCTTCAAGTCCTCTCTGGGTCCAACCCTGAAGGCCTATGGCATCCAAGTCTCCATGGGTACCAACATGTTCGCCGCCACTTGGTTGGCTGTCGCTTTCTCTCTGGGTGCTCTCATCTTCTGGACCTTCAGCGTCTGCTGCTGCTCCGGTCGCTCGCCCTACGGTCCCCGCAATGAAATCAAGTCGCGCAATCTCGCCAACGAAAAGGCCCCTTACACCTACGAGCCGCTGGGCGCTGGTCAAACACCTTATGGTCACCAGCAGCACACTTCCTACCCACCCCCGGTCGCCCACGGTGGCGACCTTTCCAAGTCGCACAACAATCAACGATCCAGCGCCTACGAGCCTTTCCGTCACGCGTAAGGGACGTGCAATGAGGCTGTCTGCCTATCCATCACTACGAAAACTTTTCTTGCCATGGAAATTGCATGTGTTCATTATCAGCGCTTTCTTGAATGACTTTTCGTTTCTTGGGCGTTTATATCGAGATTCCCCGTGAACCACCTTCTGTGGGAGTGAGGAATGTTTTTCTTGCATATTTTTCATGCCTATATGTACCTTTCGACCACTTACGAATTCCCTTGACTTCATGCTACTATAGCAAAATTTGCCGGCGGGTGGCTGATGATTCGAACTTTTGAATACACTTGATCACGAGAGTTACAGCACATACATGCATGTCTATCTTTGAAACGTTCACATTAAGGTATCCGTAATCATAATCTGAGACACCGCTCTTTTTTTCCCACCTAACGTCGCGTTGCGAAGGTATCTACTGGGTATTGAGTATATGCATTCAATGACCAGTACAACAAGACCATTCCTGGTGTCGGCCCGCTAACTTCTTAATGAACAAGTCTTTGGAGTGACCGTCGCAAAGACTCCACGGAAAGATCATGCCCAGGATCCTCAGAAGGAGCCGCTCAAGAGCGATATGCCAACAAATTTAGGTAGCAAGTAACCTCCGACACAACATTCAAGTACAGTAGACCTGGGACTGTAACTACATCTCAAAGGCTGCCTTGTTCTCGTGGAACAGATATATGATGTTTTTGCCTGCCGGGCAGTAAGCTACTTACGTCACGAACCGCGAGGTGGTCTCTGATGGACTCGGTAAATCATGATGGCCTGGGACAAAGGCAATAACAGGCAGAAATGTCAGACACGTCGCTTCAATGTTGCGCGAGTGGAAGAGAGTAAATTCGCATTAATGAAAGCTTCTAAACATGAGGAACACCCGATACTCTCAGACTTCATTTTCAACGATTCACGGGCCTGCGGATAACCCCCTTCTCGTCAAGAAGAATCTTGGCCCCGCCCCGTCGTCGACGCTCCCCCAGAACATTCTGGTCGCCCTCCGCCCACGACTTGAACGGTGTATTACGGTCATCAGACCAAACGGGACTTGTTTCTGATCCACCTTTGTCCCATGTACGACGAAGAGAGCTGAACCAACTAGCCCATTCTTTTTGTTCTGTACCATCGCCATGCTCGTCCTCGGGTTGAGTTTCGGGGATCTCATCTTGGGATAATGGGGATCGGGCGGAGAGGAACGTGTCGTCACCAAGTTCAACACTGGCGGTCTCGTGCCGACTGTCGTCGGCTTCGAGTTCTTGCTCGGGTGCGGCCACTGGCTCGACATCGGGTTCTTCCCCACCCGTTTCAGAGCTGGCCTGGTCTTTGGTATTGGTTGTTTCGATTTCGTCGTCTTCGTCCAGATCTTGGTCCACGTCGGTATTCGCTACTTCCTCATTCTCGCCTGTTGTGGGCTCGGCTTCTACCATCAGAATATCATCACTGCGTCCTGGAATCACGAGGGCTTGAATCTGCGCATCAGGGGACTCTTTGCGGTGGTCTTTATTGAACCCAGGTGCTGGGATGTGCGTATAGGTACTTGGAGGGTCTAAATGCACACCGAGGATCTCATGGTAGTTTCCGGGGTTTTCCGTTGCCGTGCCCTCGACCTTCACCTGGACAGAGAACGGGGTCGTCTCAATCGAGGATGGTGCTTGGGTCGACAATAGATGCGCATCATCTTCGAATAGAGGGAGACCATTTTCCACAGGTTCTGTGAAAGAACGTGCTTGAAGATTGGAGAACTTATCCACGAAGCTTTCTGTGAGTGGGTCGTGGACTGTTTGCTTTGGGCTAGTCGTCGGTACAGAATTGACCGGACTATCTGCTTGCGTAGACGTCATATGATCGAGTGAGTGGCGCTCGGACGCAATAAGCGCAATGCTGTAGCCCGAGAGACTTCGCTTCTTGTTCACTGTCTTGGTAAAATTGCGAACGAAATACGCTTCGTAGTCAAGTGGCGAGGGGTCCATATGAGTTTCGCAATGGTCAAGATAGGGCATATAAGCCTGGAGGTGTTTGATCACAAAGTCATCCCACATGTTTGACCGTTGCAACAATCCCCGCTCTCTTACGACTTGCAATTTAGCACAGAGCTCCGTGAAGTGGGTATAATCTCCAAAATAGTTCGGGTAATCAGCGCGAAATTTCCTGTACACCTCCTGCGCCTCGACCGAACGGTGTGAGGTACTGAGAAAGCCTGCGCGTTGCGCCACAAGATCCGCATCTTGGGTGGCTGATGTGCCCTGAGGTCGTTCTTGAACATCTCGCACTTCCCGAGGATTCGCGCTAGTAGACTGAGGTTGGCTTGCGAGGAGGGTATGATCATCTCCGGCAGGTGGAATGTGAGGTGAACTCTCTGCCTCAGCATTGGCGGATGTTATCATTACGGAGCCTTGGGTGGAATCCGGAGGATGTGATGTGAACATGCTTGCAGAGCTCGTGAAAGGCTGACTCCAAGGGCCATTCAACAATTTCGAATCCCCACGGTCGTTGTGAACTTGGCATTGATTTGGCTCAGAGGATTCCGGGATGAGACCATGCGTCCAAGTTTCAGTCGTGCACTGCGAGAACAGACCAGTTCCACTGGACTGGGTTTGAGGTACATCGATCCCAGTCTCCATCGGCGATTCGTCATGGCCGGGAGGTGATGACTCGGGCATCGATTGATCAAGAGCCCTACTCTTCTCGTGACTCCCTACAAATGGGTAAGTGTTAGGCACTCGAGACTGCGACGAATTCTTGTTGCTTGGTGATGAGAGTTGAGGACGTCGTTCATCAAATGTCTTTGAAGTGCTTTCCAAAGTATCGGGTGGCCGAGTATGACCCAACGAAGGGGTCACTACAACCTGAACGCGATCCTTGCTCCCTTGAGAGCATGCTTGGTTCGCGATCTTTTCTTCCTGCTCATATTGACTGTTCTGTGTCGGCGGTAAGCTTTCGCCGAGCGCAAGAGGCACCGCATTCTCCATGACGGATTCCTCATCGCTTGAATCATCATCGATGTCGTTGTCATCTTGCTGATACTGGCCATAGCCATCCAGATGCAAGGAATGTAAATTGCTTCTGATTTGCGATGGGCCCTGCAGTGGGGTTTCCGCAGGCTGTCGGTCCAGTGGCATTGAATTTGGGTTGTTTGTGACGACCATTGAATCCTGAAGAGTTCCTTGTTGTGGTCCGTCGCAATCGATTTCCATAGCCTGACTTATGAGGTTCATTCGACCTGATCGAGATATCGAAGGGGTTTCTGGTGGATTCTCCTTATCAGGTGCTTCCTTGGTTGCCGCGATAGGCCCGTTGACTTGTGACGAAGGCTCCAGTTTATCGTCATGAACAGCCGCTTCAGCCTGGGTATTCGGGCTTCCGCGACGGTCCACGTGCTCAAAGATTGCATGTCTCGGCATGAATGAAGCCTGCCTTACAGGGCTACTTTCAGGTAATCGATTAGGAGGTGGCCGAACAGGAGAACTCGGCCAATCCTCATGAGTGCTGATTTCGATTTCAGAGGACGAGGTAGACCCGGGGCTTGATCTTGAATTCATTCGACTTGCTGCATCATTTTCCTTGGCACGCTCTTCGAGGCTGATTCTGTGCCTTATTCGAGCAATGTCGTTCCATTGCTGTAAGAGACCAGGGGGAACGTGACCACGAGGCTCAGGGTCTCCCGGAGCTGGCGGGATCCAGCAAAAGCTTTTTTCGAGAAGTTCGACCTGATCCTTCGGGATAGCGACGTCACGAGAGGAAATTTGTGTCTGTCCCCCCATGGATCCTCCACTGGGGGTCGACTCTCGGTTCTTGGACCATTCGCATCTTCCTCAATATGTGTGAGATGGGATATTTCCGCATCCTCAGGGAGAGACACTATTGATTGGCAAAGCTGAGCGCGGGGCCCAGATTCCTCGATACGCTGTCTTTTGGTGAAAGCGGGCGAGTCAACCCTAGCCCTATAAGTCGCATCAGATCGTGTGTCGTCCTTAAGCTCCAGCTCATCATGACGCCTTTTTCGTGAGGATGTGACTCTACTACTTTCGACCGAACGATGGCTGTTTGTGTGTACAGCGGGCCCTATAGTAGTGGACGGAGCACTGCGCTTGGGATCACAAGAGGCAAGCGATTCTCTCGTCCAAGACTTATCCAGTCCCAGACCCCGGAGTTCAGATCGGGCCTCTTCACATGGTTGAGACGAGATTGAATTCTTCGAAGGCGATGACGATCGGCGGCTGTCTAGTTCGACCCCATGAATGCTGGTCGTAGCATTAGAATTAGATTCTTGGTTGGCTGTCTGTTCACTGTACGCTGACGAAGGCCGTGCTTGTCGCGAGATCATGCGAGCCGGTCTGTCGAGATGTTGAAGGAGGTTCTGGGGGTCATGTCGGAGGCGACGATCCATTTGCACATTACTCTGTGGCCAGTCATAGTCATTCCGATGAACCTGAGATAATACTGCATGCGACTGTGTCCCATAATCTTGCTGGTCCAAGGGCTGAGAAGATTCGAGAGCCGCTGCTTCTGTAAGTCTTTGGTGTGCAATGGGTGCTACTTGTCGATCCGTGGAGCTCTCCTTGGCTTTCACTTTTCGAAGGCTTTTGTCGAGCAATTGTTTGATGTTTTGATTCTTGCGCAGCTTCTTCGATGGCGTCAGCGCCTTGATCGCTCCCTCCTGCCACAATATGCGGTGTTTGCTAATTCTCAATTGCAGGTCCGGGGTTGGGGACGAGTGCGTGAGAGCCAGTTCAAAATCCAGTAGCTGCACTCTATGTTTCCGGGGACTTCGCTCATTGTGAATTGACTCCGACCCCAAAGGGCTTTGGTTGCCTGAGTTGGTTTCAAAGATCGCTTGCAATTGGTTATCCGCATCCATCAACTGGGCACCGTTGTTGGAAGGACCTACAGCCCACTAAATGACATCGCCACCCACTTAGCAGATTGATCAGTTCGGAAAACAGATCGCATGCTTACCTCCAGGATGGCGGCAAACGGCGCGAAGCCAATTTGCTTGAAGTGTATCGTTGCGCCATCGTCGTGAATGTCAACGCTCTCGTGGCTGGTTTGACCCGTGTATGCGGCGAGACACTGCTCCACAAAGGTAGCAAGCCAGGGAGCTGGAACACTCATCTTACATGCCGAATTGCCACATCGGCGCACGTCTCGAGCGCGCTGGGTTCTGAACGCAGCAAGCGGACGATGAACGGAGTTCTGCAGTCACACGATTTTCGCATGTTCAAGTGTCAGAACCGACGTTCCTGATAATCGATAAGACGCGTCCGCTAAAGAGACGAGACCCGCTTTTAAGGTACTACCGAAGGGAGTGGACTCGCCTTCCCGACCGATTCGCGGAACGTGCAGGCGGGGCAGTAGTCCTTTCTTGAAGGACTTCAGTCACTCAGTGCGAGGTGCGGAGGGAGACATGCCAACGGCGGCCGATGTTATTATTGATGGTGGTGGATAGTGATACTGATCCAAACGACAAATTCGCTAGCAAAAGAATTGGGAATCACGACCGTGTCACGATGGTGGAGATCCAGGTCAGGTGATCCGGCAGGCTTTGTCAGTGTGGAACGAACGGCCGGCGATAGGTAAGAGTCCAATGTGCCAGCAACCCCAAGAGTCCGCAAGTTTGTATATCCAGAAACCTCCTTGACCTTCAAAGCATGCTGCCCTCTGTGCGGTCATCTTCTTGATACTCGCATCTAGACCTCTTGGAGAGATCATGTCGAGAGTAGCATGGTCGTAACAAGACCACCTAGAAGTAGAACTCTCCAGCCGCCTCAAATATGTAAGTATAGGAGTTGCTGTTGAACAGAAATAGATTGCCTCTGTCTGACTTCAGGGCCGTCGAATCCATTAAGCTTCTTTATCTACAGTACTGCCCCGCAGTCTGCCTTTGTATAGTTCGTCGTCGGGAATTGAACTTACTTCATCCAGTTGGAGGCGGGTCAGGCTGCGAAATATATGAGCATTTGCTAGGATATTTCGACACTGGCAGGCGTACCGCAGTGATGCCCATCTTGAAGATGGAATATAGAGCAGGGGAAATCCGGGATGATGATGGTTACTTAATGATTGACATTTTGCATAGGTGCGTACAACAGGAGAGAGAATCATGGACAGCGACCGGTCTCGCAATGACGGTCTACATGGTTCACATGTATCAACTTACTACTGTACGCAGCTGTCATTGCCAGTCATGAGACCGATGAGGTGGACGGCTCAATCGGCTGGACGGGAGTGCCACCATCGCAGCTGGAGCTGAGGGCCCGGGCGATCTGAGCTGAGTCAGCAGTTTGCCCCAACCCAACTGGATCTTCCACCAAATCACCGACGGACGTCATACCGTAAGCTAAAATGGCATAGTAGTACATGCCTACATGGATTGGGCGTCAATGCATAAGGTGGGGATTACCTTAGCGACCGATGTTTACTAGCACACCTCTCACTCTGAGCTTTCCAGTTGATGTTTCTCAGAGAATCTTGAAGCCGCTTTCTCGGCAGAGCAAGAGGCTTCATTCCACGATCAACGCAGCTCTCATGAGACCACCCCCGCTTCGCGGTCATCACCTCCCCCAGCGTGACTCGAACATGCATACGGCTTCCACAGAATTCTGACTCTTCCGGAGTCATTCACGACCATGGATTCGCACTCACAGGACTTCCAGAGCCCTTCGTTCTTTTCGGACGATTCGCTGCTCGGCGCACCTCCGGCGAGAGGTGCCCTTACTCCAACGAAAACAGACCGAGGAAACAAGACCACGGCGCTCGACCAGATTCACAATGCGGCTTACCAGACCGATTCGTTGACACTGTTCAACGATTTTACCACTCCTCCGGCGTCACTCCCCGTTTCAGACAATCCGCTTGTCTCGGATGATCTACATGGGGGCTTCAGTGGGCTCTATAGCCGACTGAGGACATCAGTTGGGGGGATGCGAGATATTGTCAGTGGTGGAACAAAGTCTACGTCTCACAATGCGGGGGAGGGCTCTGCGGTCAAAAGTCCAACGTCAGAGCGTTCAATGTCCAAGTCAATATCGGATCTCACCATCGGCTCGGCCGAGAGCCAGTCCTCGTATCCGAATTCTTCCCAGGGCTCGAGAGTGCACTCTCCGCTGGTCCCTGCTTTCCATGCTGTAGCAGAACCTTCTCCGCACTCCAACATGATCAAAGGCGTCAAAAACCCCACGAAACCCTTGAGCATTTCCTCCAAATCCTCCGCGCCTCCTGGTCTTGGGTTGAAACCCAGCCTTGCTCCCTTACAAAAGTCCCCTGGCAGCGTTTTTGCGGTGGACCCTGCCATTACACAAATCAACGTGAACGCCGTGGGACAATCCCGTCATTCGCGCAGTAGCTCACTCAATGTGCCAGCTCGCAACTTCCACCATGCCGCGCCAGGCACCATTGGTGTTCAAGATCCGAACCAGGACCTAACTCTCAGCCAGGCTTCATCGGTCAACACCCAGAGTTCCACACAATCACCTGTGATGACAACTTCAACGAACGGAATAGGAGGTAACGAGAAGGAGGGATCTGGCTTGCTTGAAAGCAACGACGTGGTGTTCTCAACAAATCAAGTGATGGAAAGCAAACCCCGGAAATCCTCGACTGCCGACCAGTCCAAAGCTTCCAGTCGCTCTTCTGTGTCAACAACCACTGGGGTCTTCAAGACTTCGGATCACACTTCGGACACCAAATCGCAAATCCAGGGAAGTATGTCGCATGTGGACTTGACTGGTGAATGCGATGAATCCTCATCACTGGCACCACAGCAACGAAATAGCACCTCGAAAGTCCCTTCTCCAGACGAGGGCTCATCCGCCAATGGTCTTCTCCAAGACAGTACGAGATCGAACTCACGAGCTGAATCCGCCATCAACGCCCCGGCAACAGCTTCTCTCGATTCAGCGTCAGCTGCTTTCTCCGGGAAACCGTTGCCGCTGCCCGCTAAAACGCGATCACCACACCCAGTCTTGTCGCGAGTCTCTACCGGAGGAAGTAATAATACCGTCTGTTCCTTGCCACCACTCAATACAGCAGTGACTCGACCCCCAGTTAAGCAAGCCAGAGCCAAGCGTCAGCAGGCCACTGGCGATGGTGTCCTCTCCCAGTTGAGGAGTAGGTTACTGAGCCGAGATTTCTGGATGCGCGATGAAAATGCGAGGGACTGCTTTCACTGTGGAGAAACTTTTACTACCTTTCGCAGAAAACATCATTGTCGCACCTGTGGTCAGATATTCGACTCTAAATGCACCCTCCTGGTACCAGGAACGAAATTCGGTCAACCGGGGACTATACGTGTCTGCAAACCCTGCGAAGCAATGATAAATGCTCATGAAGATGATTCTTCTGAGTATTCCGATAGTGAACAAAGTCCGATCATCGTCACTCCTCGATTTTCTGACATTGGTTGGGGTGGCCTCGGCACTCGATCCACGGGTGATGATGACGATGCGTCGTCCGTAAAGTCTCAGACGATCGACCAAATGCTCAAGACACCGACGATGGCTATTCCCGCGACTCGCCGCGCTGGTGAGGGTCATAACAGCCGCTCAGCAGTACTTGAAATTAATTCCGACCGTCCCCTGACTCGACCAACCTCGTCTCGATCACTGCGCTCCTCACTTGGAGTTCGACCTCATTCAATAGGTCACAAACGACACCACTCTCGGCAGCAGTATATTCGAAGTTTCAAACCATCCCACGAGGAGCGCGCGCCCTTCCAAAGACGCCATCAAGAAGACCTTGGCATAGAATCTCGGCTCCCAGCCTTCCACAGAGACAACATCATTGATCCTGATCTTGCGCAATATTTGTCAGACGATGCGTCGAGTGGCGATGAACAGCCTAGCATAATATCAGCCGTGTCCGAAGGCAATCTTTCCAAAGGTGGAGGTGACCAAGACAAAGGCGTAGGTCTTGGTGGATTCATTGCAGCCATGAAGAAGGGTCGTTCTGCTTTTGGTGAAAAAAGTGCCCCCAGCGTGAACCATTCGGGCCGGGAGGCGGATGACGCGAGTATTACCAGCTCGAAAGCTGTCAATTTACCGCGTTCGTCACGTCGTCGAAACTTGAGCGTTGCCAGCAGCATTCACGCACGACATTCTCCGCGGACTTCGAAAGAAACAGTATTTCCTCCCGATACTGGATTTCCTGCAACTTCGCTGGTCTCTGGGCTCAAGCACCCAGGCTTCAAAATGACCCGAAGCTCGTCAATGAGAAGAGCGGGAACACCGCCCACTGAGCTCAACAAGGCCAGTCGTGAACATGTGAAGATGCTTTTGCGGCAGCTACTTCAGGACGCTTCATTACCGAGCATGAAGAGCTGGGAAAAGGCTCTCACGCCGATTTTACTCAAAGCCGCAGTGGAGGTTGATCCAGATGTTCAGCGGGGAGATGACATGGATATCCGACATTACATCAAATTAAAGAAAATCCCAGGAGGTAAGCCTGGAGATACATCTTACGTGTCAGGTCTCGTCTTCACCAAGAACTTGGCCTTGAAGAGTATGCCAAGACATATCACTCGTCCCAATATCTTGATCATCACTTTTCCCCTCGAATACGCGCGCCAGCAACAACAATTTATGAGTCTAGAGCCTGTCATCCGCCAGGAACGGGAATTCTTGGAGAATCTGGTCAGTCGAATAGCCGCGTTGCATCCTAACCTGTTGTTGGTCGGAACAAACGTGTCAGGTCTAGCGCTTGCTCTTCTTGAGCAAGCAGGGATCGCAACAGCCTACAATGTGAAACCATCTGTCCTCGAGGCAGTATCCCGATGCACCCAAACGAGAATTGTCACGTCCATGGACAAACTCTTAACAACTGAGCTTCGGAGTGATTGCAGCAGTTTTGATGTCAGAACGTATGTCCACAATGGTCGAAAGAAGACATACATGTATATCTCCGGTTGCCCCAAAGAGCTAGGTTGCACAATCGTTCTGCGAGGTGGCGATGCAGAAGTGCTGGGGAAGGTGAAGCAAATCACCGAATTTATGGTGTATGTCGTGTACAACCTTCGGCTCGAAACCTGCCTCATGCGAGACGAATTTGCAAAAATACCGGCGCAGACAACGACTCCGGAAACCGACGCAAATGGATCTGTCTGCACTGAACAGCCAAGTAGTGATCATGGCGGCATTTCATGCCAAGCTGACGGCCAAGAGTCTGATCTTGCTCAAGAGAAGCATTCTGAACGCCAAGAAAAGCAGCTACCTGTATTGACGGAGACTATTGATGTTCCAGACGACGTTCCGATGCCAACCTACCATAATGATTTGGTGCACGATCATCAGACCAAGATTCTCTCCGCCTCGCCGTTCGTGAAGTTCGAGCCTCCCTACCTCCTTATGCGAACAAGAGAAATGGAAAGGCGTTTGGAGTATCTCAAGCGCCTTCGTGATCAGGTCCACATACCTGAGCAAGACCCAGAAGTACAAAGCAAAGCCCAAAAATTCGTCCTCGTCACGCCCCAAATGGTGCAAGCGTCCCCTCACGATGCTTCACCTAAGGTCAAGGAGGTTCTTCGTGCAGCGCATGATGCTGAATATGATCGCGCCGTCTACCACTATCAGACACAAAAGAGGCAATGGGAAGCATATGTGACAGGCAATTCCAACCTGTTCGATCCGTATGCTCATCAGAACATCGTGGTGCTTTTCAGCCTAGTATGTACGTCAACTTCCGTACCTTGCTCAGGTCCCGATACTTTCGCACTTGAATTCTACAATGAGCATGGCGACGACACAACGTTTGAACCAGACTGTACAGTTGGGCAGTTTGTCGAGGATCTCTGTCACACGGCAAACGCAGTTTGCAATGTGAATGGGTGCGAAAAGCGAATGTTTGAACATCACCGCCAATATGTTCATGGGGATGCTCAGCTTAGCATTCTCGTGCAACCATATCCATCGAAACTTCGGGGTATGCAAGAAACCATCCTGATGTGGAGTGTTTGCAAAATTTGCGGCAATGAGACCCAAGTCATACCAATGTCTGAGCATACATGGAAATACTCGTTTGGGAAATACTTGGAGGTCTCTTTTTGGGGGCGAAATATGCACGCGCGCGCCGGAGTTTGTCCTCACGATCTCCAAAGAGATCATCTACGCTATTTTGGGTTCAAAGACATCGCCATCCGAGTCCAGTATGACCCGATTCATCTACTGGAGATTGTTGTCCCACGTCCCCGCGTCACCTGGAAAGTGGACAATGACTTGAAGCTGAGGAATCAAGTATACATGGACACCTCAGAACGGTTGAGCAAATTCGTGAGATCTGTGCAAATTCGCTTGAACGGGATCAATGTCCAAAGCGTCTTGCCTGAGCTAATGGAGGAATGCACAGCAAAAATTGAAAGTCTTCATCAGAAAGCGCAGGATGACAATTTTCTCCTGAAGGACTGCTTACAAGAGAAGTACATGAACTCTCGATATTGGGAGGTCATACCGCTCAATGAGGTTTTACGCGCGATTCAGGAGAAAGTTGTTGAGTGGGACATCATTTTCGCCGAATTTGAAAGGAGCTATTTTCCATCTGAGAAAGATATCAAAAGACTAGCAACATTACAGCTGAAAAAGATCTTCTTGGACAAGGATGCAACATCGATGACCACGGAAGATGGTACACAAACACCGGCCGAGACTGAAGACGATACCAACGCCGTTGATGAAAAAAAGCCGCGGATGATGAGGCGAATGACCCTGTCGCCAGAGAAGGCTCAGAACGTGCTCGTCTCCGTTGTTGAAGAGCATACAGGCAAAAAGCAACGGGGTAATCTACCTGACACCCACAATCTGAATTCGTTGCCCCGAGAAAGTGACGAATCCGTGCTCGAAGCCGACACTGCCGATCAAATGGCCTCATCGCCACGCGACAGGGCCGTCGTGCAAGAAGAATTCCAACACCTTGACTTGGCGGTATCACCCGGTCAGTCGGTGCGACCAATGGATGGCTCGATTCCTTCCGCCGAGCTCACTCGGCGTAAAGCAGACGACACGCCATCTCCTGCTGAAGGCAGCCTGCGCACCAACTCCAACAGTGACAATTCAACCGCCCCTCATCCAGAGTCTACGGCCAGCACGAGTGAACAAATGGATGAGCAACGCGTGTTTGATCCTTCGAGCACACCACCGAGTCGACCATCAGCCATCCCGAGGCTTGCTGAGGGGGTTTTCAGGCGGACTGGGAAAGCACGGTCGCCTCCTTTACTTCGAGCACATTCTCAGCCAGCCCATCTCCTGCGAGAGAAGTCTTTCGGCGCAAGACTGAGCCAGACCAATTCGAACGAGTCCAACGGCTCGCGTAGTGATTCTAATAAGTCATCAGATAAGAAGTTCACTGATCGACTGGCGCTTACAGTCCTCAAGAATGGACGTTTCGCACCCGGCCAGTCATTGATTCCTCGGTCAACTCCGAAGCGAGGAAGTACAAGAGTCTCTAATCTTGCCAAGCATTTCGAGCAATTGACCCGGGAGTTCGAGAAGGAGCGCCAGCGTGAAAGAACTCAGAGGGCAGCGCGTGGCTCTTACTCGCGTGTGTTTCCGCGTGCTTCTTCCAAGCCCATAGTTGAGGTTTATAGAAATGTGAAAGAAGCGGTCGAAGAACGCGAACCCCATGTCGATGTTGACTCCCAGCAGCAATCGGTCGCACCGCCAAGAACTTCCGACGAAGTGGGCCACCAAAGCAGTCAATCAGCAGGCGATCCTACTTCAGAGCTTCTTACTAGGTCTCCTGGTCAGGTGTCCTTCGCCGAGGCATCCGAAGCGAGGGGTATCCCAAACTCTGAGACCCAGCCCACATCTGATGGCGAGCATGATGACGGGCGAAGTGACGAAGAACATATCAGCAATGAAGATCTCCATCGCATGGATTCTCAGGAAGAATCCAAGACGATACACGATGACGAGTCAATGGATTTCAAGGAGCTTCCGAAACACGAAAGAACTACGCTGCTGAAAATGTTGACGAATTTCTGGTCAGAACGATCTGCCAGTGGATGGACAGCACTTGAATACCCCCTCAGCGCTGGCGACCATGTCTTTTCTGATTGTAACATCATCGTGCGCGAGGACGAACCGAGTTCACTTATTGCCTTTGCGTTGGACTCATCTGACTACAAGGACAAGCTCGCTAGCATTCAGGAGCGACACGATAAGCCGGACAGTCAACAATCGGAGCCACCAATGCACAAGGCGGACGCATATGAGGCGTATTTGGAGCATGCACTTCTGCGGCAGACAGGCACTCATCTCAAGTATCAGTTTCAAGAGGGCCAGGCAAAGATGCTTTGCAAAGTCTTCTATGCTGAACAGTTTGAGGCACTCCGCATAAAGTGTGGAGTTTCAGATCGTATTGTGGAGTCACTTTCTCGTTGCCTCAAGTGGGACTCGAAAGGAGGCAAAACGAAGTCGATCTTCCTGAAGACTTTGGATGATCGTTTCGTCTTGAAGTCGTTGGCGCCGGTTGAGACCCAAGCATTTTTGAAATTTGCCCCCGCATACTTCCAGATCATGTCTGAAGCACTGTTCCACGACCTCCCGTCCGCTATTGCCAAGATGTTTGGCTTCTATCAGATCATCATCAAGAATCCAGCAACTGGTGTTGAACAGAATTGCTTCTTACTTCTGATGGAGAATCTGTTCTACGATCGTGCGCCGAACCGCTTATTCGACTTGAAAGGATCCATGCGCAATCGCAAAGTGGAAAGCACTGGCGAGCAGGATGAGGTTCTGCTCGATGAAAACATGGTGGATTTCATTTACGAGACACCATTGTTCGCTCGTGAGCACTCCAAGAAGCTTCTCAGCCAAAGTGTCTGGAACGATACTCTATTCCTTGGCCGGCAAAATGTCATGGACTACTCATTGATGATCGCCATCGACGAAAAGCGCAGTGAGTTGGTAGTCGGCATCATTGATTGCATCCGGACGTACACCTGGGACAAGAAGCTCGAGTCTTGGATTAAAGATCGAGGGTTTGCCGGTGGTGGTCGCAATCGTCCCACGGTGACTAGTCCAAGGGAATACAAAAGTCGATTCAGGGAGGCTATGGCGAGATATGTCCTCCAGGCACCCAGGTAAATTCTGTCGTCGCTCTTCGAGGCTGGAAACAAAAGCTAACATGCCACTAGTTGCTGGCACCAATTCCAATCCAGTACTATGTACCGACATTCGCAAGCAGATAGCTCCTTCCACGGGCCACATGACCCCGATGCATCTGATGGACCTGAACCACGTGGTTCTCAGTGAATTATCGCTTTTTGACTTATATTTCTGTTGCATACATTGTGAGAGTACTTGTAACGAGTGACGAGCCCACGACCATGATCAGCTATTCCAGCGATGTGTTTTAGTATTCCATAAATCAAACAAGGTGTACCTGCCTTATCGTGACTTTGAACCACGTATAATCTTGTAGCGCGCCGTGAGAACGTCGCATCTCAGCAATGTCAACGTCTCGAAGCAAGATTGAGCTCGAGGAAACGAACGGATCCTCAATTCCGAGGATATTACAATCTACATCAACAGCCTCATAACACAAGAGTCCCGTACGAAGAGATCGGACCGTTCTCGGACATTCAGAATCAAAGGTCATGCGCTCGTGAATCCGGCAGCTCACTGGGGCCATTCCCATGTGCCTCTCGGCGAAAGTCGGGACCGTACGGATTGGAGCCGCGCTAAGTAACAGGGGTCTTGAATAGAAAATCCCGAAAGGTCTTTGACTCGATGAAATTTCCATTCTAAAAAAAATGTGTTGGCACATTGTGCAACTCGAATTTTCAGTTCCCGCATGGCCTGTTCCTTTGACAATGCGAATGCAGTGCGCCTGGTGTTCTGCACCGGCTTGAACTCAGACAAGCCCGGGTCCGTGTAAGGGGTGCGCAGGACATGGATACACAGAGATATGCCCGGGCCGGGGCACTTGCCTCGGCCTGCGGTTTGAGCGCCGCGCAAGCATTGATGAAGCGAAGCGTTCGCCCGTTTTTTTTTTTTACTCTCCCCTTTCCCAGACTTCGGGTCTGGCAATTCTCCGGTAATGCCTCAATGTATTCCTCTTCACCCATTGTCTTCTTCGTCGAGGGTCTTGAGGGAAGGGAAACCGTGATATGTCGCCCGAAATGTCGAGCTTGCAGTCGATTGAGTTTGAAGTCCACGACAAGCTGATCATGGTCGCGAGTTGTGATGAATACGAAAAATCATTCCCAATGGACAAACTGAGACAACTTCAATCGGTCATTAGTGGTCATGGAAAAGGAGCACCCTCTGCTGCTCCTCCTCACCAATTCATCTAGCCCGCACTTCATTTTCACGTACATCATGATGTGGTCTTTTGCAGCCCCATCTTGAGAACGAGCATTGACGACTCAATCTACATCGGATATGAACAAAGCACAGACAAGCTTGTGTATGAGACAATGGCAAGTGATTTTGTGGCCATTCAACGAGAAAAAGAGGAAATAGGTATGTGTATCCTTCCATCGCACCAGTACGAGAAACCCCAAAGCAAAAGACGAAAATAGAACAAGGCAAACTAAAGAGAAGACCGGGAATCTAGACTCGAGACCCCATCCCAGATATCGTCGTCAAAAACAATCTACTCCATAGACAAGCCGAGGTTCTCCTCAGCAGGAACCACACGAACAGTGTTGGTGTGGCCCATGCCGCCACGCCATCCCTGGACGCAGACGATGGGGTCGCCCTTGTTGATGATGCCGAGCTTGAGACCGTGGTTGATACCCCACTTGAGGCGGCGGTCGACGTCCTCCTGCCAGATCTTGACGTTGAAGTCGGGCTTGCTCTCGGGGAAGTAGAAGGGCCAGACACCACGGTACAGGTGGGAGTACTGTAGACAATATGCGTTAGCTGTGAGCGACTCGACTATTGGGACATTACAGCACTTACCCGGGAAGCAGTGGCATTGCGAGTGACCATGATGATGGGGCAGACGGGGCGGTACTTGGACAGAAGACGGGCAGTCTTGCCGCTGGTGGTCAGGACGACGATGGCGCCGGCGTTCAGCTCCAGACTGGCGCTGACAGCAGCCATGGCAATGGACTCGGAAGTCTCGGTGGGGCGAGGAGCCAAGTTGCGGAGCTCATCGAAGATCTGGAAGTGGGGGATGGTGACCTCGGCCAACAGGCAGGTCTCGTGCATCATCTTGACGGCCTCACAGGGGTAGTTACCCTTGGCGGTTTCACCAGACAGCATGACACAGTCAGCGCCGTCCAGGACAGCGTTGGCAACGTCGGAAACCTCAGCACGGGTGGGGCGAGGGTTGTAGGTCATGGACTCGAGCATCTGAGTGGCGCAAATGACAGGCTTGCCCTTGATGTTGCACTTGGCGATCATCATCTTCTGGGCGATGAAGACCTTGGGGGCGGGGATCTCAATACCAAGATCACCACGGGCAACCATGACACCGTCAGTGACCTCGAGAATCTCATCAAAGTTGTTGACACCCTGCTGGTTCTCGACCTTGGCAATGATCTGAATCTCCTTACCCTCCTCGCCGAGGACGTCACGGATGCTCTGGATGTCGCTGCCACGGCGGATGAAAGAAGCGAAGATCATGTCAACGTTGTTCTTGACACCGAACTTCAAGTCGCTGATGTCCTTCTCGGACAAAGCGGGCAGGTCGACGTCGGTGCCGGGCAAGTTGACACCCTTGCGAGAGGAGATGTTGCCGTTGTTCAAGCACTTGACGCGCAGGGTCTTGTCGTCCACAACTTCGAGGACCTCGAAAGACAGGATACCGTCATCGACATAGATGAGCTTGCCGGGGGAGATCACCTTGGTGATGTTTTTGTAGTCGACAAACCTGTGTTGTTCAAAGTCAGTCTTCGAGATTCAATACTGATCTTCCACGCTCGCCGGACGCTTTGTTTGCCCGTGGAAATTGGTTGGAATTTATACGCTTGGAAACGTACATGTTCTTGTCATCACTGGCAGTGGCATAAGCCTCATCGGTGGTGATGTTGAGCTCAGTGCCGGCAGCGATAGGGAAGTCCTTATCCTCGACGGTGTTACCAGTGCGGATCTCGGGGCCCTTGGTGTCAAGAGCAATGGCCAGGGGACGACCGGCCTGAACGCGAGCAGCCTCGCGGGCGTTGTCAATCACCGATTGGTGGTACTGGTCAATGTTAGATTGCACCATCTTTTCCGTCTGGCTGACAGCTGAATGGATGGAGCGCATACCTCATATGAACCGTGGGAGAAGTTCATGCGGACGACGTTCAGGCCAGCTACATTCAAGTCAGTCAAGGTGAGACGCTTGGCACTTGGAGAAGATAAGCTCTCTCTTACATGCGCGCAGGGCGTTGATCTTCTCAACGGAGTTGGTCTTGGGACCTGCACCACAATTGTTCGTTAGTAAAGACGGACGATTCCCAATACCGAGAGACCGCTAAAAGCTCCCGATAGAAGCTCAAGGCAGTAGTCTCAGAGGATACGAGAGTGCATCATACCAATGGTACCGATGATGGAAGTGCGGCGGAAGTTCTTGGCCGGGACCATCTCGGTGTTGAGCTTGGAGTGCCACTCCAGCTTCATGCGGTTGGACAGGTGGTCGAGGGAGGTGGTGGCGGCCATTTTTGATGTGCTGGACCAACTTAATGGGACAAACTGCAAGAGAGGTGAAGGATGGGGAGAAGGAAGAAGGAAGTGAGTGGGATTGAAGAGGATGGAAAACCGGGGATGGAGAAAAGCTAAGAGGGGAGGAGAGAAAAGAGGATGAGGGGCGGGAGGGAAAAATGTTGGCCGATGTTATCTCCGCCCACCGCGCGCCCACTTCTGACCGCAGGACGAGTTGGTTGAAGTACTGGACTAGCGCACTGGAGAGAATCCTCGACCTCCTTTTGGCATTGGCGCATAGGAACTACTGCATCATGGACGCATCGTTCCCTCGTAATTTCTGCTGACTTGACCTCACTCCAAACTAGTGTAGAATTTAAGTCCATTTGCTTTCTCTTTTGCCCAAAATCTCTGCCGTTAGCCCGATAGTTACAGGGGATCATCGATGTAGGTACATTGCGCAGTGTACAATCTACACTGCACCCGTCATCCTGCAGTGGCTTGTATTATTTTTGTAGATGAGGGCTAGACACGACGGCAGTGAATAAACTTGGAAGCCGCTTTTTGCTGCTCGAAGTATACTTGCAATGGCATGGCCCTTTTCGAGAGATTTCCGTGAAAGTCAATTGAAGCTGAGTCGATAGGAGGTAGATAACGACACATGTGTACCAGGACTCGAAATTGAAGTGAAAGGTCAGGCCGTTTCTCCCATTTGCCTCCCTACATCATATCTGAGTACGTTCACTACTACTACTACTACTACTACTACTACTACTACTACTACTACTACTACTACTACTACTACTACTACTACTACTACTACTACTACTACTACTACTACTACTACTACGACTACCTTATTTTCATACTATGAGAGCAGTAGTACTCTCATAGTAGAACTATGATAGTACTATGCTCAGTATGCTGCAAGCCCCTCCACTCGAGGTACCCGTGCTCCTCGCAAGCGACGCCAATCACCCAATCTCCAATGCCGTGGTCGGCTACAGGGGTCCCTCCAAAGTCCAAATAGTCTATAGTCCGTAGTCCATAGTCCAGAGACTCCATACATGCAACAAAGAATTTCGAAGCCTGGACAGATCGCAAAAGCAAGGCTCCCTGCAAGATGGGACCCCCCGTGCTGGGCTTCGCGCCGTACATTGGAGGCCCATTATCGAGTAACTGTGACAAATACGGACACCCAATCTGCCGCTGCTGGCCCTAGCAAACAGTTACCACCGTGGCACCGTGTGGCACCGATCCGGAGCGGAGGACTCGGCGAAAATGGACGTCGGTGGGCATTTCAGTTCAGCCTTATCGATAAAGCACGGCTGCTGCGGTGGAGGGCGGGAGCTGGGCGCATTGCTGCATTCGGTGCATTGCCGCATACCCCCGACTTGTTTCGTGGATGTCTAGTAGCATTCAACGGTTGACTGCGAACCCAATTGGAAGTTGACAATTACATGGTCTTGACTGGGAGATGCCCCGCTTGGAGGAGTCTGGTTGTGGCACAACATGAAAGTATATCAGGGTCGTACCAACTACCTAGCAATAATATCAGGCACACACTACTCCTCGTCTCCTACGGTGGCCCTGAGCTGAACGGTGGTGGGGCACTGGGTTGTTGGAGAATTTGGAACTTATCAAGGCAGACCGCCGGGCCCCTCGTGCTGAACTGCTGACTGCTGAATCAGCGGCAGCTCACTCCAGCCACTCCCCAGCCACACAAAGTGGCTGGTGACCTCATCAGCAGTCCAGGGCTGTCATGTGAAAGTGACCCCACGTGATAGGTTGCCCGGTCCTCTACCGTCGAGAGATCGTCCCATCTCCAATCGAATAATCATAGATCTATCGAATCTATGATCTTTGCTCTCATCACCTATTACAAAATGGTATGGGTCTCCTCTTTAACATGTCTGCTATCATCTACACAAGGCAATCTGGACAACAGAGCTGATGTTTCCGGTTCCTCCTTAGCTTGGACGACTCACCCACTACGCATTCGATGCGGTGCTCTGTAAGCTACCTACTCCGTCCGAGCTCCCAACAGCCTCATGGTCCCGAGCTAACAAACTCTCTCAGTCTCCGCCTTTCTGGCCGGCGTCAAACGCTCTACTGGTCTCACGTAAATCTCCCTCGTCCATGCCACTATCTAGCTGTTTGGCCGTCGTCTCCCTCCTGTCGCACTTCACTACAACCCTCTCGTGACCCTGCTCAGCTTCCCCGAGCTGTTGTTCCCTCACGCCCTAATGAAAACCCTGGCTAACTCGATGGTCTCTCGCGCACCTCCCATGTTCTGGGTCATGTGCGTGTAGATTGCTTTCTAGCCCCAGTCTCAAATCCGATCAGATCTCTGACAGCAAAGAAGTGAAGCGCTGGATCGATAACTACTTGGGGGTTGGCGAGTGGGTCATGGACTCCTCGGTGGCGGTGATGGGCTCTTCGGGCTGGTTCGAGCGCCGGCGCTGAACTATCTCGCTTCTTTTCAGTGTTTGGACGCTAGATGGCCGAAGGCCGTGGACAAATTCAGCCAAGTAGAATGGGCCGGCCTCGCATTGTCTTTTTGACCAGTCTGACGCGCGGGCGTGGGCGTCCGGTTCTGTCGTTACGATACCGATACATAACTCCCCTTCTCTGCCTCACCTCTCACCGTATGGCGTCTTCCGGGAAATTCTCACTCTATTTGGCGATACCGCTCTGTATCTATTCCATTGCATCACTCAGTTCCCATCTTCAATGACTCGAGTCTTGTCTTTTACGACATATCACAGCCTTTTCGTGCGGGTGTCTCGGTTGGCCTGAGATTTACGATTCTGTTCATGAATGGGGCACCACCGATGACGCGTAGACACCTTAAAAATGGAAATTTCGCTCCGACGAATCTGCCATGTGATTTGAACAGGAGAACAATGACATTTGACTCTAACGAGGTCATGCTCGACCCATGGGGAATAAGGTGGAAATCGGAACCAAAATCTATACCCAAACAAGCTAAGCCAACACCCTTCAAAATGCATCAGATCTTCAAAAGCGCGTCAATATCCACGCGACGAAGGTACGAAACATGGCCCATTTCTTGCCAAAAGTGAGCAATGTAGTTTGTCGAAATCAAGATAAGCTGCGACGCCGTGTACGAGGCTGGAAGTTATACTGCGTTAGAAGACCACCCCCGAATTTGCAGAAACAGATTCAGAGCACTCACCATTACGAAAATTGATCCCAGCAACCTGTCCAAAGCTTCGCACAATACGGGCTCCGGCAAATGGTTCTTCATCTGCGATTCGGATCAATCCCCGCGGTCCGATATCATTTGCGCAAAAGGTGAGTTCTCCGCGCGGCACGTTGGGATCGCCCGTCAACTTGACAGCTCTCAGGGTGTTTCGCATGGTAAACACGTCGCTGTCTGTGTCGGACCCAACATAGGGAAGAGCAGGCTGGAGTTCTTGGTAAATCAAGAGGAACTCGCACCCATGAGCGGAATAGTCGCCCACCCAGATGCCCTGATATGGCTTCTCCGCGGTGGGTGTGTACAGTTCCGGATTGATGGTGGCATAGGTAGAGATCGAGACGGAATCGGTTGGGATGAGTCGAAATTTCGCCCACCGCTTGACGCGGAACCCGGCGGTGGATGTTCGAGATAAGCAGCTCGGTAGCTTGGGGACTGTCGAATGCGTGGCACGGGAAAGATGCTCAGAAGCGGGGATGAGGTGTGAGGGCCAGAAACGGGACGGGTCGACTTGCGCCTCTGATTCTGTTGACTCTTTGGGGCAGAGCATGAGGGAGCTGATCACTCTTCGCTCCTCACCCACCATAGGCATTCGTCGATCTGGGTCCCATGTCTGACAGGCCGTGACAGCATCCGAAGGTCTCTCGTCCTTGAGAAAAAGCACAGGTGCATCCAACCATAAGCTAACTGCAGGATCAAATGATAGAATCATCACATCCGGTCTGCCGGTCCAAAGGTGGAACCCAGGCCTAGGACGTTCTGCAACAAGACGATACGCCTCTATGACACCCCGTCGGTGGTCGTATCTTGCCAAAATCAGACCGCCAACTGCGTCGGTATCCGAGATCCAAATCTTGTTCTGAGGAATAAACCAATATGGCTGATGCGCAAGGTAGAGCCGACGAAACGAAGGAAACGGACCAGGGTCACTGATGGCAGCAGGAAGATGTGAGTTCACGAGACAGGACCAGTGGCCATCATCGGAGCCATGCTCAGCAAGTACGCGGCACGTTGCCGATACGTTTGCAAGATCTCGTGCGGAAAGATATGACAAGATCTGGTGGATCAGCTCGGGGGAAGCCGATCGATGATGTACGCTTTTTGAAAGACATGGTTCACGCGATTTTCCGTGGAGATTTCGTCGGTGGCTCGGAGCTCCTGTGGGCCGTGATCGTCGACTGGCTGCTGCATAAAACACGTTAATCAGTCTGCAGAAGAGCTTCTTGGATCTCCACCCAAGAGGTCACATGCGGATATTGTTAGAGACTTGCCTCTTCAAAAAGACCTAGGTCGGCCATTTTGTCGATGTGGTCTACTTGTAGGGGAATCGGACTGTCGCAGTGTCGGTAGGTAAATGGTCAGAACATGACATCACTCGGAGTCAAGAGGGTACTCCAAGCACATGGCAAGCTCGCGCGTGTCAGGGATATGGGCCGGGGGAGGGAGCTGTAGCTAGAGATAAGGTGAGCTCTCACACCAAAACAGCAAACGTGCACGAATGATCCAGGTACCACCAAGGTTTTTAAGCCCCAAAGATGCGATATCGCAGGCCAAGGGGGCTAAAATGAACTAGTGGGGAGGCATTCGTTGTCGATAAGATAGCATCTGTGAGGGGAAGCGTCGGCCAGTATCTGCAGAGGAGTGATCAGCACATAATCAAGATTCTTCAACACTCTACCTACAAAGTCTACCTACACCGTCCCTTGACTGTGAGAAAGGGCCATTCGCTAGAAACTTAAGTGGTAACCCCAGGACCTAATATGCTCATATGAGTGTCGCCAGCTATTAGACATTCATAGACTATGATCCACTAATTCCGTTGTGAATGGAACCCGTCAGCGCCGCGGATATTGGCAAGACATTGTATCGTGATTGGGTGGAACAAGTACAAGGCATGGAAGCCAACAATCTCCTAGATCGCGACCCCTCCACTGATTAACTTGAAACAACTGGAGGGGTTGATCAAGTAAAGAAAGACATTGATCGTCTGCTTGATATTGCCGCCGGCATTCAAGCAGAACACGGCCCATCAATTGCCGATTTGAGCCCCAATTTACTGCGTTTGATTTGGAACAGAGTTTACTCCGCAGTCCGCAACCAATGGTGTGGAGTGTCATGTGATGTCTAAAACTGGTAAGTTGTTGACATGGCTGAATCGGGAAGCCCAAGTGTGTTGCAGGACGCGTGACGAAGACGCGTGGGATTCGTCTTCAACAACTGTAGGCCCCACTTTTGGTTTGTTTATGCTGTGATATGTATACTGAACCTAGTCCCTACAGGATCTCGCATTCATGAGTCGCATTTATTAAAGCAGGGGTTGCCCGAGGTTCCTCGATGAATGCATTTAATTTCCTCACTACATTCGTTTCCCAAGTTGGCTACCTTCAGGGTTATGTCTCAATTGTTGCAGCCGACGCCTATCATTCCATTACTATCAACAAGCTCTCACCCCGAGGAGTTTCAAGTCCTCATCTGGTTAATACCACACAATAACATCTAAGGACCCAGCGAGACCATCGGTATACCCCCCGATTGCTGTTTCAGCCATTATTGAACATCCATTTACATCTCCACTGGCATGGAGACCCGACAGTCTGCGCGTAAGCGCAGAAATAGTGCAACTCCCAACGCACCAACTTTTTCTCCGATCTCGCATCGAACAAGGAATGGCAAGCGAGCAAACAACACATGCAACGCCCCAGAAACTACCACTGCAAGCACTCCGAAGAAGGCTAGAAAGCGGGTCCGATTCTCCGATCCTGGCCCCCGACTTCTCGAACCATCTCCCGGTTCGACGGGTCTTACACCGGCAATGAAGCGCAGTTTCTGTTTAGACTCAGACAGAGGTCCACCAAAGTCTCGTGAGTCGACGCCCACCCGTCATCGGGCTCAGCGCCGCAGATCAGCACCATTACCGCAAAGACGATCATCATTTGATCTGGTTACGCCTTGGGATGAAGCAATCTCGGAAAGACGAATTCAATTCACTCCCCTGCGTCAAATTTTAGACGTGCGAACGCAAAGAAGGATCAAACGATTTGGACTGAGCGATGAGATCAATAGCATTCAGCGCGAAAAGCGTCAGTCAGCCGTACATGAGAAGACACTTGAGGCTCTAAGACAGGAACGCGATGCTTTGCAAAGTGAGCTGGAGTATCTGAAGCAAAGAGTTTCGCCCGCATCGATTTCCAATGTTTGTGCAGCGGACATCCCCGGTGATGAAAATAATACCGTGGCACGGAGCCGCAGCGCTCACTCACCAGAGCTTTCTTCACTGAGCGACGACGAAGATATGCTGTCGCTTCACGACAACGCATTCATAGAGTCGACCTCGCCGGATCCTCGAGATATGCGTAGATGTCGTATACAGTCGCCTTTGGCTACACCAGCTTCCGACGATGGCGTACTCGAGACGTCCTCATGTGCAAGGACACTACGATTCCATGCGGACACGGAATCTCGAACTCTTGATATGGATCTGCAGCTGGCCAGGGATGAAAGAAGGGATCTTTTCAATGCCTGTCGTCAACATCTGTCTGCCTTTGATGACCCGAAATTCAGTGATAGTCTCAGAGGATCGTCACCTTCACCGGACTTTGTTGATAACTTGACAAAGGCTTTGACAGACCTGCTTTCACGTGCGTCTGATGCAACGCGGTCGTTGGAAGGCATTACTCAAACATGTTGCGCCCTTGGATTTGCGGGTTTGTCCTCGGAAGATATCATCGGGGACATGCAGTCGCATTTCCGGGCTGCACGCCTTGAACTGGAGCGAATCATTCCAGGCGAAACGGCCAATATAGGGCTAGGCGATGGGAAGGCTACTCTTGGTGCGCTGGTGCAAAGAGTTCGCACTCTTGCTTCCGATTTGGATTCCGAGCGCGCTTACTATTATGGATCCTTGGGACGCGAGAAAGCCCTACGAGGACAGTTTGATAACCTCCTCCACCGCTACGAAGCAGCGGCATCTAAGATCAAAAATCTAGAGGATACAATTGCGTCGTCGGCAGGCGACATGTTGCACACAAGAATGCGCCTGCAGGAACTGGAAAGTGAAGACCAGGAAAAGAGCCTGGGGATTGACAGATTAAACACCGCACTCGATAAATACCACGAAGATGTCAAAGGATTGGAAGAGATGGTTAGCAACCTGGAGACTGCGAACGCGAACACGAAGCGGAAATATAAGAAGATGATCGCAGATCTGGAAGCGCAAGTCAAGCATGAGAGGGAGCAGCGAGCCGCGGTCGAATCAGCAGCTTCGGACAATGCGCTGCGCATACGCCAGCTCGAGGAAACAATTGAGCAAAATCAGAGACGCGCGCAGGATCTCGCAATTCAGATGCAGGCTCTTGAGAATGACCATCACTCGGCTATTGAAGCGCTTGAACAGAGAACATTGAGCGGTATACAAACCCACGAAAAAGAGACTGGAGTCCTCAATGTTCAGATTTCCGACCTCACCACGTCATTGGATGAAGCGCGATCGGAAGCTCGACGCTTGCAGCAAGTCAATACTGAGCTTGAGGAACAACTCCAATTAGAAACTGAAGCTCGTGACGACCTCCTTGACAAGTGGGCGATCGAGCAAGCTCGGTCCTTTGCCTTCATGAAAGAAACGGTGAACTCGGAGCGCCGGCGGGGCAAAGTGCGTGCGGCTAACTGGGGGCTCAGATCTGATGATCTAATGTCTGATGCGCCATCTGTAATGGACAGTGAGCCCATCACCCCTGTCAGCTTGACTCGATTTGTGGATGTGGAATTGGGTCGAGGCAAGGACCGCCGTCGCATGGACAGTGACCTTGGCATTTACCCTGAAGATGACATACTTGAGAGGGAGCAATTGGAAGATTGCTAACTAAATAAACGCCGTTGCTGTTGATATCACCCTTTCCTGGCTTGTCACATGTATAGTCTTTAAATGGCGACTGCCTTCTCACAAAGAGCTATTGAAACTTAGTCTGCGAAAAAGTGTACGCTGGATTTGGAGTACTAATTCAGTGGAATGGATCTCGACTCTTTGACTGCCAGCACAGACTCCCCTCTCGGAGGCGGCTGGCCTCCTACACGCTACTGCCGTTTCATTTGGTGGCCCGGAAGCTCTTTTCACTGTTGATTGGAACGACAGCACCATCGCTGCTGTTGCGCCTGTACATCCCGCTGCGAGCACTGTGTCAGTGACGGTCACCGGCCCGGGCGGTACCAGTGGTGGCCAGAACTATGTATACACCCTGTGGCCGTCTATAATCTCTGACAGAGCGGCGATGAGACGGCTGGATTCCTGCCATCACTGTCTTGCTTTATTCTTCAAATTGCCAACCTTTCATAGGCGAGCTTAGCGGGGGTAGCACAAGCATTCAACACGCTGCGCCGTGGTCTTGATTTTAGCGACAGTTTAAACGGGGGTGTCGAGCGAGCGAAATTGAAGTCGAAAAAATCTCAATGTCTCTTAGCCCTATGGCAAGAGCCTGTTATAACAGTCCTTTAGCCCTCGCTGCACATGGCTTGCAGAATTCCAAGCAGAGGAGCGAGGAGACCGGACATGCCGCTGTCCGTGCGGCCGTCAATAGCACCTCTCTTTCTTCGTAATGAGGTGTTGAGTTTCACTTTGAAAATTTTGAAGCCTACGTCAGCCTGCTTGAAATTTCGTTCCATCTCGATATTTCGGTGGGCAAAATATGAGCTTGTTGACCACCGCGAGGTCCAGGCCGAGAGTGTACCTCGCACGTGCATCGAAGACGCGGGACGAGCCTTTTCACCATAATCGACGTTGATCAGCTACATAAAGTGAGCAATCTTCCCTGATGTCTATTCCATCAGAAGGCTTCGCAAGACCTTTTAGATTGAGTATATGAGAATTTATTGCTCTTATAATTGTCAAGTCACCCCAGTAGTCATATTGCTACTGCTGTCACTAACTGCTGTTCACCCAGGCTGTTGACATGCTTCGCGCTCCACTGCATGTGATAAGCCCACTATGTTATGATGTCATCGGGCTCACCCAGTGAATGTTGGTAGCCTCTAGTTCGCCTAGTAGAAGATTATCAATGTTGGACAAGCAGGCTACTGATCGCTGTTCCTTAATCACTTTCACGTCCCTCAAGACAGCCTTCTATGTCTGGTAGAGAACGGTAGAGAGAGAGATAGAGATCAGGCAGTACAAGAGTGGCTAAAGATCCGCTGTGCCTGGGCCCGGATAGTCGTACAGTGAACGGGCCATGGTTCTTCGACTGGAAGAGGCTTTTGTCACATGATAGAAGCACGACGTCAATCTCAAGAAACCTTGATTCATACATAAACACACCGCGTCTCCATCTTTCTTGTGGAAGTCGGCTTGCTTTTGAAATAACCCGAGCGCAATAATGTCTCATTCAAATGCGTCACCCAAGTATCGTCTCGCAGTGTCTGCGGGACTGGACTATGATCACGCAAAGCACCAATCTGTTCAGGTCAACGGCGAAACTCTGCGGCTAGAAGATGATCGCGCAAGCTTCGATTTGAACGTTCGTATTCAGGACTACACTGGTGAGCAATGATCCACTGGACCGCTAAGAAGGCAAGAGATATTCATATAACCCCGTGGATCAGGATACCCCGATTCTTCACCTAAAACAAGTCCTTACTTTGAGCATCCTCTGCACAAGAACGACCAGTACTCAATCTGCTTCACTTTCACTCCGAAACAGGACATAAATGGCAATGACCTGGTTTTTGGTAATGACTTTGACAAGCCGCTTCGTCACCGTCTGCCACCGGGTTTCAACGCAGCTCTTCGCGTTGTCAAATGGACCATCGACTCATCGCTAGATGGAGACGCATACGCCGACAAGCCATATCTTTACAGCCCCGCATTGGCGTCATGGAACCAATTTCGCATCGGAGAGAAGGGCCAGGCGCAGAGCTCGCTCATGGAGAAAGACCTTGTGGTAGAAGAAGGTGCCGATGGGCAGGGTCTGGAGGAACGCTCCAAGCTCGATATTCCGAGCACTGCAGCGGAGCGCCAGAAATTCTTCCAGAAGGAGAAGAATCGCGAGTCATTTGTGTTTGAAATTGGTCGGACGTACATGGCGGATTTTGGCAACCAGTATCTGTCATTCAGTGGTGAGTGAGCTTACGGTCGGAGTTGGTATCGCGCGTGCGGAGCAAATATTGACTCTTCAAATCTCCTTAGAAACTGCCATTCGGCTACCTGGTATACATATTCCTGTGTCGGGAATGGTCGACGAGGATAATCATGAGCTACGATATGTCCTCAAGGATAATAAGACTGGGGAGGTGTACTTGGTCGTCTCGTACAACCTGATCAAACAGGATTCTGAGAATGCGGCGCAAGAGGAATCAAAGTAGAGTTGAACAAAGCCTGTCGCCAGACACTGCGATTCGCAGATACTAGCATTTTGACACGAAGCGATGACATGATGAATCCGGCGATGCAACTGCTCTAGAAAGCTTGTTTTCCTAACTTGTCTCCAATCTTTGTAGTCCATACGCATACATGATACACATTCTATTTACAAAATCACTTTTCTTACAGTCTCTTGAGGACATCGTCCAGGACCTGTTGAGTGGTAGCCTTGCCACCCATATCAGGGGAGAGGAACTTAGCCTCGTCGAGGTTGGCATCGACAGCGGTGTAGATCTTGGCAGCCGCATCAGGCTCGTTCAGGAACTCCAGCATCAGAGCAACGGAGCGCAAAGTAGCGATGGGGTTCGCAATACCCTGGCCCTCGATATCAGGAGCGGAGCCGTGGCAGGGCTCACCGATAGCGAAACCATCACCCACGTTAGCGCTAGGGACGAGACCCAAGCTGCCGACCAGAGCAGCAGCACCGTCGGAGAGGATGTCACCATACAAGTTGGGGGCCACAATAACATCATAATACTCGGGCTGGCGGAAGAGCTTGTAGACCATGGAATCGACAATCTGCTCCTCGACCTGGACAGAGGAGAACCTTGGGGCGGCAAGAGCTTGGCGCGCGGTCTCCCGGAAAAGACCATCGGTCTGGGACAGCACATTGGATTTGTGCGTGATGGTCACCATGGGCTGACTATGCGAGGAGGTGCCCGGGGCAGCTTCCCGAATACCTTGGCGGCGCAGAGCAATTTCACCAGCAATCGTGGAGATGCGGTGAGAGGCACGCTCGGATATGCGCTTGATGGCCTCGGCGACTTTGCCATTGGGACCCTCCACGGTGCGTTCTTCCTTGACGTACAAATCTTCGGTGTTCTCACGAACGATGACCAAGTCGATGGGCTTGCCATTGCTGCTGCCGGCGGTGGTCTTGACAGGGCGGACATTGGCGTACAGGTCAAGCTTCTTGCGAAGGGCGACAATGGGGGAAGAATAGCCAGCGACCTTGGTGCTAGGGGAGCTGTCACACACCCAAATGAGATTAGTTTCGATGTCATCACATAGGAAATCACAGAACCACGTGGCTCATACCTGACAGCTCCGAAAAGAGCACCGTCACACTCCTTCTTCAGGGTGTCCACGGTCTTATCAGGTAACGCGGAGCCTGTCTTCTGGAAGGTCTCGAAGCCAGCATCGAGATCGACAAAGCTGAACTTGAGGTTCAGAGAGGCAGGCAGAGCTTCCAGAATGCGACGGCCGGCCTATGAAAGTCAATTGGTACTTGCCCATCAGGTCGCTTGTGGTGGAAGGAAATCTAGACTGTCATCGCACGTACCGGGATGACCTCCCGCCCGATGCCATCTCCGGGGATTAAGCCTAATGGGTTACATGAGCATCTGATTCTGATTTGTGCCCTTTGAAGCAGTCATGACATGAGAGTAAAGGCCACTGATACACATTGCTTCATCATACGTACCAATGCGAAGTGTCCGAGCAGCAGCAGCAGCCATTGTGATCTGTTTGAGGGTTGCTTCCTGACTCACAAATACCCGCCGTCATCGGAGCTCTCCATTTTGTATGCGGAGGTGGGAAGATTGTTGATCCGACTTCGTCCGGGGTCCGGAGAAAAGCACAAGCACGCGATTGATCGCGGCTACGGTGGACGGTAGTCTAAGGACACCCAATTACCTGCCGGGCAGCGGTTGAAGTCGTCTTAGGGGCGTTATTTGTGCCATTCCATTCTTTCAGTGTGGAGGGATCTCGAACATCTTTGTGGACACCCGGCAAGTTGCATTCTTGTAGCTATAGGCTACACCAGTAAAGACGTTAGTATATGCGCGCCTTTGATCAGCGGCGTGGAGCATTTGGTCCCTTGATGGACCAGCATGCAATCAAAGGTAGTAAGCTACAGTATATGGTTTTTTTTTTTTTAGTAGTAGTCTAGCTTGCTGGGCCCCGTCAAAGACATCAGCGAACTTTGAGTGATTTCAGTGAGAGTCGCCAAAGGAAGACTTCCCTAATGCCCTTGGCTTTTGGAGACAAGAGCTCACGCGTGATGGCCTGGGTCAATCGAGAATAAACCTGCTGTCGAGGTGTTGCGTCCAATTCCTTCCAATCTCACCGAGACTCAAGCAGGCGTAATGCGGCTTCCTAAGCCATCTGCTTAACTACCTCTAACAGACTAACACGTGACTGATTGAACTGCCGGACTTGAGCAGATGGTCCTCCGCAAAAGAATCTCCATTGAGCGATTCAGATTTGACAGATGCGACAAACGAGGTGGAGACCTGAACCATGGTTTCACGCACGGTCGGGGAGCAGTTTGAAGAATTCCAGACGGTGCGCAGATCGCTTGGAAGATGTAACATCTACGGGTGCCTAATAATTTGTCATGAGTAATAGGCTCAATCGTATCAACATTTGAATGTGTATCTTTTACCTGCACGATCAACTAGTTACATGTACAGTAATTGCATGAACTGATCTGGGGCCGGTATGCTAATTTACAACAGGCGTAGGCGACGTGTCCATCGATTGTCATGCACGGCACGTACCTACAGGAACAAATCGTAACTATAGTCTTGTGTCCCTCTTCTGATGAATGTCAACTTGTGACGGTTACTTCCATGCCGTATAGGTAGGATGTAGCCAGCAAGGAGCTGTGTACATTGACATAGCGCATCTATGAGCTCATATTCAGTTCTGATCTCTACCCAAGGTCTAGACACGTCGCTTCACGAGTCTGTCACAACGGAATTATGGCAGCAGCAGTATTGTCTTTGGTTTTTCTTTGGTTTTTCTTTGGTTTTTTTTTTCTTTAGTTTCTTTTTGACCCTTTTTCGTCAGTTTCATAAGATCCATCATCTCTCTTTAACCACCTAAAAGCTACCCTGAAAGCAGCCGGAATGCATTAACTGGTATCCTCTTTTGTGTTGAGGAGACCAGCTATTAAAGGATACCCACTTCTCTTTACGTCAGTGAGACCTAGCATGATATCATTTTATCAGTTGTTCCTGCCAAAGAAGATCTAGAAGGAAATCAGTCTGTCTACTTCTACTGCTAGTCTAAGAGTGCCTTACTGGCTAATCCTATACGCTTAGGTTGTTACAGACAAATGAACTCCAACCCCTCCCAGAGGGCCCCCCTGAAAAAAAGACGAAACTCCGACTATTATTGGTGAAATTGGAGGCCCAAAGAGGAAATAATCAGAAAAGGAGAGAAGCTCTGGGACCGCCTTCGCTCGTTCTAGTCCCTTTAACGGGGCTCCATAAGTGGAGTGGAGCGTCGCAATAGGGCCAAAAGAAGTGTTTGAGCTTAGCAATAGTAATTATGGCTGTTGGAACTTGGAAGTTGTGAGGGCTTGTCATCATAATCTATAGCAGCTTAGCACCGAACCCCGTACCGGAGAGAGCTGGAAGAGCTGGAGGAGCTGGGACCCTAACCGTGTTGATGTACCGTGCAGTATGGAGTAAGTAGCTAATCTACTGACTACTCTGGTACCGAAGATATGATTCCAACCTTGTTTACTCCCTTGAGAAACTGTGACAGACTATATTGTACAATATGTATCCCACGATGATTATGAATATGGACAACTATGAGGTTCCTAGTAGTCTGTCGAGTAGTGATCTACTAAGCATCACTCTTCAGTGTTCACTAGCATAAGAACCCCAACTGCGACCAGAGAGGGTCGGTGGGTTCCAGTAGGGCCAGCTTGTTTCACCCTCCCCCATTGGACGCGCCAAACAATCACTAGCGTATGCCATCTCCTGGCCTGGGCTCTTTTACCTTTAAACAAGACAAACTTCCCTTTTCCCATGCCTCACAACCGAAAAGTGTATCGTGTCCCCGGTCCTCCTGTCTTCTCCCTCCAGCAGCTTCTTCCCCCGGAGCAGGGGGTGGGCCGCTTCCACTAGTGTTGATCAGTATTCATTCACCTCCTGCACAACCCACCGGTTACACCTATCTCCCGGTCGACCGACCCAGGTTCTACCTCTCCCTGCAAACCTCCAGATCGTTGACCCCCCTCGGCCCAAGGTGCAATCGCCCCCAGCCCGATCGCAAACATGTCGGACAATAATGGTCACCCTGGGGTGCGCAGCCTGCTCGCCAAATTCGAGAACAGTCAGAGCCCAATCACCTCCCCTCCATCTCGCGGCCGCTCTCCCGTCGGCTCGGACACCTCAAGCTCAACCAGACAGCTGTCCAAGGTTCGAGCCAGCTTTGTGACGGTCGAAGGCGTGCTTCAGTCCAGCCCCGGTTCGCCCCTGAGGAAGACCAGTGGACCGAGCGATCGGAGCGACAGCCCCGGATTCTTCGGACCGACCATCAACGCGAAGGAGATTGAATCGCGCCGCCAAAACAACGCCATTTCACCAACACCCGGACACACTGACAGGTCACTGACAAGCATGCTGAATGACGGAGAGAACGATCGCTCGGAGATGAAGAACGCGGTCGACACAAACCGAAAGGAGGCCTCAAATGGCCATGTGACGGAGACCTCCGCTGAGAATGCGGCTGCTGTGCTGTCAGAGTCGACCCGGCACAACCAGCCACCAGCAGAGAAAATGGCTCCTTCTAAGAGTGACGAGAAAGACAAGGCCAAGCCACCTCACAAACGGTCCACGAGTGTTCAAAACAACCAGGATGCTGGCAAATCGAGCACTCAGCCCACCACAACTGCGTCTCAAAGGTCAGCGGCCACTCAAGGAGGTGCCAAACCCCAATCGGCGCGTGAGTTGGCCAAGGAGAGGGCCAACGGTCTTGCCCACAAGCCCAGTCGCGTTTCTCTCGCCACTGCACCCAGGACCACTACCAGGCCGACAACAAGAGGCGTGACTCCCTCTGCTGATACGCGAAAGACAACTACCGCTAAACCCGTCACCAACACAACAAGGTCGCCAACGCGGTCAACCCGTCTGACAAACTCGACATCCACCCATTCACTTGCTTCGAACTCGAAGGGGGGAAGCTCAGGCATCGCGCCAGGTCATGCTGAGAAGACAGCATCATCTCTCACCAGGAAGCCCTCAATTCTGAAGAGTGCAGCAGGCCCTGCGGCGACCGTGCGACGACAAGCTTCTCGCGCTTCTCTACCCGCTCAGCATGCTATCGAGCGTCCTAGCTCCCGAGTCAGTGAGGCCGGGACCAAGCCTGTGAATGAGGGCTTCCTCGCCCGAATGATGCGCCCCACTGCCAGCTCGGCCAGCAAGACCCATGACAAGTCTGAGGCAAAGGCTCCTCCCACCAGGCTGGCCGCAGCAGCTAAGCCCCCTCGGCAGCCCCTCGCACGCGCCTCCGAGCGCAGCACTCAGCCGAGCAAAGCGAAGGCGCCACTTCCCAAGCAGCATGGTGAAAAAGCCCAGGTACCGCGCAAGGACCGCTCAGTCAAGAGGGAACAACCCAAGACCATCGAGACGCAAGAAAGTGAGAAGGATACTGCACAGGATGTCCCGGCTCCTGCGACTGAGGATGACTCTGTCGCTCAGCTCCAGGATACTATCAATGAGGAGCCCGAGGAAGCCGTGTCAGCTGGGGCTGTCAAAGCATCGACCGGAGACAATACTCAGGGTGATGACAGCGAGCAATCCCCGGCGATCGTCGAACAGCTCGAGAAGTCGACGGTCGATCCTTCGGTGACTAGCACTGCAGACAAGGAGCCCGAGATCTCTATTGCAGGTGTCGCTATCAGTGCTCCTCAAGAAGCGCGCGGGATTGACGCTGCCTTTGAGACAGAGAGCCAGATCCAGGACACGGCTCCTGACACAGTGAACAGAGTCGAGACGTCAGAGCCTCCTGTTGAGGCCGGATCAGTCAAGAGTGACAGCCTTGCACCCATTACTGAGCCTGCCGAGTCGCTCGCCACCGAAGCCACTACCGTGACCGAGACTAGTCAAATCATGACCATCGAACCCGAATCCGAGGAGCTTGAGCAGGCTGTGGCTTCGGAATCCATTTCTGATGACAGGCGAGCCGAGGACTTGGTGGACATTGTCTCGACCCAGCCCTCTGAGGTGATCGAAAGGCCCAAAGAGTCTATTCCAGTTGAAACTTCTGACGAGCTGAGCAAATCAGATGCTGATGAGATTGACTTTGCTACCCTTGCCCTCAGCTGAGGACGTCATTGCAAGTTTTCTTGTTGAGAATCACTCCACCGGCGCAACTTTACTGATTTACCCCCACTTACATACTTGTTTTTTTCGGGAAGGGAATGTTTCCCTGCAGCAGGCGCTTTTTTTAGCTGCGATTGACTCTCACTGATTGGTCAAGCTTCTTTCCAAGTAGCCTTTGTTGATGAGCTAAGAAAGCCACCTCTTTCTAGCCCCCTGTTTAATCTTCTTCCTGTTCCAACTTGATGTGATCGAAAGCATTGACTTTATTGAGCGAATTGTTTTGCATTCTTCCGGTGAGCACATTACACTTCGATTCCTTGTCAATTTTCATTTGTGAGACCCGGGTTGGTCCTCGTGTATCAATAGTACAATGTTATTTCGTCGGGCAAATTTCACTTCCTAAGCCCAACAATCGAAGTAGATTAGAAACGCTATTTGCTGGGCCCTGATTTGAATCTTTCTCCGACTCGGTCCATTCCTCTTGTTTGGTTATGGGGGTGCTTACTGCAGAAGTGTAGAGAATGGAACGCGTCATATCTCACAGCCTCTTGCGTTTAGAACGCTTACCACTAGGGAAGCTACCCGATACCAATGCGTAGCATTACACTGAACTCGAGCTGGCGTTCATCAAGACTTCGCAAATAGGAGTTCCAGTCAACTTAGAAACAGATTCGCTAGCGTTCAGACATATTTAATGAGAAAAGAGTAGCAGAATGAACATATTCAGACAGCCCAGCCCATCACGGATATTGTGAACAAGAAAAAGAAAGCATCGAAGGAGAAATATACGGTGCACATACAACCAAAGAAAACCCAGGCTCAACATCTTATCCTTCATGTAGTGGCCATGTTATTGGTTCTGCCGAATATAACGATCTGGTGAGGATTCATGGATAGCAGTTCGAAGCGAGGTGTCGCTGCGGAAGGGCAAGACCTTGAAAAGCTGGCCATGTGAAGGGCCGAGCGTCGAGATTGCCATTAAGAAAAGTTCGAAGAGTTCCGAGGCCAGTTTTATCCAGTCATAGTCAGTACAGTCCAGGCTGTTACGTGGCTAGATCAACTCCTAATTTTCGAGGCCCTGGAAGTCGCGAATCGTCAAGAGAGCCCAGGCGACACACTGGATCATCGATCGGGGGACCATATAAGCGATCTGAGGAACGGAGCATGTCCCACAAGTTGGTCCTCGGTGGCATTGAACAGTGACGCCGTGGGTGGCGTCTGATATGGAAGGGGAGAAATCCAAGCTGCATATTTCCCACCAAGCCAAAGGTGAGACATCATTATCACTGGGCCAAAAACAGTCTCTCAATTGTCGGAGAATCGGACCCGACGACGACGGTCACTGATGAGCTTCTCCGTGTCAACATAGAGACGGTCAAAGAACTTCATCGCACTGGCATCCTTTAGAATTCGGGCAACCTGAGTGCCAGCCGAGATCAGCTGCAACACATTACGGTCATCCTTGACTGGCCGGGAGCTGTGCTTGGCAGCATGACGCATTTCCAGGGAATTTTCCAGAACAGTGATCAGCTGCTTAATTTGGCCATTGTGCAGTGCATGACGGGGGATGCGCCGACGCGTCGCCAATCTTTTCATGAGATAAACCCATTCATTCCACTCACGGTCAGAGGGAACCTGAACGGGCCTTTTGTCCTGCTCAATGGGAATGGGAAACTTGTAGTAAGCGAAGAAGTCGAATGCGCACTTGGACAAGCGGTCATTGATCTCGTGCAGAATACGATCTTGCTCTGCAGCATCAAGGCTAGTGGGTAGCGATGGCAAATCCTCCTCCCGGGCGGGAGTATCGCCAGAAGCAGGCGGGTCCAAGATTTGATGCGGGCCATCAAACTCATCTCGGTTGGAGGATTGTCTTTGGGAGACATACCGGGTGCTCCCACCTCGACTGGCGTCGGATGCTCTCCGGCTGGATCTTTCCACGATATACTCCGGACTTTCCGATGAATTAAGTGGCCTAGGGTCATGTCGGAGAGCCTCTTGCGGCATTTGCAAAGGCATGTTCCAGTCAGGATACAATGAAGCCGGGGCGATGAGCTGTCCAGTGGGAGGATAAGACAACCGTCCTGTGGGCTGGGGGAACATGTGGCCATGATTATCCAGGGGAGAGGCAAATCCGTGGTATTGAGCGCGAGCTTCGTACTCCATCATTTCGAGCTGTCGATTGTCTCTAATATATGCTTGCGGGGTTGATGGTGCCCTTCCTCCACTTTAGCAATCATCCAGGAAAAGTTGCAGTGTATGGTGCTTAAGCATTATTTCTTCTTCCTCTTTTTCTTTCCGCGAGCAATGAGCTGAAAGGGTCAGGAGGTGCGGCGTAAGAAAAAAATACCTTGATCGATGAATCACCGGAGAAGTCCCCGATGAAGTATACATTGGGTGCTGGGCCATGTTGCTGTTCACGGAAGGACCAAAGGACCAAGTCAGCCTGAGTGTTCACGGACGCGGAGACAAGGGAATGCACGACAGAACAGGGTTTAAGGTCCAGGATATTTGAATCGAGACTGGGCAACATTGAGATATAGAGGGTAAACTTCGGCAAGGTGCTGACCTCGAGCGAGATACGACGTCCAATCTTCTGCTGACTGAGACAGTCTTTGAGCAACGAGATTGTGCTGCAAATTGTGGCTGAAGGCCAACCGGAACAGCCGTTAATGGGGCGTGAATAGCGGGAACCATGAAGACAGAGAAGTCATAAAATGTGAGCTAGCGAAGGAGAAACTGGGAGGATGAAGAGGATAGGATTTAGGAAAGGGGTATTGTCATCTAATTTAAGTCGACGAGAGCCATATTGCACAAGGTGTACCATTTCCATACATACTGCTGAGACATCCTGGTCTTCAAGTCGAACACAACATTTGGAGGCAGGAGGAGCCCAGGTCCGGCATTTTGGTAGGCGTGCCTGACGCCGCCTCCTAAACTCAACCTTCAAAGTAGCATAAGAGCCGCTCCAAAGGCAAGTAAGAGGAGATAGTGGATATACGTATCTGGCGAATGACAGTGGTGTTGCGGTGGGTTGGAGTTGCTTGTTGGCATCCAATTGCAGCAAGCAGACAGGGGACCTCCTGGTTGAATTGCTGCCAGAAATACATGTAGGCGTATTGAAAGGATCGCGATCGATCGAGCGGCTTCACAATGTACTGTACCTTTTTCACCATGTCGATTCAACCCCATCAGGTTGGGCCAGACTGGAGTGGCAACTCAGCCCCTTTCACTTGATATATGGGAGAGCCCTAATGTATCCAGTTGCAATGCTTTGGCATTGTTGTTGTGCCGTGCACCTGATCTCTCGACTCCACCCGATTGGAAGTGATGGTATCTGACGGGGCCAACCGAAACAACTGGACTCAGCGAAGCCATTAATGTCGCGCTTCCTGGAACGAGCAGGGAGCCTGGGTTGCAGATTTTGGGCAGCACATTGGGCAGAAAGACATCGCAGGACAGTTGGGCCTCAACTCAACCTAGAGGCAGTTAGAAACTGACTCCATCGGTGGAAGATCTGCATAAATAATTGCGCAGCCACTCGGGAGATGTGACATCGGGGAAAAAAAATTGAAGCCATTTCTCGGTACTCAATACCTGAGGGGAGGTATGTAGGCTGGACCATTACTCTCGTGACAGTTGGAGGTCCCACCGTTGGGCTGCGAACAAGATATCTGCGAGCCTGCAAGTGCCTCGTAAAAAGGTTTCGCTATCCCTGTCGCTCTTCTTTCTCACTCTTGTCCACGACTCGGAGTCTAAGGGGTCCCATCACAGTGACACAGAACGTGCAGGATGGCTCAAATCATTGATCGATTTTGGGCACGCGGAGTCCCCATCTCTTGAGCCCAACGAATGCACGGATCGTCATACACATGTGCACTTACTCAGTAACTCAGTGCTCCTTGACTAAAAGTCAAAAACTTTTTTCTGACGTTTTGGTCAGAGAGTCGAACCACAAGGAATCACAAATTTCGACACTCGCCAATGGCGCATGGGATCAGCGGATTCATAGTGACGAGTCCATCGGGCAGGGGTAACATATAGAGCGAAATGTGCCAAGGCAAGCGGAGAGAGAACTGCAAGCTGCGGCAGGGAGAAACGCCTCTGAGGTCAACTGAGGACAGACAGACCACTTGGCGCGGGTAGCGATACACTCATTACGGATGCACGTGTGGCGCCTTGCATATTGTGTACATGTGGTCCCGATCCTTCGAAGCGGAGCCTTGACGAGATAGCCTCAGTCGAACATTGAAGAAGCAGACGGTAACTACAATCTTCGGGCCTGGGGCTTTGGTGTGAACGGAGTGCGGGGTAGTTTCACACCTATGCGATCGGCGTATTCCTTTCAAGGGAATCAGTCTTCATTGCGATGCTCCCTTCCACGGACCGGTTGGAGAGAGCAAAGATGGGTGTACCCTGGTAAAGAGAAATGTCTCTCAAGGCAAAAAGGTCGTATATCGGCTTACCTCACAGCTCAACCTAATCCCCGTCTTGAGGTCTACCCGAGGCTGATACTTCAATATCGACTTTGCCTTTTCGCCACTGGCGTATCGCACCGCACACGCGTCCTGAACGCTTCCGCGACTAAGAGTGGTCGAAGATCCTGTTGCCCAAGTGGCTAATTCACAGATCAATCCCGCGAAATACGCGAGTCTCTTGGGAACATGAATCTCCCACGGCGGGACGTGTCCAAAATGTGCCCATATGGCTAGGCAGAAATCTCGGAATGTGATCGGCTCCTCATTTTGGACGAAAAAGGCTTCCCCGGCGGCCGTTTGTGAGGTGGTCAAGTTCTCGGCTGCGAGAACATGAGCGTCTGCAACATTGTCCACATGCGTGACATCCCACAGATTGAAGCCATCTCCAATCACAAATGGGGTCTCCTTCTTGGCAATGCATGCGTGGATAGAGGGCAGCAACTGGCAGTCCCCCGGCCCAAAGAGAACCGAGGGTCGCAGAGAGCAAGTCGCCGTATGGTCGTTCGATGCCCGAAGGACAAGAGTTTCGGCTGCTGCCTGCATATCATTTCGAGTCAGTGGGACGACAAATACGACGTCCCCAATAGTTCGTAGAGGACGTCACGCTCTCTTACCTTCGATTCGCCATAGATCAGCGAGGTTGAAGTCCTGGGCCATTCCTCGCTGATATTTGCGTATTGGAACCTCATATCATCGGTGGTCACACAGCAGCTGCTCGTATAGACAAAAGCTCGAGCACCAACCTTCTGAGCCGCAGTGAGCACGTTTTCAGTGCCCTTCACATTAACAGCCCACACGACTTCCTCCAAGCGTCGTCGAAACCGGTCGGCAAGAGGTGGTATGATACCTGCTGTGTGAAGAACGATGTCCGGCTTGATCAAATCCATGGCCTCGTCCACCTTATCTGCGTCGGTGACGTCGACTTGCACAAATTGAACACGCTCTTGCAAGTCTTGCTGGGGTCGAGGCGGGTTCAGATCGACAACGGTGATAAGACAATTCGGATACTTCTCTGCAAGGCGCCGTACTATAGCTGAACCTACGAATCCAGTGCCTCTAGTGACCAACACCTTCTTTGAGTCCATGATTCCGCAGTTAGGCATGACCGCTGTGCTCGGGTGAAGCATGTTCGTTTGACATTTGAGAGCGCAAGGTGTTGCATATGTTGGAAGCTCCTAGTTCAGAAGGAGACTGCCGAACCAGGGATTCATCAGATCGCGTGACTGCTACCATGTGATGTACGACGTTCCGGCAGATGAAGCGAACCGCTCATTGACATAAGCGAGAACGAACGGGGGATTTTCCAGCACTGGAGTCTCGCTTGTGTAGCAATCAGTGAGAGACTTGAATAGTCTTGAAACTGTTTTTCAGTCGTAATCTATACATGGCGCTTCCGATGAAGCGACAGCTCCGCACACGCTCCCATAGCAGAGCTTCGAAAAATGCGATAAGCGCAAGTAATAGCTAATATACAGACCCAGCATAAGGGAAGTCATCCCAACAGTCGCAAAAAAAGAAGACGGCCCCGGAGAAGAGGTCCCGCTGCGATAGATCAAACAAAAACTCCAGAGTATATGCAAGGCAAGGGATACGAGAAGGGGGACCATTGTCCATGGTCAACCCCGGGTCAATCGAAGCCAGACGAACCGCTTCAGCTCTCTTGAGATTGGTTCAAAGCACGCGGCAGAGGACCAGGCCACCGAGCTTCTTCTCGACACATTCACGGGCCTCCAAAACACCTCGATCCGTGGAGAGATAGAGACTCTCACCAGGCGATCGAAGTCCATCCACATGGTTCGCTTCATGCCCACGAACGACACGGCGCAGCTCCTCGACATTCAGATTGATTCGACGAGTTGGCTTGCTAACCATCTGCACCTTGCCGAGGACGGACTCGTTTTGCCAATACTTCAGCCCCAGCCAGAGACGACGGGAAGCGACATTGTCGCGCGTGATGGGCTCTACGCCTTCGATCTCGTCATTTGCAGTGGGGTAACCGAGGATGGGGTGCATCGGGGGTGGTGTCGGACCACCGCGAACCACGGAGGAAATGTAACCGGAGTTTTGGAGGGCCTGGCACAGCTTCAGGTGAAGGTTGCTGTTCGGGATAGATGTGAGGCCAAGGCGTGCCTTTGTAGCATTGTTCAGATGCGAGCATACCGCGGCAAGGTTGACGAGAGACATGTTGGTATTATTATTGCGAGCGAAGAACACTTCAAGGACGGCTTGATTGCGGATCGAAAGGTGTCGGGGCTTTGTCAACCGGGTTGCGAATGGTCGAGCGCGTTCGTAGGAAATGGGTCTGAGACGATAGATCTCCAAGCTCGAGAGAGAATTCACGCGACCTTGGCGCAATTCATAGAACCGACTCTTGTCGTGGTCGGCAGAATTGATCGAAGCTGGTCTGGCCGGAGGAATGAGCATGTCCGCAAGACCGCGCACCTCCTCGCGATGGAAATTTTCGGAGAAACCATATATCCGGGCGGTCACACAGCTGTCCTTTCGCCAGTTGACACAGCCCATCGGTAAGACGGGCGGCAATGCTGACGGTTCCAATCTACCCTTTTCATCGTTCACTAGTCAGATCGGAATCAGGAACACTTCCCATTTCTAGCATTTCCACAATGGTCAAAGGTGTAGGTTTCGCATTGTTGCGTCTTCACAATACAGGTAATGCTGCGAGTGCGATCGCCAAGACGGACATATACAACACCGTCCGGTAGTCTAAGACAGGTTACCGTCTGCGTCGACCAAGACAGTCCAGGGTATAGGCTAAGCCCGTGATCCTATCAAATCACGTTCTTTAAGCGCCCACGTAGAACGGCGGCAGCAGCTCGGTACTTTAGTGCCTGCAGCCTCGGGCATGGAGCCACTCATTCGAAAAGCGACAGTAAGGCCAGAAGTCGACAGGCTGCGACCTCTGCATCCTCACGTTCGGCCATCGTCTTCCCAATCTGCGCAGTCGAGGCTCCAAGACATTTCTCACGTCTTTCAAGTTACTTCAAACACAAGAAGATGCCTCCCCAACCAGGCGAGGAGCGTCTGCTGACAGTGTATGTGCTTTGCTTGCTCTTTCGCCTTTCCCCGCACATGGCCCCCTCGCAGAGTCCCAAACGTGGGCTATCAGCTACTGTTCGGCTCTGACATTCTCTAATGGAATTCTCAGCTTCGCCGACATTCATTACTACTTCACTGCACCGACTGCGAAACCGTCGGATCACCGTTTTGAGAAGGGATCATACCTTTACATCTACTACGATCCCTCCACCAGGAAGGCGAGGATCGAAGTGGCCAACAATCCTGGGACTCCGGAACAGGATGCATTCCATGGCTCCCTAGACAGCGTGCATATCCAGCACGCGAGTCATTTCCCGACTCGATGCTCACTTACAGTTGAGGGAGTCTCTGGGTCGGTGCAGCAGCAGACTTCGCACTATGACTGGCGCTTGCCGGGCATCGAGCCGCGCAACGCACCTAGTGATCTGCCTCGGATACATACCGTCGACATTTACTTCTGGACGTTGGCCGATGCCAACGAGTTCTTGGACGTGGTCGAACGCATTCTGCTCCCCGCTCAGCTGATGACGGATCGGCCAAACGCGCAGATGGACCAGCCGATCAGTCCAGTGGTGCAGCAGCTCGAAAACATCGCCGTCTCAGACCCGGCTTATCAAAACGGCCAGACACCCAACTCTCGTTCAGACCATCCTGTCAGGGCAAGCCAGGTGACCCAGCCTCTTTCAATGACCCCGAGTTTCCCACCTCCGCCGCCTGGCGAGCCTTCCAACGGCCAAGCGAATCCCGGAACCACTCAGCCTCTGCACGGAGAACAACGAAACTCGGCCAACTTCGCGCCCTTGCCATATAACCCAGCAGCGCCAGCAGCGCCCGAACCTATCCAGCACCGCGACAAGACACCCCCGCCCGAAGATGGCGCCAATGGGACAGGCCTTGCGGCCGCAATGGCAGCTGATCACGGCGTTTCGTATGCACCTTCCCATCAGACCGTCATCAACCAGGGTAATAACTCGTTTGCACCCCCTCCCATATCAGCCTCGGCAATGCAGTATCCGGGATTTTCTGCAACCGGCCCTACGGGTTATGTCTCCCCGCCGCCGAGTGTTGGCCTCACTCACTCTAATTCGTTCTCATCCCAGCCGTCAATGCACACGACAGATCCTAGGTCCGGCTTTATACAACAACACAGCCGAGGCCAGGCGTGGCAGAATAGCGCAGTCCAAGGAACTACATCATTTGCCCCTCCTCCGCAAGAACCAAACGCACATCTGTACTCTCAGGGTATACAGGGTGGTCCACAGTCTCCCCATCAGCATCCCGGACAAGCGACCCCCTTGCCCGGTTACGTGGAATATTCATACGGGCAGTCATCTGTGTCGCGCCCGGTCTCATCTGAATACGACATTCATAACCAGTTGTACCGACCCACAGAGGCTGAAGCCAGTGGGCACGGGCAGAAGTATGCGAAAAAGGCCATGAAATCCCCCGAACGGCCAAGGAAACTAGAGGACAAGGCATTTAAAGCGGAGAGTGGGGTCAATCGCTTCTTGAAGAAGTTGGAGAGAAAATTATAAGGAGTGACTTTTGGTGATACGAGATATATGCTCTGTCCAGATGCGAGACAGGTGACCTGGAAGGAGGGAATGGCTCGAAGAGCGGAGCGGAAACTTTTACATACGGAGGTATACCGCACAGGAAGCAGCAAGAGATTGAGAACGGGTTGCAAGGAGAAAGAAGGGAAACCCTACCTATGCAGGAGAACCCCTCCAAACCTCTGATCAGCTGGTCCTGACCACGCGGGCAAACATCACAGCTGAGAGAAGAACTCCGTCACTTTTTAAAAGACCATTTGAAAGACCATTAACGTAGAAAGACAATCTAAAAAGACAATCCAATAGGTTTAGAGGACGGTAGCCTCATCCCCCTCTCTTATCGTGTGGCTACACCTACAGTAGCTGCATTCTATCAGGTTATGAGTCCTGCTTAGCCCGATAGAGCAAGCCACCAAGGTAGTAACGTATTCAATGAGTCTCATCCACCTAAGCACCAACTTGCAGAATAACCTACTTTCGACGTTTTGCCTGCGTCACTTTGGTTCGGCGCCACCTTAGGTCAAGATCCCTGCGTCCCATACACGTCTCGATCCAACCCAATCACAACCGATAACTTTGGCTACAACACCAGCTCAGGACAGTACTCAGCGCGTTCACAAACGCATATTCAGTGATTGTGAGTCCTTATGAGGCGTATCCTAATACCCATTAGACCAGCATCAACACATTCATCCAGCGTCACCATTATATTTAGCGAGGTTGTAGAGTCGTGATTCAGGGGGGTGTTTGTATGGCATGTGATTCTGCCACACACTATCTTCATGAAAATTGCCACGGATACTTGACCCGTGTCTGTGCAGGTGCGATGGCTCTCTGGCACTGGCACTACTTATGGGCCTCCGACAAGATCGGAGGGTGACGGTACATGTGCCTTCATGATGAAGATGTGCCTCGCTGTAAGGCCTGAGGAAATCATGAGTATCATGTCAAAAGCTTTTTCCCCTTTAGGCACGTTTAGAGTAAAGGTTCCAGTTCATCCTCATTATCGTCTCGTATATAGTATCACATTTCACATTGCGGTGGAACTTCTTAAGATTGGGTCCGGTATATAAAGGGCGAAGAGGGAAAACAGAGGGAAAGAGTGGTCTACTCGATTCAGGAGACATGAAATGAATCAAGAACATGGGTGGAAGAAAAGAAGTTCCAAATAAACCCTGAGTCGTAGGTGACTTGCAGGAAAACATGGTGAACTCCCTTAGGGAAGAGCATTCATCTCAGTGCGTCTCGTCTTGTCACTCTTGTGAGATATCAGACCACTCGGATGCACGACGTTGAATAAAACCATGACCAATAGCATGAGCAATCCATCAAAGACATAGAGAAAGACTTCATATCGCAGAATGTAGCCATTATTTCCCATTGCATACTCAATCAGCCGAAAAATTGATCGGATCACAATGAGCAGGTTCGCGGTATAGAGTATATGAAGATACTTGCGCCAAGTGCGGCTCAGTTCTAGTGATCGCGCCGTCGGAAACTTTCTGACGCGCTTATGAAAGAGCGCACAGGTGATGATAAACAGGCCAAAAAAGAAAATTTGGATGACAAGTCCAGCAATGACGATTTCCTCGCCGTTATGAACAGCTGAGAGGCTGTCCCCAGCCATGACACCACCGCCTATGTACTCCATATAAGCTCGCGCCCATTGATGACTTGTAATTCGGATAAGAGAGCAATGTGACGCTGGGGAAAGAGTGACCTACCAGCAGCCTGGACCGTAAAAGAGAGGATATCACCACAAACAAAAATCTTTGTGAGCCATCTTCTCCTGAAGAGGCAGAGACTTTCGGCTTGAAGAAGCACCGTAATTCTCCCCAGCATCATATATATCGAAGCGGCGAATAATGTGGGGGCCAGTAACAGCAGTCATGTCTGAAGGATAGATGGGCCCATCGTCCAATCTGGGCTCTCTGTGCTCGACAAGATTCGGCCAATGTACCCAACCCATTCGATTATACCAAAGTCATAGATCTGTTAGCACCTGTGAAAACCACACTTCCTTCAGTACATCAGGTAGGGTTGAGAACTCACAGAAGCCCCCAATCAGAAACGAGATGAAGAGCCATGTCCGATGACGGATCAGCTGATACAAATGAATAAATGTCGTTGTAGCGAAAAAGATAGTAAAGAGGATGGCTACCGCTTCGGATGGATACCTAGTATCGGTAGTACGCCCAGATTGCAGTTCTATAGTCCACGGGTCCGGAAGACATTATGGGAAGATGTGATAATGCAAAGAAGCCCAAATGAGGGAAGATGGCTGCTTGCTTGGGTTGTGAATATGGAAAGAAGGCAGAACGAATCTACCGTGCCTATTGATCCTTATTAGTTCTGTGGCCTTCAAGGCGAAACTTCCAACCTGTCGATGTACCTGCCATTCACTTGTGATAAGCATAGCCCAAGGGTCCACCCGTACCCGTATACTCGGCACATGTGCGACTGGAACGCGCACCCGCGATCTCGGATTCTGGATGGCCATTGAACGGTCCGGCAGACCTGGCAATGAATTTTCCAAGGCTGCTTCTTAATCGCTCAAGTCTGCTCGTATATTGTTTTCACCATATACTGCGGAATGCTGTGGCAGTGAAGTGCTAGTGGGTTACAATCACGGACGCACGTGAGATTCATCCAGCCTGGGCTCAAGATACTGTGTTATACAAACGCAGACCAGTTCCTTGAATACACCCATCACAGCTTACATTGAAGATTTCATACCTATATGTACATGCCAAGCGCAATGGTAAATTACCCGTACCTGGGGTTTCTGACTTGCGATTGAAATAATAACGAGATGTCACAGTCCTGTCCGACACTCCGGCAGCTTCTACTTGAAGAAGTTCATGTGTAGCTCTCGTCGCTTTTCCTGTATCGAATGCATCTGGAGATTCCCAGAAGAAATTGGAATTTGATCCTCGGCCATTTTCGACACTCCTCCCAAGCCAAAGGTAAGTGGACTGAGCGGAGCTGCTTCTGCATCCTACAGACCATACTCCATAATGTTGTCACACTGCCGAATAGTTCAAAAGGATGGAAAGATACCCGGTACTACTGAATAACAAAAAGTCCACTGTGTGTGTGTGTGAAGATATCCTTCCAATTCATTGATTACCGAGCGTAGATTCAAAACACCCAGGAATACAAGACTAGCTCTTCAAGGTCAAAAGCGCTACTTAGATCGATACAAATACCCTCCGGAAACCCGATAATTCATTACTGAGTGCCGCATCAAGCAAACAGAGCCCGAATTGGACACTTGGCCCATATCTCGTGCAGACTCTGTTCCTTCTGCTCGCTCCAGCTCTTCTCGCAGCATCGATATACATGTTTCTCGGACGCATTATCCTCGTCCTACAAGCTGAATCACATGCCTTGAAGAAAAAGTGGTTGACCAAGGTCTTCGTCACAGGAGACGTGCTTCCGTTCTTGTTGCAGGGGGCGGGTAAGTCAAAGAAACCGCAAGTGAAAGTGGAAGGAAACTGGGGGTACATTAGAAGCCCGCGGCTAATCGAATCTTTGTCAAGTGGTGGCATTCAAAGCAATGGCAGCTTGGAGGGTGTGAAGACTGGCGAGCACATCATCGTTGCTGGCCTTGTGATCCAGATACTCTTCTTCGCCTTCTTTATTGTTACGGCAACCCATTTCGACAGAACGCTGATGAAGTATCCGATTCCGCGAGCTCGTTCCCCAAGTATTCCCTGGCGACGACACCTCAACATACTGTATCTGACGAGCGGCCTGATCATGATCCGTTCTATGTTTCGACTGATCGAATATGCACAAGGGAACGGTGGGTATATTCTGCACCACGAATTATGTTTGTATATATTTGATTCGTTGTTAATGTTCCTCACCATGATCATTTTCAATGTGGTTCACCCGCAAGAGATTGGTCAACTGTTGTCCCACCCGGTTCAGTATGAAATGACCGCCGGGCAGGTTTGAATTCCCATCGTGATTAACACTGGGCATGGGACGGTTGTTGCATATTTCCTTGGAGCATCTCGATTTCGGTCATCCTATTTCGTTAGAGCAAACTGACCCGGGAAAGCCTGATGGAATAAGAATACAATACAGTGAGCTTCTTTTGATGCAAAACACCAGAATTGCGGAGACAGACAATACCAAGTTGGCTATGTATGCGTTCGAAGGCCAAGACCGAGCGAGCATTCAAGACGGCAAATGTAAAAGAAGCAGCTCACCCTAAGCTTACCAGGGCGGTCTCGCTCCGACTTGACGATCGTTTGGCTGGATTTGCGTGAGCAGCTGGTGAACTTGTCAATGTCATGACTAATCTTTCAAAGGCTACCTGTAGAAGGCGTTCAAGCGGAAGCAATCTTCACGGGCCACATCATAAGCTGGCTTAACTGAGCGTTGTGGAGACGCGAGACGACTGTTTGAATCTTAATGACTTCCTCTTTGAAGGACGCTAGAAACCAGCGGCCTATGAGGGTATTGATGACATAGTAATGAGCTAATATGACCAGCGAGAGTCCCCGGCCAAGGTCCATCGGATCATCTACATCCAGCAAGGTGATAAAGGCATCTGAAACCAAGCTCGGCCAAGACAGCACGGTAGCCTCTTCAAGATTGGCCAGAATGTTTGAATCATCTTGTGAGCCCTGTTCGTTCACCGAACACTTCAAGACCGCCAGAACGCGCGAGTAAACCGTGTCCAGGACATCTATGGCTCCTGACGGTGCATATGTCGCCCAGTCCGACGACACCGGAGAAATCCCGGGAGTAGAGCCAAGCCCATTGCTATCGGGAGGTTGTAATACGTCGCAAAAAGCCTTCACGTCCATAATAGCTTGGCAGGCTCCCTGGGCAAACAGTGCAAAACGCGGGGAGCATTGACTAAGGTTGGAGAAAGATGAGACAAATGGACCATCATCCCAGTAGTCCCCGCCATGAAAATGTAGGACCATCGGCCGCATGCGGCCTGCTTTCAAGACCGGCCACTGATCCCGAATCACGGTGGGCACCCCTCGGACAAGATGCAGCCAGCTCAAATTGAGCTTGCAAATCGGTTCGAGTGATTGTTGATCTAGAGGTGTCGCGCACGGATTCAGCTGGGGGACCTGGAGGGAAGCGTAGACGAACGCGACAAGGAGGAGAGATCCAGCGAAAACAGCTTCGGCATTGACATTGGATATCCTGACCACCTCTTCCCTGAACCCCTTTAATCCTTGCTGATGATGATCCATTACCGCCAGCAAATCTATTGCGTCTCTCCCCTCTACCCGTTGTGTATTCTTCTCCGTGATCATATGCACACCGCCCAAGGCGAGAAGCAGGTGCATAAGATAGGGGTGGCTTGCAGCGAGATCTGGAATCACTCGCCGCCAGACCATGCTCCGTTTGGGATGGTAGGACATCATCTGGGCCGTGTACAAGTGGAAGAACTGCATGGACAGGAGGTCGCCCATATTCAAGGAGTGACCATTCACTGGAGTAGGAATGCTCGCCGACCAGGACGCATATATCCCCAGTGGTTCCAGGAATGGTTGCGGGTCATTGGTATGAGGACTCCCAGCACAGCGATGCTGGGAGCGTTGCGGCTTCCGCTGTGTTCTGTTAGAAGTTGTTGGTGGTTCGGGGAAGGAGCATGGCTCCCCGCGGGAAGAGCAAGAGCCACAGACAGGACGAGATTCATCACACTACAGACGAATAAGTAGGTAGATAGGGATAGGTGAGCAGAAGAGCCGACCAGAGGACTTACTTTGACCCGTCGCGACTTACAGGGGAAGCACCCAAGACGTGATTTTCGGTGGCGAACGCGGTGTCGCTTTCGCGCCTGCCACATGTTCGAAGCCGCTGTTTCCTCGCCCATGAACGAGGCACCACTCGGAGAAAAGCCAATCATGATGACATATGAAGAGATGCCACAGATGATACCACAAGATTATCAATTTCGAAGCGGAACAGATGGAGTGATCCCAGAGAACGTGACCAGGACTGATGGGCAGAACTTCATACCAAAAGGCTAGTCTTGGCTCGTGGGTCCTGAGATTTGAGTCGTAACTGAATAAATCACGTGTTTCCCCCAACCCAAACCAGACTGACGCTTGGATGGCCAGTTCTTGCAGTGAAGATTGCGGATTGAGATTACCATTCGACTCTATTTTAAGTAGCAAGAATCACTCTTTGCTGGAATTCCCGAGTGTCCAGGATCAATGTGGCCTCACATCCCAGGAAGTATGGCCCATTTTCTTTTTTTTTGATCTAAATGTCCCCACCAATGTGCTACGCTCAGTATGTTCTTGCAACAAACAAAGGGGTAAAAAATCTTTGAGTCGACACCTTGCGTTTCCGAATCTTTATTATGATTTCTCGTCGAGAATTAAGGACACTCGAGAAAGACAAGCCGATTTGGGGTTTCTTGCCGGCACGGAAACCTTGTACTTTGGCAATACCGGATACTACTCGTTCGATCCCGATACAAGACCCGCCCGTATTCGCATTTTCGCAAGTGGATCTTTCGTCCACCTGGGAACCTTTTAAGGTTAACTTGAACAGCCTCTGGAGCCCCACATGGCGAGCATCGTACTAGTAGGCAACCAACCTGCTCAAGCATCACAGACAGTCGGGAGTCTGTCTCTTCACCCATACGGGTGCCTAATTTGTAGAAATGCCTGCCCGTGTTTGTACCAGACAGACGGTGGCTCTGGTAGACCCGGGTGAGAACCAGAACCAAAAATGATCAGGTCAACAAAAGGTATGTAACCGCCACCTCTGAGGTTCAACTGTCTGTCGCGTCCGGTCCGAAACACTATCCCCCAAGTAATCCCACTCCCACTTCTTCCCTTGCGGGTGTTTTCCATACATCAGTTGAATCTTGCAGAACAGAGTGTGGTGCAATACAACTCGCCTATTAGACATATCTCCAGCTCCAGAGGACAAGAAGATCGAAATACATGCCAGGGTAGGCAGCATCCCTCATACCTGCATCGACCACAGATGGCTGTGAAAGCGAGCTAACACGAGTTGATGGGATAGCTTTGGACAAGTAACGCTTTCTCCCGACCTGTCTCGACCGCAATGAATCAGAGCGCTTGGCTTGCTTCGGCGTGGCGTTGGATAGCAACCCCGAAAGGTTTCCTCGTCACTATCTATGGACTGAACGTAGTAGCCTGGGGCGGAATGCTATTCCTTTTGATCTGCAATGCCGCTCCGGCAATGTGCCATCCCTCTTGCAACGATCTTTACTCCTCCCGTCGAATCTGGATTGAGATCACCTCCCAGATTCTGAACGGACTCTTCTGCGTGACGGGATTCGGACTGGCACCATGGCGGTTCCGAGATATGTATTGGTGGTGCTGCTGGCGGATGCCGGGCAGGGACCCGAAGAAGAGACTCACTGGTATCTCACATTTGGCTAGCATTCATCGAGCGTGGTATCACTTACCGACCGCCGTTTCATGTGTTGGCTGTGATGGTGACTGTGCTTGCGAATCCGTCACTGCAAAGGCTCGTGGGGATCGCGGACCGCCGACGGCGACATGGAAGATGGATTTCGTGGTCTGCTGCAACATGTGGAATACTATATTCCAGGGGTGTCTGGCTGGTTGCATGTGGGGGATGAATAGATTCAATCGGCCCAGCTGGACGACGGGCTTATTTGTGGCTTTGGCTTGTCTTGTGGCTGGTGCGGCCGGGTACGTGGTCTTCCGTGAGACCAGGAATCTTGCGAGATCAACAGAGAGGGAAACGGCCGATGGTGTTGTTGCAGAGAAGAGAGAGAGAACTGGGGTTGAAGTCCCCGTATGAAACGCTTGATCATGGGCCGTGATTAGGTAAATACCTATATGTACAGAACTCAATACTTCCATTCTCCGTGTCTTCCTCTGGTCATCATAACTTCGGTAGCGAAAGGAATTGCGAATAACACACCTGGCAGTGGTTCCGAATGTTACATACGAATGTTAAGAAGGAAAATCAGACTTGGTAGCCAGGGAAATAAGGAAGGGCTGCTATTTTTCATGCTTTGACGAATGTACAATCAGACTGCCTACCTACCTTAGGTATCTACCCAGTAGGTGGTATCACATAGAGCTCCATCGTCCACTCACGTCTCCCTACCCAGAATATTCACCGTCTCTTCTTACCCTTCGATATTTCGTGGAATCCAGCAACGACCTGGGCCCTGTCAGTGCCCGTAAATTGGCCGCTCTCCAGCATCCATTCACCTTCACCGCGGCTGGCCTTGACAATCGACTTCCTTGTCCTTGAATGAATCGACGTATGCAAGCTCTTCGCAATACCTGCGCTCGGATATATCAAGACCCCAAACATGGCGTAACCAGACTTCGACACCATATTCGACATGCCCTTGCCGAGTCCCGTAACCGCACCCATGACGCCATCCTGTCGCATCCCTTGGACTGGCTTGACGACTATATCGGTCACTGCCTCTGTCATACCCCACATGAACCCTTTTCCCGCAGCGGCAAAGCCACTCTTGATGCCTGTAATCTGGCCGAGATCTCGGGGCTCTTCACCGTGTAATCGAGGGATGTTACGCAATCCTTCGGTCATCGCAAGTGGGATATCAACGGTCATGCCCTTGAGCGCGGTGGGAATGAAACTGCCAAGGCTCTTAGCGGAGGCACCGGCCATTTTCACAAATAGCTTGCCTCCACCATGATCGGATTGTGCCTTCGTTTTGCTACTCGTGGCACCAGCACCCGCGGCCACCCTTCCCGTCCCAGTGTCAGTTGATGCGGACTCAACAGATGCGTTGCTTGCCATAATGGCTGAACGCCGGCCCTCATGATCCCTCTGGTGATGTTGATACTCCTGGATAGGTTTGTAGAATGTTCCCAAGATAGAACCAGTGAGGTCAGTGGTGGTGTTCATCACGGCAGACGCTCCGCCCGTGATGGGATCCCATCGACGGTTTTCGATCAGAAAGGGCTTAATGGGATGTCTAGAAGTCCGTCAGTAGCTACAAGGCAACGATGGAGAAATGTAAAGAGTTATTCAACGTACGTGTTGAGACTCTTCTGATCGATCAGCCGGTCTTTGACCAAAACTTCTGCGGCAAATTTCGAGAGCTTGAGTTTTTTTCGACTCTTGGGTACAGACACGGACCACACGGCCGGCTGGGACGGGTACAGATCGCACTGCATGCGGTCGACGGGAAGGTGTCGATGGAAAGATGAGACTGCGGCATGAACGCCCGACTCTGAGCTCATCTTTTGCGCAATGTTCGAGGCTGCTGCTGCTGCGTGTTTGCTGAGACAATACCGAATACCATCGGCCAGCGAATTGGCAGTGAGCTGTTTGTGTGGGATAGGGTCAGGTCCGGCACCAGCAGCAGCGACCATGGCTCCCCAGAAAGGCTGGCTAGTTAGAAGGTGTTAGTGAACAGAGTGGTGACAGTTGAGAGAAAAGCACTCACTCTCCAAAAAAGGGAACAATAAGGGTTGGCTTGGAATACCGCAATCCGCAAGCCGTGGTGCCCGCCCCTCCGTGATGTACGGCAGCCGCCACACGCTGGAACAGCCATTCATGTGGGCAGTCGCCAATGAAGTAGATGTTGTGGTGCTGTGTGCCACTCAAGTTGGCCCAGCCTTTGGAAACAATCGCCCGCGCGCCAACTGCGTTGACAGCATCGATAATGGTAGTGGTTACCTGTTCCGGGTTTTCCAGTACGATACTGCCGAATCCAATGTAAACCGGTGGAGGACCAGCAGCGAGGAAGGCTTCTAAATCAGCTGGAGGGACATATTCCGGGACATCGCGAAAGAAAAAGCCGCAAACGTCTATGTAAAAGCCCTGTCAGTTTCAAATCGAGACAGCACACTGCAACCTGGTTACAACCCACCGATATAAGACGGCCAATCCAGAGGCTTGGAAACAAGCGCTGGGGACCAACAGTATGTAAACGGAATCTTGAGTATTTCCGCAAGATGCGGGCCTTCGAAAGTAGCCACTTCATCTAACTCGAGGTCCTGTTTCCGCCATTCGTTGATCACGTCGCCCAGTCTGGGAAGTCTAGGTTAATATTTACTGATCGTGATGAAACATAATTTTGGTCCTCCCTACCCTTGCCATGTAAGCCAATCCACCACGCCGTAAGAGATATAGTTCTTCAGGCCTGTGTCTCCATTGGCCCCGCTCATGTTCGCCAGTGGGTGTGGGAACGCTTTTGTGCTGCTCCAAGGCATCGTGAACATCAGATGGACCGGAATACTCAACGCCTGAGCACAATGGATGTAAGCAAAGCTCGGCGGATTAGCGATAATCGCATCAGCCACAAAGGGCGCTCGTGTATGCATGTCAGGATCAACGCAGGATCGCCAGCACCCGCGCAACATCTCGCGGACCATGATGCGTTTGCGTTGGATGTCGCCCGCCTGCAGGCTCTCTATACTTGGAATCAGGCCGGGGTTCTTCACCATGTACGCCATCAGGTCGGCTGGATCGCCTCCGATCGGATAGAACTCCAAGCCAGAGCTCGTCACGAAATTTTCAAACGCATCGTGCGTAGCTAGTCGTACACGATGTCCATATCGCTGAAGTTCATTTCCGAGGGCAATGAACGGTTGCACGTCGCCTCGGCTTCCAACGACTTGTATAACAATATTCAGCGTGAGCTTCCAGCTTTTATCAAGGTTGACGACAGAATCGGAATAGTCTGCTGATGATGCAGGGCTTTGTACTGGATGGTCGGCCGAGCGCGGGTCCAGCTCAGAGTAACCTGGCGGTGGTATTGTAGATCGTCCAAGCAATGGACTTCTATACAGCTTCGAGAATCTCCGCACAAAGCTGGACTCCCAGTCGATGCTCACGCGGCCGTCATCTGCATATTCTATGTCAGCTGCTTTCAAACATCTTGTGATCAGCATTATGCATCGTACTGTCCATATGGACGCCACTGTGTCCAATGGCTGCGGCGGGGAGAGATGGAAGCACCACCGTCTCTGCCGGTAGCTCGAACACCTCCGAATTGGCATCGGACGCCATGGTGGCTAGACTCAGATGAAGTGACTGAAAATGAAAATCACAGTCTGCCAAGGTGGTGTTCCTGACTCCACGCCTCTTTTTAATCGTCCATGTCGGCAAAGACCAAATGCCCAGCATAGACGTTCTTTGCCTGGAGCAGACCCAAAATTCCGTTTCTAGCAGCGGCAGCTGGGCGTTCTGGAATCTGGTCCGAGACGTTCACTGGAGCGAAGGGGTTCAGGACCCGCAGTCGGGATCCGCATGTGCAGCATTTACGTATTTAAGGTTCTCGCAATTTACGATGCAAATACGACTACGGACCATGGAAGCCAAGCCACGGTGACTGCAGTCCTAAAAATATAGGGCAATCTACACCATTGATCGCATTTGCCTCGAGAAACCGATCAGAGAAACGAAGATCTTGCAGCATCTACCCCTCCGTATTTCGATGTTGCTCGGTGAATCTTGGAAGAGAGTGTAGTGCCCCTCAACCCCTATGGTAAAGGAATCTATGCTCAGTCCATCTAGATTCACTGTCCAGGAGAAGAAAAGAACATCCGGGTTGCAATGTCACAGCTGGATGCTATGCCTCCTTTGTATCCGGATCGAACTGTCTGGGCAATGGATTTTTCTTGGGTCTCGGGGGATCATCCTTTGAGTCCACTATCTCTTTCCTGGTCAGTTTCGCGAGGAAGATCATCTCCTAGTGAAAAAACTGTGCAGTGGCAATGATTAGGGGGCAGTGAAAGGGTGTTTCAGGCTCCCTTCTTGTCTTGGAGGGGCGGTTGGTTGCTGGTTGTGATGGCTTTCCTTCCTACGCATGGACAGATCCCAGTCTCGGCTGTCAAAAACTTTGGCAGCTAGTGGGGAGGTCATATTACAGTTCAGTCTAAATATGGCCAGTTAAATGCTCATCAAGCTTATGTAACTCAACAGTCGGTGCCTTAATAGGTTGGCACAAACCCGAGATGGAGGGCTGATGGTGTGTGTCACCTGCTCGGGAGCCGAGAGACGCTTACCTCTTAGTCAGAGTACTACTTATCTTGGCAGGGCCCCATTGAGGCTCGATAAACAACACCCACGCCGAACTTGCCTATTTTCACATTCTCTGTCCGCTGTTCTTGCAATTTTGTGCTATTCCGAAATTGCTTTCAGTGATCACATCCCGCTGAAAGCTCTTCCATCAAACAACCTTGACTTGCGTGGTCTCACAGTCGCTATGGGGAATACAGACGTGCAACCTGCCAAACTATCATCAGGCAGTAGCGCCCAGCGCTCCTCTCGCTATTATGAGCTCATACAGGTTTTTCCCAACGATTTTGTCATCAAATACTTCGTCACACCGACTACAAGACATCCTTGTCTGTGAGAATAACTAACGCCCACGTAGAAGTATATACTGTGCTGACTCTGGAAGCAGATCGATGATCTTATGTCTGAGCTTAACCTTTGGCCCTCTTGCTACTTGCAGTTCGAACGATACAAGATGTGATCTGAAATCATCCGCAGTCGCATTCTTCTTTGGGTGTGTATTTGTAGTGATACAGTGCTACATGCAGTCACTTCACAGAAAATATCAGAACCCGCTGCAGTCATCGTAGGGCTGAGCGGGATATGGAGATAAATATATCTGGTGTCACGGACTCCGTAGAGTCACGACTCACCACAATTGAATCAATTTCGTAGCTCATACCTACCTTACCTACTACTGGTAACACCGGGTTGGGTTAGTTAGCAACATCATATCCGTTCTAAGTGTTTGTATGGCATGTGATACTGCCGCCTCACCGCAGTCCATAGCTTAGGTAGAATCTCTCCCCCTCAGCAATCTCACTCCTCATCCCTCTCACACATCTATACTGCTGCCCCTACAGTAGCCGTATCCCATCACCAAGACACGTCAATGATTATCATTAATACTACAATTACATGTATCAATATCAGCCGCCGTCAACACGTCCCATTCTGAACCCACTAGGAGGTAGCATCCCTAGGTATTGTCATTGACTGATTGAAAGTTCAATACTGGAGCACTGCCGCCCGAGGCTGGAAGACCGGGCCGCTCGCGTGTTCCGCGATTCGGTCGGGACTCCAGAGACGGCAATTATGACCATCCCATCCAATTAGGCCGTCCACCTCACCGGTCCTATAACAATGACAGCTATCATGATACCAACATGACATTATTAGACTTTGCCGCTACCCTTAACTTTCTTCCCCATTGTACGCATCTCTGCAATAGGGCAGTCACGACTCACTTACTAAAAGCATCTCGAATTTCTACTCTAACTTCCATTCTCACAATGGTGAATGGACATACACTGTAGTAAGTAAGCCTGCCACTCACTACCTAGTATAGAGGGGAATACTCAAGGCAGTCTGATCTCACCAGACAGGTCGAGTCATAGAGGAACCAAACCTTAACCACCAGCACGCACGTTCAGATATCTCCTCAGCCCGACCGTACAATACCTAACCGTAGGATGTCAAGAGGCACGAGTAAAGATCAAAAGGAGTGTGTCATTATAATACAGAAGAACCCGACTGTAAAGACTGTCTATACTAACGGGAACTCTTAATTCCCTTCTCCGATAGGTCTCCCGGATCCTGTAAAGTCGTTTAATCCCTTAGTTGCTTGGTTCCTTAGTTATCTAGTGTAGTAGGGAATCCGGTTGCATGTACATAGAGCAGATAGTCTGTTGAGGTGCATGTGCCTGATGGTGGCCTTACGGTCGGGAGAGGCTGTTTGGACATAAGGAGAGGGAGTCAATCAACTTGACAACAATGATGCGGCGAACAATGATGCGGACAACCATGCGGACAACCATGCGGATGCGAAGGACATGATGCAACCATCGGATTGAACGGCTTCAAGGGAGTTCAGTACAGTCTTTACAGTCGGATTCTTTTGCATCGCAATGACACACTCTTTTTGATCTTCCTCTTTACCTTCGGACATCCTACGGATAGGTGTTGTACGGTCAGGCTGGGAGACCTCTGGACGTGCGTGCTGGTGGTTGTGGTTTGGTTCCTCTATGACTCGACCTGTCTGGTGAGATCAGACTGCCTTGAGCATTCCCCTCTATACTATATAACGCCGATTTACCCCATCCTCCGAACGGGGCCCACTGCCTATGAAACCTACCTCAAATTTCATGGAGCCAGACCGGGACTCCGGGAGGCAGAAGACGACAAAGCGCAAGGGATTTGAGCAGCCCTGAAGATAGATTGATAGAGGGGATCACTTTCTGCTCCACAATCCACATCGACTCCCGCGCTTACGGGCATGTCGGAGACGGGTGGGACCTCTGGTCTTGCATCGATCGTGTTATATATTCGAAATAACCTCTGCGAAAAGCCTGAATGCGATCATCAAAACGATGACCGAAAAAGGCCAGCAAACTCTAAGAGTCAAGGAAGTCTCTAGACACAATATTTATGTCCCTTGAATCGGTTCTCCACACGGTGATAGTTGTCCCCCTAATACTCTTTTGATCTCTCCCGTGACCATGAGTCCTCAGGTCGCAGGGTTGCAAAAATGTATGAGGGCTACCAGATTTGAACTGATGACCTTGTGGACTGGAATCACACGCGCTACCGCTGCGCCAAGCCCCCGCACTGATTAATAAGTCAGACTTAATATGTTAACATAACAAATATTTGACTTCCAAAGACTATCTGTACGCAGTTTCGCACATGCAGCCGGTAACCTCCCTGAATTTGCAAACTGCCACACTAGCTCTGGCTGATAGATACTACACTACATAGTGTCATATGATACATTGCTGAGGTAATCTTTGAGTACCACGGGTAGGAGCTGGACCCTGTTGAACGAACCCTACCTAAGACCCATATCACGTGATACGACCTTGCCGTCCCTATTTGTACCCCTTCTTTTCCCTTTAGGGCAGCTTGCCATATTACAGAGATAAAGGTCAGAGCATTTTCGTTGAATAGGAGGTGTACACAAACCTAAGCCGTCAAGTTCGCGGACTTTTCAAGGGCAGGCTTAGCGTATATTCCAACAATCTTTCCGCTCTCTAAACCGGCTCGCGCAATTCTAGTGCCCAGGTCACTGGACCCACCTTTTTATGGGTCCCTCCGCTTATCTAGGAACCGTCCCATCCTGGCAGTCCCGTCCCGTCTGGACGGGCTGACTCAGCCATGCCCCTTTTCCAATTCCCCGCCTCGATTTGCATCCTTCCCTGAGTGCTGGCCTCTTTGCACTCCCCCTCGCTGTTCCTGGAAGAATCTCTGGTCGGTCTCCTGGTGATTGAATTGGGATCACGCATTGCTCCTTCGAGATTGTCATCGCCGTACGGCTCTCTCAAGACCCTTTTCGCCCGGTTCAGTCCTCACGTCAACACGCCAAGATGGGTGCTTCCGTGTCCAAAATGATGGGGAAGATCTTCGGCACAAAGGAGATGCGTATCCTTATGCTGGGTTTAGATGCTGCGGGAAAGACTAGTGAGTGGCATGCTGATTGACCTCGAAAAAATGATTCAATGCTAACAAGATGGCAGCTATTCTCTACAAATTGAAACTTAGCAATCAGGACGTCACCACAATCCCTACTGTCGGATTCAACGTCGAGAGCGTGACCTACAAGAACGTCAAATTCAACGTGTGGGATGTCGGCGGCCAGGACAAGATTCGTCCTCTTTGGAGGCATTACTACTCGGGTACACAGGGATTGATCTTCGTGGTGGACTCCAGTGACACAGCCCGACTCGAAGAGGCTCGGTCAGAGCTGCACAAGATCATCAACGACCGTGAAATGAAGGACGCGCTGCTTCTGGTCTTTGCCAACAAACAAGATATCGCCGGGCGTACGTTTTGTCCACTTCTGCAGCGCCTTCCTCCACTCGGAGGATCCAGGGCTCTCCCCACTTTATGCGTCCCCTGACTAACTTTGCCGCCCTTGTCTTAGATCTGAGCCCCGAGGAGATTACTCAACAACTCCAACTGACCAAGCTGAAGGACAAGTTGTGGTATGTCGCACCAAGTGTCGCGACGGATGGGACAGGTATTTTCGAAGGCCTTGTAAGTTTTCATCAACCTTTCCCTTTTGCTTGTCTGGCTTGTCCATTACGGTGATGGCCGCCGTGTAGTCGATTGCCAACCGACCAAACCAATCGCTGACCCGCATGTGCTCCACTTTTCAGGCATGGCTCTCGAACAACGTCAAAACCCAAACCGCAAAATAAATAATCTTTTGCCCCGCCGTGACCTCGAGAGGCCATTTTCTTCGGTCTTGTGTACAACACCTCGCATTCGACACATTTCCCGCTTCTCTTTTTGACTAATGTCCCTGCTTTGATGACAAGACGATGCAGTCACCGGAACAGGATCTCTTCTCCTCTTTTCCGGCATAATATTCCCCTACTTTTTCCCCTATGTTCTTTTTCTCCTTGGTCCATTTCATTTGTCCGCAGCTGCATTCTGTTCCTCTCACATGGTTCCACATGGTGCCACCTGGCCCATCTGCTTCTCTTCTCATCTATGATATCCCCTCTGTTTCTCATGCGGAATTCAAACCCGAGTCCGCAATTACATATTTAATATTGTGATAATAGGTTCGCTATATCATGCCGGCATTGGCACTGTTCGACTTTGTGAAGTCAGCTTTCCGGACGGTTTCTCCTGATGTAACTAGACTTGGAAAAGCTCATTCAGGCAACCACGCAGGACATGTATGACTCGTCAGTTGAGATACACGGGTTCTGCATTCCATAGTGAAAAGGAATATGATAGGCTGCTCTCTGAGAATCGCGTTCCCTGTATTCTCACTGTCAGATATTACGGAATCGAGATCCGACCCGTAACGACCTGTGGAAACGCCGCAATTCAGCTCCGTAGACTTGGGAACATGTCATTTTGATGTTAGCTGAACCGGAGCCGGGTCATGTCGGCACTGTTCTCCCCAGTCCGGGTTTTCCGCTGATCCATCTGGTAGGCTACGATGCAATATACCTACATTGAGTAGCTGACTCCTGACGATCCCTTTGCCATCTTCTGAATATCGATTTTATAGCGAGGGTTTTGAGTCAGATTGACGTGAAGCGATGCTAACGTCGATCCTAGCCAGGCCTTTCAGGATCGCCACCATTAGCTATAAAAGCATGACCATCTGGATCTCGAAGAGCCTAATTTCTCGACCCGAGCCGTTCTGAGTGATCTGCAACCGGGCATCTTCTCATATCTTGATAACCTGCCCATCTCTGCTCTCCTTATCGAGTCCTTCCCTGTCCAAGAAAAGAAGATACCTTCTGAAAAGGGAAAATGCCTGCCTTCCAAACCGGACAGCGAGTCAGCTACAAGCCCGTGGGCGGTTAGTTTTCTCCCCATCGACATCCATCGGGCATCCACACCGGGGCATAGTGATCTTTCACCTATTTGTGAAACTGACATGACTCGCCACTCACAGGACGCGAGTCTCACACCAGCGAAAGCGTTGGAGTCATTCGTGACGTGAGCACCCATGACACGACCATGACGGGTCGCAGGGTTGAGGCTTCGCCCGGTGAGCCTCGCTACGAGGTGTGTCCCCCCTCTTTTCCATCGCCACATGTCCATGAGATCCAGTTTCTCGTCGACAGGGAGACGATTTTGGATTAGAATCCTGACTTGAGATTTGACAGATTGAGAATGAGCATACTCATAAGAGATCCGCGGTGAAGGAGTCGAATATTCTTGGACCTGCTGAGTAGAATGGCGCGTGGTGACCATGATTTCCTAGATATTGCTAATTTGCTACTGGCTTGGGAACATCTCAACTCTAGAAATACACTTTGCTTAATGACTGATCGAGATGGGTTCATTGAAGAATGAAGCGTTGGAGTAACACAAAGAAGGATACTACAATTTCCTTGACGTTGACCTGTAGGTTTCCGAACGAGTAGTCTCACGCTGTATCAGTTTCGGTGGAAATTTCGACATTGCATTTTTAGTTCATTATTGCAGACGCAGAGATACCGAATCGAGCCCTCCTAGAGCAGCTTGAGAGACCCTCGCGCTGCCAACACGTCTACTCATTGTCGACGCACTGGAGGATCGACCATCGATCCCCAAACGAGTGAGCTTCTTTTGACATGTCGACCAATGTACAAGTGCCATATACCATCCACCCTCCACCATCCACCAGCATTCCCACACTCAAGGCTGGCCAGGCCAGAGGTCGTCAGCAATTTCCCGGACCAACCTTAGCTTGTTAATCATGCCGTCATGGTCAATGGCATTGCCCTCCCGGTGTGAGGCGAACCCACACTGAGGGCTGACACCAACCTGATTCAACGCCGTCTCAAGGGAGACGTTGTTCCCTTCGGCGATGAACTTGGCCGCTTCAATGACCCGCTTCTTCATCTCCTCCTTATCTTCCAGCTTGGCGAATTTGCTGGTGACCACACCGAGGATGACGTTCTTGCGCGTGGGGAGATACTTCAAGGGCTCAAATCCGCCCGCACGAGGGGTGTCGTATTCGAGATAGTACGTGTGCACGTTGAGCTCTTGGAACAATTTGATGGCGATGCGGTCATATCCACCTTCGGAAAAGTGACGGCTGCCGACGAAATTGCCGCGACACAGATGCACGCCGACGTGCATGTCCTCGGGGAGTCCAATAAAGCAGTCGTTGTACAGCTTGATGTATTTTTGGAACAAGTCATCGGCGCTGTAAACATTTCCGGCATCTTCCTTGAAGCCGGTTAAGAATTTTTCCGAGCAGAAGTCTGGCCAAAGGGATCAATGTTAGCCTGGCGCAAAAACGAAGAAGCAAAAAGCAAGGAGAAAGGAACAGAAAGGACAAAGGGTTGCACTCACATGCCAAGTTCGGATCATCGTACTGGACGTTGCGACAGCCCGCATCGTATAGGATTTTCAGCTCGGTCTGGTAAGCCTTGGCAATATCGCCAAAGTACTCCTCGTCATTGGCATATACATCCTTTGGGTATGACTTCCCCTCGCGGTAGCGCAAGTGATACCAGTTCGGAGCTGCCAAAGTGATCTTGAGGTTCTTCACATCGGCCTGAGGCACCAGGCTTGCCAAATATTTGAATTGATCAACGTAGGTGCTGCCCACGTGCTTGATCTTGCCTGTGCACAACACGGTCTCGCCCGGCTTGTGACCGGACTCCAAGAAAGCTGCAATATCCGGAGCATAAGGGCGGAAGATGTCCACGTCAAATTCGGTCACCTCCTCGAAACCATCCAAGCCCGGGAAAAAGGTACCCCAGAACACTGAGAAGGGGTCAATCGACCGTTTGGTCCATGATGGAACAGGAGACAAAGTGATCCATCACTTACTGTGACGGCGATATTCACCATCGGATACCGCATGGTATCCCAGCTTCAACTGAGTCGCCACAATATTCTGGACCTCCCGATCTTCGACCGTTTTCAGTGCCGACTCGGGAATCTCACCCTTCTCGGAGGCGGTCTTTTTCTCGAGCAGGTTTTGAGGGCGAAGCAGCGAACCCAAGTGCTCTGCGCGGAATGGAGGCCGCTGGTGCAAGTGAGGCGCCATGGTGGTATCTAGATCGAGATGAGACCACTACATGTCCGTGAGAGGACCCAGATTAGTCCCATGATCGCAACGTTGAAACCTTCCAGAACGCTCCCAATTCCCATTCTACCCGGAAGAGGAGTTGTTTGACCCACCGTGTATAGATACGATTTCCTATACAATTCAACCCAACGTCTACGGCCCGAATGAAGAGGGTTTGACCGGAGAAGAATGGAACGGAATATTGAACCGAGAGACAAGAAATGTCAAAGAAGCTAGTATACCACTAGTCAAAGCGCCTCGGAGAGAGGGGCAGGGGTCCACGGTTCAAGGCAATTCTCATCTCGACCATCTGCCGTCTTGCCGCCATCTCCAGCGATCGCTCAGCTCTATCCACCGGCTAAAGTGGGAGGTTTCGGCCACACATGCTCCACACTGGAGCTACTCTGCCACGCTAGTTGCGAACCGAGACCGATCCAGCTGCGAGCTTACCGTGGATTCTCGGCGATTGGGCGGAAAGAAGTCTGCTTTGCGGTGTACGTGGAGTTCCACGCATCGGGGAAGGCGATCGCCATCCTGTGGCTTTGATAATCGGTGCATTTGAATGGTCACTAGACGCAGGGTCCCGACTGGGGAACGACTAGTCTGGCTTCGACCCTCTTATCTTTCCCCCAAAGCTTGCCCACTGACTGATTGTTGGAAGTGGTCAATGCAGACAGATGATGGTCGAATCGGCAAGCGATTGGTAGGTATGGATGAGCAGATGTTGTCATGGCCTGACGGAGAACGAAAAACGGTCCTTCTTGGGCTACCGGCTGCTTCTTGTCTTGACCATCTTTCGTTACCCACCCACCAGTTGCATATAACGTCATCGTTCGCAAAGGGTCGAGGCTATATCTGTTCAAGTCAAGGGGAGGACAATAGCCCCATACAGTAACTAAGTTACTACTACCTACTAGGTAGTACCTAGTACCTAGTAAGTACTAAGTACTCTATGGTCCGGTCCACCATCTCCGAGAGAATGAGGGGGAGCCATTTCCATACCCCGCAACCGTGCGGGCATGGTGGGGTCCTTTGGGGGGAGTGCTCTGCCCCGTCTGGGCTCCGTCGGAGTGTTCTTCTTACCCCTCATGCCGAAACCATCCGCTCCAGCTTAGTGCTTCTAGCATTCCATCTTTGATATCAGAATTGGGTCTCACCAACTGCTCTCGAGCTGTGGATGCGAGCCAGCTAGACTATGGACGGGGGTTGGGGATTACCATCGTCCTCGAATCACCCATCTATTGCCATATCTGGGCCGGATCGCGTCGGCCATGTCGCTCTGAGGAAGCGAGTCGGCGATGCAGTGCGCCTTGACGATCGCAAAATGCCGTCCCGAATGGAGGGCCTTCCAACTGAGCTGCTGGATTGGATCATCTTCTATCTGAACCAGAGCCCTCCATCAGAAAGGCGGGTCTACCGGGAGCCGGAACAAACAATCACAGAGTCGCCCGATCGAAGCTTGAAGCACTTGTCCGCAACATGCTCTCGCTTCGCCTCTTTAATCCGACCGCATCTCTTCACTCATGCACGCCTTGGACCGCGAGAAGATTGGAGCGACTTTCGTAGCTTTGTGACCGAATGGAGTCTAAGTCAACATGTCACCTCACTGGTGATATCATTTCCTTCGGAATATCAGACTCAATTCTCGTTGCGGGATTGGGTGACACGATTGTTCGATTTCCTCGATCCGAAGCGATTGACGATCCTTGCCCCACCCAGGATCATCGGTGACATGCTGCACACAGCCATCAATGAGAAGGATGGCTGGGCGTTTGAGATCGACCTCCAGATCTTGCAATTGACACAAGAGGGATATGGCAATCCATCTGCCCATCAAACCGCCAACCATACAAGGCAATCCAGCATGGTTCTCAATCTCCGGCCATGGACCGCGCTCCTTTTCAACGAGTCCACTTCTCTTCGAGCCTACAACCACTACGAATATTTCCTCTCACAAGTTCCGTCGGTGTTGGGACAATGGGGCCAGGGATCTTTGCCGGTGGCACCTGGACCTGAGCTTACTGCTCACTTTCACCATCTGCAGGATTTGACGTATACCGCAGTATTTCCCTTCTACAATCACGTGGATCATGTATGCTCTGCCATGGAATATATGCCACGACTGCGCAAGGTGACTGTTCAGCTGGCCCCGGAATCTGGAAATCGGGCCACAGAGCTTGAGCAGCGCGGCTCTATGGACCCGAATGACCCCTGGATGGAGCTGGAATCCTCCTACTCGGTCATGGTCTTCAAAGTGCGCGCCAAGAGCTCAGTGATGGAGTTTCATAGCCGAGACTACCATGTCGAGGCAGTACGATCGTCTCTTATGGAAATCATGAGCGGAGAGCTCCTGGGCTGGACCCATGATGGACAGGGATGTTGGAGACGACCCAAATCAGAAGCATTGTAGTAGCTGGCTGCGGGGGGGCATCAACGGTAATGTCTAATTTAGTAATCTAAAAGTAGTGCGATACTCCACCGAACCATTTATCTTTCACAATTATCAAACGAAGCCTCGTTGTCCGTTGGAGAAATCCCGTATGCGTAGAGCTGATGTTGCCTCGTGCATCTCGGGAGGGCTCCCGGCCGACCACAAAGAGCCGAATCAACCGTGGCTGTCTTTTCAAGATCGACCCCCCCCCCCCCCCCCCCCCTTCTTCTCCACTCTCATTCAACTTCACCTCGTAGAGACAACAATATATCCGCCGCAGTGTCCAGTCTCTTGACTAAGTCGAAAACAAGATTCCAGTTTCTAGCCTGCAAACCCCCCTCAGCTTCATTTGTGCAATGACTTCCTGCCTCGGCGTTTACGATGCAGAACCCGCCTATCCCATCCTTGCACACAGCTTGCTTCAGGCACCTTCAGATAGCCTACCAAATGGGAGGGACGTGAGACTTGATTCGGAACCGGGTCAGAATTGGAATCTGAAAGATGACTGGCAGCAAGGGATTCAAAAAAGCGGGACTGGAATATTTCGGTGTGGTGTAGTTGTTGGGATCTCGAGACTGAAATCTCGAAGCAAAGACACGGACGAATACGTTGGCCAGGTAAGAGACCGACTATGTGGCTATATCTTCACCACGAAATTTGTCGTTAGCCTTTCAAATGAAAGAAAAGCTGAGAACTCACAGATTCCACGTTACCTTCTTACCTCTCATCTTTTGAACACCGAGCCATCATCGTCGGAGACGAGTGCATTCATCATCCATCCGAACAACTTTGACGCCTTAGCCCCAAGGCTCTTGCTTCATGCGCTGCAGTCTACTAATGTCAACACCACCACGGCGATGACGACAATGGCTACTAGGTCTACTGCAGCTGCCTCGCATCTTCAACAGCCGGGATTATCAAGGATGGATGCTTTGAAATATCTCGATTCCGTGCAGTTGCTTCCCGTACAGTCTCTACCCAACGCCGTTCAGGCCATCAATACAGTCTCGGATGCGCTCCAAAAGCTCCAAGACAAGAGGCGCGCGGCTGCAGAGCCCGAGAGACCTGTTGTACTCATCGTGGCCGGTTTAGATACCCTCACAGAAGCGGTTATTCGAGCGTCGAATCCACTCCGCGGCACTGCATTGCTGGCAGCCACACTTCGCAACGTGAACCGCCTGGCACGGACGCACGAATCATGGCTTTCCATCATCTTGGTGAACACATCTGGACTTGGACCTGCTCATTACGACCTTACGCCATCGGTAGAGACTGACCAGGCTGAGAAACCTCGAAAGGAGATGCCAAGAAAGGTCTCGGGCGAGGATAGTATTTACTCGGTGTTTCCGTCCCCTAGTGGACCGTTGCTATCCACGCTTCTTATGAAAACGCTGGATCAGGGCATCGATACGCATATCTTACTCTCGAATGTGAAAGCCGCACAGGTCGCGGAGGTGATCAAGGATCGGACCGGGTCTGGACTCGGGAAATGGGGGATATGGTCACCAAGGCGATAGTGCTCAGGATTCTCCTATTCCAAGTACCGATGGAGCTACGAGCTATGTCCAACCAGTCAAAGTAAGGCAAAACGGGCAAAGCATCAGATGCGTTACAGTCGACAGGCTTTGTCCGATAAAGGTGATGGATTCGATTGTGTATTGAAGGATCAAGCTCGCTGTGGCCACTCTCGTGCGCTGCTCCTTGTCCGTTGCCCTTCCGAATCACGAGGTGGGAAGGAAAAACCAGGAAACGAGTCAACGCAAGCAAAGCCGAGGTATAGAAAGGGCTATAATATTTCTCCTCACTGAGCGAACGAAGGCGCATTTTCCTTCTCGGCCCATTTTCGAAGCACAGCTCGCTCTGCCACCGACCGTGCTTCCTGTTCCAACCGGACAAGGTCCTGCTCCGCGGCATCCTGTTCGAAGATGATATCCTGTTGCTGTACTTTCATCCATTGTTTGTGCCTCTCGCACCGTTTCTTAATACAGACGCCCCGCGTGATGAATGTCACAGAGTCGCCTTCCTTTTCGTCGCCGTCCATGGCAATATCGCCATCGGCATCTGTGCCCGATGGAAAACTTGCGGCCATAGCTTCGGGCGAGCCCTCTTCCAGGGCTCTTTGACCGGCACGCGAGAGACGCCATTCGTCAAATTCTTCATCGGCCCATGCGAGGCGGGCGTCAAATCCGCAAATATCTTTCCAACCACCCTTGGGCTCGTTTTGCTTCAACTTTTCTACGATCGCCTTGGCTCGCTGGCGTAGAAGCCCAACAAAGGTCGAGCGTGCCGACAACATACCCTTTCGGTGGAGCAAATTCTCTCTTCTTTGGCGGAGTTCGGAAATCTTCGTCGCCTCTTCCGCAGAATACTCCACGCCGCCAGCCTCGACGCTAAAGAAGACATCGGAGTCGGACATTGGGTTCTCCGTCTTAACATTCAAGGCCGAGCCACGGGGGAGTCCTTGCAGAGGCCAGGGGAGAATTGCATTACCCAATTGGTGAAATTCGTCAATGGAGTTGACTCCTAAAATTGCGGCCTTGAGATCTGAAGGGGTCAGGATACCACCCATACTCCCCAAATCCCCCCCCGCCCTTCCTTGTGGATCCTAGCTTTGATTTGCGAATGTGTCGGGACATGAATTCTCGTCCATGCTCGTCAGAACAGTACTTGCTGGGCTTTTTGAGAGTCACTCGAGCCGGCTTGCGGCACTCGGGCAGACGGCACATGGGTTTCCACGTCGTGAAACCAAGGTCTCTGTTGCTACAGCTCGGACCTGATATTGCGTGTTAGACCAGGAAGCTAAAGCAAGCTTCAAAGATGTTGGGAGACTCACAGATATACTTATCGATCAATTCGGCATCTCGAGGATCGATATTGACGCATTTCCCGTGAAACCAGTCTTCGCATTCACCATCACAGCCAATCATCCATGTATGATTATCAGGTCGACGACAGATACAGAAAAGTTCATTCTCGTCTTCGACATCCTCGTCCTCATCGTCATCACGCGGTTGCATTCTGCTGCGCCTCTTTTTATCTTCTGGCGCTGGGGACCCCGCAATAGACACGGAGCTCTGCTTCTTTCCAGAAGCCTTTCCGGCTCGAGAGGCTGGCGTATTGGAACGGCGCCCATCAATACTTTCGGTGTCAGCGTCATTTGCTTTGCGCTTTCTAGAGACCGGTTTCTTTGCAGTGCCCTTTTTCGTAGCCGCTGATGATCCTTTTTTATTGGAAGGCGCCTTGACTGAGGCCGCAGGGGAAGACCTATCAGCGGAAGAGGCGCGGGATATGCCTCCTCCATTCTTGAGGCTTGCGAGCTTCTTCGATGACAAGTAATCACCCGTCCCATCGTATCCCATGGACTTGAAATTCAGATCTTCCCTTGGGGGATATTTCTCTATAGTCGTCCCGGAGGGCTCGGCTTTCACCACTGGAGAATGATCGTCTTCGGTGGATACCAGCGGACCACAAATGCTTGGATCATAGCCATTGTCGTAGATATCAATCCACGACGCGCCTCTATTCTCATCACTGCCATAGCATTTCCACTCCCTCAAACTCTGGTGTACTTTTTTAGCCCGCTCAAGACCAAAGTATCCGCAGTTTCGCCATCCAGAGATCCCGACAATCCGATCATCTTTCACGATCAGATTTGCCGGTGTGAGATCATTATGCGTCAGGTTGAGGACCTCGTCCGAGCTCCGCGGCGCGAAGAGGATGGTGCGCTCTTGATCCGACGTAGACGGCATTGATTGGGAATTCAGTCCGCGGCAGACGTAAGAGGGCTCTTCGGAGGCAGAGTCAATCGTCGCCAAGTGGTGTATAATCTGGCGACATTGATTTTTCAAAACCATGATCTGATCTGTATTGAAGTATCGCCATGCCACGTCCAATGAAGTACCAGGAATGCGAGATTCGACCGTCACATTTTTGCCTTCAACTGTCCCACAGAAATATATTATCGGCACCGCAATACCAATATCCTTTAGAGCATCCTCCACTTTGCGCGCGGCAGATATTTCGTTCGCATTTACGCAGGAAAACCGTTCCGAGGCTGCGCCATGGGTCGTATCGGTGTCGACACGGACGATCACACCCCCGACAGCAAAAGCTTCCCTTGAGCCTGGAAGGTTCAGTGAGTTATCGGGTATACAGTGTTCGCGCGTGAACTCCTCCCAAAAGGCCTTCGATTCTGGTTCAGACTGATGCCAATGTTTATGCTGTGGCGTGGGCACGAAGTCATGAGGCTTCGGGGTGTATCGACCGTAGTGGATGCTTTGCGCGAGGAAGGGGTCATCGGAGGGAATCACGTCCGGGTCTGTTTCGTAGGGATTGGCCATGGCTGAGGTCGTCTTGTCGTCGTCGATCGCACCGTTGACGTGGGTTGAGTTGCTTCGCCCGGGCATGTCTGCCCGTGTTTATCGAGAGGACGTATACCACTGTTATCAGAATGGAGCAGCTTGCTTTGAGTGCACTGCGTCGAAGAGTTCTGACGGCGATTTGAAGTGCTCAAATAGCCAGAACAAGCTCTGCCTTATTCGCTGCGAAAGGAATGCGGCGGGCGATTGCAGTCTAGAAGCTTGAAATATCCGTGGTGATGCTGCTCAGTCTCATTGCGTCGTGATAGTCAATCTCTTATTACCACCACCGCGCTTGAGCGAGGACACCAGCAGATCGCTGGAACACATGCGATGGAGAATGAAGCCGATAAAGCTGGTCAACTCATGAAACCTGTCGATGTTGATCCCTTGGTCCGGCAGAATTTCTTCGCACTCGAACGTAAATATCGATGCTGCCGGGGTCGCGAATCGCGATATGTGGACGTTCTGATGTAAAGCTGCTGGTGTTTTGACGAGGTGCCCACAGAAGAGGTTTGGATGGCCCGGCCAAAGGAAGCAAACAAGTGTCGTGCAGATCACCCTTCACTATCTATCGTTATCGTTGACGATCCGACAATTTGAGGTGCGAATACAAGCCGAAGGCGGTGAGTTGATCAGCACGCGATCGACTGGAGCGCGGCGCGACCGCCCGCGTTCTAATCGAAGTGTTGAAGTGGAAGATCAAGAAGGGCTAGATACGCCTTGTTCCCATTCAAGATGATGACCTTGGACGTTAATGCCACAAGCTTCCACGGACTACCTAAAGAGCTTTCCAATTCAACGTGTAAATCCAGCGTAAATGGAGTGAACCTGTCCTTGTCACTTCACGAGTCACGACGACGTTTGAACCTGTCTTTGATGGGCTCGAGATCTCTCTCAGTACTTGGGAGATCTGTGAGCGTCTCCAACACACGCACTCGCAATTAATCACGGCAAACAACTATACAGTATATAGTATACAGTATACAGTTACCATAGTATACAACTATACACTTTACGTCGAACTAGTTGGCTTGATTGAGGAGCTCCGTTTATACCGAATTATTCTCGTATGATGAGATTCTAATTTCAGAAATTGGAGCTCGCAAGCTTGACGGAGTCTTCTCATGCCAGATGACGACATGCCTCGTTCTTCTTGGCAGAGTGCGTATAAGCTCCATCACCGCAGTATGACTCCTACTATAGGAGTATGCATGATCACTTCTAATCGCTTACTTTCTCTGTAAGTGAATAGTGGACGCTAGAGTTGACATGGCGCTATAGTGGGAATAAGGACTATCGGCTCATTTCCGTCTGTCAAATGTTACTGTACTCTTGTTTGATCAGATCGTCCGGCACTCGGCTTCCAAGCCCTGTTGGGTGGCGAACTTGATGAGCTTGCGAACTGCATCGATGATCCTCGTCATCAATGTACGTCGAACCCATCGCCGCTAACAACTAGGGCGGTCTGATTCCGCGACAGGTCGGAATATTTCGAGTGTGATTACTTCATGCAACCATGCTGACCCAGACTACACGTGGCGAGCATGGATTGAGATGCAATGCATGCATGTGTCTGGCTACGAGGGTTTCAGTCTAGCACTGAACACGCTCCCCCGTCGCAGGACACATGGCGTGGATCGATGTGGATACGGCTCGAGCCACGAGTCGAACGACAATCGGGCGTCCTGGATGAAGACTCCGTCCACTGATATTGTACAATAATATGCACGGTGATTCAGCAGTGGCCCGGTTCCTGCCTACTTCTGTCCGGACGAACAGTCGCGACACATGCATAATGCGTTTGTCAAAAAGTTCCCCATCCTGTTTTCCTTCCTTTTCTTCTCCTCTTCCTTATCGTCATGGCCAGTAGAGAGCACATCACCATAGGGCGGGGCAGGGTTCTACCGAAGACGTCGACAAAGTCACTATTGAATCAAACTTGCAGACAGCCAGACACTAGCTCATAGAGCGCAGGGAGATGATACAACGCCAAGGGGATAGTCTCGCAACTTGACTCCCGCAGCGTACCTTTTGAAGCGGCCACTGACGCTTGTACTATCGTAAGTACCTAATGCATCGAATCTACAGAATCCAAGATCTCCATAGTTACCAAGGTAGGTCCATGTCTGTTAGGAACGACACAACCTGGTCACAGCTCTCTACCTTGGTCAAGCTGCATCTCGCTTAGAGCAAATCCCGATACTATCCATGTTTCTTCTGAAACACTGCATGACTGCAAGGCTTTGCTGTACGCATCTTCAGACCGCGACCAGCCACAATTTTGGGGGCCGGCGATGGATCCGCGGTTGCCGAGGTGGAGCATTACCACGACCACAAACAGCCCAAAGAACAGTTTGAAGATCAGGCAGGACAAGTATAATTTTGAACTGTCGATCAAGATAAGTGACTGTTCTATAGGAGATAATTGCCGATGGTACTTTACGCAAATATTCAATAAGCATGTTCTACCAAGGACCAGATACTAATTTATCATGATGGCAGATTCACGTGCCTAGCGTAGCTACAAACAGATGATTAGTTATATGCTTCATAAGCTCACGACCTGATACCTCATAGTATGACACGCTTGGCTATGAAGACCTCAACCGTGGGCGATTTGAAACTATCGAATGTTGGTATATTTAAAGTCTACTAGGCCGGTGACAATCGTCTCGAGCGCCACCACGCACGAACCCTAGGTCATTCCGTTTACTCCAATCCTAGTGGACGGCGCTCAAAGTACCTACCCAAAAGAGACAGGTTCTTCGGCCCAATCTGGCCAAGTCCGTTAGCTCAGTCAGTCCCTTTTGATTCGTGTTGTCTGTTCTTAGGGCTACGCTGCCTTGATCCGAGAATGTCGGACAGCGGAGGGTGATCAAAATCCGACCTATACTTTGATAGCAATGGTTTCCACTAGTACCAGTTATACGCCCGACAGAGAGCTGGTGGACTTTGTTTGACCTAGGTTGACCTCACACCCAGATAGGTATACTCGTGGGCTCTCCTTGGGGATCGGGACGATAAGAAACGACAAAATGTGTGACGACGTATAAAAATGATATTTACAGGTAGTAGGAAAGGTACCAGGTAGAAGATATCCCATAGCTAGAGTTTCAGTCTATACTTGTGTAAGTGTATGATCTATCGATTGTAGCCTCGATGTTATTGATCCAGATTGTCTCCATGTAGCACCGTCCACTGTGCACGTACACAGTCAATCCGACCCTTTTAGTAAACAATGGCTTAATCGCTCCATCTCAAATCATCGGAGAGAACAGAGGAGTGAGGCCATAGATGGAGCCAACCATTCCACCTCTGGGTACCATTGCCGGTTCAAGGTTCACTGCATCCAGAACTGGGTATGTCGTGACTTTACGCTTCACACTTGCAAACTAACGCACGGGATATAGCTACCTAATGTAATGAAAGGCTGGTACAGGTGGACCGAGTCTGTATGGAGAGGGCAGTACATGAGTAAGTAGACTGCGGGAGATGATAATGATAATATTTGACTGGTATCTTTCGTTTATCGTAATGACATCACGGCTAGGGTCTCTGATAAGAAAGGTTCTATTGATCAGGTTTCGAACTTATTCTCCGTATGCGTTTTCTGCGTGCTTGGTACGAGCGAGGCGAAACACGAGGATCTTCTTCAGGCATACCAAATATGGTATATCGCATTTTGGTGGCGTGTGGGGCCGCGAGACCAGACAAGCATAGGACGCATAGGCCATGACTATGCCACTTGCGGTGTTGATGAGTCGTGGAAGAGACGGACAGGTATCTATATCAGGACTCAGTGTGTCAGGAGTAGTAGTAGTAGTAGTAGTAGTAGTAGTAGTAGTAGTAGTAGTAGTGGTAGTAATAGTAGTAATGTGTTTTCTGGCCTCGCTCAATAAAACCTGGTGGTTCGCGGGATACGTCGATTGAGTGGGACAGCTCTTTCCTCAGAAGCACGCCCGATCGTGGACTTCACTATTTGAAGTCTGGTCTAGCGGAAAGAAGAAAATGAAGATGGCCTATCATCGGCCTCGGGGGACACGGTGTCTTGAGCACGCTATACCGGAGAATCGCCAGTAGCATTTGGCATAGGAGACCCTTTGTGCATGATCAAATGCCGCCCCGATAAGGCAAAGCGGAAAGCCTAAATTTACCTGGAGAAACGCCTCAATGTCCCGTCATACATCCATCAAAATGCAGATGGTGTCGAGGTATTTACGACCTGTACTGAGGCAGTAAATGAGATGACAGGGGTCATCTAACTGCCTATCCTCCTGTGAATGGCTGGGTCCCTCCTCTGCTACCGTCGAATGCACCATGATGATCGCGTAAGAAGGTGGTCGGTCTCGATTGGATTGTACTGGACTAGTGGACTTCCCACCAGCCAGGATGCCGTTGCAAAGATGCTACATGTCAGACATGACGGATCGTAAGCCTCGCGCAACTCCTACCTTTGCTGGTCGGTCATCCTTATGGTGCCCGTCGCGAGATTGATCGCACCCGAACAAGTGCTTGATCTAAGGTGATTAGCGCTGTCACATCTCAGCCATGCCAACGTATGGTTGTGCTTCCAGTCTTCTCTCAGACAACTGGAATTCTCACGTGGCCACCTTGTTATGTTTGGTCTTCAGCCACGGTGCCGCACACACACGGAATGACCGTCGCTCGTCAGAGTCAATATGATCTTGACCGAGTGTACCTCCCTACAGGGACGCACACCCCGTTGATCACTCAAGACGCACAACGGCTATGTCCGTTAAAGTTTGTGTGCCTCACTCCCACACGGAGGGTAGAACGACCCACGTTCTTTTCACCCACACATCCACATCAGACTTGTGAGCTCCTCGTACTTCGGTCTACCTTTGACGGTCTTTCCGTGACTCTGTGCCACAATGTCCCACATGAATGTTTCGAATGTCCCCCACAGACCCAAACTCTGTCTCAGCTGCCTCTCCTCTGCACGCGGTGTCGAGCGCTTCCTATTCGTCCCAGCGGTCGCGGGAAAGAGCCGCGTCTGCTGATCGCCACTAATCCCAAAACAGAATAAGAACAACCGACGCCTCTGGCGTTCGTCTCGACGAAATGGATCGGATTGGGGCCAATCGCATCGACTTGCATCCAGACGGGCGGACCGAACGGAGGGAAGACTGCGTGGGATTGCCGTTTTGAGCGCAATCGCGACGGAGTCGATCGGGGGTTTCATCGCTGACACATCCTCACAAATTACTATATCTAACTTGGTTAACTACAGGTACTCTCCTGAAGCGCAGGACTGAAGTTGTCATGCTTCGGGATCAGATATCATCGTCGCTCTGTACAACTACAGGCCACTCCGCACTGCTGTAGTCTGTACACTGTACACTGTACACTGTGCTCTGTACTCTATACACTACAGCAGTACATGAGTATAGTAGTATAGTATATGCTCGGCTTACACCGTGCAGACGAACCTTGAACTGACAACGGGCAAATCTGTCGAGGCACCAGCTCTTGCCTCCCGATCGACTTTCAATGGTGATCATCGCGATGTGTTGCTCTCATGAAATCAATTGCAGGCCACCTCGAGCATGTCAGTATGTACGTTGCTCCTGACCCTTTGACATAAACAGCAATTCGAGCGTTGTGGTGAGTCCATACCTTGGTGTGTTATGCAGTATGCAGCATGCTCCGAATGATGTACAATTATATACACCCCCACTGCTCAGTATTCAGTGCTCGACTGCACAATTTCTCCCTCTCTCTCTCTCACTTTGGTGACGCTACTCGGTCGGCCTGTCCAACATCCACCGATCCACTCTTGCAGCAACCCGGTGGGACTGGATCCTCCAATGCATCGAGTCCATTCACTGCACTACTCAGTCCTCCCTACTCAGTACCTCTTCATTGTTCGGTGACAGCGAGCAATGGGCGGTAGGAGATACTCTCCTCTCCCGTTCTTCCCCTAGCATGCCCTGTGCGTGATGCGCTCATGCTCCACTGGCTCCCGGTGCTTTTGCCCCATCTCGCCTCGCGAAAATGACCCGTTTGGGTCTGGATCATGTTGCCCCATACCAGGGCCATGCAGGTATGCTCGACAGTCGACACTCAGCTTAGTAATTGATGCGATGAGAAGTACGTTGAAATAGCGCCAGTCTGAAAAAGGAATGACAAGAGACCAATAAACGACATGGACAACCCTGGAAACTGAACATATCAACACCGTACTTGAAGACGCAAACATTACGACGGAAAAAAGAAAAGATAATGCACTCGCGTCCGGGATACTGTGCCTGTGCTAGTTCAGAGTTTCTTACAGTAGTGGTAGTACTCTCCAAGATAATCTATAATGTAGAACCCCCGGAGGATTCGCGCTGATCATTCCCCGTCATGTCAAAATCTAAAATTGTCCTTGGGGGTTCTCATCGACAAGTCAATACACGTTGCATGTACCATACATTATGGTCCCTTCCATTAGTAGTGGAGATTGAAGACCCTGCCGATTCACTGTGAACTTGGTGAAGTATAGACTGTAAGCTAGAAGCAACGTGATCGAACGGTCCGACACGTGGTCGGCCGTACTCGGGCGCTCATCCATGTTGCACTCTTGCAAGTTCGCCTCGTTCGAGCGTCAATTCCGCACTCCTACCTAGTACTGAATAGTCAGTAGTGACTGACTCTACTGTGTACTACCGTCACTATCGTATGAGGGGTGAGGTACCTTGGATGACGAGAACAGGTGAGACTTCTCTTCATTTTCCAACGCTCTGGACCTTGCCATCCTTCTTGGTCTTCATCCATCGTCAGTCCATTGCTCGACTTATATACATCCTTACAACAAATCCAATTACGGACATATCTGTGACCAGTGACCACTGACCACTGCATTCAGTGCTGTAATTCTGCTTCCCTCTTCACCAAGTTCCCTTTCCTCTGTTTCTCGCCCGTGCATTTATCCAACGTCCGTCCACATCCCACACAAGCAAAGCCCAGTGGGAGTGGAGCCGTCCAGACTTCGTCCAGCCCGTCAAGGTTCTTACGATCCGCTCAGTCCGATCGATTGGACTGTCTCTGGGATTCACCTTCGGGTGGTTCTGCAACCTTTGCCCCCATCCCAGTCCCGCCTATCAGTCCTATCACTCACCTACCGGGATCTCTCTTCCCCCCAATTTCCCCTCTTCATTCCTGGCACTCTGCAGACGACCGGCCTAGTGGTGTCTGACTGTCTTCAGCGCCCTCCCCCCCCCCCCAGCTGAGCGAGTCTAGTGATCTCCACTACGACTCGCATCGACCACGAGTACACGCAGAACGCAGGGATCCCTGCACCACGCTCTAGGACTGTGCCTGACCCGACCCGCGTCATTGCATCGCAGCGGCCTCAACCTTGCCCTTCAGACAGAGCCCGTCCATTGGACCCCCAGTCCTGTTCTGGGTGACACTCGGCCGCGAGAGCACAGATTCCCCAAATCAAAAGCCGAAGAGAAAGGGTTGTTACGATTTGATGGCAGTGGCCTCCCCCCCCCCCCGACTTATGCGCAATTACTCTCTATATTCTTCCAATAAGATCGCCTTTCTTAAGCAACTCTCATTCTTGAGCCGCTACTCTTCCCGGATTTGAATTCTACAATCCTGTATATTTGAAAGGCGCGACTATTGCTGATGTGAAGGCATTCTTCACGACCCATCCCACCTCACTCAGATTGACCCTTCAACACATGAACATCTTCCATGCGCAATTGCCTACCTTACTCCTCCACCATGGCGATCACAAACACAGATTCGGATCATCTCAAGACGGCGCAAGAGGCGCCCAGCGTACGATGGGAGTTCATCGACGCTTCAAATAACAGCCGAAGCAATCTCACTCGGGTCAAGCGTCATGTCATGCAAGAATACATGCGCCAAAAGAAGGGAGGCTCACGCAACAGCGAGAGTGAGGACGAGCAAATTCACCCTGTCTCGCCAGCTCGTCGTTCAAAGAAGAGCCGCACCAGTACCAGGGGAACGACGCAACGGAAACCCAAGACTGATCAACAAAAGGCTCAGCCGACAACTTCGAAAAAGAAGCGGAACAAAGCCGACACGATAGACCACACCGATTCGGCAGAGGAGGTGGAAGAAGTCTGTCGAAACTTGCCCGCCGAGTCTATTCGGGCATCATCATCATCATCATCATCATCATCGTCGTCATCATCAGCCAATCCTGTTGAGGACGCTCTGTCTGTGTGTCTCCGAAAGTCAGTCTCTTCGTCGTATGAGTCCGTCAAATCCTCAGACGACCCGGCTGAAGTGCTTCTATTTCCTCAAGAGAATCACCCGCAAGACCCCTATTGTTCACCATCCTGGTCGTCTGCGTCCCCCACATCGTCTTTTGGATTCCCAAGGTCCCCACGAACCATTCTCAGCGCGGCCCGGACAGACCCGTTCAATTCACTCCCCGTCGAACTCGATCTGGAGGGCCAACAGCTGTTTGATTTCTATGTCAACGAAATGCCCGCTTGCTCTTACGGTTCCCATTTTCGTTCGCCTAAAGCCCACAATTGGTACACACGCGTCTTTGTGCCTGAGGCGATGAAAGGTGCCGTGGCTTTCCAGAACACCATCTTAGTTCATGCAGCCAATACCTGGGCTTGGGTCCGTAATCTGACCGAAACCCCTCATACCCTTCTTCACCGGGATCGGGCGTTGTCCATGTTGCGAGACCATCTTACTAACAACCCACATGACACCTCCGATGTGGCGATCGTCTCATGTTTGAGCGCAGCCGCCCTCGAGGATTTCGATCCTCGGCCGGGTCACAAGGAGATCAGTTGGATGCATATGCGCGCGGCCCGAGAGATGATCAGGTCTCGAGGGGGCTCGGTTGCTTTTGAGAACACCCGGCTGGGAATGTTGATCAATTGGCAAGATTATATCTTGTCCGGCTACGAGACGCCCCCGCGCGGTAATGGTTTCTTCTTTGATCAGCATCCGGCCCCCTCCCCAATGTCATCGAAACCCCGAAGCCTTTCAACTGAATCATCCTACAACAACCTTCACTCCCTGCCATCTCCGCCCGAGTCCACCTCCTCGATCTGCTCCGACCTCCCTGCCTGTGTCGAACCCAGCCAGGCCGCTGGAATGATGCAGGGTCCTTCCTCCGTCGACGAAATTCGGCTCCAATGCGAAGAATTTCTCGACTTCCTCCGCCGCTGCGAACAGCTCACTCTTTACCAGCGTGAGAACCCCACAGCGTGTGACCTGTCCCGGCACACTGCCGTTCAAAGTACTTCCCTTTTACACCGAATCCTCGTGGCCCCATCCGGTGCTCGATTCACAGCATCCGGCGATCGGAAGCAGATGGTTGCTCGCATGACTGCGCTCATGATGCTGAATGCCGCGCTGTGGGACTATCGGTATTCTCCGGCTCAAACGAGGACTTTTCTTTGCACATTAGAACAGGCCATGACAGACAGTGAAGTCAGCATTAGCGGATCGGTCGAAGCAATCCTGCAGATTCTGCTTGAATGTAACGACGGCCCACGGGGAACATGCGCCGATTCGAGTTCCGACTTTTCCCAGTACTCCGCTACAGCGACCTCGCCCTCTGCCCGTCCCTGGTTCGTTGGTCGAATGTTGAAGATTGTCAAACGATTAAGCCCTGATTCTTGGCATCAAGTTAACAACTTTTTCTTCTCATGCCTTGCATTGCAAATACGTGAGCTTGGAGTGTGTCTATGGGAGCCTGAATTGCGCCGTGAAATTCTTGAAGCCCCATTGACCAGCTACATCATGCCAGCACTCTATTGAACATCATCGATACCATGTCGATGGGGTAGTTTGTTGTGATGAACCCTCGGGATGTATTTGGAACACTGATCCATATCATTCCGGATCTCTTTTTTTTTTTCGCGTTTTGTCTTTCAGGCGTTGCATTACATCTTGAACCCGGCGTCTTGGGGTCGGACAGGAGAGGGGCATTTGGCATTTGTGGGAAGACATCATGTATGACTTGCGATGATTTTTTTTTCTTGTGGAAGGCGCGAACAATATACCCTATCTAATCGAGACAGCACTTTCAGACCGCAATATCCCATTGCAAAAACAAGAAGAATTCCATCAAAGCTGTTTGACCCTATATTGGGACTTGAATCTCCGCAGTGCGTCTGCTCCGGGGCACTTCCCTACCTCTTCGAATGATGCGTACTCTACAGTGAAGGTCACATCTTCAAGAGCGTTGAGGCTGCGAGACGGGTAGCTGGAACTTGACATGACTCTGTGAGGAAACCCCACCTGACTTCGCTATCTACTCAAGCATGAGAAAAAGACCGACGAAGTATCCAAGGGCCGTCGTTCTTTTGCCCCAAGCCGTCAATGGCGATCTGGCTACCAAGGTTGGAGCATGAGCTCGGAATTCGGGCTATCGCTTCCAAGCCCATTCCGTCTTCAAGGAATAGGAGGACTTAGGCGGTGGTGTTGTTGAACAATTGTCCGGAGACTTCAATATGCGTTGCAAACATCGACGTTGAAAATGTGCAGATGACAGCAGAGTGGATATGGTCACGTAGCTTGATCGTTCTTCCCGACGGAGCTTTACGGATCTATAAAGGCAGAAGATTTAGCTGGAGAATGTCCGTCGGCTAGATGAACAAGATGCTGAGTATAGAAGTAGCAGAAGTAGTATAATAATGGATCGATTGAGAGTGCTGGTTCATAATGTGACATTTATCCATCATCTTGGTTTTAGGAAGAAATCACTTTTGATGAATCAGTTTGACGTCAAGTACTGATGACCGTGGAACGGGTATAAACGGGGACTCAGCCGGACAGAGATTATTGTCTCCAGTACCGAACAAGTTTCCGATGACGGATATGACTTTTTCACACCTTTTCACTGACAAATGCCCTGGGCCCAAGAAGAAGAAAGCATGGAGCGGCGGTCTTCCGATCGACGACTTCATCAAGACACCAATTGAAGGTCGCGCAAACGACGACCTTCATCATGCTCCGCGAGAACGGCACGCTCGTCGACCTGAACCCATCGACCCAGCGAGCCGTCGGCAACATGAAAGCCACCATCACGCAGCGCTTCAACTGGGACGGGACGGGCTCAACTTTGACGTCGAGTGCGACTGCCGCTTCATCAATTTCTGTCTGAAGGAGGGACTTGAGTGGAAGGTAAGATCCTGCGGGAATTGCCCACTATGAATAATAAGGCGTTTTATGATCTTTATGCCGCGATGGATGCTTGACTGCGAGGAGAACCGGTGGGAGACATGTTGGAGATTCCCAAGGAGGGCTGTACCGCGATATCAGAGCAGATTCGTTCTGTGGTAGGTACTGCATGCCGCATGGGCTTCCTACGAGGCTATGTATGAGGTACTTTAATGTGATCATGCCCTGATTCCAATCCAACAACAAATGACAGTCATGATCAACATCCATTCGCCCGCCAGTAAACTATCTGTGGCCACTGGCCTACGTATTTCGTCTTAGTACTGCGACTCAGCAAAGGTGAAGTGATTTCCATCTCCAGGTAGGCCGTCCTGATCCTCTTACATGAGGTCGCATTGCCTCTTCATGTATGGATCGGTGCTCCCCTCTACCGAGGCCATACTCTCAAAGACTAGCAAGAAACGTTAGTCGAAATTGAAGAACCGTCAGGACTTGAACAAAACTCAAGCTGGAAACAAACTAAGCAAACAAACGCACATTGCTTCTTAGCCTGTCTGCTTTCGGCCGTGTCGTACCATAGCCTCAGCAACCACGCTGCGACTATCATATCCCGCAATTGCTGGGATAGAGGCCCCGAGAGGGCTAATTTGTGGGTTCCACCCGTTCTTTGATCTTTGGCCACCTCGCTGCCGTTAGAGTCACTCCAAATGTAGCGGCAATGCGCGGCTTGAGAGATAGGCCGTATGTTAAATAGAACTGATTGTTCTTCATTCTGATCAAAGAGCGGGTTGTCTGAGGCTGTCCGATTCGCACTCAGCATTACCCGGAAGGAGGTCCTTCGAAGGCGTGATTCGGCTACCTCGAGGCGAACATTGCCGATCATCTCGGGTGCTACGCAAGTGATATAGTACTTGGCAGCTATGTCGGTTCGATATTGAGCATTGGAAGGGTGTACAAGGTAGAAAAGGTGTCGTCGCGGTGGAGCGGGCATGAGCTTGTCCTCATTCGTCTCGTCTTGAACGCTCTGCTCGACGCGTTCAAATCTGACGGACGCGTTCTTGTTTGAGACTGAGCAAACATCACTGCTTATCTCATGGAGAGGAGCCGTATTGTGAGACTCGGCGAAGACCGACTGACCGGACAAAATGAGGACCACAGGTCTAGGATGGTTCTCCACGCAGGCTCCAGATGTGTCCTGAGGAGCTTCCGAGCTCGAACTCATTGTGCCTGGCATGACCTTGGTGACAGGATATTCCGGGGGCACGGCGTCGAAGCACGTAATATCGCAATGTCGAACGGAACGAGCGAGTGAGAAACTTCTGTGCCTCGATTCCTTTTTTTTTTCAGAGCCAGAGATTGTGTTTCCACCTCGGTGGCGCAGGAGGCAATCATGCATCGTCACCAGGTATGAGTTGACTTGGTCTGGCGAGATGCCGCATGATGCCAATGGAAAGCTGTCAAAACGTGGAGCCCCGAGTGGGGTCAAGGATTGCCCCGTCGAAGCTGGTGCTCATCCAGTATCGCGAATATCTTCCAACCGTCCAACCTTCCTCCCCCCGCTGCCAGCCACGCCGCTGCAGTCACGCATGGCTTGCGGATGTCATGCTTTTGAGAGCTGCCCCGGGCGGGGCTTACCTTCGGCCTCGCGAGAAGTCTGCATGAGTCATCCACCGCTTGACTGCGCAGGATGGAGGTCAGGTCTCTCTATACTCTATTGATCGACCATGAAGCTCAAGTGGTCCTGGCCCGCAGGTGGTCCCGGGACACTCTCCAAAGGGGCCACAGTAGCCTGTTTCAGTCACTCTGGTGATCTCGTCGCTTTCGGCTTACCTGCCTGCCTCGCCGGTGGGCTGTCTCCAGAGAAGTCATCATCGGCATGAACTTAAGGTTTGCATGAGGTCTTTTTCTCCTCGGTTTCCTCTGAAGCGGGTCCCGAAACCACACCACGCAAAGTGCCAATGTTGGGGGCCGAGACGGACACGGAGGGGCGAGACGCCAAGTTGCCAGGGTTGGTTGTTTAATGTCAGCCACACCAGGCCGCTACCCACCGTCGGAGGCAGGGATCAGCGGTGGACGTTGGCCCGATGGAGAAGAGCCTCATGGTCTGTGATGGACGGCTTCATTTTGATGGAGAATCGGAAGATCTCGGCGGGGAGAGCTTTCGTGCTCAGGAACCGCTAGGGGGTCAGACGTGTTGCATCCAAGTTTGCCGCCCCCATTGGAACTTTTCCTATGTTGGGCAGGCTCAATTCCTTCAGGAGTCCATTGACTTTGCTGGGTAATGGCACGCCTGATAACACCCCCCCAATTGAACCTGGATTTCCCATCGCCGGCCAGTTCCCCCTCCTCTCTTCGCAATACTCAACAATCAGACGAAGCGATGCGGGCTGCTTTGGCAGAGATTCTTCTTGTCGCGCAGGTTGTAGCGCATTGCTTCATGGCGTGGAAAGCCCTGGTACTTTGGACAGGAACACCTTTCCCTGTGATGGTGGTTACCACAGAGTCGATGGCCCCTGCATTTACTCCCGGGGACATTCTTTTCATCTCGAATCACCGTCGAGACGTCCAAGTCGGCGACCTGCCAGTCTGCTGGTTGCCGCAGCACGCATTCCCCATGGTCCATAGGGTACATCGGGTGTATCACGAGGCCACAATCGACTCTGGTTGGAAGTACGCATCCTACAAACGCGGGTCGCTGCCTGATTGTAATGCGCTAACCGCAGGAATACTGCAGTCAGCTCATTTTGACAAAGGGGGACAACAATCTTCTTGATGATGCAACAATCTATCCCGAGGGCAGGGGCTATCTGCATCGCAGCCAGATTCTCGGATTTGTCCGGGGCTACATACCCTTCCTTGGATGGGTGATGATTGGTATGCAAGATTTGACCCGGGTACAGGGACTACTGACTGGGTTTGGGCGGAGTACGGGCTTGATAAGAAATGAGGAATGAATTCAGGCACTGCGGTTGTTACTGGTGTGAGTTCAGAACATATATACCTATGCCTTCATCCCGAATTGCCAATAAAAAGAAATAAAAAAAAAAAAAAACAAAAACTCACTCTGCTGGATTCAACAGAGTGTGATAGACCTTTGGATAGATCCACAGGGGAGAGACGCAGGTGAAGAAAACAACAACCCATGTCATGCCGACAACTAATTTCAATGTCCCCGGCAGCCGCGAAATAAATGTGCTTGTCAGCGGCGTCTTCCATATCGCCGTTTCGACTGTTGTGGCCAGAAAGCTGAGCTCGAAGAAGAGGATGTCTCGTGACAAGGCCACATCTCCCAGTGCCCAGCCAACCAGTGAGTGCGAGAGACCCGAAATCGTAAAAACAATCAGAGGTACAGTCACCTTTTCAAGGAAGGACCCCAATCTGATTCCCATGAGCCGGTGGCAGACGGCACGCGAGTAAAAGACATACGTTGGGATGGTCAGTTGATGCCAAAATCGAGCCCAAAAACCTCGCACACTGTACGCTTCCCCAACACTCCCGAACAGATCCGGCCATTCTCCAGGGTCGTCGAAACGAAGGATCCCCACAAACACAATGGCTAGCAGGGAATGGTAAAACTCAAGAAAAAAGTACGCTCGCCATATCCACTGAATCGACATGATGACACGGACTTGGAATTGGTGGAATGAGAGTGGGAAGACAAGTAGTTCCATATCGGGCGAGAAGTCGGCTATGACCACCCGGCCAAGGGCACGAACAAATAGACTTTGGAAACAGAAGCGTTCAAAGGTCCATAGTGCCACTGCTTTTATCGATCGAAAGACGGAGAAGCGGACGTGAGACGTGAGTGCCCTCTCCGGTGCTTTCTTGGAAGTGGAAAGTCGTAGAGGTAGCTTTCGGGGATTGTTCCACACTCTGTAGCAGTCAACAAAGCTCCAGTCCTGACTCCCAGCTTCTGGATTGACGGCAAGGCGATCAAAAGCTAACAACTCGGTTGAATATAACATGTAGAACACTAGTAGGCTTGCCAATGTGCTATCGGCCCCAATCAGCCAAGAAAGCCTGTGTGACGAGATCAAGGATAGCAGAGACAATAACCATATCGGGCCAAGCAATAGAATGCGAATTGCGCGACGTTGTTTGAGTCCGACAATTGTGATCAGACTCGCGAAAAGGTAGTAGACCAATGGAAGAATCGATTCAAGGCCCATTGCAGGCAGGTGCTTGAGAATGCTCCACAGTCGTCAAGTCAAGGGCGTGTGGAAGAATTGATTTGAGGACTGATGAGATGTGAGATTGCTACAGGGGAGAGACTCTACTTCAAGCCATAGACTGTGGTGAGCGGCAGAATCACATGCCATACCAACAAGGACTATGAAGGCTTTTTGATACGGACCGTTCTCTAGCTCCTTCAATTTGCGCGACGGAACTCTTGCCAATCGAAGCAGTCTCCAACACGCCATGGTTTCCTGCTTCTTCACGATCGTTTGAATAGTCATCCACTCCACCCATGTCGCACTAGGAAATGTAAAAGGTATTTTCCAACAGAATATCCAATGTCGTAGTGGCTTGGCGAGCGTTGGGGGCCAAGCTTACAGCCTATCATTCCAGAGCACGGGTCAACAGATGCAGGGAAGACCAATGCTAACCCTATGTACAGTACTTTGGGTAAATCCTGACGGCGTAGCTCCACGGCTATTTCCCCTGCATGGGGGCCTTGCAGACTTGGCTCCTCATTGTGTGGGGAGAGGCCATTGCGTGGGGAGAGGGGATTGCCAACGAGCCTCGGGGGGGGGGGGGGGGGGGGGGGGGGGGGGGCCTTTCTCACGGAGATAGTACCAATTGCGGTAAAATAACCACAAAGGGCAGAATCGGAGAGGAAAATACCTTGCAAGAAAAGCTCTTTGAGCTGTATCGAGCCAGAGACGACGTATCCCATATAAGACTCTGCGAGCAAAAAATTGGTTCATGCCGCCAGGTTAACGCATCAGCTATTAGATCATTGAGTTATTTCAATCCAGATAGTTGAGGCCAATATGAGTCTGTATCAAAGCACATCTATACAGCTTTTCATCAAGTGTCTGCATCACAGCTCATCGAATTCTCACTAATCTTAGTATACTACTATGGGCCTGCGCCTGTGCTCGGGTTTGTATAGGCTCCGGATCCTCTCCGATCCATGTATCCATGTATCCCATCATCATCTCAGATTTTAGTCATGCCGTGGAGTGTAGCAGATGCCCGTGTGAACAGTGATGTAATTTTCTTTTTTTTCTCTCATCTATCAATAAAATGAGAGATTCAACAGGCCGACCATTCATGAAACTTGTGATCATTTACTAGTCATGGAAAGTATTCCGAGCGACTGTCCTCCCAGAGATGGCTTTGGATCAATATAAAAACCCCAGAACTTTGTCATTTCCCCTGGTCTATCCCTTCTCATCATTTAAAGCCCTTCTAAGAAATCAAAAAGTTCTCATCTCCAATTCTTCAAGTCAAAATGATGTCTCCCATTTCTCTCAAGGCTATCGGAGGAGCTGCTGCCGTGTATCTGTTGGGCCAGCAAGTTCAGTGCCCGTTCGTCGCCATTCCTCTGATCGGTGATGCCGTTGCCATGACTGTGGCTCAGGTCGGCTCTGCTGCTGCTAGTTTCGGCGGTGCCATTGCTGCTGCTCACTTTGGTGGCGGCAAGAGAGATATTGAAGGTCGTGCCACTTTTGTCGATGCTCCTGCTGGTGTGCCTCAGTACAACTTTGACATGTGTGCCGAGAGCCTGGCCGACCCCTCTGTGCACGTCACCGTTACAGGGCCTGTGCAGAACAACGGTGCGTATTGATCAAGGTTGATGCAGATTCAGTCAAGACTGACCCTTTTCCAGGCGTGCAAATCGACGGGTTGCCTTCAACCTGCATGGTGCTCTCGAATGTCTTTGACGGCAACGCTGCGGGTGGCCCACGTCCCACTCCTTGCGGCTCTGCTTGCCTTCTTTACAACAACCTCAACCAGGCCGAGTACAGTCAGATGCAGGCCATCTTTGAGCGGATGAAGAGCTTGTAGTTCTCTCAAAACCAATGGCTGATTTGTGCGCGTGCCTGGAAGGATGCATCGTTCCCCAGTGCACCCGACTTTGAACAATATGGGTGAGAGGGATGGAAGCCTTATACATGGAGATAGATGCTTTTTTGTGCATTGTGCCTCTAACCGCAAGAAAATGTATCCTAGACACTCGCTAAACACAATTTTTTGACCCTAAAGTTTTCACTACGTTAAGATCTTTGATATCTCTCAATCTTATGATCCTCTTCCGGGAAGAAGCACAAACATAATTTCATGTGTGTTGCCTGATCGGTAAATCTCCATATCCGATACATGACACATATCGATTGTAGTACAATACCCCTTACGCTAGATGATGCATGCCCAGAATACCTGATAGTGTTGCGTAGCATGTCCAAAAACTCAGTGACATCCATCTGGTTAATCCTTCTTGTTGCAGCTGGGTACGTCGCGATAGGGCCTTGAGGATAGCTCAAGAGGAGATATTTACATAAGTGAGATTCGGATTCAAAGATTATTTGGAAGGCCCCCGATCATGTTTCCTATATCATCAAACCGTATGCAAAGACAGAGTTGATTGCTGCCGCTGTTATCAAGAGTTTCTCTCCAAGACTTCTCTCTGCGCAGTATCAATTGCCGAGCTACCCAGCGCACCTTCGAAGGCGCATCTAACGCATTTTCCTTTTTCCGATCGATCTTTGCTCGTCAGTCATCGAGTCTGAACTTGATGTCACTCCTCAATTCCAAGGAGATGCTGGCCCGCCAACCGCCATGACGGCATCAGCAGTATGCTCTGTATTCTCGTAATCAGCATGCCTTTGCTTCCTGATCGGGTTTCAGACCGCGCGAACTGTTGCACTAGTCAAGTTACTATGACAAACATAGCGTTGGTATAACCTTCGCTCAAAACCGAGCTTCCAGTCACACTGGGTCCATTCCGAAACAAAACCAATGAGTACTTCCGCTCGATATGAGATCCACCAAGGATTCAGCACCTTTTCCGCAAAGATGTGGCGGAGCAAAGGCGGTCTTTGACTCCAAGTATCTCTCCATTGTTGGAAACAGAAGTCCGGCAAGCCCTTTTAAACCAGCCAGCCCATGATATTCACCGAATGGCGTTCGCATTATCTTCCACTTGCTGCACTGTGGATATTCGTTGCTTCAATTCTTATCATCAAACAGTAGCAATGTGTGACCAAGGCATCTCCAACACTCAAAGGCTCCCGCAAGACCTAGATCGCGAATCCCTGCCAAACTACGAGGATGTACAGCAAGGTCGCCCCACGGCACCGCCGTCTCGATATGGCTCTTTTCCCGCAACAACGAGCCTCCATGGCCAGTGGACCAAATTGAAATCGATGAATCTTTGCGCCGGAGAAAATGCCAAAAATCGCCTATGTTTGATCGAAATGCAAACAGGCTATAGCGGAAAACCTCCACTTGGCATGAGAACGGGTATCGTTCTCAGATCCGGCATGAGCAACAACGACCCTGTCCTAGCCGCCGCAGGTGACGAGTCCCAAGGCTTGCATGCATTCAATCCCGACGGTATTGTGTTCCTGCCGCCCTTGAATCCAGATTCAAAGATCAGTCAGCTGGATACAGAAGAGCTGCGCGCGGAAGCCGGCCCAAACGGCAGTGTGGCCTTTCGTTTCTCCGTCGAGACTGGGCAGGACAACTTGCGACAAGACTTTTTGTGGACGAAGGTGAAAAAAGGCGCCGATCAAGCCAAGAGAAACGGGTTCAGGTTAACTCGGCTTGTGCGTCCATCGCACATGTCGCCAGCCAGCGCTGGCGGCAGCATCGAAAAGGCGTCTTCATCTTCACTTCCATCAACAAGTGTTGAGGGCGAGACGGTTGCCAACCTTGGATGGGCCTGGCCCAGTCTGACCCATGCATTCACTCTCGAGATAGTGGACGGCCAGTCGAGCGTTTTAGGGGCGCGATGGACTCTGATGGTCACTGTCACTGCAATCAGGCTGTACACACTGCATGTCAAGGGAAAGACCAGCAAATTTGTGTTTGATATCGGAAAGAAAAATTAATCGACTTCCAAGGCAATCTGTAAATGGAGGGAATAAGCGGCCGCAGTGATCGGGTTAAAGAGAAGGGACAGTAGCCGGGGCGGACCACCGTGTGATGGTATACGATCACCTCACACTCACAGTGCGGAGTTCTGCAAGACTGAAGGTGGAAAGAGTAAAAATCTCGCTATTAGTTTAGCTGATCTCATTTCCATGCACTCTTAGCATGAATCAGCATTGGACTACAAGACTTGATAGTCCAAAGCAATTCCACGGCGAGCACAGTCCAAACATTTAACCCATTCGCAAGAACCTAAGGAAGTTAATGAGCTATTTGAAGGTCAGGATATAGCGGAAGGACTTGAAATTTTGAAGGAATCTGGGCTTTATCAGTTGTCTAAGCCAGTCTGTATGTCACTATTATCAGTCTGTACATAATTATTATGTTGAATAGACCATAGCGGTGATGCAATTCAACTTCCTATAACCATGCGAAATCGGGCGCATTTTGGGAGCTGGGTACCTAAGAATTGTGTGGTGGGTGAAGCCCACCATTACCGCAAGGTGTTTGTTGATAGTCGCAGTGCTAAGATCTGGAAAAAGGCCACAGATATACCGACCGCGGAGAGAAAGACTTCCCCAAGAGACAATGAGGGAATAATGGAGAATTTTCACAAACCACCACGGGCAATCCCCCTAATCAAATTACGAACTACATGCAGAGATTTGAATTACTGGCAGATATAGCAATTTCCGAGTCCTACAGCTCGGAAATCTGCAATTTCCAATACTGCAATTCAAGGTTGGAAAGTGGACATGACAAAACATCGACACTCGAACCCAGCAACCAATCTTGATAGAATCCGCATCAATCATGATCTATACACATTACCTCGTGCGATCGTGTTTTCTCAAGGAGTTGTCGAGAAAGCATTCATTCCAAGGGTATAAGATGTACGCGCAGCTTATCACCTCGAGACAACAGCATTACGAACCACGGCCTGCTCTGGCAAGTATAGAACCGAGTATATCTGTTCACCTGCACTTCAGTACCTTACTCTATCCATGCGTGAAACGGGATGTGTGTGATGCACGACGGTACAGGTATATCCTACCTAAGGTACTAGGCAGTAGTTACTAGTTAGTAGCACCTCGCCAACTTGCGTGGATCAGCGAGTTGCCTAAATTGGCAAATGCCAAGAGAAGCTCACACTGAAAAGTCGTCCTTTGTCTGATCGGAGGGTGATTTAGTGCAGCACTGCATCAGTGTCTTTGAATTTTTTTTGCTTTTCCCGAGCATTGTGATTCTCTCTTTCCTCGGGTTTTGGGAATCACCGGTATTTGTGCAGTCGAGTATCGACACGCTAGGAGCTGAAGATACTACTGGTAGTAGTACTTGGACCTTTGTCAAGGCCAGGGACAAGCAGACCAGTCGGTCTACGCCCTGCTTGGAACAGTGATGGCGTTTAGATGACGTGTCTTGGAGGACCGGAGGAAAAAGCAAATATTCAATTGTCGGGACAGTCCGCACTGGAGGGCTTACGCCCCGACGGAAGATAGATTGAGATGGACAGCACGACAAGAGGGGATTAAAATGGGAAGAAATGCTTGGAAGATAATGAGCTATTCGTCTCCATTGCGTACTGTAGGTAAAGGTAGTAGGTAGTGGTACTAGTAGGTCCTGATTCGTTCAAATAGCGTACAAGCTCCTATGTACCATCCATCTGCTTCCTCGTCGATTCTGGCAGACTGGAGACACTCCTACGACTCCAATTGTCACTTTTGATTGGGTGCATTGACAATGGATGAACGCCCTGCGGATGATGTTGATGATGGGGATAAGGATGTGGGAGTGGTGGCGTCCACTCCTTGTCCCCCTGGGAAGAACTGGCGACTTCTTGCGCGGTGATCGTAGCAGGCAAGCCGGCGGCCTCTTGGCCCTGGGATGAGTCCCAAAAGACCTGCTCCACTTCTTCGAGTGTCTTGCCGACAGTCTCCGGGTACCAGTACCAGACAATAATGACGGAGGCCCAGTTGAAGGCGACAAAAACGTAAAAGTACTTGGACCCAATACTTGTCAACGCGATGGGGGAGCACTGCGCAAAGATGAGGTTAGAGCTCCAATTCGTTGCGGTCGCGATGGCGGATCCGCGTGCACGGATTGCGGTCGGGAAGATTTCCGACTGATAGATCCAGGAGATCATCCCGAGAGCCGTGAAGAATAGGGAAAACACGAAGAACATGGCGATGGCCGCGCGGAGAGCGTCCTGATTCGAGTTGGCATCCCCAAAGTCGACGTAGTGCGCAAGCGTCGCTTCCACACACATGGCGGCTCCCATGCCCAGCAAGGATGGGATGAGCAACTTGCGCCGGCCGACCTTGTCGATGAACGTCATGAAAATGGTATTCCAAAGCTGCGCCAGCGCGCCCGAGATACCGATGATCATCAGGGAAGTGGAGGTGGACATGCCCAGGGTCTTGTAGAGGCGAGGTCCGTAATTCTGAATGACATTCACGCCCGAACACTGGGTCATGGCTTGGAGACCGCAAGCCAAAAGGATCCGGTAGCGCCACTGGCGGGAGAAAAGAAGCTGGCGCCATGAGCGCACGGCGAGCTGTTTTTCATAGAGGACACTTTCGTGGATCTGATGGAGTTCTCGATCCACTAATTCCTGGTTCGACGCGTTGGCGTTCAGGTGCAGGCGGGTAAGGACTGCTCGGCCAGCAGCTTCCTTGTCGTGTTCGATCAACCACCGAGGTGATTCAGGGAGAAACAAGATACCACAGACGAGTAGAACGGCAGGGACAGCCTGGAATGAAAGGGGAAATCGCCAGGCGAAATTTCCGCGGTGGAGAGAGCATCCGTAGCCGACCCATTGCTGTGAGAAGAAACGGAAGGGGGAAAAAGCGTTAGCTTAGCCCACACTGACCGGACACGCCTAGAACTGGGTAGAGGCGGTCAATTGTGAAGAGAAAAACACTGCCGTCACTTACAGCCACCATGATGCCGAGTCCCACCATCCACTGTTGCATGCTTGCTAAGAGGCCGCGAATTCGTGGAGGGGCGACCTCGCTCTGTGTCACAGTCAGCTTTCAGGAATGAATGAAGCCAGCGTTTTTGCCGATGTTGGGTCTTGACCTGACTAGGATGAACGAAGTACTCAACGTACACAGTAGACAGGAATCGTCGCGGACATGAGTCCAACGGCCAGGCCTGCAATGAATCGACCTGCAATGAGCATTGCCACGGTTATCGCACCTCCCTGAAGTCCAGCTCCGAGGGTGGCTAGCAGTCCTCCGACGAAAATGATCATTCGTCGTCCTCGGAGATCTGATATGTAGGGCGCGAGAAGCGACCCGACAATTGCGCCGCCTGTAGATGACCAGATCAGACCGCTGACCGTGGTTGTTGTACCATTGTGGTACATCGTATGGCTTTGAGACCAGGCTAATCAGACACATACCTGTGTAAGAAGAGATGATGCCGCCGCTGGCGGCATCTGATAATCCCGGAGATCCAAAGTAATCCAGGAAAGCATTTTGTTCGATACTCGACGAGATCACGCCCGAATCATAGCCGAACAAGAACGAGCCTAGTGCCGCGAAAGCGCAGCAGAAGGTGACCAGAAGGTAGGGCATGATGGTCGATGGCCGGAAGTGGATGTGAGGAGCTGTTCACTTCATGGCCCAGCTTCAGCTTGCCCAGGAGCGGAAGAAGCCAGGCGCGCGGACTTCTGATCGAAAAATTTGACGAGGAAACCGAGATATCAAAGAGTGGGGAGATCGGATCCAAGCACCCTCCAGTACCTCCAGCTCGCTCAGTGGCGCTTTGATGGAGAAGTGGTGCGTGAGATCAGCCACCGAAGGGTACGCGGGCGGGCTTGGCCTTGAATGCTTGTTCAGGAATGCATTGGGGCGACCTCGAATGCGATCAATGGGAGAGGTCTGGGATGTTTTTCAGACCCGTGAGCAGACCGAGACCAGTTCGGTTCAAGCCCGAGGACCGCGGGACCCAAACGAAGAAAGGAAGACACAGCCGCTGAAGAGTCCAACAAAGTTTCGCGAACCATCATCGCAGAAGATGTGATTTGCGCAGATGGTCTCCACAACATGGGCAACTTACCGGGGGTCCCCTCTCCGAGCCTGTACAAGGGGATGAGAGGCAAAAATAGTGTTACATAATCCTTCTGGATTATTCAGCTTGATCGCAAAGATTTCCCATACGAAATCCGGCTGCAGAAAGTTGACAGCCGTGGAGGAACGGAGCCAGAAACAATTTCTGGTACGTAATTGGTAGGTGAGTCGACAAGAATTAAGAATTCTCAAGCCAGTTCCCTGCATGGTAGCCACAACTTACAGTACAAACTACCACCTGACTCACTATCTGAGTAAACACTAGGTCAATCATTGTATGTACGTCGTGCAATAATCAGGCACAGTAGTCCTCCGAATCGCTTGATGCATCGCTCTCTACGATTGCCAGACTGGATGACCACGATTGTAGCACAGCTACAGCCTACCTGTAGTGGCAGATCGATACATCTTGAGCTGCTCTGCGTCCCATTTCCTCCGCAGTCATACCCTGACCTTGATGTTCCACCTAGGCACCTTGACGCGCGAGATGAGAATCAGGACTGCGAAGACAACGTATTTTTTTTCTTCCTTTCATTTTCATTCGGTGACAATTGGAGGCTTCTCGCAGGGCTGGGCCAGCGGTGTCCACCAGAACCCCTTGTTTGTATCCAGGCTGCGACACCTGGAATGCTGATTTGCTGCCCTGGGCATGATCCTGCGCGATGAGCATCGTATCCTGTGAAAGATCCGGAGAAGACTGGAGAGACAAAACAATCGTGCAGCGCTAGCAATGAGCTCAACGTCGTATGTTTGCGACGGAAATGAGCCGGACAACCTGTTCGGATGTCGACCGCGAAGCAAGCAAAGCAAGGCTGCTAGATTGTTATGGGAGCATCACGATCGGCACTCGGTCGCGTCGCATTCAAGCTCGGATTCTGGGGAGCCAGTCGCGTTCACATACCGATCCCCCGCACCACGCGCACCATGCCGTTGAGTTTCATATTCGGACTCCATAGCTTGCATGAGAATTTGGTGGACGCCGGTTCGGTACCCACGGCAGTGACCCGGATCTTCCACCACGGAGTCTCCGTATCATGGGATTCTCGGCAACCCCGCGCAATGATCTGGAGGTTGTGAAGAACCTTTTGCGCCCAGTTGACAATCACCTCGGCAGTAAGCAGGGTGACGTGCAAGAGCTTCTAACACGAGTTTGATCCTGCTACTCGATATTGCAGTGACTGCTTACTTGCTCAGAGGGCCTCGGCGGCGAGACCGCCATCCGGTCCACAATACTCCACATTGCATTGTGGTGCCCGTGATCTGCAACGAACGGACTTATGGAGAGATCGTAGCTTGATGAGTGTCATGAGACACAACAGCTAGGATTCTGGGGACATAAGCCAGTCACGCAATCTCTCCAAGCTTTCGTTCTGTCCATCATCAGTCGAGCCGATCGACAGTGATGTACATTACGCAGAACCAGAGCCAGTCCGGGGTCAGCCTCCACCACTCGGAAACTTTGACACCTAGGCAGCGAGGCTGGTCGCTGGCCATGAACAGCGGACTCGAAACTTCAAGCAGCGAAGTCTTCTTGCGAAAATCCGAGACATTCCATGTCTTTGCGAACCGGTATCCTAGGTTGGTTCCATGCGAGATGCCACACGTTGTTGAACGGGAGTGAACGAACTCGATCGCTCAGCTCTGATACGGGTCCACGGAAAGATGGGCCAATTGTATAGGCAAGGATGAGGACTTTCAAAGAAAAAACAGCTCTCAATTTCTGTGCTTCTGCCCAAGGACTTAGTAAAATCTTGTAGGGTGGGTGCGAATCATCAACGATGACATGACACAGGCGTGATGAAGACAAAAAGCAAGATTATCCACGTGCTCTTCCATTTCGATGCTTCTCGCCAATTCTAAGGGTTCTGAATTTCTTCGTTCATCCGGTCTTTGCCAGGTGATAAGATTCGGATTTTTCTTCTCTTTGGCATCGGTGGAAGGCTGAGGGATGCCGACTTGGTTAAGGCCCGCTTCAAGATCGATCTGGTCTTTAGGGCCTGCTGCACAGGTCCCCGACGGGCGTAGGTGGCTTTCGTTTGTACGACTTGTCTGTCGGACTAAACCTAGCTGTCCGTGAAAATCTACCTGGTGTAGGAGCCTATATGTTGCAATGAAGTTGCAAGATATTGGCTTCGCGACAATATTGCTTGGCTATTTACTCAGTTCAGCAGAACTTCAGTCACAATCCACGGCCAATCACAAGCTCGGCTTTTGGTTCGGCTCAGGATGGAGTGCCAAGGCCCGATAAGCCATCCAGTTGGAGCAAGTCTCCAGGCAGGCCCGGAAGAGGGTCGACGAACTCTAGAGCCAGAACAGTTGCATCATCCCGCTGGTTTGGACATCGTCAATCTGTTGTCCGGAGTGGGATCATTTCAGCACCGTTTGTTCAGAATATTATGATGTTTGCCGGCATCTCACTTTCCCTGAGGCCGGCCCTCTAGTGTCTCTCATTTGCTGAGCATAGTCTAGCCACACCTTCCATGCCGGTCTCGACGCTCTTCACGTTGGTGAGGCGGCGCGGTCTGAGAGACTCGTAATTAGTATTCACTATGTCAAATGATATATACAATAGCAGGATCGCTCTTTCTTCCAGTCAGATTCAAATCAAGACCGTTTTCCACGCTTTTGCTTGTCCTCACGAGGATTGGCTTCAAAAGGAAAATGAGCACTCGTTTTCCCGCATCCTCGTCCTGACCACAACCCTCTTGGAACGTATCGTATACAGAGATGCCACGATGAAACCAGCACGCAAAACCAAAATCCCAGTATCCCCTAAATAACACAAACAAGTCCTGCTTATGAAAAGAGAGCCAACCTTTACGGGGGTGACGAACTACCGCCACTGATGACTTGGACCCCGTGGCGGTTATGGGTGTCCTTAGACTGTCCACCTCGCTAGGAACCACCCCCGCTAGGACCGAAATAGTGAGGTCAATTCTTGGATTTATTACGGTCGTCGTTTCGGAGTGTTTGATTCTCAAAATAAGATACCTTTCCGCCTTTACTTTCCGACGAGGCCAACACTTCAAATTTTCTAAGTCAGCGGTCCAGAGTCTACCCATTCTCTGTAATCAAATCACCAGCCCCATGAGACCACTTCTTAGACTTTATCTTCTGATGTCTCTAAGGAGCCGTTACTAAATATATAATGTTGATATATAAGTAATAGTGTTGAAGCATAGAGACCTTCTGAATGAGTTTTTGGTGGTCACGGTCGGGAAGTCAGTGGGCGGTAAGGCGTAGCAAAAAATGGTTTCGTCTCTTGGCAAGTACAGCATCGATACAAGATGACAGGGCAGTCACGTGAAGACTGGAGTGCGGCTTTTCCGCTTCGGTCCTAGCGAGGTGGACAGTCTAAGGACATCCGGCGGGCATCCCGTGACAATTGCCTTGGTATCTCCGGCCTGCTCAGCTGTGACTTTCTACCTGTACTGTAGATAGTCCCTCTGACCACCTCTACCTTACCATTCGGATCCTTGTCCTGAAAGTCGGTGTGACACTGAGTCGCATTAGTCTTCTACGCACGCGGGTTGAAGGACGTTCATCTTCTGTGTTTGGGACTTGCGGGTACTTGGGCATGTACCTCGTCCAATGTACTCCTCTCCGAACTGGCCTTCTATATCGATCCAGTTCCCACCTTGACCCCGACGACCTTTAGTGTTTATTGATTTAGCTGGCCGGAGCCCGACACGGCGTGAACGTCACTAGGCTGTCATTCGGACCAGTCGCTCTCGTTTGACAACCTTATGGGTCCGTGGAACTTCAACCAAGACTGCGACAGGGCTCTAGGCAACCATTTAAACTGGACGGAAGTGGTGGGATCCCCCTGATCTATCAAGTATCAACCACTACTACTATTACTATATCGCCCTGCAGACAGGTCTGTGTCCCACTCTCCTTAAGTTTGCCTAAGCTTTTTAGAAGACTCCATCTTTCCTCCCCTCGCGCCTATCATGGACGATTGTGCACAGAAATAGACGTTGGCTAGTGGCTCCTGGCGTGATCGGGGTCTCGTCACCGAATCGGGGAGTGAAGGTCAAGGAACTGGAGCACATCGTGTAATATCGAGACCGGAGCACCGCCGCCCATTTGTCAAGTTTCTTTCCTCCCAGAGGTCCACGACTTCATTCAGCCCTCGTCTCTCGCCTCTGTGGGTGGAGGTCTGCCCTCTATTTGTTTTTTTTTTCCCGTCGCTGTAGCATGGCGCCGGTCGCATGGCGATGATCCAGTCGGATCCAATTTTTCTCACGCGCTCTACAGGTACAGTCACTCGCTCGCAGTAGGGTAGCAGCACTTACAGGTAACGGTACCCCTCCCTGAGTGCGAGTTGAAAGGTGTCACGAAGGAGTACTCTTACTACTGTACAGTGTACTGACTATTACTGAGTACTCACTACTCAGTAGGTACTCCCTGTACTTACGACTTCCTTTTGCTGTCTCCAAATTGGGGCCCCTCACGGGAACCGAACCACCCGGCTACGATATTGAACAGGGAAGGAGAAACTACTGTATTACGATCACAGTAGTAATGTTCAGTGTAGTACGATCTAGTTGGTAGAGTAGTACTTATCCAAGGGGTGTATACTATATACAGTTATACACCATATAGTATAGATAGTTACACACATATGTCCTCGCCTTCACAATACAGGATTCACCGTCGTAGTACAAGTTCGCCATGACTCGCCGTTCTACGAGTCGCCAACCTCAGAGACGGTAGTAGTGTCTCATCACTCCGTCCTCTGAGTCAGTTACTGCCTGCCTACCTACCTACTACCAGTACCCAATAAGTGCCAAAATCATATTCAGAGTTGATCGTCCGCCTGAAAGTATCCGAGAATTAGCCTGTATGATCATCGACCGAGATAGGTTTCCTCTCCTCTGCTGATCAACGTGCATGAATCCACACTGGTCCAAAGTCTCTAGAACGTTTGATCTGATACATGGCTGTTGAAATTGACGAATTCAGTCGTACTGTACGACAGGCCCCTACTAACTTACTAAGTAAGCCGTAAGATAACTAGTAGTGAGCAGTGAGCAGTGAGTAACTAGTTAGTTAGTACGTAGTACGTACTACCTGATCGTCGTACTCCTTTAAGTAAACTCCGTCCTCTCCAGCTCTCCAACTCTTGACGTTTTGGTTCCGGAGCTACCGCTTTCGGGGTTCAGACTGGCATCATTGCTCTGATTGACGTACTATTCTCCGATTGGCAACTCCATCAGTCATCGTTCGGACACCCTCTGCGTCAGCGATGACTAGCAACTGATCAATTGCCGACAGGACTACTATTCTCCTGACAGACAGAGCGCATTAGGTCCTTTGGGTCCTTGAGTTCCTTTAGATCAATCTCGAGTCTTTCCAGCCCGGGGCCCATCTTCGCTGTAACACAAAGCGCTCCTGCTCGCAATTCCATCCACCTTCTTTCCCCCTCGCGGTGAGATTCTCGACCGTCCGCCTCCACCGGTCCACCCCTCCTCCACAGTCCACAGTCCACCCAGTCTCCAGAACCTGGTCCGTGTGCTTGGTCTGCTGGGCCTTCCATTGACTCTGTTCTCCAAAGTCCGGTGCTGGTTCTCGTGCTGGGTCTGGTTCGTCATTTCGTAAGCTCTGATCTTCTTCCCTATCATTCTACGCAACGTGACCACGACGAGGCCGGCTTTCACCAGTCCCTCGATCTTCTTCAATCATCTTATCTCTTGTCCCTGGTCGCTCGACATCACTGCCTTGATCTCCCGAGAACGCACCCTACGAATGCGACCGTAGAAAGAGGGCGATCAATAAGCACTTGGTTTGGATCTCCCCGCCAAGCCCGCGCTTTTTTTTTGCATGAATCATACACCCACCGAGGACTCTCCCTGAATCCCTCCTCACCATGGCGGCGAGCGGCGCTGGCGCCCACGGCGATTCGGACGACGAGCACATGCCACCAAATTGGTCCAACGACTCGGTAGAGTCGTCTCCGTTCGCATCCAATCCTCATGCGATCGCCAAAGATGCCCCCCCAACGGACAACGGGGTGACTTCTCAGCCTCTGCCGCTCCAGAAGCGTCGCCGGGTCGGTCGCGCCTGCGATGAGTGTCGAAGGAAAAAGATCAAGTGTGACGGCAAACAACCCTGCACACACTGTACAGTATATAGCTATGGTGCGACCCTGTGAAACCCTCTCCCTGCCTGAGCCCCATCATCTGCGACGCAACGTTCTATTTTCTTTACCTTTCTTTTCTTTTTTTTACCCTCCGCCTCAACGGGCAATGTGCTTTCACGTGGCTAACGCAACGCCCTTACAGAATGTTCGTACGACCAACCCTCCAATCGCCGTCGCAACCCTGCCCCGCAGTACGTCGAAGCCCTGGAAGCTCGCATGCAAAAAGCCGAGGCGCTTCTTCGAACAGTCCTCCCGGATGTCAATCTCGACGACCCCAATCTGGATGTGAATGCGCCCGAATTCAGTTCGCCGATCCACCAGAGGGGCAAGAAGCAAGCGCCCGCGGCAGTGGGAGATGCGTCCCAGCCTCAGGGAGGTACCGCCGACAATGCCCCTGAGGCGGGCGATGACTCCCTCCTGGAGACCATGGTGGGAAATACCGGTTGTCTCGATCGCGACGATCAGGGGCATTGGGACTATCATGGACAGACCTCAGGGATTATCTTCGTCCGCCGACTACGCAAGCAGCTGGGTGCCTTGGAGGCACCCGTGCCTCGCAAGGTGAGCGCTATGCTGGAAAGCCCCAGATCTGTATCGGTATCCGACTCTCCGCAAGATGCCGCTCTCCCTCCCACTCATGATCTCCCTCCGAAGCCAATCGCCATTCGGCTTTGTCGCAATGCGCTGGATGATGGATGTGCTCTCATGCGCTTTGTCATTGAGCACAGGTTTTTCGCAAGCCTTGATCGCATCTACGATACCCCTCCGGAACAATTTGGTAACGAGGAAAACTCATTTCTGCCATTGCTGTACATTGTCATGGCAGTCGGGTGCCTTTTTTCGGATGATGGTGCAGGCACCCTGGATTTGGCCGGCTATGAAGGCGCCATTGGGCAAGGGTAAATCACTCTCTCTACAGAGAAAGCGAGCCTCGGAGCTGCTTCAAGCACATTAGTTGCCGGAGATTCAGTCGCTAACCTTGTCCGTCCGTCACGAGCAGGTTCCAATTTTTCAAAGCAGGCCGTCAATTGCTTGACATCACAGACTGCCGAGACCTTACTGCGCTACAGGCTATCTGCTTCATGGTCTTGTTCCTCCAATCCTCGGCGAAGCTCAGTACGTGTTACTCATATATTGGTATTGCGCTGCGGTCGGCCCTTCGCCTTGGTCTGCACCGTACGGTTGCAGCCGATTTCAACCCGATGGAGCGTGAGCTACGAAAGCGCATCTTTTGGGTGATTCGGAAGATGGATGTCTACGTCAGCACTATGTTGGGTCTTCCGATGATGCTTAACGATGACGATATCGATCAGGAGTACCCTCTTGATGTGGATGGAGAATTCATCACCCCGGAAGGTATTTTGCAGATGCCATCCGACTACACCCCTCTCATGGCTGGGTGCAATGCGCACACACGCCTTTGTAATGTGGTTCTAAAGGTTGTCAAATACATCTACCCGGTCAAGAATGTGGGTTGCAAGTCGAAATCCGACCAGCGCTATATGGTCAGCCATTCCAAGATCCGAGAGATCGAACGCGATCTCCAGAACTGGATGGAAGAACTCCCCCGGCACTGCGACCGGGCACGGAGGTTTCACCTCAACTCGAACGGTAAGTGTGCTCTCAGCTCGTGATTGGTAAATCGTCAGATGCGTCTTGAATATCTCTAATTCGTCCAATTATTAAATCGCTTAGCGTCCGTCAAATGCTGCGCATCGGTTATGCACATGTCCAGATGGTCATGTACCGTCCATTCCTCCATTACGTCTCTGGAGGCTCGCAAGCTCGCGGTGTCGACAAGCGTTCTTATGCTTGCGCGGCAGCTTGTGTCAGCGTTTCCCGAAACATTGTGCATATTACGACTGGCATGCATAAACGAGGGCTCCTCAACGGTTCCTTCTGGTTCACCATGTACACAACCTACTTTGCGATCCTTTCCCTTGTCTTCTTCGTGATCGAGAACCCCGATTCGCCGACTGCCAAGGATGGTGTGTTGAAAGATGCGATGGAGGGGAAGAACACGCTCGCTGGATTGGCCAAGAAGAGTATGGCCGCGGACCGGTGCTCTCAAAGCCTGACGGTAGGTGACTACATGTTTTACAGGGAGAGTAAAATCGGGTAAACTCAACTAACATTGATAGTGTCTCTTCAAAACTCTACCCGAAAGATTGAAGAACCGCCAGCCATCAAAGACAAATTTGAAACGGCGCGTGCCCTCGACCTTCACTTCGGAGCCCGAGCCGATGCAACAAGTGCCAGCACAGGCTTTACCTCTTCGATCGAACACATTTCCACTTCACGTGATGACTCCAGCACCCGCAGGGGGCTCTACGCTTAATCGTCGACAGAAGAGTTTGGATAACACCCAGTCACAGTCATACCCCAACAACAATAACAACAACACGGAGAACGGCAGCCAGTCTGCGTGGCTCGCATCAACCCCCGAGCTCTTGACCGAGACAATGTCTACTCCAGAGCCCACACCGGCAAACTCATACGGTGCTCCCTTCTCAAATAATCCGGAACCATCGAACCTGGCGTGGGCGCAGCAGTTCAATAACCCCAGCAATCTTCCTGATCTCATGCCCATGATGTTTCCCTCCGATGATCCTTTTGCCTATCCCACTCAGCCCATGTCCACGCTTGAGGCAGATCACTTCCAACATGAGCCTGATAGCACTCAGACGGCTCAGTCGACCCAGCCGGCCTTCGATACGGCCCCCCGCCAACACGGAATTGGTTCCAATACCCAGATCGATCCTTCGGGGACTGGGATCACGACACCTACCTTTGATACCTTCCCCCAATATCCCAATTTCCCCGTGACCTCATCACATTCGATTAAGACCTCGATACCTGGCCATCTGCAGCAAACTCCAACTCAGCCAATGAAGCCTGTGAGACTTCAATCCCCAGTCTCTCAGAGTCAGACCCCTCGGGAGCACTTGAGCAGCCCCGATCTGGTCTCCATTCCTAACCAAAATTTCGTTTGGCAAGGATATAACTTCCAGCCGCTGAACTCAGAGACTCTTGAGAAAGAACCGACTCTGGGTCCGATGCCGCAGGACTCTGCACCCACAAACGGAATCGGCAACTTAAGCATGGGATACGATGAGAGCCCCATGGGCTTGAACGTGGACATGAACGTCTCTTTTGACGATCTTTTCGGCAACAACACCAGTCGGCCCGGCGCCGGCAGAACTAATGATGAATGGTCTCAATGGATGAGTACCGGAGCATGAAGTTCGGCACTTCAAGTAGATACTTCTTCTTCTTCAATTTTTTGTTATTTCTATTACTCTGTCTTCCTATTGCGCCCTGTACAGAGGCGTTTGGTCGGTGATTACGACATGCATCATGGGCAAAAGGCTTCGAGTATTCTATTGGAGGTTATTTTAAAAGGATTGGCGTTCTGATCTGAGTCTTTGTTGGATAGGATAATTCTCATACATCTTTTACTAATCATGTACTGCGAAAGAGTACCTCATGCCGGATAACTAGGCTATCAACTCTGAGCTCATCTATCCAGGCGCCAATTGTCTGGAATGTGTACTTGTTGATAAGGTTGGCCCCAATGCTTTGCATTTCAAATCCGCGTATATTGACCGCCAGGCTCACGTCGCTTAGCAAATCCTAGGCAGGCCTCTGTACTTGAATAGTGCACTTCTCCTGAATTTGCATATGTCTTCTGCAAGTACTGTTGCGGACCTTGCTTCGCTCAATGGGTGTATCAGAGGTCACGTCTCCTTTGGCTACCAACTCATGGTGGGCTCTCTCACTTGGGGAGTATGCACTGTATGCAGTCGCGCGATCCTTGAGGTCTAGACCCACATCGCCCGCGTTAGTTGAACTTCCGAGTGCCGTGCCCCGGTGCCACTACCAACGTCAATTCTCGCGGAGAATCATGGACCTTTCATATTCTCTTATCCTCCGGTGGTGTGACCTATTGCTCAATCTCTACCAATCTTCATTCCTTTGTGTACTCTGAAAACTCTTGTCCATCCTTGCAAGTGCATACCGCTGCATTTTTTCGTTTCATTGTAAAAATCAGGGAGGTCCTCGGGATAATAGGTACGTCAGGAACCCGATGAGCCGCTAGGTTGTCGCACGTCAATTTCAAAAGTGGCGCAAACGCGTGGAGTCGTGGTATTTTGGATTTGCTCTTCTCTGATTTCATTTTCTAGTCTATATCTATCGCTTTTGTATATGGATCAAATTTTGACTTGAATATACACTGTTTATCGGGCGTATAGAGGCCCTCTTCCCGCTTGGAAAGCTCTTGGAAAGCATTTAGCCAGCTGTGTCTCATTGTTCGAAATGGCATCATCTGGTCCCCGCCTCTCCACGCTGATCACCTGGCTACTTTACTTTGTACCAGTGTATATCTTCATCGTGGATCCGCTCGTTCGCTCCTGGGCCCCGGAAGGTACCACGAGGATATCATGGCTAACTGGGACCACAGCCGGTCCAAATGCCGATGATGGAGACGTGTCCGAGGAATTTACACCGTCTACGTTGCATCTCACCGATGACAGCTTTATCAGCCCTGAGGATGGGGTTCCTGCTCATTGTCCCGGCGAGGCAGACGGGTATCGAGTGCATTTGCTCTCGCGGGTTCCTTTGGTTTTGTATGTTGAGAAATTTGTCAGCGACCAGGAGGCGGATCATTTGATCAAAGTGAGGTATGTGAGGTTTTGGATCTAAACGTTGTGGGATATCGATTCATCATGGTGGAACGTCCGAATAGCTTTCCGAAGATAGTTGACTAAGCGACCCTCTCTCTCTCTCGCTTTCATAACAGTCTGGACAAGTACTCCCCATCCATCATCTACGACGGCGTGAGTGAACGCGTCGACCCAAGCAAACGACTCTCCGACCGCGCCCTCCTCGACCGCGACGACACCGTCCGGTGTCTCGAAGAGCGCGCTCGTGCATTCCAAGGCTGGCGTCCACATCTCTACATCGAGCGCATGTGGGCCCAACGCTACAACGCCTCGGGCCACTACCGTCACCACTACGACTGGACGGGCTCCCTTGCTCGCGGCGGAGACCGGCTGAGCACGTTCATGGTGTATCTGGGCGCGGACTGCGAAGGCGGCGGGACGCATTTCCCTCGGTTGGCCAGGCCGGAGGGCCAGCAGTGGTGTCGGTTCTTGGACTGTGAGGAAGAGGTGGGGATTACGTTTAGGCCGTTGAAGGGGAATGCGATCTTTTGGGAGAATCTGGGCCCGGATGGGTTGGGGTACCCTGAGACGTGGCATGCGGCGTATCCGGTGAAGTCGGGGACGAAGGTGGGATTGAATATTTGGAGTTGGTATCAGCCGCCGCTGAGAAAGAGGAGGGGGAGATTGTGAGTGGTTTGTGCGACTCGACAAGGTCGGTATCTACGATGTTGGGGCTGCGATTACGTTTGAGGTTGGGGAGGGTTGAAGGTCAAGCTGTTTTTCCGTTTCGTCGATGGAAATGAGGGGTTTCGTTGACATTCCATAGTTTCTGGAAAGGGCGTGTGTTTAGAGAGACAGAAGGGACGAGATCCACTGGATGTCTGGGTCCACTGGCATTTGGTCAGTGTACATGGCTCCAGACATGGCTCCAGACATGGCTCAGTTCAGTTCAGGATGGTTTCTTGTTTCTTGTTCGTGGATTCATGTTGATTCTGAACTGCTTTGTCCATTAGACTCTCGTTAAATTGCCTAGATGTTGATACGAATAGACAGAGTCTCTCCAATAGAAAGAAGATTGAGGTAGGTATGCTCCATCTTTCTGGCGAAATTGACCAAGACAAGATTGAAGCATGCCCCTGTACTCGAGTGGAAATTCCCAACCGACTACAGTGCCTACAGTATGACTGCATTGGTATATATCACATGCAAACATGCAGGGCCGCCCTCGATATGATCTGCCGTACAAACCAATCCATGAGGTCATAAATCATTGATCAAGTACAAGGGAAAAGCACCGCATGCATAGCACTTGTCATGACCTAGTAGGCAACAGCATATAGTTGACCAAGCTGTCAAATTGCAAGGTCAAGTCACTTGGAGCAGAGCATTGCTCCACTCTGGATGCATCTCGAGAAAAGAATGGAGAGGGGGAAAAAGAGAGGGAGAGGGAGCCAACCCAGCGTCAAGTTGCCAAGCCAAGGTTCAAGCTGCCAAGTCCGGATGTCTCAAACAGGGAGGTTGACGGAGAACGGAGAGTTCGTAGTCAGGCGGGGGGAGGGTGAAATGAAATATTCACCCTTTCAACAACATGGAAGGCCCAAGACCTCCGTCCTTGGAAGAGACTCCGTCAGTCTTGGGAGGCGAGTTGCTCGGAGCGGAAATTGGCAAAAGGAGGGAGTTTCTTGGCTGCCAAGATGTCATTCCAGCAGTTGGTGCTTGGCGAGGCTGTCTGGGCCTTCCTTTACATAATTTGGCGGATACAGTCGCGTGGATGGAGTGGCGCTGCTTTTTACCCCTTACGGATGTGGATGACGGATGCCGGATGAGGAGGGTGAGTGTCACTACTCATGAACAATGATCCCATTGCACAGCCATGGACTCTTGAGGTGCACAGGATCTTGATTCTCGTGTACGTGGTGGTGGTGGTGGTGCATGATTCGTGACGGAAGGACTTGGACTCTTACCCTTGGACCGGTCTGACATGGGTTCACAAATCGCCCCCAAGGTGGGAGGGCTGTGTGATATGTTTGGCTGGTCATGTAGACTATGCCTTAGTAGCGTTACTTAGTACCTTACTAGCCAGTAGGCCCGGTACTAGTTAGGTACTCGGATACTCGCTTAGAAGAAGCCATTGCACTCTTCACACCCTGTTCATTGGTTCAGTAAGGCGACCTGTGAAAGTCATTCAGATGAAGGTTTCCTTTGGTAAGATTCTGAGTATGGATTCCTGGCGAAAGGAGGGGGGCTCATTCCTCCAGACCCAAGGAGATAATGAAAGTTAGAAATAATCTCAAAGCCTTTTACTAGTACTGGAAACTCTATAGTGCCCACGGAAGGGGTTTGGATCCGGGTCCTGCCACATCAGTGATCAACTCTGACAGACCGATCGAGGTGGGTGAGTACTGAGTAGTGAATAGTCGTACAGTACTGAATGTTTATGGGAGATTAATATTCGGTGTAATTCTGAGGGCTTACCAGAAGAGGTAAGACTGCTATCACTACCGCAAGACATTTGACCGAAACGGACTCCGAACAGAGCGCAACGCTTGGCACAAACACCACGGCCAAGAGTCCTAATTGCCCCGGAGTGGCCCCCCTTAAATCATGAATGGATACCAATTGTACCACTTGTCCTGGGCTCGTGTCCAGCGTCCAGTGTCCAGTCACTCCAGTGTCCACTTGTTTTCTGGCGTCATTCCCATTTGAGGGCCAGTTTCACGCCCGCTTGGAAATTGTGACTAGTGTTTCTCAAGGCAGTCATCTAAATATCTCATGTCCGTTGGCTTTACGGATTAGAAGTGCGGTCATTATGGATCACAACTTGTACGAGGATGGATGACCAGGTTTCATAGGCCCCTGTGTCAAACAGATGTACAGACTACAGGGTGAATCTGAACACTAAAATCAGGAAGCAGTGACCTGTAACTACAGTGTCCTACTGCACTAAGCTGGGAGACAAGGTATAAGTGACTTTGGTCCCGTCAGCCGGTGATCGGAGCCGTTCCACCGTAGCGTACCGTAGCGCATAACTAAGTTGTGCCACCCACCACCACCGGGTCTGCTAGCGCCGGTCTTGTCTGGTGATGGCGTTATGCCGCCGCTGAGCGGCCTCTCTTGAGCGTGAGTTGTTTTCTACTTTTAATTTGATTATAATGATTATTCTATTTTCCTTCGTGCCGCCTGGGAAATGCTCGGAATGCACAGCCCCTCTTTGTGTCCCTGCTGTGCCCAATGATACTTCTTAATGTGGATCCCACCACGCCTGGGTCCAGTGACCGGATGGTCTTGGCCCGGTCTTGTCGTCTCTCCTTGGCTGTCCTCCGCTCGGTTCCAAGCCTTTGTCTGGGCACCAGGCTCGGCTCCCTCCTCCCAAGACGTGCAAGGTGGCCGCTTGGTTGGACACGCTACAGTCCTGCCATTGGTGCCTATGCGTCTCATGTGGTTGAATATGGATCAAATGGATCAAAAGGAACCAAAATGGAGGTAAAATGGCACCGCTGCATAGGGGAAGTGCAGCCATGGCTCTAACTTTCTTCGGATGATGATGGGGGGGGGGGGGACCACGGAGGGCGTGGCATTTTCCAAGCCATCAAAGAGTCAGACTCTCCGTCTCTCCGACTCTCCCCTCCGCAAGAAAAACCCAAGAAACCCCCCCCCCCCCCCCCCCCCCAAGTCCCAAGTCCCAAGACCCCCCAAGACTTTCCCCCCCTCCATCCCCAGTTTTTCCTCCTCCCTCGATTTTCTTCTTCCTTTTCGAGGCCCTCGAGTCCACTCTCCGTTTCTCTCGACTCCCGTCAGCACCGAAGTTGCTTCCATACAAACATTCCCCCGGAGATCCTGCAACACCTCTCTACTCCTGGTCTTATAAACTCGTCTTGCGGATAATACCCAAGGCTTTCTCCCATTGTCCTATTCCCGCCCTCGCCCCGTTACGCATGCTCTAACGTCGACTTGACACCTTCGCGCACACGTGCCTGGGCAACTCTTCCCGCGCTTGACACCCTCCAACCAATTTTCTTGGCACCATGGCCGACAATACCACTTTTTCCCCAGCTTCAACATCACCCCAGGCCACTGCGCCGGCGCCCTCTGAATCGGTCGCCAGTGAGCCACCGGCTGCCGCGCAGTCCGCATCCACGCCGACTCCATCGGTCACAGCCACCGCGGCTGCTGCGACCGCCGCCGTGAACAATTCCCTCAACGGCTCCGAACAACAACTCCCCTGTCAATGGGCGGGCTGCACGGAGCGATCCTCTTCTGCGGAAGCCCTCTATGTAAGTTCTGCAGTGTCTCCAGTCACTGATTATGAAGACAAGCCGTCTTTTGGTCTGATCCTGAGCTGACCGAGAGAATGTCTGTGAGCTGCGATAGGAGCATGTCTGTGAGCGCCATGTCGGGCGCAAGAGTACCAACAACTTGAACTTGACCTGTCAATGGGGCTCCTGTAACACCACCACCGTCAAGCGTGATCATATCACCTCACATCTGCGAGTCCATGTGCCATTGAAGCCTCACAAGTGTGACTTCTGTGGCAAGGCCTTCAAGCGGCCTCAGGACCTCAAAAAGCATGTCAAGACGCATGCCGATGACTCGGAAATTCGCTCACCCGAGCCCGGTCCGCGGACGCACCACTCCCATCACCACCACCCAGACTTGATCTTCCCTCAGAACCCCAAAGGTCCGTATTGACTGATGCTTGCCTTGTCTATGCGAGAAGCCCGTGTCCCAAGTTGACTTGTCATGTTTCCTCATTCCTTCCCCTCCTCCTCCATTTCCCATCCCCATAGCCAGCTAATGCTAGAGTGTTGCAAACATTCTTCCCTTCTATTCTATCTGGTCAAATCTGCCCAGATTGTATCGGTCGTGTGCCACATCGTTGCCCACCCACCTTACCACCGACACTAAGCGCTTACCCAACTGCGGCCTATAAGCTAACATCCATCCAGGTTATGCTGCTGCCACCCATTACTTCGAGGGTCCCATGACCGGCGTGACCAGTGCTGCCTACGCACATGGAGGTCCGCAGTACTACACCGCGCCCCCTCCCCCTCCGGCCGCCAACCCTCACTCCTATGGCAATGTCTATTATGCATTGAGCCATGACTCAGCCCAGGCTTACGACCGCAAGCGCGGGTATGATGCCCTCAATGAGTTCTTTGGCGACTTGAAGCGTCGCCAATTCGATCCCAATTCCTATGCGGCCGTTGGCCAACGGCTGCTGGGCCTGCAGGCCCTTCAATTGCCCATCCTGAACGGGCCTGTTCCTGAGTACCAGCCCATGCCTGCTGCGGTCCCCATCGCGACAGGTGGTGGCTACAGCCCCGGAGGTCATGGCCCCGCCTACCATCTGCCCCCCATGTCCAATGTGCGCACCAAGAACGACCTCATCAACATCGACCAGTTCTTGGAGCAGATGCAGAACACCATCTACGAGAGTGATGAGAATGTTGCCGCAGCAGGTGTGGCGCAACCGGGTGCTCACTACGTGCACGGAGGCATGAGCTACCGGGCCACCCATTCTCCTCCAACTCAACTTCCTCCGAGCCATATGACCGCCGCCGCATCGGCTCACTCTCCATCTACCGGGACCCCGGCTCTGACCCCTCCCTCGAGCGCGCAGTCATACACCTCCCAGCGGTCTCCCATCTCTCTGCCCCACACGCATCGCGTGTCTCCGCCGCACGAGAGCGGTGCCAACATGTACCCTCGTCTGCCGTCTGCCACGACCTCCGAGAGCATGCCGGTAGGCTACCCACCCGCCTCGAGTGCTGCTCCTCCCTCGACCCTGAGTGGCGCCTTCGACCATGAAGATCGCCGTCGCTACGGAGGTGGACACTTGCAGCGTGCTCGTCCCGCAGAGCGAGACGAGGTGCAGATGGATATGACGGCCGACCGCAAGACCGACGGTGACCGTACCCCCACCAAGGAGCACCCAGGTCTCACCACCGGCCTCATCGACCCTGCCCTGTCCACTGCGGCATCCGATCCGGATCAGGCGGCTGCTCAGCGCACTGCACAAGCGGCCACTGAGGTGGCCGACCGGGATGTCAATGTGGCTTGGGTCGAAAAGGTCCGTCTGTTGGAGAACCTGCGTCGCCTGGTTTCCGACATGCTTGAGCAAGGCCAATTCGACAGCGGTTCTCCCGCTGACAGCGGCGCCGCCGAATCACCCGACGGGCCGTCGGGTGGGGATGCCATGGACGGGATCGAGACGAGCCCCTTCCGCAAGTCCTCAGAGCAAGAAAAGCCCGCCATCAAGTCCGACGAGGGCTCGGCTGTGCTCTACCCCACGTTGCGTGGTCTTGATGAGGATGGAGACTCGAAGATGCCGGGCGATGAGTAGTAGCTGAGTTTTGGGGAGGTTTTGTGTTAAGGGTGCGAGATGGGGATTGACCGTCCCAGCTTGTACCTTGCCTGACTTGTATCTTCCCTGCATTATTACGCCGTCATGACCTTTCTCGCAACCTATTGCTGACACCGCCTTTTCTATTCGGAGCCTCGTCTTATCTCTTCTGATTCCTTTTTCTCCAGTCGTTGAACTCTCCTTGCGGAATGCGTATATTTTTGGGGGCGGAAGGTGTTCAGGGTTGGTTCCTCGTGCACACGTCACGCGCCCATATTTTATTGTCCTTGCAGTACCTTACTTGTCACATTTTCTGTGGGGGCCTGATCGTACTTATATTGTCTTTGTATTCAATCCATCTCTGACAGTATGTCCACGCATGCATATTTCTCGAAAAAGGTCCTCTCCCGTATGTCGTTCCGAAATGCAATGTAGGCAGAAGTTCTTAATGAAACTCCGATCATATGCAGTACTTCTTGAAGCCAAGTTCCACGCGAGGCATTCGTAGTGGGTGTCCCGGGGATGGAGTAAGCTCTCTCTCTCTCTCTCTCTCTCTCTCTCTCTTGTTTTCGCAGGCAAAGCAACCCTTCTCGCTGCTGCTGCTACTGTGTCTATTTGTTGACGGCAGAGTTGTGTACGTCAAGGTATGATTCTTGCACTTGATGTTTGGTTACAAAATGCAATAACCGGATCAGGATACTAGGGTGGTACTCCACTTCAGTCAAATCATCCACCGCAAGGAATCCCAATCCCCCTCTCACGGAGGCCCAAAGCTCACTTTCAAGCTCCAACAAACCGCCAGTCATGCCCCATCTCAAGCTCCCAGTGTAAGGTTACATGTTGCGCCTTTTCTGCACTGGCCGACCCAGCCCCTTCCGTTCCGGCATCTTACTTCCAAGAGTTTCCCGCGATCCACGCGTGTCAAAGTTGCCCCGATCAGGAAAAAGTTAACATTCCAATGTCCAAAGCTAAACCACTTCCGGGCGGGTCTGTGACGCAAACGACGACCACGACCACGACCCCAAGGTGCAATACAGTTGCACGAGTTTGTGTACGGGCCAGGATTCTGGGCCCAAGAATGAGACACGATGGGTCGAGACTTGATTTGGGAGAAGTCCACCAATCCAGATTGTTGATCAGGTGTGGCAGTTTCAACTGGGCCTGGGGGATCTTAAGCTTAATCCAGTTGGAGATCGCATGTTCGTCACTTGCATCCGAGCACTTGACCTTCACACGCGGTTATTGGGGGAAGCGACGGTGGTAAGTGCAGGTCTGCAGCAGTGCAGAACTGCAGAGAGGGTGGAGTTTAAAGATGATGGGTTGGGTATGACTTTGACTGAAGGTCACTATGACTCATGGTCAACAATCACCAATACACTTTCTGGTGTACTAAGAAAGTTGAACCAACAAAGCTACCAAAACATCTGTATGCGGATGGAAAGTGGAAGGATGGAGGCATCAGAGGACAGACAGGCCCTCGAGGAACGACGTGCCGTACGGTGATCGAAGGCCATTCCTTCGATGGAACATTCTCCTCTCTGCGTCATCATCCAGTGATTCAATGTTGGTTTGCTTGGAGCATGATCCAATCCACCTGCAAAGCCTACTACTTTGTTGAAGATGGGGCTCTCTACAAGCGTCTCAGGTTGTTGTTCCCTGTTCGAAAGCAATGAACTGTTCATGTGGAGTCAACCCGGTACCGTAGTAGTCGTCTGTCGCGGTTCTCCCGATCCAGAACGATGTTGTGTTGATGTCCTTGACTCCACTGAAATTGGAACCCATCTCGCAACCAGTCCTGATTCAGCGTCGTACTCTGTGTTTACAATTGAGAGCCGTCCGTTCTGGAGTCTGGACGACCTGCTCGCGGAAGCATCCTCGATCCTACTCTGGCCAAGCTGCAGCAAGTCCGTAGTAAAGTTTGCAGATGTACTTTCGTGTGATGAATGTAGTCAATCTGTCAACGTACAGTACTCCGGCAGCGGGTCGGTCATGCATTTACCAGACTGTTTCCACCCCAACTGGCCCTCTTGGGCGCTGTTCCGGGGCAACCCCGTATTGTCATTACACTCCGGTAATCCTAATCCGTACTTTGTAGGTAGCCCGGTATTACTCCACCACTGTTTACGGCCAAACGGGCGCTTTCCATTTATTGTATTCTTCACACCCATTGTCCGGTGCATCTGCTATTTTCTTTCTCGCTCGCTCTTCTATTTTGGAGAAACTTTCCCACTGGACTCGATCATCGCTCCCATCCTGTGTCGGAATACCAAGTCTTTCTCTCTTCCTCTCCCTCTCCCTCTTCATCTCCTTCCCCCCCCCCCCCTCCCTCACCCCTTCCTCTCTCCTTCCAATCTGCCTCCGAAGTGACAGTCCCCTCCCTTCGGTGCATCCTTCCAGGAATCTGACCCGCTCGCTGGGTGGCTGGTGCGCGGTACTCTGACCTCACTCCCCACGCGACAAGGCGGTCGGTCCCCTCCCCCCCCCCCAAAAACAGACGCCATCGCGTCGATCTGAGAGGGACTATCGATAATCAACGTCCAGCCACACCACTTCCACGAGAATCGATGACAGTCTTCACGCCCGGATCTTCCTTCCTCGTCTAGTCCTGGAACATTGCCTGAATCTCATCCTCGAAAAAAAAAACACAGACCGCTGCCCTCGCCGCGGCTGTTCTTGTCGCTCTGCTCTTGGTGGTCTACCCGCTCTCTCTCTCGGTCTCTTACCCGTCAGGAAAAAACAACTTCGTCGCAGTGGCGAATTGATCCCCCAGTCAGTGGTTCGGATAGCGCCGCATTCTTTGGTTCTGCCTCTCGAGAAGTGGTCTCCGACACTTTGAACCGCTGCGATCCGGATCCAGATTAGCTCTGTTGTGGTTCTGTTTTCGCCTTTTGCGCCTTTCGCCTCTTCTTGTTTTCCTTCGTGTCGATTCCTTCTCCGTCTCGCGGTTTCCCGCAGCTGTCGGCGTGACCACCACTCGATCGATACGCAACACGGACTTCTGCGGACGACCCCAAACACAGAACCACTGCAAAAGCTTGGATTGCGCAAAGGCCAGATTCAGTGAGAATTACTTCGCGTCAGGGTTTGTGGCCACCGTGAGAAGATCAGGAAACTCCGGACACAGCGATCGTGTCACGACAACACCCCGCCGCACAAAAGATGCCTCTCACAAATCGCCGTCGTGCGCGGCGCAAGGAAATTCAGCTGCAGGAAACATCCGATGTTGAGGCTCCGGACTCATCGCCCAGTCGTCCGTCTGCGAAGAAACGCAAGGTGAGTCTCGTCCCACATCAGCGGTCCGGTCTGAGACCAAATAAAACTTGCCTACGCGCCCGTGTCCCCGCCTTCGTATTTTCAATGATCCAAGAACCCGAAACTGACCTTTGCGCACTACCCCGCAGATTGACCGGCGCGCCTCACCTTCTCGACCTGCCATTAAGAATGAGTCAGCCGACGAGGCTGAAGAGGATTCCGGCCCAGAACAAGACCCTCCCACGCAGCAGGACCTCGTCGACTTGGTCATTTCCTATCTCAACGTTCCACGCGAAGAATTACGAGTCTCGCGCGATCATTCCAACACCAAGACCGAGAACAAACAGAGCATTCAAGCGTACGCGAAGATTGCTGGCCGAAACTGGACCTACTACGTCAAGACGTTGCATGTCAATATTGGCCGTGAACCAGACCGTGAACAGCGGTCAACCGAACAATCCAGCCCCGTGACTATCGCCGCTCGTGCGCTGCCCGAGGTGCACGTGGATGTAGGTCCCAGCAAATTCGTGTCCCGACTACACGCGGAGATCTTCTACGATGGCGAAGAGACTCCCGCCTGGCATATCCGAGTCAACGGCCGCAACGGTGTCCGCTTGAACAACATGACCCTCAAGCGCGGAGCCGATGCGATTCTGCATTGCGGTGATATCATAGAGGTGGCCAACTGCCAGATGATGTTTGTTACGCCCGGTGACGAAGCCAATATCCACCCCAGCTTTGTTGAGCGTGCGCAGCGCATCGCGAGTGGCCAAGAACCAGATCCAGCAACTCAAGGGTGGGAGACCTCCCAACCTGCGCACCTCTCGGCATCCCAGGCCACAGAGCCTGCGCGACCGTCATCATCCGGAGGGCCTTCGCTAGCTCCAGCACCCCAATTCTTGAAGCGTCAGGTCACTCCGCCTCCACGCTCGCCGGACACTGCCGGACAACGGACAGCCAAGCAATCGCCGCTGTACAATCGCGGCATGATGATGGAGAGCACTGAGGAAATTGACTACAGCAAGGACTCCGCCAAGGACCTGAAACCACCATACAGTTATGCCAACCTGATTGCGCAGGCCATCTTCTCAAGCGAGGAGGAAAAGCTCACCCTGAATAGCATTTACAATTGGATTATGGATCGCTATGCGTTCTATCGACATTCGCAGAGCGGCTGGCAAAACTCTATTCGTCACAATCTCTCCTTGAACAAGGCCTTTCAAAAGGTGCCTCGTCGGACCGATGAGCCCGGCAAAGGCATGAAGTGGCAGATTGCAGCCGAGCATCGCGAGGAATATCGGAAGAAGCAGATGCGCAAAGGAACCCAGTCGTCTGCGCCATCGTCTCCCGCCACGCGAGAGCCCCCATCATCCGCTCGCGGAAACCACGTTGCCCAGCTAGATACTTCTTTTTCCGCTACTAGCAAGAAATCACCTCCGATTTCATCGCCCGGCTTCAGTTCCTTCCCCGTCGCGCCTGTCGAAGCTTACACCCCGGAGCGAGGATCTCGTGGTGGTCGGGGATCCGATCATCCTTTGCGCCATATGAACCCTCGGGATTACGAGGAGCCATCCCCGCTGCCTGCACGAACGCACAGTAGCGCTCAAGCTGCGAGCTCGCGTCGCGTGCAGACCAGCAGTAATAACCTCAGTCGCGCCTACGGGCTCTCTGACAACGTTGCCGGATCGCCACCCGTCTTATCATCCTCATACTACGATGAAGGTCCTTCGTCAATGATCACTCCTGCACCTCAGCGTCAACAGCCTCGGCTACCTCCACCGAGCACGGCTCAGATCCCGTCCAAGTTTATGCCAATGAGCTCCCCCGCGCAATTCTGGAAGTTTGCCGATATTGGCAGCACGCCTGCGCGCCCTGTGCCGGATATGAGTCCTCTCAAGGGAGAACCAGAGGAACGTCTCATTGCCGGGTTTCCTAGCAGCAGTCCTCCTCCGAACATGATCAGTCCCAGCAAGCCTGCGGTTGTGAATGGACTGGGGCCCAGCCGGAAACTGCCGCCTCTGCAGGCTGATGGAACTATCAAAGAAGAACGTCTACAAGAGGAGGAGGAAGATGACAGTGGTGGTTTCGATCTGGCTCGGTATGTTTCTATGCGTCGCGACAGCCGCTCGTTTGCTATGATCAAAGCTAATCGTGAAATTTTCATTCAGGGGATTCCAACCCATTGGGTCATACCATCGACAACTCAGCAATGCTGCTCGTGCCACCGCTACTTGAGCGTGGCCACCTCTCGATGATTCATTTGTAGACCTATAAGACAATTGTTTGCCTCTAGTGGAACTTTTACTTTGCTCATTGATCATTCGGCGACGCTCTTTCATTTGCATCATTATTGGCAATCAAGGAGTTTCGCACTGACTAGGGCTATGCAAGCGCTACTTATGAACGGTGTTGGAGCGCGGATCTTGGTGTTTTTGTTGTCATCTTGACATTTTGAGATTCCTCTGTGTTGGCTTTTTGTTGCGTCCTTGATTCCATCCTTCCGAATTTGCGATCCATGAAACATCTCCTTTTGCTCGAGTCGTCTTTTGCTGATGATGATGGACTTGAAAGACGGCGTTTGGATGTCCAGGAGTTCAGGCCTTTTGTTTCTTGGTTCCCACGGAGTTTCCTCTGCGTGGCAAAGCCGGCGTTATCCTTAATTTTCCTTTGCTTCTTCTGCCACTCTTGTGGACCGTGTGGGTTCAAGGTTATATTACTTGTTTGTTCGTTCTGGCAGGTTGCGAGTCAAAGGTTGATGTTGCTTGGCTTTCTTACTCCTCTATTCCATTCTCTATTCTCTACTTCTCTTTATACACGTCGATTCGCTCTCAGAATGGCTGTGCTTGTAAGTAGCTGGAGACATTCGTGTATAATAATTTTGCATGCGAACATCATGCAGACCGTTTGCTTGATCAGAATCACGCGCCCAAACCTGTCAATCTGGCCCGGATCGGATCTTCTTACGTAGACGATGACTTGAAGTGATCAATTGTATGAGACTTTTCACCATTGGAACACTTACTTGCACAAACGCCACATGACTGTACCTGTTTTGGAGCCTAGACACCACGAGCTGCCCGTGGAAATCATGAAGGACTCGGTTGAGTTCCAGGAGTACCTGGTCCCAGGTCTACTCCATCGACGGCCAAAATCTCTCCTCCAACCACACCACCTGCCTCCACCACTCCAAGCATTTTGCCCGAATCATCTCCGCCTCTTCGGCGCCCTTGAACGAATCCACCATCTGATCCAACACCCGCCCGATCCGATTGACAAACTCTTCAAACTCCTCACTCGACCAGTTGGGAATGAACCTGTCTCGCAGTGCGCCTCCATCTGCATCCACGCTTCCATCGATCCTCGCGGCTTGCACGCTCGTCACCGTCTCCGTTTCAAGCGCCTTCTTCCTCCCGTACGAGGCGGCATACCGCCACGCTCGCAGGTAACAAATCTCCGTGGCCCAGAGCACGGTGATTCCCTCGATCGCGCTGACCCCGGGACTCGCCACCGACATGAACATGTCGATGTACGCGCGCGTGATGGGGTTCGCGCAGAAGAAGACCGGGCCTTGCTCCGAGGAGACTTCCGTCGTGGTCGAGCGCGAGGGCTGACACGGTTCGCAATCCGGGGTTGTCACTGCCGGACCAGCGCCTACACTCAGCCACGAGGGAGATTGCGATGTCGACGTCGACGTCGATGACGCTAAATGACACGGTCCCGCGCCGGAAGGAGCCTTGCATTCCCCTTGGACTTTACACAATCTGTGTAATTGGCTTTGCGCATCCCGAGATTGGAGATTGACGGGGCCACCGTCGTCTTCGATCTCGCCGGACTCGGCGTCTCCCACGGAGACGTTTGTGCCCTGACAGATTCGGCCGGTGAATCCCGGACAGGCGGATCTCGGTCCGGTCGTCAGGATGCCCGCTGAAGTGGCGATGGGGACGGACTGTGCCGTGCTTGCGCTCGCGTTCGTACTCCCAGGCCGATCAGCATCAGATTCGGGATCCTTGTACCCCTCACGAGGAGGCAGCGCCGTCAGATCCAGACCGTACTCTGCGGCCGTCTCTTTGAAAAAGTGCAATTCGGTCCGGATATTGACCAGTGCATCGATGAGCACGTCAATGATCCTCTGCTCGACAGAGGTGCCGGGACTATGCGCCGTGATCGTCGTCATCGTGGCCATGCTTTCATTTTCGGGGATGCGGATCTTGGCGAGGAGTAAGCCGATGAAGCGGATGTAGGATTGGGCGTAGAGACGGTCTTGGGAGAGCCATTGGGAGAGTTTCTCCTTGGAGACGGTGCCGCAGCCGGCGGCCGCGAGGAACGGGTGGGTTGTAGCGCGTTTGAGGGATTGCGGGGTGGCTTCGAGGAGCCATTGAGTTAAGGGGCCTTGAGTGGTGGTCATTTGGACGGTTCTTAGTGCTGGTGCCCGTTGTGATGGTTGAGTTGTAGATTGGAAGCCCTTCTTATGGCTGAGCTTTGTTATTGCTGGTGGTCTCAAACTGTTGCGCTTGATATAGTGAGGGGAAAATGGATGTCGTATTACCGAGCTAGCTGGAATAGCCCCAACTCAAAAAACAAAGCCTAGGTCAAGACACTGGCCGTGATACGAGAGTAGAAGGTAATCAATTCAAGTTTAGACGGGCGCACAAGAAAGTCAAGTGGCCAGGAATCTAGCGAGTCGGGAATGGCTTGCCTCGGGGACAGTGACAGGCACAAAAGTTTACGCAGTCGACAAAGTACATGACTCAAGCCGGGCTCTGCCGAAGATCCCCGTGCGCGTTGCCGTCGTTATGGCGTCAATTCGGAACTTTGGTTGGACTCGCTGGAATCAGAGTCATTCTTCCATTGGGGCCCACGGGGAGAATAAGCTTTTGCGTTATGCGGGCACGTTGGTGAAGCGAGAATCATTGGGCGAGGAGGTGACCAACGATCTACGTACGATGCAACCGTCAACCGGCAAGAGCAACCGCTGACTGTCCCTTCATCAGAGTGAACTTTTGTCCCTTTCTTTTTTACGTTCCAAGATGGTCATATTCAAAATCGCTATGCTACAACTGGCACGGCCATGGTGGATGGGCTAGACATGCAACGCGACTAAAGAAGAGTCAATAGCCCTCGTCCAACCAGATAACCCAAGTGCCCTATGTGCTTCAAACATCACTTCCAAATCACTTCACTTCGCAGACTCCCATGCCATGCGAAGCAAGGCCTCCAACGTGAATCGCGCATCGTTTCCCGCATTGTGCAGGTGTTGATACTTGATCCCCAACCCACGGAGCATATTCTCCAAGCTTCGATCACAACGGTCAGAACAGAAATGGCGGTACAGTTTCTGGGTATCCAATACCTCGAGAAAGCCATTCTCGCGGTCAGTCGAAAGAGACTGGAACAGAGGCGATCGATCGGCGAAGATCTTAATGTCGCCGTGGGGGTCGTGACCCACCAGAATCAACTTGCGTCGTGGAAATGCCGTGGACTTAGTCGACGCTGCTCCCTTCTTTCCCTGAACATTGGCCGACCCTGGCCCTGACCCAGACAGAGAAGCAAAGAACTCATCAAGTCGGTCACCGATGAGTCGTTCGGAAACCACTCGACTGAAGCCAAAGGCAAACTTATGAGGACAGCCCTTGACATACTTCCTGTTGCACCAGGTCGTGTACTCGCTGATGCGGAAATGATGCGAGCGAATGAAACTGGTCCACTTCTCGCCGTGGGATCCAGGGGCGATTGAGCGAATGTCGACAGTGTCCAAAGTCGAAATCCCAAGCTCCGTAATCTGACTGGAATTGAATTCCTTCCACTCCGCATCGATGCTGATGAAGATGGGGCTAACGACAGACTCCGGACGCTTGGATTCCATCGAGACAGAAGAGCCCACGCCTTTGCTTCCAGGCGCCGAGTTTGCTTGGTGGGACATCTGCGGCAATCCCAAGTAAATTTGCATTCCGCGCATGGTGCGGTCCATCTCTCGGCTACCGTGGCCCATAAAATCGCCATACATGCTCCGAGAGGTCAGTCTACCCTTTTTGAAAGTCATGATGGCGTCCGTGATCTTCTCTTCGAATACACTCAGCGCGTCGGAGGGACAATCGAAGACCCAGTCGGCCTTGCTTCTCTTGACGAGCATCATTCGCTGCTCCATCGCTCGGTAACCTTCCAGAGTATTGAACTGACCCACGTGAACTGGGGAGGGCGTGCCATCACCAGCGTTGAAAAAGACCACCAGGCCCTTGTGGGAGGTCCGCAGAGCCAACTCACAATTGAGGTCATGGTTGATCTCGTCCAGTAGAGCCTTCACTTGGAGCGCAGGAAGGAAGGACAGATATTCACCGCTAGGAAGGGCCAAATCGTAGCTGTGGTATCACTCACATGTCAGCGGGGTCAGTCTGCAGCTACATACGCCGTTGCTGGATCGGTTGAACCTACAGGTCCCAGGTGCGTTGCCAAATACGATCACCCTCAAAGTACGTCTGGGCCACCGTTTTGTACAAGTCCTGGCTGGGGGACAAGAGGTACTGGTACAACTTGAGCGTTGCTCTCGTAGGGACAAAGGCATGTTGAAGCTCCAACTCGTGGATCTTGTCTTCAGAACGTGAGTCTTGCTCGGTCGACTCGGTCGAGTTCTGTGGATCCAGAGGGCTAGGTTCGGCAAGCTAAATGAATCCATGATGATTAGACACTGCCCGAGCTATTGAAGTGTCGGTAGATCTGACCTGCGGTACTTCAAGCCATGAATCTCTACGATTCGACTGCTGGGTACTGTTAGTGAGTTCACGGTACGGATCATTCACGGATGATCAAGAGGGGACGGTACCTGATGCGTCAGTCCGGTGTCAAGCTGCAGTAATTCCTCGTCGTTCTCGAAAAGAACTCGCAGTCGTTGCTCCATGACTCCGGTAGACTTGAGCCAGGCTCAAGTCTACAGAATAGAGGGTCAGTGACTGATCAAGATAGCAAGGTAGCAGAATCTATGATGAAGGTGTTGAAGTTGACGAAAAGAGGTGCTTGTCCGAAGGATGGAGAAGAGAGGGACGAAGCGAGTGGTTTCTGTTAGAAGGTGAGGATTGTGCGGATGAAATGAGAGTCTCTAGAAAGCTCTCGTACGTGCGAGTCGCCGCTGCGATTTCAGTCACAAGCCTCTCAGTTTCAGATGAATATAGACCGCCGAGCGCACTGAAGCACAGAGCAAGCGAGATGAGACATGCGCAGCTGCGTTCAGATTGAATGCAATACATTTGTATCTCCATACTATCATGTGTCAGTCAACACACTTCTCTGAACTGAACAGCCTTGACTCTTATTCGAGACCATCACGAATATTATATGCAATCCCCAGGTTCCGGTTCTAGTGGGGTCCCCACTGTCACTTAAGCTTAAGTGATATCGCGCGGACAAAGCAAATTACCGAAAAAGGAAATTTGAAGTCACGGGATGATAAGCGGAACAATAATCAGCCGGACTGTTTGCGCCTGCAGCTACCAGACAGCAGCACATGGCGCGGCTCGGTCGAACCGTCGTTGAAGCTGCACCACATTTCTCATGCTCGCTGCCGTCAAGATCTCATCGTCAATAGTCCCTGCATCATTTCAGTGCCTGGTGGCCTCCTCGTTCAGCCTCTCATTCCCGCTGCGCAGCCTGCAGCGGAGACGCGTCCTGGCTCCCCCGGCAAGATGGTCATGACCGACGAGACTGACCACAGTGGTGGGGTCATCCTCGATGGCCCCTTTGACCCGGATGCACAAGCCACTGTGACGGATTACATCGACTACACAGAGTATCTTCCTGCGGATATCATTCGGTCTCTCACGTTGATACACGGCCTGAACGACCGGTACCTTGACTCCGCCCAGGATGTCCATAGCTTAGCCCGGAGCTACGGCCAACTTCCGAATCGCGTCTCTGAGGAACGACCAGGCCCCATTGCGCTGCGAGAAGGTGTGTCGCGTCGCATGGATCGAGCGATTAATGCCCGCGAGTCTGCTTTCGCGGAGGCGTGCCGGTTGCACGAGGTCGTGGATCGCCACTTCGACCGGTTGAGCTGCATTCGACAGAAACTGGAAGCTCTGCCCAAGCCACCGTCAAGAGAGCCGACGCCGCTCCCAGAGCCTCCGTCAAAGCGGCGCAAGGACAAGAAGGAAGTTCCCGCTACCACGCGTATTACACTCCGGTTGGACAATCGTGGTGGGAATGACAAAAGGAAAAAATCGAGGTCGCGCCGTTCTGGCATTGGTGCCGAACATTTGACGGACTTTAATCCGGATTCACCTATCGCTAGCACGGAGCAGTCAGATGAAGAGATCGAAATGGCATCTCCTCCCAAGCCTACGAAACCCCCAAGAAGGAGAAGCCGCGCCGACCCAGCTCTGGAACAGGAGTCTCGGGCAGCAATGCGCTTTCCCAATTGAAGCCACCACCGGACGATGCCAAGGTAGGCAGTGAACATTTGCCATGGTTGCGACTAACAGAATGGGAGATGACGAAGCTGCGCAAGAAAATGAAGAAGAATGCCGTGTGGCAGCCGAGCGAGGTGATGATTCAACGTGAATTGGCACTTGCCGGTCGCGGCTGGGAAGCCTATAAAACTGCGAAAGCGTTGGCTGAGCAGACTGGGTCGGAGTTTGTGGATTGTGATGATATAGAGACGACTCGCAAGGACGAGATCGACAGGGTTATATCTGCTGGCCAACTTAGTAACCGTGGGATGAAATTGAATGAAGCGAAGAAGCTGAAACGTGAATTACAGGCACGGGAGGCGGCGGCTAATGGTGAAGAGGGGGTGACTCCCAGCAAAGCCGTTGCTGGCACCAGCTCTCTCACTCCCATGAGCCGATCATCACGGAAACGGAAGCGTGACGAGGCAGCGGCAGCGGCTGCCGCTGTCACGGAGCAACCTGGACTGAATATGCTCCCTACCCCAGTCGCCGCCGCGGCTCCCATTGTGCCTGGATCGAGTGACCCTGAGAGTCAACCCAAACAACTAACAGAGACGGATGCTTTCATTCAAAGTGACGTGACCTCTGCCTCCAAGCCACTTCGCAAGTCCAGTCGCGGAGGCACAACCACTGATGCTGCAGACGTGGTCGAGACGGTGGATCCCATCAAGGTGGCGCCGGAATCGCCTCCTGCCGGGATAGACGCAGCTTCACAGGCTCATTCGCCCGCTGGCTCGCGACGATCGACCAGGTCTGTAGCGCAGTCGGCAGCTACACCCACTCCACCGGTGACACGGCCCTCTTCGAGACGCTCTGCAGCTGCCGCATCATCCATTGAACATGGAGGGTTCGGACCTTTTCCGTCGACCGGGGCCGCCGTTGGGCGAGATCTCCGTGTGAAGAGTGCGACACCAGCTCGCAAGACTCCCGTTCGTGAATCATCTCGCGCTCCCAGCGTGCCGGGACCTAATCGCAGACGGAAGCGGCCTGCACCGGGACCAGTCTCTTCTGGACAAGACGGAGGGGCGGCTGTTAGTTACGGCCGTCGCAAAGCAAAACCGGGGAAGAGACGCATCAATTTGAACAACTCACAGGACATTCGGGTTGATGAAGATGGCGTCGTGGAAGAGATTGATGCCAACGAGCCGCGCTACTGTCTATGTGGTGACGTGAGCTTTGGAACAATGATCTGTTGTGAAAACCAGGATGTGAGTTTTGTCGTGGGACAGGCCCCTCCGTGGACGTCAGCAAACATGGACACTCAACGTGTTTGGCCGTGTTATGCCCGCGCATGGATGGAAACGATGACTGACCGATTATACAGTGCGAATATGTCTGGTTCCATCTGGAATGCGTCGGACTTTCAGAGGTCCCCTCACGCACAGCCAAATGGTACTGTCCAGAATGTCGTGTCAAATTCGACAAAGGTCCGGACGGAATTGTCAAAGGCACTTCTCGTCGTTGATCACCAGTTTTTTCTTTTCTTGTTTTCAGCATTGTGGCTAATTTGTATTTGGATATTTCTCTTTGTTTGCTTATTTTGTATGATACCATGATAGGCAGCGATCCGGCGGGAGTTTCATTTACACCTATTCTCATTTACTTTGGTTGCGCCTTCCATGGAACCACGGGGCCTCATGGAACTGGACTGGATGCACGGAGTGTTCACATCTTTGAGTTGCGAATGCAAGACGTGCCATTATTGGATCAAAATTGAATCCTGATTCCCAAGGTGCGAGGATCTAGTTCATAGCGTATCTCGTAGAATTCGAACGATTGATATTGCGTTTTGTATATACTTCACGTGGCGTACAGGTCTGAGAGATCATTATCTACCACACGTGCACCGACACGGACTAGTGAACAAATCCTACTTCAACTGCCACTTCCCACCATCACAGATGATGTCCACAGGGCGCCGTTCGTCCAGCGACTTGCGACCGGCGTCTAAAATGGCCGTAGTTCCAATGGTGTTCTTCAACGTAGGCAGGGGACGAGCATCCAGCTGATCCAGAGTGACCCGGCCCTCATTCACCGCCGTCACGGCGTCAATGAACTTTTCGAAACTGATGTATCCATAGCCGGTCTGGCCGGCAAAGTTGCCCTCTTCATCGGGAGCATAACGCATGTAGAATCTACATACGATTAGAATGACAAGTACTGGATGAGGTCGACTTTTTTTTTTTGACTTACGGATTGTACCACATCAGTCCTTGCTCGTCGCTTGTGACGTCGTATCCGCGCTTGGCTTGGTTCACGCGAATCTCGCCATTGGCAGCCATGTCTGGTGGGCAAGTCAGTGCCGGGCTCAACAGGAGAGTTGGGAGGTGAGACAAGGAGAGTAAACGTACAATGGAAGTACTGGTTGGAATGCACACCCGCATTCAGAGGCGCAGTCCAGCTGGCCGTGTACACGCCCGTGGCAATCTTCGAGGGGTCATCTTTCTTGCGCCACTCCACCAGCAGAGTGATGGTGTCTTCCGTCTCAGGCACACAGCCCACTGCCGCGGCGGTTCCCTGCGAGGCAGTCGCAGTCACTCGCACAGGCGTATACTCCGGTACCATGCTCTCGCAGATATCGATGTGGTGGGAATTCAAGTAGTACGAGATATCCGAGTCACGACCCGCCCACGCCTTGAAGGTCTCCAATTGACTCTTCGGCTGGCTCATATAGCTGTAGAAGTAATTGAAATCGCCGAGCGAGCGGGCCTTGGCCCGCGCGTCCGAATAAGCGGGGTCGAATCGCTTGTGGTGCTCGACGAAGACGAAGACTCCAGCTTTGTGGGCGGCTTCTACCAGTGTGAGGTGGTCCTCGAGCCGTTGCGTGGCGGGCTTCGTGATGAGGACGTGGTGGCCTCGTTCGATCGCGTACAGAGCGATTGGGAAATGGGTCGAGTCTGGGGTGAAAATGGTGATTGCGGAACCCTTGGGGAGGGCATCAATAGCCGTCTTGTAGGCGTCTGGATCGGTTTGATCATCGGCTGGATACGAGGTGAAGGAGGTATCCAGCCCATTGTATACTTGGCAAATGTTGCGGTGCAGATGATCACCTGAGTTGGCCGAGTCAGCTTTCTTGTGATTTATTCTCTCTGATTTATCTTTTCCTCGAGTCCTCATCAGAACCTCCTTTCGCGGGTATGGACTCACGGATGCCGGGGTACTTTTTGCCGGAGACGCCCACCATGCTGAGATCACCGACTTTGCCTCGTCGGCGCAAGTCAAACATGGTCAGTCCGACCACGCCGACTTTTTTATCTGAGCCCGAGGCACCACCTCCGACAAAGCCGGTGGTGTACTCGCCCGTGCCCACCTTTAGAGATGCGATTGTCGCTTGTCAGCCGGAGCTTGTCAATGGCGAGGATCAATCCATCGATCTGAAAACATACCATTAACACGCTGGGAGGAGCCATAGCGAAGATGTGATGTGATGAATTGAAACAAGTTTATCAAAAGTGAGCTAGACAAGAGCGAGGAAGTTAAACTCTCGAGTTCTAACTCAACGATTCCAAACGTGAACTGATGTATACAGAAGCCAGAGGGAGATGATGGAATGAAAAGGAAGAACAAAAGCGCAGCTGGTCCAGCTGGTCCAGCTTGCTGGATATAATTCTTCCGGCGAATGAATTGGCCTTGACTTGAGATATGACGGGGCCGTCGGTTGCTTCAATCGGGTGATTCAATAGCCGACCATCTCTGGGTGTTTCTGTTATTCTTGGGTACGGTAAAAAGGCAGAAAAAGGCAGAAAAAGGCAGAAAAAAGTGCCTCTTATCGGCGCGCGCGGGGTAAATTGACGATTCAGCTAGATTGGGTAGTCTGTTTTCATGCCATGTGATTGCAGTCTAGTTGTACCGACCCCAGTCGCGTCGCAGAACTAGAACCCATTTATTTTTGATATCTCATTGTCTCTTCTCACAACAATTCATTCTTCTCATCGGCATTTTGGTGAGAATGAGATTGTATTCGACTGCGTCTCTGTCGCCGAGTCTTTCCCCGAGCCCCGCCCACGGTAGCTTTTCCCCCATGCAAAAGAGGGTCCCTGGATTCTTCCCGGACTCTTTCCCCCCACACTCCGTCATCAATCGGCTATTGGTGGAAGATATTCCTCCGCGGTACACAACGCCTCGGAACAGACGCCGACGTGGGGGAAGAAACAACTTGTCTGGACAGTGGAGGGAGAGGATGGGGAAAATGAGGGGCTGAGGAGGTTGCATATCATTCCCGTGACGGAGAGGACTGGCAGTCACGGAACTGAGGTCACGTTAAAGATGAAACTCACAGCCGGATAATAAGACCTTGGCTCGGCGCCTTTACTATTTACTCATTTCTTCTCCAACCCTCTAAACTTCCTGGTCTCCTGCATACGGATCACAGATCTTGGAAATAATTCGAGCAACCACCTCTTGCATTCATTTCTCAACGTCAAAAGATACTCTCCTGCTCTCGAGGATCTGATCCGGATCAAGATCATCATCACCTCCATCATGCCTCTCACTCCTCTTCGCCCTGGCGCCTACGCGCCCACGATGACCTTCTTCAACCCCGACACGGAAGAGCTCGACGTACCAGCCATCCGCCGTCACGCGGTGCGACTGGCCAAGGCGGGTCTCGTCGGACTGATCACCATGGGCTCTAACGGAGAAGCCGTGCATCTCACTCGGGAAGAGCGCGCCACGGTCACACGCGAGACCCGATCTGCACTGGACGAAGCCGGCTTCACCAACGTGCCCGTCATTGCCGGTGCCAGCGAGAACAGTATCCGCGGCACCATCGAGCTGTGCAAGGAGGTCGCCCAAGCGGGCGGCGAATACACTCTCATCCTGCCTCCCAGCTACTACCGCACCGCGGTGGGCAACGACCAAAGCCTCTACGAATACTTCACTGCCGTGGCCGACGGCTCCCCCATCCCGATCATCATGTACAACTACCCCGGTGCCGTTGCCGGCATCGACATGGACTCTGATCTGATCATTCGCATCTCGCAACACCCCAACATTGTCGGCACCAAGTTCACATGCGCCAACACGGGCAAGCTGACTCGTGTGGCCACGGCTCTGGGTGCTGTGACTCCGGCCTCGCCGCTCGCTCCCGCGCAGCGTGCGGCGCCTTCCGTCTCCAAGCCGGACGCGAAGCACCCGTACGTCGCCTTTGGCGGGATCGCCGACTTCAGTCTACAGACCCTGATCTCGGGTGGTTCGGCCATCTTGGCCGGTGGTGCGAATGTGATGCCCCGTCTGTGCGTGCGCATCTTCAACCTCTGGTCCGAGGGACGTTTGGCTGAAGCCATCGAGGCTCAGCAACAGTTGAGTGCGGCGGACTGGGTGCTCACCAAGGCGGCCATTCCCGGGACCAAGTCGGCGATTCAGTCCTACTATGGCTACGGGGGCTACCCGCGTCGTCCTCTCGCCCGTCTGACCGAGGAACAGGCAAAGGAAGTAGCGGAGAAGATCAAGGGTGCCATGGAGGTGGAGCTGTCCTTGAAGGACGTGGCTTAAAAGATTGAAGTGAGATTCAAGCGAGAGGGGACGATTTTCTCGGTCTACGAAATGTATACGATCAATTCGATGAAATTATCACATGTTTTAGAGTCAATAAGTAGAAAATGGGTCTTTCCAGGTTATTGAAGATTCAGACATTAGGCTTTTCGCCAGGCAACACTCCCAATGGTAGCAAAATCATGCTCAAGGTTTAGGATTCGTTGTTCAGAACATCTCGACGAATCTAACGATTTGAGCAACTCCTGTAGTAGTATGTACGACTATGTAATCACTTACCTATTCCCACTTGAGTTTTCTCATCACTTCCCAAAAGAGCAAATTAGGCTCAATTATGCCGTGTATGGCAATAAAACTATTATGCCACGTTCTAGCACTCCTATCATTGGTGGAAAAACCAACGCTAAGTGCTGAGTAACCGACTCCAAGTCTCTCGCTGCAGTGCCGGACTCGAGTCACTCGACACAGTCTTGATGGATAGTCTCATGCATCAGGTCTGAGTTCCACGTCTGGATTTGTCCATGACTCCATACTGCCCAAGTTCGTAGCATAGGTCGAATTGAACAATGCGTTCCAACTTCCTGCTCAGTCAAGCGTGATATGTCGTGGCTTTTCATGCTTAATACACTCAAGGCTCCATGAGTGTCAGTTGTTCCTGGTCCACGGTCTTAGATGGGGGAGCTTCAAGACACCTGACCTACTCTGAGTCTGAATAGTAACTTGCCAGTCAATGAAAGGGATACAATATAAAAATACCGAAGCACTGCCCGGATGACAGATCTTAGATGGTCACCTGAAAAAAGACCCTCTCCAATGTCGACGAGGTGACTGGGGGAAGAATGAATCAACGTGGAGTTGGAAGACGGCTTATTGTCACCCGTTATTTTGAAGCCTCCCCACGCTAAATTCAATTTGACTCCATTCGTGGTGATCAAGCGGTTCAACCTTTGATCTTGTGATCCACACCTATACTTTTCCCTCACTTTCCTAGGCGAATCTCGGGGGTTTCATTGATCGCATTCGAGCGTCTCCCGTCTGGGCTCTTTCTCTATCAGGCAATGTGCATTGTGCAGTAGTGGGGGGAGCTCTGTTGGCATTAGGTATGTATACCCCTCGTCGTCTCTGATCTCCTCACGAAAAAGACTTTCTTTTCTTCTTCACTCTCTCTTCTTTCTCTGGGATTCCCTTGACTCTGCCTATTTCAGAGTGACATTTGCATTTCGAAGCCCGAGCTTCAAAAGGATCACTTTGTAAACATCACATCATCTCTCATAATGCCCTACCCCGAGGAAGCACAAGGATTCCAGGTCGATGGACCGGAGACCTACACGGAATTCCACAAGCGTTTTGTGAGTATTTGACTGAGATCCTCACCGTTGAAGCGGACCTCACTAACTACGAATGGTTTCCGGTGTTTAGTACAAACTGAAGCCATTCGGCGATTACGGTGAGTTGCTCCACTCCAAAGTTCTCTTGGTCGGACTGAATGAGCCCTACTAATGTGCTCGCAGATGTCGATGTTCAGATTGAAGCGTGCGGTGTTTGCGGTAGTGATGTCCACACCATCAGCGGTGGATGGGGAGAGCAAAAGTTTCCCTTGTGCGTCGGACACGGTACGTGATAAATTTACCCTGACCGATGAGGGGGGGAGCTCGTCCTATTTTCTACATCTTCCTCCTTCGAGTTTGGACAAGAGCACGGTGACTGACATACTCGGGCCACGCTTCAAGAGATCATCGGTCGTGCCATTCGCGTCGGTCCTAAAGTCACTCTGATCAAAGAGGGGCAGCGTGTGGGCGTGGGTGCTCAATCCTACTCCTGCGGCGAGTGCAAGCAGTGCCGCAACGACAACGAGACCTACTGCCCGGTCATGATGATGGACATGTACGGCTCAGAATGGCCCGAGACTGGAATTGTCAGCCAGGGCGGATACTCTTCGCATGTGCGCACGCACGAACACTGGGTCTTCCCCATCCCGGACGCTCTGGACACCAACACCGTGGCACCCATGCTCTGCGCCGGCTTGACGGCGTATTCTCCGCTGGTGCGCAATGGCGCCGGCCCCGGTAAGAAGGTTGGTATTGTGGGTCTGGGCGGTATCGGACACTTTGGCATCATGTTTGCCAAGGCCCTGGGGGCCGAGACGTGGGCCATCTCGCGATCTCGGGCAAAGGAGGCCGATGCGCGCAAGTTGGGAGCCGACGGGTACATTGCCACCGCCGAGGAGGGCTGGGAAAAGGAACATCGCTTCTCATTTGACCTGATCATCAACTGTGCCAACTCGTCCGAGGGCTTTGACTTGGCCAAGTATCTGTCCATGATGGATGTCCACGGTCGCTGGGTCAGTGTGGGATTGCCCGAGGAGGAAGGCCAGGTCATCAAGGCTCAGTCGTTGATCTCTAACGGTGTTTTGATCGGGGCCAGTCATTTGGGATCTCGTCGAGAAATGCTCGACATGCTCCAGCTTGCAGCCGATAAGGGTCTCAAAGGCTGGGTGGAAGAGATTCCTATCAGCGAGGAGGGTCTGAAGCAAGCCATGTTGCGTATGAAGAAGGGCGATGTCCACTACCGGTTCACTCTGACTGGTTATGACAAGGCTTTTGCTTGAATCTGGCGTGAGAAAGAGAAGCATAGAAAATTAAGCTGATTCAGAAAGAGTTCTTTCCGCGTTCTATTCTATATATTCCTTCTCTCTGTTCTTCTCTGGCAATTACCTGAACCTACCGGACGTAGTAGTCACCTCGACGTTCGTCAAGGTAGGCTTTGGTGATCTGTCTTGCTGCTCTTCTTCCCGTCTAGGGGTTCCTGGTGAGGATCTACACCAAACAATCACTGTGCGTAGGGAAGCCTGAGAAATGGAGGCGATCTCTGGCGAAAGTCCACAGTTCCCCTTACTTTCCAAGCCCTCGTAGAGCCCCCCCCCGTGAAGACTCTGCCCAAAAGACCTTACGAACATCAGCGGACAAAAGTCTCAAAGGACCTTCAGCGATTCTTCCTGCTTCCTCACAATGGAAAATACATAGAGAGAAGTCGACATTGAATTATACGCTAAACATATTCTTTCCAGACTTGTCAAGTCTCAGAAAAGCTGTCATCCTTCTGACGGGCAGTAGTATGCTTCTCACTTATCTCATGCCGAGGCTGCCCATACCCATTGCCATTCTCTCCTCCCACGATCGTGTCTCAACCCCGAATCTCTCTATTCAGCGTCATCTTCCTCCGCGCATCTCCTGTTCGTTCAAGGTGTGGGCCGTGGAGAAGTGGATCCGTCGGCTGGATCATCCGAAGGACATCGCAGAGTCGATAGATCCAATACTGCCCAGTGCCGAGTCCTGACGAACGAGATCGACGGCCTAGACTAGTTCTGTCTCGATAACATGGGGAAATCGCTTGACAGAGCTCCGAAGTCCAAAGTAGCATCTGAATTACTACCATGAAACAATCACTAGAATAGTCAAGACAATTTCTGTAAAATTCTTCAACCTCCTGCTTTTCCCGACGCTGATGACAAGGTTGGCTGAACCGCTGGGTCGACAGGCCCAAACCGCCACCGACGCCCGAGGAGTGATGTATTAGTACTCCGGCGACGCTAGAATTCGTGACGGCTGTGAAGTAGCGCTACCACTCCCGCATGGCTCTCATTTCAACCCCGTAGTTTGCCCCCCGGATGCTTGGGAGAGAAAATTTTCGAGTCCCCAGACTGAATAAGGGTGGTACAAGGTACATTCCAGCCCAGGCCATTCACAACGCCACCAACAAGTCGCATGTACCCCCCCGCCATTCACCGCCCACGACTCTCGGGCCCTCCAGGTTACCCTTTTGGCGAAGGAGTTCTTCACACCCTTTATCTACATGCTCTTCGCCTCCAGGGTTTCTTTCTACTTTTGTTTTTCCTATTTCGCGCATTGTTTCTCGTCGGTCTTCTGGTGTTGGTCTTATTCGCATTCCTTAATTTCAATAGACAAGCCCTGGTTCATCTGGGATTGCTGTTTCTATTCTCTACAATCTCTTCATTCATCCATCGTCCAGCCTCCCTTCGTCTCTGTTGTTCAGAAGGCTGAAAGCGACACGACTACATCGCGTCCAGGGCACATTCCGCGCACTCGATATATACCCAAGTTTGGACTTCCGACCAAACCTTTCAGTCCTTTTCCAACCCAGATTACCCTTATCTTCAGCGAGATCGTTGGGGTTTCAGTTCTGGTCCGTCGTCTATAGATCAATCGCTCTGTATCCCTAATTGACTACCGCGCCCATACCACGCTACAATGTCGCCTCGAGACCATACCGTCGGCGTTACTGGACGCCAACGCCCCTCTGTCTCTCTTCGTCCACGCACAAAATCTGTTGCACAGCCGGTTGTCTTGCCACACCAATATACATTCGATCAGTTGCGGAAAGCCTCCCTGGCGGAGGCATCCGACGACGACTCGTCGGCTTTCGAAGAGATGGAGTCCTTTCCCGACGTCGTCCCTCGGCGTCGAGCAGCGAAGAGCTTCTCCCATCTCCGTCATCCGATGGATGGACTCGTGGCGTTGGGCCGCCGGTTATCCGTGACCCTGCGCCACAAGTCTTCAAAGCACAATCTGAGTTCATCGGGGGACGACTCTTCTGAGGCCGAAGACCATTACTATCGTGTCACTGCCCAGTCTACCCACAAGCGTAATACCTTGTCGGGAAGTTGGGCCTCACGCTCTCGTGCATGGTCGCATGGCGTGAACTCTAGCAGCATCAACCGTCGTCCATCTCTTAACGACATTTCTGCTTTACACGGGCTATTCGTCCCGACTGCACCCATCTCAGGCCCTATTCCTGGACATGGCACGGAGCCGCCAGTGCTTCCGAATGACCGCTTCGCAGGTGCTGCGGCCCGAGCGGCTGCCGCCGCGCAAAACGAGCTGATGGAATTGGCACGCCGGGAAGTGGTACGGGTTGAGCACGACCTGCTCAATAAGTCGGAGAGTCGAGTACCTCGGGACTCGGAGAGCGGCATCGGGATCGATCTGCGTGATCCATCTGAATTGCCAGCGACAGATCTGAACATTCATCGCTTTGGTAAGGAACCTTGCATATCTGTTTCATCTCATCTCATATCCTTTCATTGACTAATCTCCTCTTGCAGACCCTGTTTCCTATTTGCCCGCCGAGATAATGACCCAGGTGCTCTCCTACCTTGATCCTGCCTCGCTCATGGAAGCAGAGTCGGTTTCAAGCGCATGGCATCGCCAGGCGTGTTCTCCGCATGTCTGGAGGCACGTGTTCCGTCGCTGCTACCCGCGTCGTCCTCTGAGCAGTACCGCCTCCAAGAAGAAGCAATCTTATGGTGTAGGCAAAGCTACTCCCAATCAAGACTGGAAGCGGATGTACATGGTTCGTCGGGCGCTTGAGCAGCGTTGGAAGGATGGAAAGGCAGCTGCCATCTACCTGCACGGTCACCAAGACAGTGTCTACTGCGCTCAGTTCGACGAGGACAAGATTATTACCGGGTCTCGTGACCGCACCATCCGCGTCTGGGATGCTCATTATCCCTGGTCTTGTCGGAAGATCATTGGCCCAGCCCCTAACGACGTTACACCTGCAGGTCCCGTCAACAACCCAGCACAGCAAGCGACCGGCAAATCCCCGTTTGCAACTATTTGCCCGCCCTCCGTCCCGGTGGGGGACATTGCGAGTTCCATTGACGAGGCGGTTGACTGCCACAGCGCCTCTATCTTGTGTTTGAAGTTCGACGAGGAGATCATGGTGACTGGCTCTTCGGATTATAGCTGTATTGTCTGGGACATCAAGAACAATTACCGTCCTATTCGCCGACTGCAGGGCCACCGTGCAGGTGTCCTGGATGTTTGTTTCGACGACCGATATATTGTGTCCTGCTCCAAGGACATGACTGTGTGTGTCTGGGATCGCCACACAGGCGCCCTCCTGAAGCAGTTGATTGGGCACCGAGGTCCGGTAAATGCCGTGCAGCTTCGAGGTGACTTTGTTGTCTCTGTCAGCGGTGACGGCCTGGCCAAGCTTTGGAATGTCGTCGACGGACATTGTGTGAAGGAGTTCCTCAGCAAGGACCGAGGTCTCGCCTGTGTCGAGTTCAGTGATGACGGCCGGACCATCCTGACCGGCGGCAACGACCGGACGATTTATCAGTTTGATGCCAACACTGGTGAGTTAGTCAAGGAGTTGCGAGGTCATAGTGATTTGATCCGCTCTCTCCACCTTGACAGCATGAACAAGCGCATAGTAAGCGGCAGCTACGACATGAGCGTGAAGGTGTTTGATGCGGAATCTGGCGAGCTTTCTATCGACATGCCTGGATGGACCACCAGTTGGATGTTGAACGTCCAATCAGATTACCGGCGTATCGTGGCGACCAGCCAGGATGCGCGAGCCGTCATTATGGACTTCGGCTATGGATTGGACGACATTGAGCTTTTGGAGGAATAAGTGTCCACGACAAAAGGTTTTCTTTTCACTTCGTGTGTCTTCCGCCTTGCTGAGCTATGAGTTTTGTTGTCAGGCTTCTTGTTGCTCATCTTGTTTTTTTTCTATTTTTTTTCTTTTTTCACTCGCATTTTCAGCCGTGTTCAGCGTTCTTGGTTTTTTTTTTTTTTTTTTTTTTTTTTTCATTTCATGGCTTTTGGATTCACGACATATACACCTGGCTTGGCAGACGGACCTAGTCAGGACGCATTGGAAATTTCTGGGAGGTACAAAACGCATGGAGGAGGGAATCAGCGGAATATAGACTTCTCATGGCTTATTATTGCTTTGTTGTTGAATTATTGCTAGACATATACACCTCAGCTTGCAAATCAAGGAATTGATCGATTACAACGTGGAGCTTTTTCTGTCCCGAAATGTGGCTGCTTTTGCCTGTCTTCGTTTCGTTGGACAAGTGGGCAAATCGACCACTGGATTGTCGATTTTATTGAACTGTGGTTCAATCCCAGGGCTCCATGGGACGTCAAGATTAGTAGCCTGAGGCATGTGCTTATCTAAGCTGCCTGTGATTGGCCGTGTGGGTCAATCCTGGCGCCAGCGTGATCCGTGGGTTTTGGCATCAAAACAATCCCGATAGTTTTCTGTTATCATTGACACACAAGCCTTGACAACGGAAGACTCTTGCTTGTTCTGGCCCTTCCTGCGCATCGGCAATTTTTCTGCTTCATCTTCATCTCTTCCTCCTACCATACCCGTCAACGACTCTTTAGCCGCGGGCCATAAACTTACCCCACCATGGGTGAATCTAGGTCCGGCCCTTCGCACACCCCCTCTGCCCCCCTTAGATCGTGAAGGTCTGTTCAATCCTCGCGGACTGGGTCGCTGACTGCAGAGCTTTGAATAGACAAGAGCTTCTGGCATGGCTGAACAGCCTGCTCCAGCTGAACATCACAAAGATTGAGCAGTGTGGAACTGGGTACGAAGAAATCCATCAACCCCTCCCTTGATCGCTCATTTTGTGAGCAGACGAACTGGAAAATGGCGCACGGCCACCGACGAGACCTGAGATCGACTGACCCGCCCTTGTGTTCGTTTCTGTAGTGCTGCGCTATGCCAGATCTTTGATTCGATATTCAGTGAGTGACCTGATGACCGTGAACGATGTGGAGTGGAGAGGACAGGAGCAGTGGAGATGAGGCGGAGATTGCCTTGAAAAAAAAACGATGATACTGACATCGGATCTTTTTCTCTCCTGATAGTGGATGTGCCCATGTCCCGAGTCAAGTTCAATGTGAACAGTGAATACGCATACCTCAACAATTTCAAAGTCCTGCAGAGTACGTGCCGATCATCCCAACGCGACTTCGCCGCGCTTTTTCCCCCCCCCTCCTCTCTTCAGGCAAAACGAGACACGAGTAACGTTCTAACGTCGGATTCTTTTGATCGTGCGATTAGACGTCTTCACCCGTCACCAGATTGTCAAGCCCATCCCCGTCGAGTCCTTGACCAAGTGCCGCATGCAGGATAACTTGGAATTCCTTCAGTGGGTGAAGAAATACTGGGATCAGCACTATCCCGGCGGTGACTACGATGCTGTCGGCCGTCGGAAGGCTTCTGGTGCCCCTGCCGGCGCAGCTCCCGCAGCTGCGCCTCGGGCATCGTCATCCAGCTCTCGTCGGGGTGTGACGCCCACTACAAGTGCTGCTCGGGCTCCTCGGGCGGCTGCTGGCGCCGGCGGTGGTGCCATGACTGCCGCTCTTCAGCAAGAGATCGCCACGCAGAAGGAAGCTATCGCTGGTCTTGAGAAGGAGCGCGACTTTTACTTTGCCAAGTTGCGCGACATTGAGCTTCTTTTGCAGACCGCTATTGAGGAGAACCCCGAGATTGAGAAGGAGGAGGATACACTAGTGAAGCACATTCAGGGTATTCTTTACTCGACCGAGGTATGAGAGCAGTCCTCGACTCTTGCATTTTGCATTGCATATCTTACGATTTGGTTGGAGGATCGTTGGACTGACATGGATTTAGGACGGATTTGAAATTCCCGCGGAGGATGAGGAGGCTGCGGGCGAAGAGCTGGAGACATTCTAAACCATTCTGTCCGGAATATAGCGTCTCGTTATGTAAATACCCCTCGCTCTTCTTACTCCTTTACCCTTTTGAAATTTCTTCTTCTGTCACTTCCCTGGCCCTGGAAGACAGTGCCAAAGCGCTGCACGCGTCTGGCTCGTATTGCCTTCCTATCGAGGGGAAGGTGTTGCTTCGATGGGTTTTGGAAGCCCCTTTGAGCAACAGTGCTTGAGTGCATGTTGTTGGTGGATAGCGCGGTGGAGAAGCTGCAAGTTTTTCGACCGACTGTGAATCCCTGCTCGTCGAGTACTACAAATGGGAGGGTTGAGCATGTGCTTTCCATCACTGATTGAGTTCCGGTTGCAAAACGTCGCTGCAAAGACGGACAGACCCAACGTGCTTCCTCCTCCCTTTCAATTTGGGTGCTGGTCTCGGTCAAAACGACCAGAATCTTTTCGGTTGTTGGTGCCGCCGACCAAACACATCGAGGCGTTTCTTTGGTCCTGTAGACGTGGCGTGTAGACAGTAGACAGTGACACCCTACACTGCTCGCAAACAGGTTGTGTCTCGGATCAACTTCCCAGACGATGCGTGAAGAGACGGTAGAGATTGCTCGTCCCTGGGTCAATCATTTGAACAGGACGAGGCTCAGGAAATGACATAGTCCAACACGTGCACCTGACCGCCCAATTCAACGTTCCCCCGTATCGGCCGGCCTGCAGCCAACTTGGCAGTGATTTGTACCAGGATAAATTCCCTAGGCGTCCAGAGTACCGCTCCGCAAGTTTGGAGCTAGGTGGTCACCGCTATGTTGGGGCCTGAGGTATAATGTAGATGGCACAGTGAGGAAATCGCCATGATCGAGTGTGAACTGGCATCCTCACATCGTGAACTATGCCAAGCTTACCTGGAATAAGCCCGGTGTAACCTTCAAAGTTGGTACGCACCGGGGGGAGTCAGCAACAATAGCCTACTACTTCGATCCCGTCCCGTCTGGCATTTCCGAATGATCTCATTGCACTTTCAAAGCACGGTAGATCTCCCAAGGTCTACTAGTTATACATACTGTACTACATACTACCAGTACCACTACCTACTATACCTAGTACCTAGTACCTGGTACCTACATATTACATCAGGTAGTACATACAGTTCTGTGCTGTAGACGGGATTGGCATGGCTCAGGAGAAACGCCCGGCGCCCGTGGCAACCGGAACACCTACTGTATTTGACAGATGTTCTTTACGTGGACGTGTCTTGATTCTTTGACTCTGCCGAGACCCAAGATGGATCTGGACCGTTGACTTAGAAGTGGCCCGGCTGTGCGGATGAGTGTTCGTCTCAAGGTGAAACCCGGACGATCTTTATTGAAGGACTGGAGGTACGCGAGCCGATGGGAACATGGTTGACGGGACGGTGGGATGGGGATTTCGATTTCCATAGCTTTGAGGGTTTTATCTTGTTGACAGGGTGGAATCGGAATTGCATTGGAAGGCTCTGATGAGGTCATACCGGAGAGGAGCCGGAATCTGAGCAGCGGAGATGTACAGTATTACAGTAGTACCATGTGCTGACTCGACTGTGTACCTAACTACTTACTAACTTAGTACTGAATAAAATAATGAATATGTGGTGGTATGAAAGCTTCACCATACAAGATTACATTGCACGGATCCATGTTCCGATCCGGCAGTGTGCCGAGATGACAGGGCCACCGTATCTGGGTACTGTAGATGAACTTTCCTATTTCTTCCACCAGGCACATACATGACCGTCGTATTCAATCAGCCGTTCCGTCTCTCGGACGTTCAACAATTTATGGTCGCGTTGGGCTTCGAGAAGCTTTGACGAAAAGAAACAGATTGCGGGTGGAGGCTTCCATGGAACGGCTCCAATGCTGGACGGGAATCGACGACGGGTCCGGTTCTGGTTCCATTCTTAGAATTCTTCGAATTTTCTGCCGCATCTGCTGGTCCGCGGACTCTTGGGAAGTTTGTCGGGTCACGGTCTCTTGACGGCCTCCAACGAGGACGGTACAGTGTACAGTATTCACTGTTCACTATTCAATGTAATATAGTGTATACTAAGTAGTAAGTAGTAACTTAACTAGGTAGTAGTAGTAACTAGTAAGTAGTAACCTAACTAAGTATTTAGCGTGGTAAGACTACTCGAGTCAAGAAGAAATCAGAAATCCGATGGGATCGAGAACCCCACTGGTCAACGGTGGAACGAGTAATTTCCGTCCCGAGGGCGAATGATCAGCGGACAAAGGACATCACAACCATAAACAATCGACATGATAATAAGAACAAGGAGAATAACAAGACGAACAAGGATACTCCCAAACTCCCAATTCCCAACTCTCCTGTCCTAACGAGTCACGACTGTCTCCCATCACCGTCGTCGCGAGACCATTGGACCCAGAGGGCCAATCAATAATGCAGTCATCGCAATCAAACCTGCAGACTGGCCCTAAACCGAACTGGGTGCGAACGGGACTATCGTGTGACCCAATCGGGCGTAGTCTGGTGACGGGTGGATCTCGGTGGACTCCTCTCTCGGGGCCAGAACACGCGGTGGGGCTCCACCTGTCACGCCCCTTTGGCGTCGTCATTGGTGGACCGGATCGTGTACCTGCAGCAGCCCACGCTAGTCCCGATGGAGGCACACCAACCAAGTTTGACCTGCAGCCGCCCACTGGCCTCCTCGCATTTCCCGGTGATTTGGATTCGGATTCTTTTTTTTTTGGTCAGGATCATAACAAATACACAAGCTTTGGGTTTGGCCAGAGAAAGGGAGAGGGAACGAAGTGATTCACTTGGAGAGGTACACCATGAGGAGACAATGAACTCGGTGAATGGGCGTAGCGTAAAAACGAAATCAAGAAGAAAAGAAAAAAAAAAAAAAAAAAGGCAAAGAAAGAGGAATGCTTGGCCCCTCCCACGGTGGGTTCGTCGCTCACGCGGGTCACCCGTGGACGGATTGATACTCGATCAGGGGAGAGACCCAGCGATGGGTGAGACTGAATGAACTGATGAAGTGACTGGCACACCCCCACCAAAGTGAGTACCCAACCCTATAACCGTCCAAACCACCAACCTCCTCGCACCGACGGACAAGACGATCTTCGCTCGTTGTCTGGTCTCGTCAACAACCGTTCGCCCTTCTCGGTCCCCCGGTCCACCGGTCTCCCGCGTCTTTCGCTTTGACGATTCTCGTCAGTCTCGAAGTCTTGACCTCCTCTACGACTGACATTCACGCGGTGCTGTTCACAACGTGGTGCTTCGTACCATCTTCAGAAGAACGGTGCATGCGTCGGGTCCGCGTCATTCCCAGTCAATCGTGTGTGTGTCCGAATCAGCACAAGTACCTGGCGGGCTGTTTGAACTGTGCAGTGTGCAGTGTGCACCACCCCTCAACCTCGCGATTCTTCCTGAGGTTCTCCCTCCTCTCCGTGAACCACCACCCGGCAAACACCCCCAGATTTTAAGGCTGGGACGACCACCATCGCAGTTGACATCCTCCTTAGCACGGAGACCGAACATCTCCTCCGACCCGCGCAATGGATTAGGTGATGAGTCGACACTCATTTTCATCCCATTGATTGGTGTTGCCTTGATCTCCTCGACCGCGCATGACGAGATCAACCCCGTGTCAACAGAGGGGCCATTGTTTGCTCACCACCCCCTTCGTGACCAGACACACAAGACCAAATACAATCACTCCTTAGATCTCGAATCCATTCGTCTCTGGATTTTCCAATCTCACCATCTTCGTCTCCATTGCCGTTAGCGCCGACTGGTGCCCACTTTCTCTTCGTCCGCGCAAATCACGGACCTTTCGTCTGAACACCAATTCTGTGACATTGACTGTCATCTGACTCTCCTTCATACTCTTTTCGTCGCAACGTAAGCGCAACCACAAAAACTACGTTTACCACCTTTTGTGTTTTTCAAAAACAACCACAATCTCATCGGCAGTCGTCGGGCTGGAGCGGGCTCAGGTACCTCGGGGATCGTCGGAGCCAAAAAAAAAAAAGTTGCTTATCAGATCCTGCGATCCGACCGAACGACACCACCACGCAGCTATGGCTCACCATGGCCATCGACATGATCACATCGGCAGGTTCAGCCGAGCAAGGCAACACCTGCATGACAATGACCAAGATACCAGACTGCTCTCCAACAATGGAGAAGACATCGCCCCTCACACAATCCTCGAATCGCATATTCTTCGAGACGACACCAACTGTCAGGACCCCTGTGTGTCAGTAGAGAATCGCCCCCAATCTGGGGAGACCCCCGACAGCAGTCCTGGCAGTTCCAATGCCTTGCCGAAGCGCCAAGAACCCGAGATCGCTATCGTAACCGTGGTCGAGACGGTTGTGCAAATGCTCGACTCGAACCTCAAAACACTTCCGGAATCGGCTAGCGTCAGTCTCTCCTTGACTCTTTCTGAGTCTGCGTTGGAAATCCGTTCACTGGGAGATTCGACTGCGACGCTCACGACGGATCCAGCCTCTTCGACGGCTTCCACTGGGTCCCTGACTGTCACCGCCTCGTTATCGAGTACGAAGCAATCCGCTACCTCGGTGCCGTCCAGGCCATCCTCGGCCGCAGTGAGCCCGGCGCTGCGGTCCTCGTCGCGCCATGTTCCGTCGCCAGCTACGACTATCACTCCGGGGTCCAAACCAACCTCCGCCTTCAAGGTGGGCAGCATCATTCCAACCTCGCTTCATTCCAACTCGACCACTTTGGCCATCAACACCTCCGTATCGTTGCTTGCTCCCATCTCGACTGCCGATGCGTCTCCCTCTGAAGATCCCGGATCGGCCACCAGCCCCAGCAATTCTGCACCCACTTCTGATCAGACGCATTCGCCCACTCCGGAATCAGGCATCGACCCAACCACTTCCAAGATCGTAGGCGGGGTTGTAGGTAGCGTCGCGGGGCTTGCTATGATCTTCATCGTTCTGTTCTATCTGTTTCGTCGTCGAAAGATGATGTTCAAGCAGAGGAATTCGGCAGCGCTGCCCCTCCCGTCAGATGACGGTGGCACCACTCGTCAAATGTCGACCATCTCAAGTAACGAGCCTCTCTTCTCAGCATCGTATCTGTCACCCGCATTCGCCAAGCGGTGGCGTCATTCCACCATGACGGTCCGATCCGATAGCACTGTCTCTTCCTCGACTCCTAGTGAGCGTGGGTTTCAGAAGATCTCTGGCCGTAAGATCCCTCCGGTGCTCGCTCACGGAGGCGATGGCTACGGGGGGACTGGCGACGAGAGTTCCCCCACCTACCCTGGATTATCGCCCGTGTCGCCTGGAGGCGCTTCGGCGATGGGCAGTGCGTTAACTTCGCCGCTGTCGCAGGCACCACCTCCCACCCTGCCTCATGGGATGGTCCTGGACACCAACTACACACGGGAGGCCGAGGAGGGTCTTGAGTCACCCATTCGATCTTCGCCGGTGCATCTCCCCATCTCCAGCGCGGTCAGTGTTGCGTCGCCCACAACGGTCACTCCGACAAGCCCCATCGCTCAACCGCAATCGGCGATTGCAGTGATCCCTCGGCGACCCGACGGGCTCGGTCGAAGCTTTCCTAGCTACGATGGGAGTCGTAGTAGCCGCTTCACCGAGAGTATTGACTGACCCCCGGACGATGTGAATTCATACGAAAGATGTGGATGAATGCGATCATGTTTGATGGCGATGTGCTCATGACTTCCTCTGCCCACCCCAGCGCACCCCCTTTCTCCCCTCCATTCCATGCATGTGAGTGATATGGGCTTTGTTATATTGTTTAATATTTTCAAGCGCCTTTTTTTTTTTTTTCTTTCTTTCTCCCGTCGAGGTCTGCTGTGTTAGCGTTCGACTTTTTCACTCTTTCTCTTCCTTCCCTGTCATCTTTTCAACTTTTCATCTTGTCTTCTTCTCATTCTTCTCCTTCTCTGTCTTCTCGAACAGTGTCTTCAAGTTCACACTGTCGAATTTTCCGCCGGGCGAGCTACCGCTTGCACGTGGTTCCTCGTCAGCGCGGTCTGGTCTGTCTTTTTTCCTTCGCCCAAGATACCCCTTCCACCTTGACTACGTCACTACTTCACTTTCAGTCCCACTTAACTCTTCGGTATATATATGTGTATATAGATATACATATATATATACATATATATATATATATACATTGATCATGTACTACTTTTCATGGTCTCTTGGAAACTTGCATAAACTCAACTCCTGTCCATTATCATGATAGTTTATTGCAAGATCAATCAACACGATAGCACGACATTTCCTGGACCGGTCATAAAGTGATGCCTAGATGGTCAGCTGTATCCAACGCCAAGTGATACTCGGACATGTCAGGTGAAAATCCGAGTATACCTTCTCCATCCAGCGAGAGAAAACGACCTCGCTCGACGGATGATGCGTCATGGGTTGTCTAACCTCCAACGGGCGCTGCAGCTCTTCCACACGGGGCGAGAAATTTTGATCTTACGAATCGAGGCGGAGCATGCGAGCGGGATCAGCTGATATGAGTGATACCTTGATGGATGAGGGCACAAGCACTGCCTGATGGTCCTGAGTAGGTAGTAGGACTAGGTACAAGATAGCGATACACTGAGCTCTGCACCTTAGTAGTAGTCAGAACATCCTCCGACAACTCGACCAGGTGGCAAGCACATGGCACGACAAGTGTTGACGCCACAGTCTGATCTCTGCGCCACACTCAACCGGCGCCAGGGAGTCTGGACTCTGGAGTCAACTACGTTGTCGTAGTCACTCAGTGATTGGTTGATTTCGAATTACTGTCTGATCAAGCCACTTCTTCGCCACAGGCGACTACATCACTGTGGCGCTGTACACGAGTCTGCCAATCTCGACGGTTATCGGAGGTCTCTCCACCTGGACACCCGCAGTGGTGAGACTTTCGAGTGCTCTCACGAAGAGAATGGCGACGCGTGGTTGAGCGACCATGTACAGTACAGCTGAGCGCTGTGGGAGGAACATAGTGGTTTGTGTAGCTCTGGTCTTTTGAGTACATGACCTACAGTCTACAGTCTGCAGTCTACCGTCCACACTCCACACTCCGCTGGTGTGAGGATTTCCAACGGAGCTCCGACTGGAAACCCGCGCAATTTACGAGATGGTGCGGAGCCCCATGCACTACTGTAGTACTGATACAGTGGTGCTTGAATACCTCGGTAGTCAGGTACGGTACATACCAAGAATCTAGGTCGAGGAATACGACTTTACCATAGTCAAAAATCGTCACCCTGACTTCAAGACTCAAGTACCACTCTCGTGATGGAGTCGGGAATTGTCTTGGCTACTCCGCTCTTCTCATGCGGCCCCAGTCCCGTCCCGAGGTCCAGCCCGCTCATTGGCCTGGACTTCCAACCCCAAGGAGGCGCAGCACCGCCAGCTCCTCCACCTCGACAACTTGTGACAACTGGTTGACCATCACGCACTCTTCGCAACGGTCACAGGAGTCCAGCACCGATACAGAGGCAGACACAGACACAGACTCAGACAAGATAACTGGACTGAGATCCAGACCGCATGCTGGGATGACGCTCACATCAAGCCACATCCCACTTGATGTACCGTGATCATGATCATTCCGACAATGTTTATCTGATCTTGGCGTGCTTCTCCAACCCCAAGCGTCTCGGTGACTATCCCCCTGATGGAGAATCTCGGTTCTGCGCTGAAACAGTCCAGGTCTCAAAGGAGATCACAGGAAGGAGCCCTTTGTACATATCACGGCGGCTACGTCTCGGTCATCACACTCTTGCATGAGGTCATTGTCACTGTTAGTCTTTGGCAAGGGGGGGCGGGGGCTGGTTGAAGAGTCATCGGGCTGGCAAACAGTGTCAAGCGGGTCGTAGTAGAAGAGAAGATATTCGCAATCATGAAAATTACACATGGATCGAGACTCCATCTACAGTCTGGTACATTGTGACCACTCAGTACTCAGTACTCAGTACTCAGTATCTACTATCTTGTATCTACTACTCACTGCCCAGTTCCTCATTCTTATCCTTCAGACTCCGGACACGTGAGCACATGCTTTGATTCTAGTCCTGACCCGGCACGGTGCACTGTGGGTTCAAGAGAACCGATGCCGAGGCGGCAAGGACGAGTTGGCGCCCTTGATACGCTGATCGCCATTGCCGCCGATGCGGAGGGAGAGCTAGAGAGACTGACGAGAGAGAGAGAGAGAAAAGAGAAAAAGGAGGCTGTGCATCTGCAATCGCCCCTCTGATAGACATGTCCGGAGTCACGTCCTCAAGAAGGGAATTTCATCTAGTCGCAGCCCACCAACAGAACTAGTCCACTTCGGAGTCCAGACTCGTTGCCTCTCCTTCTCCTCCGACTCTCCGCCGGCTTTCGCTTGACCGGAACCTCGTTTAAACTTCACTCCATCATAGCCGCTTGATCTTGGCATTCGCCCAGTACCGAGTCAAACCGATTCACTCCGCCCACCTCTCTACGAGTCTCACTCTACGGTACCTCTCTACCTCTCTACCCGCGCATCGTATGTCTCGGTCAAGTCCACATCCTGGGCAGCAGTGCACAGCCCCGGAGTGAAGAGGGTGTAAGAAGGAGATCCCTCCGCTCCCTTGAGGTGACTGTACTTTTCACCCGGCAGTCCATCTATGCAGCCTGCTCTCTGGGATCTTATCAACCCTTGTCACGGACGTGGCTACTTGCGATCAGATCCGAACAAACCTGAGAGAGAGACTATTCCTCCACAAAGAGTTCCTATCCTATCAGAAGGGTTGACCATCTTCAGGGTATCTCAGCTGCCACTTGACACTATACAGGAAGACTGAGCTCAGATCATGATGGCGTCGCAACCACCCGCAAAAGGTGCATTCTTGAGTCCGCTCCAAGTGCCGACCTTTTCAGGAAGAGAGGTAAGATCGTGTCACTTTCCAATCGTCACTTCTCAAATGGAAGATGGAAGATGGAAGACGAAGAATGGAAATTGAAAAAAAAAAAAAAAATGGACAATGCATAATGGCCAAGTAACTAATTCCGCCAACCCAGCGATCCCCATCCGGTGCTTCTTTGGGATCATCATCAACCTGGTCTCCCACAGATACCACTCATCAAAAATCATCATCTCCTCCATCACCATCATCACCTACGTCTCTCACCTCACCTGCATCACCCATGTCCGCGACCCTTTCCCCAGAAATGGCGATAAATGGAGATTCATCCCACCTGAGAGTCCACTCATTCTCTCATCGGCCCTCTTCGTCCATCGACGGCGAGACGTTACGGGCCCGCTCGGAGTCCTTTGCCTCGTCGTCAGGCCCAACGCTACGCTCACGAGCTAGCTCGGTCGATCCTTCTCATCTGGCGAAGGAGTTTGACGATGTTCCCGTCTCGGAAGCGCTTCAGTCAGATGCTCGAACTGCAGCCGACTTTGAGGTCGAGAATAATCGCTTCGCCTTCTCCCCGGGTCAGCTGAATAAGATGCTGAACCCCAAATCCCTGGCTGCGTTCTATGCTTTGGGTGGGCTCCAGGGACTGGAGCGGGGTCTACGAACGGACCTACACGCTGGTCTCTCGATAGATGAGTGTTGTCTAGAGGGGACTGTCGATTTTCAACAGGTCACTCCTCCTTTGTCTGAGAAAGAGAACATGGTTGGCAGTGGGAAGTCGACAACAACAGATGGGGAACATCCAATCGTGACCCCGGTATCACTGTCTACTGGGGACGGTCTGCCTTACGAAGATCGTGTTCGCGTCTTCAACGAGAACAGATTACCGGAGCGCAAGTCAACGGGGTTCTGGAAATTGCTGTGGATGGCGTACAATGACAAAATTATCATCCTGTTGACAATTGCAGCCATCGTGTCACTTTCGCTGGGAATCTACGAGACGGTAGATGGAGGCACCGGGGTCGACTGGGTTGAAGGTGTGGCTATCTGCGTGGCCATTCTCATTGTGACCGTGGTCACTGCCGTGAATGACTGGCAAAAGGAGAGACAATTCGCCAAGTTGAATAAGCGGGTCAGTACTAACACTGACTTTCCTTGCCCGGACCGATGAATCTATCCAAAAGCTAACTCGGATCTCTATCAGAAAAATGACCGTGAGGTAAAAGTGATTCGATCCGGCAAGTCCATGATGATCTCCATCTTTGACATTTTGGTCGGTGATATCCTGCACCTGGAGCCTGGTGATGCCGTCCCTGCAGATGGTGTCCTGATCTCCGGCCACGGCATCAAGTGTGACGAGTCATCCGCAACGGGCGAGTCGGACCAGATGAAGAAGACCGATGGCCACGAGGTCTGGCAACAAATCGTCGAGGGTACTGCGACCAGGAAGCTTGACCCCTTCTTGATCTCCGGTAGTAAGGTCCTGGAAGGTGTCGGCACCTACCTTGTCACCAGCGTTGGGCCATATTCCTCATATGGCCGGATCATGATGTCACTCCAGACTTCGAATGACCCAACTCCTCTCCAGGTCAAGCTAGCTCGTCTGGCGGATTGGATTGGATACATGGGCTCAGCGTATGTTGTCGATTTTTTTTTCCTTCCTTCCTTTCTTTCTTTTTGGTTCACATCATCTTGAAACTATGGGTTGACTGACGACTCCCCCCCCCCCCCCCCCCCCCCCCGACAGTGCTGCAATCATCCTGTTCTTCGTCCTCCTGTTTCGTTTCATCGCCAAGCTTCCAGACCATCCGGATGTGAGCCCTGCGTTGAAGGGGCAGGAGTTTGTGGATATTTTGATTGTCGCTGTGACGGTCATTGTTGTTGCTATCCCAGGTACGCTCTCCAAACGCCCATTGTGGATGAAACATCTTAGCTCACACATTGTTCTATAGAGGGACTGCCATTGGCCGTTACATTGGCTCTAGCCTTTGCTACGACCCGAATGGTAAAGGAAAATAATCTTGTACGAGTCTTGCGCGCTTGCGAGACCATGGGAAACGCCACAGTCATTTGCTCTGACAAGACGGGTACTCTCACCCAAAATAAGATGACGGTGGTCGCCGGTACCTGGGGTGCTAAGCATCGATTCGCTCAATCAGCCGACAAACAAGCAGAGACACAGGTCATGACGACTGCAGAGGCGTTCCAGAAATGTTCACCATCTGCGCGCGATCTGATCACCAAAAGCGTGGCGTTGAACTCCACTGCCTTTGAAGAAGATCGCGAGGGTCAGCGCGACTTTGTTGGCAGTAAAACCGAGGTCGCTCTGCTTCAGATGGTCCGAGATCATCTAGGCATGGATCTTACTACCGAGCGTGGATCGGCAGAAGTCGTACAGCTTTTCCCCTTTGATTCAGATCGCAAGTGCATGGGGGTTGTGTATCGTGTCGCCGGGATGGGCTATCGCCTTCTTGTCAAGGGAGCATCCGAGTTGATGCTTGATGCCTGTACTACCCGGGTCTCTAAAATGGAATCGACCAGGGATGATATTTCGACAGAGGTCTTGTCCGCAGGTGCGAAGCAGAACGTCATGGACCTGATTGACCAATATGCTCGCGACTCACTTCGAACTATCGGGTTTGTCTATAAGGACGTCGACTCGTGGCCTCCAAAGGACGCGAAAAGACACGAGGATGACCCTTCTTCCGCCGATTTCAAGAGCGCCTTTCACGGTATGACTTGGCTTGGAGTGGTCGGAATTCAAGACCCTCTGCGTCCTGAGGTGCCTCCGGCCATTGAGAAATGCCGCACGGCAGGAGTCCAGGTGAAGATGGTGACGGGCGACAACATTGCCACTGCCACTGCCATTGCCGAGTCTTGCGGTATCAAGACCGACGGTGGTCTTGTAATGGAAGGTCCTAAGTTCCGGCAACTATCGGACGCGGAGATGGACGACGTTGTCCCTCGACTTCAGGTTCTGGCTCGTTCTTCGCCTGAAGATAAGCGCATCCTGGTCGAACGATTGAAAGCACTCGGTGAGACAGTCGCAGTCACAGGAGATGGTACCAACGACGGCCCAGCCCTGCGTACTGCTGACGTGGGCTTCTCTATGGGTATCGCTGGTACCGAAGTTGCTAAGGAGGCCAGTTCGATTATCTTGTTGGATGACAATTTCCGCTCAATCGTGACCGCAATCTCATGGGGAAGAGCCGTGAATGACGCCGTTGCCAAGTTCTTGCAGTTCCAGATCACTGTGAACATTACCGCTGTGGCTTTGACCTTTGTATCGGCCGTCTACAGCAGTTCGAATAACAGTGTACTGAATGCTGTTCAGCTTCTTTGGGTGAACTTGATCATGGACACCTTTGCTGCACTAGCACTGTAAGTCACTCGGTCTGAAGGAAGAAGCCTCCTCGTGTCGACCCAAAATTACTGACATTGCTCTTCTTAGGGCTACTGATGCTCCCACGGAGAAGATCCTCGACCGCAAGCCAGTGCCAAAGAGCGCTTCCTTGTTCACTCTTACCATGTGGAAAATGATTCTCGGCCAAGCCATTTATCAACTGGCCGTGACCTTCATGCTTTACTTTGCTGGAGACCGCCTCCTCAGCGCTCATCTCGACCCAGTTGACCTTACGCATCGCTCAAAGCAACTTTCCACCGTGGTATTCAACACTTTTGTGTGGATGCAAATCTTCAACGAGTTCAACAACCGACGTCTCGACAACCATTTCAATATCTTCGAAGGCATGTTCCGAAACTACTGGTTCCTGGGTATCAACGCCATAATGATCGGCGGCCAGATCATGATCGTGTACGTGGGAGGCCAGGCCTTTGGCGTGACTCGACTCAGCGGGATTCTCTGGGCAGTTTGCATTATTTGCGCCTTAGGCTGTCTACCATGGGCCGTGGCTCTGCGTACTCTTCCAGATCGCCACTTCGGAACTGTGTTCAACGGGGTCGTCGGGGCCATGCAATTCATCTTGCGTCCGGTACTGAAAGGTTTCGGTGCGATTGCATCGGGTGTCAAGTCCTTGTTGAGACCTGTTGGTCGATTTTCCCGTCGTATGTTTTCTCGCGGTCATCGCAAAGGCGAGAATTCTTCGGACGTTGCGATGGAGATTCCACCCAGGGCTCAAGCCGTGGACGAGGAAGCTCGTACCCAGGTCAAGGTCGCACGAAGCGAAAGTCGCGATGATCTTGAAGCTTCGGTCCCCAGAACTCCGGTTCAAGCGATGTCAGTTCCTCCTATTCTTGTCACGGCTTCTCCGTGAGCTATTTGATACCCCTCATGTTCTTTTCCCCCTCTGTCTGTTTTCTTAAAATCGGTTAGCGTGCCGCGGTCATGAAGTCCTTTCTTGTTTTTACTGTGATGTACAATGACCTGCATCTGTACGAGTAGATTGAGCGTCAATGACTTGATGTGAGATTCGCAAGAATTTCAACTCATAATCGAATATAGTCTATGATACACCACAGGTCAATCGGCAGACTGACTTTGAACCAATTCACGTCCAGGCTGAATTTACCATCTTGAACTTTGGATATAAATAGTAGCCTCGTGCAAAAGCTCTGTCCACAAACACGTCAAAGAGGCCAATGTATCAAATGGTTTCAGGTTGGTTAAATCAGCCTTGGTCGCCTGAATCCCGATGAGAATGCAGCCAGCCCGACGGCCCCCACGCCGATCAAATTTCACATGACAGCACTCAGCCCCATCCAAAGATCGCGTCCATACTTAACTCTTGACAAGACGCATAGCTTCGCATTCAGTGGCATGTTTTTTACTTTTACTTTATTCTCTATTTTTGTTTGTTAGTTCTCTCTACCATGAACAATTGAGTAATTGCGTGCTTTGCACATCATGAGCTCCACTACTCAAGCAGCAGCCTCGAGTCAGGAGCCTGCTCCAAGCGAGACTGCCCCAGCGGACGCGACCACTACTACTTTACCTTCATCCATGCCGACAAGTTCGGACTCGCGTCAGACTCCGATCGCTGGACGTCGGGTACCTATTCACAACCCATTTCCAGCCTCTCTAGCCAGTACGTTTCGTTCCTCTTATCGTATCATCTCCGCGTGATGGGGGGCAAACCCAGGAGTAAGAATGGGAAGGACCAGAAATCAATGAATCATATTCAGTCGCTGAATGTGGAGAGTTAGGTGAATGCAAAAAAGCCGGCCAAATCATCGATTCCTTTGTGAATCCCCAATATGCAGGTCTCGAGGGAACGATTCCTCAACGCATTCTCGGCCCAGCTAAGGTAGAACCCACCCTTATTCTGCGGCGTCGACTCAATTCTCTCAGCCCCTGGCGCCGCGAGCTCACCACTTTTTATTGATTCTCTTTCTCAGGGCCTGGTCATATGCAGCGTCTTCAAAGCTGGATTCCTGGGATCCGTCCGCTTTGGCTCTGGCCTCATCATATGCCGCCTGCCCAATGGGAACTGGTCCGCTCCATCGGCCATTTCGCTGGGCGGACTCGGCGCCGGAGGCCAATTTGGAATGGAATTCACCAATTTTATATTCGTCCTGAACACAGACGCCGCCGTGGAAACCTTCATCAACTCAGGCACCCTGACTCTGGGCGGCAACATCTCCATTGCATTCGGAACTGGCCGTAGCGCAGAGACGGCCGCAATGATCGGCACCAAGGGTATTTCAAATATCTTTGCGTATTCGAAGACTCGTGGGATCTACGGCGGATTGACCTTTGAAGGCGGTATTATTACTGAGCGATCCTCAACGAACAAGACGCTGTATAAGCGGAAGGTGAAGGCCAAGGATCTTTTGTCGGGGGAGATTCCACCGCCACCGCAGGCTGAGCCGTTGATGAGGATTTTGAACTCGGAGTGCTTTCGGCCTCCGTCCACTACGGCAAACGTACCCCCTGCGGTTCCCTCTGGGGCTGCACCTGTACCTGAAGAGGCTGGTGGATCGTCATCTGCAGGCGTTGTTGAACAGCTCGTAGAGCCGGTCCCGCATGGTGAGGGACATGAGCTGGGAGCCTCGCATTCTTCAGACATTGCCGAGCAGCACGCTCCACCTGCGAATCGAGAGGATGGTACCACCGCTGGCGATGGGGCCGAAGTGCAAAAATCTTCAATTCCAGTCCCCGTCCCGAATCAGGGGACAGAGGCGTCACGGTCAACAGTCGCTGCTGAGCAAGTTGGGCCCGTGGGTACCGAGACAAGACAACTGCCTGTCTCGGATCCCAAACTCAGTACCGATGTACCAAGGTCAGAACAACCGGTTGAGAACTCTTGTCCGTCCGTCGAGCAGGTTCATGACCCTGGGAACAACACGTCTGAAGTGCAACAGCCCGCGCTTCCTGCAGAAGGAACTGAGCCGCCCCAAGAGCCACAAGGTTCTCTCGAAGAGACGGAGCAAGTCTGGAGCACTGCTGAACGAGAAGACAAAGCCACAGCCTCTGGAGACGAACCGTCCCGTGAAAAACCATAAATCTCGCAGCAAGATGTTCCTGCGAACTCGCAGGCCGTTGCTGATCCGTCAGCCAGGTTGCCCTCATGACCTTCCACCATGGACTCATCTCTACTTTTGGTGTCTTACCACCAGTTCCCGGGGCTTTCCTCCAGTATTATCTAGGACGGATTTTATTTACTCGCGAGCTATTCTCATTTCCTCTCTTTGGAGCGTGTAGTTATGTATTGAGGATTCATCTCATACCCGCGTAATCAGGGCTAGTGTATGGTCTTTTGTGATTCTCGTCTTTGTTCAAATTTGAGATGCAATGCGTTCTGAACTTGAGTCCTCTCGTCAGCATAATTTCGTGTATCGAGCCATCTGCCAGACGAGTTCAACGTTGTCATTAGGCGAATTTAGTCCAGTCTACATGCTATTTCTTCCCATGGAAAGCAGTCGCTTCCTCTTTACTTACATATGACAAGCGAGTAATTGATTAGAGATCGTTTTTCAAGCTAAAATCAGCCTCACTATCTCGTTTCCAATGCCAAATCTCTCCCCCGTTTTCTGATCAGGACTACCAATTCACAGCAGTGACTCGTGAGCGTAGTTCTGAAGATAGAGTCTAAGTCCCCGGTGAATATCCGCCGGGGTGCTTCTGCCTCAGGCGACTAGAACTTCGTCACTTGTCCCCCATGGCGGCCCATAGCTTACGTCCGTTCCCCTCCTCCTGCATTTGATTGAACAGCAATTGGACACATTCCATTTCTCGACAGTCATCTCAAAGACACCTGTCACGGCTCCCCGCAAACCCAGCAATACTCCCTGATACCCTCCTCGAGCTCAATTGCCGCCATTCCGGCCCAAACAATAGCTTGCGTCCATCCTCCAGTCTCCCCGCTTTGTGTCCCAAGATCGCCAGACGCCCGCTCCGCAAGCCTGAGCCCGCCCCCTCCGAGTAATCGACTCCAATCTTGCCGCTCCGTCACGTCTGTCGAACATTCAACCTCGTTCTGCAAAGTCAAGAGCTATCCGCTGAATCGCACGCAATGTCGCTCCTCAACTACCGCACCATCAACGTCGACCAGCTCGACCCCGAGTCCTCGGTCAACTTCCCCATGGAGACTCTTCTCCCTGCCACGCTGCCTCAGCCCGAGACCTCCAGTGACGCCGCCAATATTGCTTCACAGATCCGTCAATTGCTGCGCAGTGGCGACACTGTCGGCGCGCTCCGCCAGGTCCTGGATACCGCGCCACTGGGGGGTGATGACCGCGCAAAGGAAGTGCATCTGGGGACGGTGATCGAGGTGTTGCAGGGCATTCGACAGGCTGAGATGACTCGGGTCTTGGAGGATGTTGTCAGCGGTGATGGTGGATCTGAGCGCGCGGACTGCCTGATGAAGTATATGTAAGTGTTTTTTTCTTTTTCTTTTTCTTTTTCTTTTTCTTTTTTTTCCCTCTTGGTAGCGACAGAGCTGTTTCCACAACTACGGACGAGAGAAAAGGGGTTGTACCTTCCTGCTAATCATTACTATACGATCAGTTACAAGGGAATGTCCTCCTCTGGGGCCAGTGGGGGTGCCTCAACCCCACGCAAGATTGACTCTCCTCAGGCCACTGGATTCTCGCAAATTCAAGCTCGAAACGCAGGCGAAGGTGGTGGTGGTCAGCAGATGAGCGTCTTGTTGAACTGGCACGAGAAGCTCGTCGAGTTGACGGGTACTGGATCGATTGTTCGTGTTATGACTGATCGTCGGACCGTGTAAACCCCCAGGAGAGGGAAGAAGTAGTCTTGATTTTCCGCTCCGCGACTGTCTCCTATGTGAAAGAAACTGTATGATTCATCTCTCATGCGCTCCTACGGGTGGGATATAATCTCTTTCTCTCTTGGTCTTGCTTTCCAGCGTGGTTGTCTTACAATTGATATACATACACTTATAGCCTTCTTCTTTTTCTTTTTCTTCTTCGGTCCGAGTTTCCTGTCAAAAGAGAAGTCGTCTGATGGAGATTACTCGGTCGATCTCGTACACGCCTCACGTTCAATTTGCCTCTTTTATTTCCCCCCCCCCTGTCTTTCAGTCCTAGACGTGCACAAAGTCACCGCCGCCTAGGAGATCCTTCATATTCAGCTCGCCGCTTCCACGGGCAAGCGGCTGTGGCTGATTCGCTCCCTCGGTCCATCCGATCATATAGATCATGCGGAAAGTTGCCGGGATGCCGCGGGCGTCGTCTTCCTTGTACATGGCTCGATAAATGGCCTCGTTGGCTAATAAAACATCTCGCGACATGGGCCCCGCTTCACGGTGCATGATGGCATTACTCTCGCCCATGGCCTGTAGATCTTGCATCAGGGCAAAGGTGTCTGGGAACTCGACCACAATATCCTCCACGTCAACCGTCAGCATCTTGAATCCGGCGCGATTCAGGAGATTGCCAACGTCTCGCACATCGACGAGCGGAGAGATGTGTGGGCTGACACCTCCACGGCGTTCCATGTCGGCAAGTTGTAAAGATCCTCGTAGCTCGAACAGAGTGTCTCCACCAAACATTGCCGCAATGAAGGGACTGTCCGGCTTCAAGATCTTGTTCACTTGTTCCAGCAATGCGGGCAGGTCGTTGATCCAGTGAATCGATAACGAGGATAAAACGGCGTCGAATGTGTTTGCCTCGTAAGGCAGCGACTCCAGGTCGGGAATCACGTCGCGATGAAGATTGATCTCCTTGTTGAAGGGTAACTCTTCATCCCGATGCAGCAGCGCATGCGATGTATCCACGCACGTCAACTTGGAAATCCGTTCCGCCAGCGGTGGTGAGGGAGTGTCTTCGGGCGCCGCAACGTCCAGATTCGGTGTCGTCAATGCTCGCGCAATATTGCAACTGTTGGCGCCGAGATCAAGCACATTAGGAAAGTCGCGTTTGATGTCCTACAGAAGACATGTCCAAAGTCAGTAAAAGTTGCTGTGAACCGCTGCTCTCTCTCTCTCTCTCTCTCTCTCTCTCGCGGCAATGAGAACGATCTTCGTACCAGTAGGCGCTCGCATAATCGCAAAGCAACCTCATCTTTTAAATAATCCGTCGCTCGACTTTGCTCCACATTCCGGGCAGCCCGGTCCTTCTGCTGATGTTTTGTCCGGCGGTTGAAGATCTCCAGCATCGGGTTCCCCGACGACTGATTGGCGTAGCTTCGGAAGCCGGAAGTCGCAGCGAAGCATCGCCGGGCGAAGGCGGTTCGAAACGTCTGACGAGAGATCATCATCATCGATAGAAATTGTAGCAGTTCGTGATATGTTTAAATTTTGTTCCCCTCAGGAAGAGTCTGGGCTCTTCGGCGAGGTGTGCGATGTGGCAGCTGCGAAGAACGAACAAACGTGACAATGACCCTTGATTTTGATCTGACGTCGACAAAATCATTGCGGGACCTCCGCGGCTCCCACTCCGCGGTCGCGCATGCACACTTCACGCCGTGTCAGGCTCGATGTTTCAGCTTCGCTTGACGTGAACGTTGGGAAGCTTTCGCTTTGTCAAATCGAGACTGGGTACTCACTACTATAGTCAATATACATATTATAGACTGCTCAGTGGCCCTACGGGCTCCGTTGCGGTAAGTCTCAGAGTGAAGGTCGAGGCTATCGAAACAGCTCGGAAAAGGAGCTTTGCGCAGCGGCATCCTCACTAGCAAGAACGACTGGCTGACTTACATGCCACTAGACTCCGGCAAGCTGGAAGCTCAATCACATCTACGACAAGCGAGCGCTTTCATCCAAGTCAGACCGTTCGTCAGTGGGAGACCATGCAATGATCAATCCAGGAAACACGCCTCCTTGAATCTCGACACGAACTAGCTCGTCTACTGCCCGACCTTCCGCACAATCCTTCATTCCGTGATGTCGCGCCCATTCCCATACACCTTCATTTCCTGTCCATGTGCAGACACGCCGGTTCCAGATCCTGCTCGCAAGCGGAGGTCTCGAGAGTCTCCTCGCAAACCCACTGCCGAGCCGCCAACAGACCCCGACCACCACAAGTCAAATACACAACAAGCGGATGAAGTTGGGCAGAGCGACGAGGAAGACGACGAGCAAACGTTTGACCCCCGATCGCCTCGCTCGAACTTTTCGCTGTATCCACCTGAGCAGTTGTTGTACTGCGAGGATTGTCACCAGATCAAATGTCCACGATGCATCACCGAAGAAATTGTGAGTTGGTACTGTCCCAATTGCTTGTTCGAGACTCCAAGCAGCATGGTGCGCAGTGATGGTGGTCGGTGAGTTCCTCCTTACCTGTTGGAATCAATCTCATCTGATTGTATGCTGAATCCTTCGCGGCGATATAGTTGCGGCCGGAATTGTTTCAATTGTCCTATCTGCACGGCACCCTTGACTGTGAGCACGATTGAGAGCGTGACCGGCAACGCAAGCGGTCATGGCCCCTGGGTACTCTCATGTGGCTACTGTATGTGGACGACGCTTGATATTGGCATCAAGTTTGATAAACCCACCAATATCCGCGCCCAATTGCAAAAGATGACCGACTCATCCCCGGCCACTGGCTACGATGCTAGGTCACGTCAGGGCTCGCGAGCATTTGCGGATTTAAAATCCCCCTTGTCAAACTTCGCATCCATTGACGAGCAGTCTGCGGCGACTGAGCGGGAAGCCGAGCGAGAGGTATCCAACGAAGATGCCTCGTCCATCCCTCAGCTAGGTGCAGAAGCTCGCTTTGCTGCACTAAAGAACTTCTACCGAACGCAAATTTCGGAGACGTCCAACTCACCCAACGATCCCCTTAGCTCCGAGTTTGGATTCTCCTCGCCGGGGGCCTTGAACCGGCTCATGTCTCTGTACGCTTCATCGTCTCGTCTTAGCGGACTCTATGGCGGTAACAAGAAACAAAAGTCCAAGCCACCCGTCATGCGCGAGGCCCTGACGGCTGCCGAGGGTTTACGCATCGGCTCTGGAGACTCTGACACGGCGATCATCGAGCGTATCGCTTCGGCCGAGTGCGGTTGGGATGGCGTGGCTTCAATGAGCCAGCGGACAGACCAATCGCCCGACGTCCGCTTCGTGGACGAACTCCTGCCGCTTCCTGCGCTTTTGCGCACGAAACGTGCCAAGCGCTGCAGGTCATGCAAGCACATCCTCGTCAAACCAGAGACCAAGCCTCAGTCCACCCGGTTCCGAATCCGCCTCATTGCTCTGAGCTATATCCCTCTCCCCACGCTCCGACCCCTGGCTCAACCTGCTATGTCTCCCGTGACACCGACGGCGTCAACCCCGGACTTGAATGCGCTTTCACCATTACGAACATACCACGTCCTTCTCACTCTCAAGAACCATATGTTTGATCCCGTCCGCATCACCCTTGCAACGCCCTCCGTGACACCAGGCTCCGTCGCGACCAAGGTCACCGTTCTTTGTCCCCAATTCGAAATCGGCGCCAACAGCGACGTCTGGGTCGAGGCACTTCAGAATGCCACGGCTCCCTTGAGCGATCGGATTTCGAGCATGCGTGGCGGAGAAAAAGTTCCCGAAGCGGGCAAAGTCTGGGAAAAGGGTCGAAACTGGACGACAGTCGTACTGGAAGTGGTTCCGGGGACTTTGCCAGGTATGAATACCGAGGACGGCGAGACCGAAGTCGATCCTGGGAAAGCTTTGACGCTGCAGAACGACGAGGATATACTCGAGATCCCGGTCTTTGTGCACATGGAATGGGATGCCGAGGCTCAGCTGGAACAGCAGAATGTTGGAAAGGCTTCGAAGCCGGATGACCTTGTCGCTCGCGAATTGGCTTACTGGATGGTTCTTGGTGTTGGTCGAATCCAACCTTACTAGTACTGTGGTGGGACAATTATTACCTTTGGATTCCCGTTTTGTCAATAATCTCTCTTTTCCTCACACCCATGCGCATTCGAATCAATCTGCGAGGTGCTTTTTTTTTTCGCGATTCTATGTACGGGACCCTGCAACCTTTTAAGCTGCGGCGTGTCGTTTATCGATTCTGATGGAAGGTCCAGAGAGGCGCCAATATTGCCAAAGCGAAAGGAGGTTTACAAGGTCGTAGAATCTATCAATGACCGTGCCCAGGTGGAAGGGACCCGTAAGATACCCACCTTGTACTTGATGAAGAGTTCGGAAAAAAGATTCCAATTGGAAAGGTATCACATTATCCCATCCCATCGTCAAGAAGGTTTAAAGAAAAAAAAAAGAGGTAGCATAAGCCTGAAGGGAGGGGGTGATTCGACGCTGTCGTCCTGAGCAGAGCGATCGCGAGAGCCGGAGAACTTATGAAGGGGAGAAGAAAAGAACCATGCACCGGCCAGTGGGGTGTAGGAAAGAGGCGACATAACTCAAAAGAAAACCCATGAATGCATTTTTTGGTCTTTCACCCATCATGCTCTTCTTGAATCTAGTGAGCTTTCAAGACCTAGAAACAAGTAAAAATTTCCCCCAAGATACACCATTATCTCCTCTTTTTTCCATATTCCCAATCCAAACAGACACACAGAGCACACGCTTAGTACTCAGCGCCGCTCTGGGGGAACTCGAAGACAACGGTGCGGCCGGTCAAACGACGGTAGACCTCACCGTAGGCGTCAAGGCGGTGGTCAACACCACCCTTCTCCTTCTCATCCAGAACGACCTTGAGGGTCTTGGAGCCGTCCTCCTTGGTGCGGACACGCTTGCCGACGATCTCGACGGGGTAGACAAGATCGGCGAGGATGTTCTCGTGGACAGCGGTCAGAGTGCGGGAGCGGGGACGCTTCTGGGTCTGGTTGGTGCGGGAGTTGACGGAGCGCTTGGGGCGGGCGAGGATGCGGCGCTGAGCAACGAAGAGAACGTGGCGGTCAGAGAACTTCTTCTCGAGCTCGCGGGTCAGACTGTTGATTGATTTGCGTTAGTCGATTGCTTTTTGGGGAAGTCCCAGAATTCCGCACCAGCCGGGTTGGTGAAAGTGTGACTGGTAACAGGTGGGATCGGTATCTTACCGCTGCTGGATCTTGTGGAAGTTCTGGAGGAGAGGAACGGGGACGAAGACAACGATGGCCTTCTTGCCGTGGCCGACCTCGACCTATAGTGCGCGAAAGTGATCATGTTAGAATTTTCGGGTTCGTCCTGAGTTGCACACACAAATTGCGAATTTTCGATGCGCTGCGGGAAGAATTGGCGATGCGGAATTTCAATTGTCGGTGATCATTTCAATTACACCCATGGTTCCATGTCATTGTTCCACGTCGTGTCGTCGGATCGTTGATTCCGTAGCATAAAATGTCTTCCTGTAGATTCGCAAGACAGTTCGCAAAAACATCACTTCCCCCTCTCCCAACGTCTCTTGTACCGAAATCCGATCACCGCGCAAAATGAAATTCCGTCGGCGCAATTTTTCGCAAAAGTGTGTCGTTGTAGAATTGTTCATCATTTCTTACCTCACGGGCAGAGACGAACTGCAGGGGACGAAGGGAAGCCTTCAGGTCCTGAGTGTTGCTCTCGAGGTCGAACAGAGCACCGGCAATCGCGGTCTCCAGCTCGGAGGGGCTCTGCCGGGAGGGCGAGTTGGGGGCAATCTTGTTGATGGCAGCCATGATTGCGAGCGACGGAGTGCTGCGAAGGTGCTGGGTTGAGGTCGGCGGAGGGGATTGATTCTCACAGTCTGAAGTTGATGGTGAATTTGCTGTGGGATCGCGGACTTCGCTTAGAGTGCGCTAGTACCCAATCCGGCTTAGCGTGGTGGACTGGATTTGGGCTTCTTCCTCGGGGCCCTCAATAGTCCCGTGATCTGCGGGCCCCATACTTCATGCCTGAGGCATATCTACGGGGCTGTATCGGCTGTGCGTTTACTGTAGGACTAGGTAGTCGATTCATGATTATGGTGGAATACTACTCTAGTTGTTTCGCGATACTGATTGAACAACTGATCATTGTACAGAGGCTGAACTCATTGCGTGAGAGAAAGGCTAGAACAGCCTGTCAGATGGACGAGGTATACAAAGAAGTGTCATGAAATCAACCACTCCCGAGTCCGGCCCTCGTTCAGCTAGCCGCTGACGGAGCAGAGGACTGCTGCAGGCAGGAGATTGGGAGACACGCTTGGACTAATAAAATCGCAAATCAACGTCGGAATAGAAAAGCGGGTAACCCAAAAGCAAGTCCCGAACAATCTAGCAAGCGCATCCTTCCTTGGCAGTAGCGGCGTTTCGTTCCCCCAAATTGACTCTCGCATCCTCGGCGGATCTATTGCCCAAAGATGTTTGACCGGCACCTGCGGTTCCGCGACCTGTCTTGAGGCTGCTCTCTGGAATGGCATTAGCAATAGCCGTGAACACGTCAACGACGTTAGTTCCGAGCTTTGCGCTAGTCTCGAAGAACAGGAGGCCTTCCTCCTCAGCGTAAGAGCTTGCTTCCCGCGTCGAGACCTTCCGCGCGTCACCCGAGTCGGGGAGTTCTCCTCCGCCTACATCGTTCGCTTCTTCTTCTTCTCCATCTTCATCCTCGCCGGATCCATGTTCCAGGGGCGGTGAGCGCGAGCCGCCTGCAGACTCGCCTCCGTCGTTGGTCAAGTCCAGCTTGTTGCCGACGAGAGCGATGACAATCCCAGGGCTAGCCTGGCGCTGTAATTCAGCAACCCAGTGTTTCGCTTTCGTCAATGATGATGGCTTTGTCACGTCGTAGACCACGAGAGCCGCCTGGGCATTACGATAATACATTGGTGCAAGCGAGGCAAATCGCTCTTGACCGGCAGTATCCCAGATTTCGAACTTGATTGTCCGCGTAGGCAGGGTGCATTTCTGTGTCAGGAAAGCAGCTGATGAATAGTGTTAGCAAATTGCATAGACAATTCGGTCAACGCCCGTACAGAGCAAGCTTGTTCTTTCAGAAGATTGCCGGGCCTCTCCTTGGAACGGAGGCATTGATTGCGACGCAGGGAGTTGACTCGAGTGACCACGATGAATGCTCGGATCATCTTACCGCCGATTGTTGGCTCCTTATTTTCTTGAAAATCATTGTTCACAAATCGCAGGACAAGCGAAGACTATACAGGGGCGAATCAAGCCACAGTCAGCGCAGATCCATTTCTTGTCCGCTTTGCCATCGGCGTACCTTTCCAACTGCGGCTTCACCAAGCAGAACGAGCTTGACGCTGCTACTCGGCTTCGGCGCATTACCACCTGCTGTATCAGACATGGTTTCACAATCTGCTATGACTTCTCAAGGTCTCGAGATGGTGGTTGTGGACTGGGGGTCAGGCCGTCGTGCAGGGCGCGCCACCTGTGTAAGTGAGCTGGCAATCGGGCAGGATGGGTGAGTTGGCGGGCGGGAGTGAGATGTAGCGGTGTGAGCTGGAGAATTATCTCGAGAGAGGTTGACGTCTGGAATCAGCTTGTTGTAAACGTCTTTTCGGCAGAACAGTAGGCAGAGGCTAACAATAATGGGGGGAGAGGGAACTGAGCGTTGGAAGTGGAGGTCAATGATGATGGCAGTGGTCTCAAATCAGCCTAGCGTGGAGCTGGCTCGCAGTCACGGGGCTCTTACAACGGCAGGCATACAAATCCGCCGGCATTGGGTACTACTGTTACTGTATGAAAATGTGTCAGGCAGATGTTCGGCATCTGTCCAGAGGAGACTTGTTCCCAGTAGTTTGCATTGTACTTGAGTGCGGAAGTCCCTCTTTCTAGCTTGTTGTCTATGCTCTTGAAACCAAGCAGTCTGTCTCCCTCTCGGGGTTGTCATCGAGGCGTCCGACGATGAAGATGGACTTTGAAGATAATGCTGGCCCCACGTGCCGCCCACAGATTCATGTAGCCACTCAAACAGCGTCGGCGCTGTCGGGTACTACACCACCAGATGTTTGCTTTAGCCTGCAGATGCGTATACTCGAGCCCCAAATCGTGAAATCCACTTTAGAATGCGCCACAAGTCAGTGTCCAAGCAATACTTCATATTAGGTATCTGAGAAAAGATCCGATACAATTTAGGTGTTAAGGTTCTCAGGTATTCAGACATAAAATTCAATTGTCAGCCAAACCCCAATTAAATGTTCGATGGACTACTGAGCGTCTGCGCCTTTCTTCGACGCTTATGAGTGAGAACTCAATCTGACGCAGGTCAACTTTCCCATACTGAACCATTCCCTCGCATCTGAGTCATCGTTCACTCTGACAACAAAAGGACCCCCGCCGATCCGGACCCGCCAAACGCAGGTTGGAGGGAATATACTTCTCGATCCAAGGCCTCGGTTGGGTGGTACATATGTGTGCATCACCTTATACCGCATTTGAGGCGAATCTTTCAATGCCTCCTCCCGCAATTGTCGACCACAATGAGCCCGGCATATCAGTGGACCCGCCGATTAATCCACGGTGCAGCATGCTGATGGATGCCGAGCATTCAATCGAAGTATAGAAGGGCACAATTGGAGTATAGCTCGGGCGACTCTCCATTCCGTAATTGACGGGCAGTGCCACATCCCAACCTCATCGTTAAACTCTTCGACTGGGATATCGTATGTGCCAACCTACCTCACAATCGCTAGACTATCCGTGTGTCTGATACTTTGAGCTCTGTGCCAAGAAACCCGACTGAGACTCAAATCGCCTTCCGATTACCGATTCCGAGATGAGCGCCACCAATTCCAAACCTGTGGAAAGGGGCAGCCTCGGACTCACTCAAACGGAAAACTTCCCGTCGGCAAAAAGACACTGTTAGCCAAATGAGAAAGATCGGACAAGGTACGACCAGATGCCAAACTGTCCTGGAGAGTTCCATTGATCAGGATAGCAGTATCGATGCGACGGTTCCAAATCATCCTTAGTAGGTCAGTCAGTAGGTCAGCGCTGTACATAGCTTCAACTGATTTTTTTTTTGGAATAGATAGTGACATTTGTAGATTGATACCCAAAAACGGTGTGCATTATGCAATAAGTTCAGACACTCATCAGTCAATAGGGCAAAAGGTTCAGGCACTCATCAGTCCTATGGACGGGGCGGAAGGAACGGACCTCCCGATGCAAAGACAGGGTTCATGCATCGTGAGCCGAACCATCGGTGTCTCGTCTCGGGTCAGCCAGAAGCAAATCTGCCCGATATCTGACGCGATTGCGATCAGTACTCGAATGATGCGCTGAGATCTGAATGAGATCGCAAGAGCGCAGTTGATGCTGGAGATTGAGTGATTGAAAAAGGGCGGTGGACAGAGGAAAAAAAAAACATTTTTGTTTTCTGCAGTCATGCAGGTGGAAGTATTGTACAGATATCTGGTCCAGAAGAAAGGCAAGCAAAGAGATCATATAAAATTACAGAACAACACAATTGGCGCACGGAGGTGGAATGTCTCACGAAAGAACGAAACGTGAGATCTGATAAAAGTGCGATTTGACCGTGAGGTCGAGGGGTCTAATTTCCTCTGGTATCAAGTATCCCGCATAAGGACTCCAGCCGTCTATCCCAAAACGCCGAACAGTGACAAGAAGATGCAAAGACAAAGGAGATAGGCCCAAAGTGAACAAAAGAAGCAAAAACAAAAACACTTTTCGAGGATCCTGACCGAGATAAAATTGAGGTTTGGCGTACAAGCTCCCAGGGAGCAGGCAGAGTCAAGGTGATGTTGTGGTGAGTCGGATGGGGAGAGAAGGTCGATCCGTCGCAATTAGTAGTATGGTGGAGACGTGACGAAATGGTCCAACGCCGTGAGAAAAAGAAAGAGATTCGTCGCTGAGAAGCTCCCGAGACCGATGCAAGTTGAAAAGAGATTAAAAATGGGTATAAGATGTGGTGTGTGACCAAAAGAGAATCGTCCGGGAGAAGAGAAACCAGGCAATAGGAGTCGAATGGCGAAAGAAGAAAAAGACCTTCTATGAAATCGATTAGCATCACATCAGACGTGTATCAGCCAAACAGAGGGAAAGACTGACCATAGAGAAAGTCCCAACGCCGTGGATGCAAACGTCAATTGACTCCAAAGTGCCCCGTAGACGCCGGAAATACGAAAGAGAGAAGGAAAGTTCCACGAATATTGGCGCAGACCACCATCAAGCCGTCCGATGGTGAAGGAGATCGAAGACATGCACGATGGCGAGTTTATTTGGGCGGTGGTGGAGGCGCACCAGGCTTTTTCACGCCGGTTGTGTCGTAAGCTCCGCGTCCCATGTTGAAGGCCGACAGATCTCGCTGGATCATATTAAGATCTGCGGTGACGAGCATGATCAGAGATTGGTGACGACAAGCGAGGTGAAAAGGAAGAGGAGTTGAAGTTGGAGCGGAAATGGTGGAAATGCGCCACGTTATAACCACAGGGCACTCCTTGGGATGATCAAAGGTTGGAGACTTACCACAGAGACAGGGAGATCACCACGAACGAACACTTATATAGTTGTTCTTCGGCCAAATTTATGCTTTTCCAGAACTGGAAACCCGATCCACACCCCCGAAAAGCGACCCAAAGCCAAGGTACAGGACGCAGACGTTCTAGATGACGAGAAGATGTGCAGGTGGATAAATGCAAAAGTCGTCCAGATCGGAGGAGGAGTTCCTTTTTAAAGAGGACCACTGGAATAATGTCGGGTCACAGCAGCTCGTCCGGAATGTGACGACACAAGTGTTCGACAAATAGGCAAGGACGGAGCCGTGGAGTCAAAGCAGATATTGCTTGGGTCGAGATGACGGGAAGAAATAATAATAATGATAAAAAGAGAAGATAATGCGACAGGTCGCGGCCCGGTCGTCGCTTCTTTATGCGGTTCGTAGCAGAGCTGAGTCAATTGCCAGTTGTTGTGTGCAAAAGGCCCGGATTATTTGTTTTTTTTTTCTTTTTTTTGCGGAGAGCGCTGAAAGGTGGCGGGGATTGAGGAGGGCGAGGGTGGCTGCAGGATCAATGCCGTATTATCGGAATTTGAACCAGCGAAAAGGTAGAATCTTGAGAAGGGATAAGATAGAAAGTCACGGCAAGGGAGACCCTGCACAGGACAAAGTGCCGCGGAAGAGCGATCCGGTAGATCCGGTTGTCAATTGAGGTTTTGATGTATCGCAAGGGAGCGAAAGGGAGAGAACAGGGCGGGAGGACGAAAAGGTGTTTTTCCAATGGTTTGATTTATGGTTTCCGTATGGAGTACCTTTTGTTGTTGGCAACCCTCGAATGACTTTGTGTTTGTGGCGGAGGATGTGGAGAGAGGGAGGAGGATGACGAAGGTCTAGTGTGTTGGTATGGATGCTTCGCACCTGTCTTTGAAGATGATGAAGGAGAGAAAGTCGTCTTAGGGGGAGGGAATGTAATAGATATAGGATGATGGGATCTTAGGTCATGGAAAGCAATTTAGCACTGTCTCTAGTCCAGTCTGATCGACTCGCCGGGGTTCTTTTTTTTAAAAAAAAAATCTTTTCCATTTCATTTTTAGTCTTAGTTTTTTTTTTTGTTTTGTTTTGTTTTGTTTTTTTTTTCCGGGTCACCTTGCTTCTTCGATTTTGCTTTTAGAATTCACTGGAAAAGAATAATAACTTGCGATGGATTCTGATCGCTCATCCAAATGGGGCACCACTGAACTGATTTGGTCCTTTTCCATACACATCCAACAAGACCCCATCATGTTCCATACCACAATGGTTGACAGAGCGTTCTGAAATCGATGATGGGCGGATTACCCAACCAGATCGCAACTGTTCAACAGCAGAGGAACCCACCACGACGCTCCGAGTTGAGGATGGTACTGTACGGGACGAGGTGATCGGGAGATTCGGTACAGATCATGGCTGTTTCAAGCCTGTATGGTATCGAGTGCTGGTCTGCTATTGGTTCCTCAGGGAGATTTCAAAAATTCGCCAGCTCTCGTCGCTATCCCTTTTGGGCAAATTTGGTCCTTTTAGTATTTGGGAGTTTGGCCTTTGGGTCAATCAAATGCCAACGCTGGAGGTCAGTAGTGGAGAATGGTTGTTCTTCTTTGTTTGGACACCAGAGCGGCTCTCCCGTTTCCTCGTCCCGGGGAATAGGTAGGAACCAAACCCTGTTCGGATCGCCTCCCCCTTTTTTTCCATTTCGTATACATGTCTGACGTCCGGAGATTCCTGTGGACCCTGATATACAAAAAGTGTTCAGTGACTTCGTCGAGTCGGCTCACTCATGCACTGGCAAAGGTACTGGACATGATCTCAAACCGAGCTGATCACAGACCCATCAGAAAACAGGTGATTTCGAT